AAATTATCTAAAAAATTTATGTTTGAAATATAATTATATCTTTTTGTCTCATATCATAATACTCATACAATTTGCAACTATCACTAAATATTTCAGATACATATTCAACTTGAAATAATTATGCATATTAGCATTTTGAATATTTCATTTTATTTATAATTGTATTGATTATTCTGAAATAAGAAGTATAATCTAATTGTAAAATGATTAGTTTTTAGAATTCATTTTTGGAATTAGTGTATTAGTGATAAATTATAACTATCTTAGGACAATTTATGAAAATCAATTCAATTATTTATTCATTTAAATAACTTTATATAGATCAGAAGCTGTAAAGATTAGTAACTTAAAAAAAAAATATTAAGGCTAAAATCAGGATGAAATATCATATATACATAGTATATCAATCTTTGTAATACATTTCTCAATATTATTATTTATTTTATAGAATTAGAAATGTTTGCATCAAGAGAACATCATAAAATCATCACTATGTATAGTAATTCTGGATAGTCCAAAATGGAAATGGAGTCTCTACTATTTGTTGATCTTCATATATTTTTGGAGGCCGTCCTAATTTTGGAGGAAATACATAGATAACAAAGAATTTATTTTTGCTCCCTCATAATACCCTATCATTAAATTTCAAATTCTGGCAGTAAAATTATAATTGATCTTAGTATTGATAATTGAGGAGGTGATAGGTTGGAAGCATTTTTTGATAATCTCTTAGTTTTCACTGGTAATTACAATTCAGAATGCACTTAATCTAGTATTTGTGGAACTTCTGGTTATTGTTGGGGTGATGGTGTAAATTCAGTAAATATTAATTAATAGGGTGTTTTAACTAAAAATTATTTTGACATTTACATCTTGCTTCGGTAAATTTAAAATTTACAATAGAGTAATAAAAAGATAATGCTATCAGGAGATTACATTATGTAAGAAAGTTATTTCGATAATCATGATATCATCTGTGTATCCCTTAAATAAACAAGCACGTAATCAAACCCCTAAATTATTTAATGTTATATAAATGACAAGTATTATGGTACTTAAAAGTGGATTAAAAATAAATAGGTAAAGACTAAATTAAGTTCAAAATCTTCTAATTCAGTATTTTCAGAGGCAATATGTAATACATTGGAATTTAAGAGAGATAAATATTTTGTAATATAAGGATTTATTACCAATTAAGATAACAGTATAGGCTTATTTGATTGAATGATATTTTGATTAAAAATTTGATTTGAATGACTTTTCTCTTGTGATAATTCTATAAAACTATGAAGATTGTTTAGATTAAAATAAAGATCCTTTTGATGGATGTTTTTCAGGAAGATATGATTGTGTTCAAGGTTTTAGTAATTGTATTAGAGGTATTTGTATTGAGTGTTAGAAAGGATGGTTATTTGATATTTAATTATAAATTTGCGAACCTATTTGTGGGGATTAAATGATTATAAATATTGAATAATGTGATGATGGGAATTATCTAGAATATGATGGTTGTTTTAATTGCAAATTTTCTTGCCCATTATTTTGTAAGTAATGTGAATTTGGTAAATGTTTGGAATGCCAATCAAATTACAATTTAATTGATCTCAAATGTGAAAAGATAAATGGAAATTTAGATTAAAAATCATAAGATAATTTCTTAAGTTAAATTTATAATTTTTTTAGATTATGGTCATTATTATCATAAATTATTAAAAGATTAATTTGCTAATCCTTTACCAATTCATAATTAAAATTGAAGTTTTTAAACACATGATATATTTGGATATCAATGTGGAATAAAACTTATAGCAAATTGTTTACATAGTCTAAATGATAGATGTTTTGAATGTGAATCTTTTTATCAACTATCTTGGAATAAAAAAGAATGTATTCCTAAATGTAATAACGGTATTGTAATTTTATATGAATTTTGTGATGACTAAAACAATATATAATTTGATGGTTGTTATAAATGCTAATCAAGTTGCTAATTAGAATGTTAATAATTTATAGAATAATAATGCTATATTTGTATTGATGGCTGGTAAATGATAGACAATAGATGCTATCAAATATGTGGAGATGGATAATTGGCTATTTCTTCTTAAGAATAATGCAATGATGGAAATTATAATCCATATGACTGATGTTATAATTTTAAATTTGAATGTGATCAAAATTGTTTTTCATGTTATACTTCTAATCTATGTTTATTTTGTGAAATCAATTTTGAAATGGATGAGAATAATAAATGTAAACCAATATGTGGAGACGGAATTATTGAGTAAGGATTAGAAGATTGTGAAGATTTTAATGATATTTAATATGATGGTTGCTATTAATGTATGTTTTAATGTGAAATTAATTGTTCTAAATGTCTCAAAGGTATCTGCTAATAATGTGTAGACGGATATGAATTATTAGTAGAAGGATGCTAAAAAATATTTATTAAATAAAATGATGATTTAGAAGAATAAGATATTAAAATATAATGTGGTGATGGAAATCAATCAAAAACAGAATAATGTGATGATGGAAATAAAGAAGATGGTTGTTCAAGCAAATCTGAAATAGAGGGAAATTGGGATTGTAATTTGGAATAACCTAATATTGGTTATCTAATTACTAAATTTTCTTTAATTTATTTAAATCAAACATATGACCATTAATATGTTTAATTGTAGTTTACAAATCAAATGAAATAGATTTAAAAATTCAATTTTACTTAATCAATCTTAACTGAGATATACAATTTAAGTTAAGATTAATATTAAGTAATTATAAATCCAGTAGTGAATGTTTATGAAACTTAGTTTACCATGGCAATATTTGAATTTGATATATTAAATTTAGAGTCGATTTCATTTTCACCAAACTTATCAGTTTCATTCAATTCCTCTTTAATTGATAATAATTATATGGCAGCAGATCTCTCTAAATAAAAAATTTTACTTTAACAACCTAAGTATTAAGTAAAGACTTAATTAATGTTGCAAATAAATTTTAAGACCTTGGAAGTGCATTAATGATAGTTTTAGGAGCTATTAGTGTACTACTGTTATTCTTTGGAGATCCATAATAGAGTTTAGAAATTTTTGACACTTTACAATTTTAATCATATTTAAAATTTGTGTAGCCAATAATTTATCTTTTTTTATCTAATTTCTATTTCAAGTATAAATGTAGTTTACCCTTAAAATCTATAATTATATTTTAATTCAACTGATATTGTAACAGTTAATCATAATCTAATAACCTTTAAAGTAAAAGATGTTTTTGATACTGTAGTTTAAGATAATTTTATTTAAAGCTTAGGTAAACTTTAAGAATACATCCTAAATTAGTTTAATTGTTTCCTTTTATATAAATTAGTTATTTTATCCAAGATTCTTCAATAATTATTTTTTTTTTTTACATCTAAATTTTTTTATTTTATTAGCTCAAGTAAATCCAAAATTTTAGAAAAGTTAGGAATTAAATTTTATAAATTAAATAAAAAAATTATCAATCTAAGAAAGCTATATACTATAAAAAGATTTAAGCAGCTATTTTATGTGAACTCTTGGGATTTACTTTTTAAAGTTCTTCTATTTATAATATCTAATACTCAACAAGGTTATCGATCTATTATATCTTATTGTATTTGTTTTTTAGTTTTAATTGTGCTCATATTATTATTATGTTAGCATCTGAAAGGATTAAATAACAATCTTGATTTTTCTATACTCAGAAATGAATAGCATGAAGGTATTTGCTAATTCAAAAACTAATATTCATCTTAATATTAATTGATATATAAGAAAGTGATATATTTTAATGTACTATGATAACTTTGCTCATTTTTGTATATATCGGATTCCTATTCATGATATAATAAAATATTCCAAAGATAGAATTAATTTGGTTAATTTGGATGGAAGCTCTAGTAATGTTTTTACAATGACAAGTTTAGTCTATTGTTCTGATTTTTAAAACTATTTGACAAATGATTTAAAAATTCTAATAGGTTTTGGTTAAATTAGACTTTTGATTCTTGGTTTGTTAGGTCCACTAATTATACTTGGAAATAAACTATAAAGAGACATTTAATAATATTATCAAAGGAAATAACAGAATCATGTAATAATATTTGATGTTTACAAAATTTTAAACTTTGATAAAATCAAATGATAATCATTAGGATTAACCCAATATTATCAACTAGGATTATATATTTAAATAAATAATATTATTTTTATTAAATTTTTATTTAGAAAAATAGAAATCAATCTTTTAAGTTATACAAAACATATAAGATAAACAATCATCTGTATTTTAGAATTCAAACTTTTCCTTTTAGATATTATTTCTAAATTAAGTAATAATTTATAAGTCAATATCGAAGATTTCCTTTAAAATATATTTTGATAGAGATATTACATAATCTTATAGCTTGTTTATTATCATTATAGAATTTTAATCAATTAATCTTATATTAATTATTTCTTTTTAAATACATAATTGAACGCCAAAAACTGGAATTCTGGTCATCAAATAATTGGAAACCTATACCTACTTAGATATAGAGCTGTAAGGCAGAATCTGGAAGCCCTGGGCTAGTCGAGGAAGAGCCAGTAGTTGCTTAAGATCTCTCTCCCATTTTGGAACTTATTAAAGACCACACATTGTTGTGGAATTCTAGGGATAATTTGGTCTTTATGACCAAAACAAGGAGGAATTGATTAGAATTATATCTAATAGCTTATGCCAGTCTCATGAATAACAAGATACGAAATCCAGAGAGAAATTGAATACCATATTGTTATGTTGTAAGTAAATTGATATTTCAAAAATATGTATGTTAATACTGTCAAAAAAATCCATATATTAATCATAATTTAGAATTAATATAATAGAAAAACTCTTGAATTAGTTTTTCTTTTACTTATTTCATCTAAAAATCCTTCAGTTAAGAATCATCAAAAAACTAGAATTTCATAAATCTTTTGCCATAACAACTGGATGTCTGAATCTATTTAGCCATTTTATATTTGGGCTTCTAACTGATTAGATAGAGCTAAAAAATATGTTTCTTTTTTTATATTTTATAAAACATCCTCAATTTATCTTAGTAATATTTTAATGATCCTTTATCTCACTATAATTTCCTTACTTTAGTATTCATAAATTATTGAAAATTCCAGATTTCTTTTACTAATTAATAACCTACATTTTGATGTACTTTGATAAGCACATGGAGTAAATCTGGCATATTTCTATATTTTGTCTTTAAAACGCTGACATCTGTATATGCCAAAACTAATCAATCTTATAGTCTATTATGTATTTCACTTCTTTCAGAAAGTAATAATGATATAAATGTTCAATAAAAATTGTGATTTTGGTGACCCATTAAATATCATCATATTAAAATTCTCCATTTTAATTCTTTTAATCCATTCCAAGATCATAAAAATGTTCAGTTGTGTGCCCAGTCCTCTAATGAATTAAAAGTAATTTTTTAATATAACTAAAGATTTTATAAATTGTTGTGAAACACCATTATATGAGATTGCTTTATCTATTGCCATTTGGCTTTTTGATTCTTAGATAAATGCAATAGTTAAAATAATCAGGGTAGGTATCTGTATTGGCGAATATTAGAATCTGTATCTTATAGTGTTATGCAATTATGTTAGCAAAGATCTCTAGATCTGAGACTGTTCATTCCATCTTAATTCATTAAGCAGCTGCATATACCATCAAGGCTCTTTTAATTCCTCGACAATCTAAAGAATTCATAGCAAATAATACTTCGAACTATCAAAAATATCTAAAGATTTAAATCAGTAACTAAAGAAACTATTTAAATCTTTAGCCTTAGTTTTATTAAATTTTGTGTTTTCATTTTCTCTAATCCTTACGTACTTATAACCTATGTTGCATTTCTTAATTATTATGGAAATAGAAATTAATAATATATTCCATTCTTTCTGGAATTTTCTGTCATTCTTTTAATAAATGGGATCTGAAAGAGGAAGCACTTTATAAGGTCCACAATCACATTTTCACAGTAGATTGCCCTATTATTCTTAAACATCTTCTTCAATATTTAATAATTCTAATTTAACAACATTCATAAGCTTTGGAGCTCCTATAAGAGTTAGTTCATCTTCTCATGCCTCCAAGCTTATATTTCTCTCTGGTTGTGCTGATTTTCTCTATTTTCTCATTTTCATACTATCCTATATATTCGTTATTATCTTTCTGATATTTCTAAGTTGCACTCTAAGCTGATATTTTTTTAAAGATAGAATAAAAATTACATCTGTGAAATTCTTACCTTTTTCGTGATGTCTTTTATTTCAGTAATTGTTCTAGTATTCTTTGACTCGCTTTGTGATGATCCATCCTTTCTCTTCTTCTTCGAAGTCTCAGCAACTATATTTCTATTAATAGGTCCTTTTCAGTCTCTTACCTCAATTAAAAATTGTTATGCTGTCAAGTCACACATATTATCATTACTCATCTCTTTCTGTTATCTATCTTTCTTTAGTCCTTGTTAGTATTCACTTCATTTTCCTCTATCATGGATTTTTGAAAATAATTAATATTTCCTAATTTAAAAGAGCTGCTTTGATTTTTGTGCCAGTTTATATTTAACTCTTTAAACATACCTTACTTAATAATTCTTTGAATTTTTCTATTTAAAAACTAAATTGGCTATTAAACATTTTACTTCAATTCATCTTTTTTATTATAATTATAAATTTTGTAATTTTAGTTATTGTCTCTTTTTTTTAATAATATTATTTTGAATGTAACAAATCATGATCTATTTTAAAAAACCATTGTAATTCTTGGTATTGAGAATCAAAATTTTATGATTCAACATTACACTACTTAGTTTAGTTTTCTATTAACATATCCTTTTATTTGTAATTACTACTCTACTTACTTTTTCTTTTCATTTCAAATTAAATTATGCATTATTAATAATCCAAAATGAGAAATTTGTTTTCATTAATATTTCACAACAAAAATTTTAATTTTTCAATTATTATATTTATTTATTGCTTTTTTATGTGAAGAACTTCCTCTATTTTCTAATTAGTTCTTCATTTCCATCTACTCTAGTTCTCATATTTGTAAAAATTACCTTATTAAATTTAAATTCATTATATTTCTATTTGTTAGCTATTCACATATTTTGGTAAAAATTAAAATATTATTATAAAAATAAATCGATTTCAAAATTTATATTAATTTCATAGATCGTTGTTGTAATTATTTTAGTTATGCTTAGTAGTTTAAGTAATTGGATCTACTTAAATAACTTATTCTTAGAAATTTATTATGATTAATCTCTTTTCTGTATTAGTTAGACAATATTTAAGTTTAAAAGTTTACTTTTAACTGCAATAAAATAATTATATTATTTTCAACATAATTTCCTTTTTTTACAATCAAAATCGTAAATCCTTTTTAAATGAAACAAATTAATTTTTTGATCTTTTTAAAAAGTTGAATGATAAATGATTAAATTTATTTATAAACTGTAAAACTTTAAAAAATTTAAACTGAATAATAAACTTTTTATTCAATAGTAGTAAAATATTTTTATAAAATGTATTAAGCATAAATTATGATGTTCAAAATACTATATTCTATAGAAATTGAGATGTAGTAAATAGTTTTAATGTTTATTATTTAACATATTATTGTATTTTTATTAGAAATATCAAACATATTTAAGAATAGTCTAATATTTATAATTGAATTATTTTCATATAAACAAAAACAATAATAAAGGATTTCAAATAAATGTTTATTAATAATAAAATTATTAAATATCCTAGAATAAGTTGTTTAAAATGTGTTAGATAAAATAAAATAATCAAAACTCTTAAAGCTTTCTTACTGTAATCTTATTAAATTGTCCATCCCATATAATAAGGAATTCCCCATCTGATGTCAATGTTCCTTAAAGTCCACAACAATTACTAACATTTTCGAATGTTTATTCTGCTATATATTCATCATACTTATCTTTTCTAATAATATTAATATATCGACCATTTTTTGTCATTATAATAGATTATGAGTTTATGTACATTAGAGGGAATAAAGAAGTACATTCTACTTCACTTTAAATTTTTATTTATTGTTTAAAGACATACTAAGTTTTATATGACCTATGTTATTTGAAGAGATAAAGCTAATCTATACCAGAAGGTTAGTATGCAAACATAGTTTCATTTATGAATAGTAAACCTGAACCCATGTAATCTACATTAATTTCATTTACTATGGCCCAAGTTTTATAATCATATTATAGTTAGATAATCAATATCTTTAATTCTTACTCTGCACAAGATATTAATTAATCTTCAGCTTTATTTAAACTAATACTTCTTACACTATTTTGGTGTGCACTTAAAATCTATTGGCACTACCACACACTTTCTTTTACCCAAAACCTTATTGTTTTATCTTAGCTGCCTGATATTATTAGATTTTCTTAATGATTCATTATGAGACATTAAACTTATCCTTGATGACCTATCAATTTCTATGTACTATACCATTTATTATCTAAATCTTCCTCCCAAATAATTATGGATTTATCATTGCTCCCAGATAGAAATGATGAGGATTATTTCATAAAATAAAGACATTTAACATTAAAAGTATGTTCTTATAAAACCTAAATTAATTTTAATGTTCCATCATTAAAAGAAAAAACTTTTATTTCTCCCCTATATTATCCCAAAACTAAAATAGAAGATTAGGAATTAATTGCTACTGATAGAGTTGATAAATTTTCATCTATTTGATTTATTATCTAATATTATAATGATTTTTATGATCTTTTGACCCAATTTTATCTAAAACTGGATTTCATTTTAGAAATGGTTTTTTTTAAGGGAGAATCTTGATTAATAAATTCAAGTTCAAAAGAATCTCGATTAGATTCAAAATTAAATTCTCTTTTAATTGTTGGGGAATTTTCTGTTAGAACCTTTTCATTACGAGTTGTTGCAGGACCAAGAAATGAATTATTTTTTGGCCTTCTAATTTAATAGATATTTTTGTTTTAGAGATCAAGAATATTTTCTTTAGGATTTGTATTCTATATCTCAGAAAGTGATACATTAATTAGATTTAAAATTTTTTATAAAATAGTAACTATTGTATTTTTCTAGAATTGTTCTTTATGTTTGAATTCATTTCTTACATTTAATTTAATAATTTAATCTCTATTTTTTTGACTTATTTAATCTGCTATAATTATTATTTCATCCTTTGAAATAGTCTGCCAATCCTTCTATAATAATGTAAATGGTTTGTATAATGAATCATATATATTAAATTAAAGTGATTTTTGATGTAATTAAATTAATCCATCAATTTGGGTATTTATTTCAATCTTAAGTTCTTTTATTATTTTCATAATTTAATTATTAATTTTTTATTAAAAATTTAAATAAATCTAAACTTATTTTTTGGTATCTTATTCATATTTTTGCCATAATATTTATAAATCTTCTACATTAGTAAATTATATATTATATTTTGGAACACATTTTCTACATGCCAATCTATTAGGAATTGTTTATTAATATCCCAAATCTATAAACATAATGTCTTCTAAATGTTGATCACATTTCCAATTAACTTTTTGTTATTATTCATTTTCATTATTTACTTATTCCAAATAACACAACTATTCCAATTCTAAATTTTAATCACCAAAATCAATTTTTTATATTTTTTCTTCAAATAATTACTTTAACTAAAATACTTCAAAAGCATTTATTTATTTTATTAAATAATCTTAAACACCTTTGCAATCAATAATCTCTTTTTTTAATTAAGACTTTATTTTATCTGGACGATTCAAATCATGTACTGTTATTTGGTTTATTTTTTTTTTGTATTATAAATTAGCCTCTTATAATAGACTGATTTAATTAATTATATTTTATTAACATTTTTCTATTTAATGACAAAATTTCCCTTATTATTGATGTAAAAAATTATGCAAATCTTTCAACACAGTAATATTTTAATATGTTTTAGTATCTCTATTCTAAGTTAATTATACTATAAAATTTTATAGTTAACTTTTGATATTATCTATCATTTTTAGATTTCTATTTTTCTCCTATTCAGCAACACATAAATTGCAAAGGGCCCTTTTTGATAAATCTGATTATTCTTTATCTATGTAAACTATTTTTTCTCTATGAATCTAACATATTTCGAAATCATATTAATTCACATTTTGAATCATTTTAAACCTATTTAGAAAAATAATTTTTGATTTAATTATTTTATATAGAATATGATATTTTAACTCTTTATATTATTATAATATCAAATAATTACATGTTTTAAGTCAAACATCATATTTTAAAGAATTAAAATATAATTTAATATATATTCTATTTGATTACTCAAATGTCTGTCATATTATTTGATCTCAATTTTTGTTTATTGATGATTGATTAATTTATTAATATCTTTTTCCAGATTATATGATTATTATTAATTATTATTATTAACTAAAAAATTGCTTACGTGAAATCTATATAATATTTTTAATTAACTAAAATTAACTAAATTTTATTATTCAATATGCTAATATCATCAAATGATGACTAAAACGTTATGAAATTAATGATCAAATAAGAAATTATATCTTATTTATCATTTTATCATACTCTTATCAATAATATTCATTTTTATATAGTCAATTAATAATTTAATTTGAATATTATTTTGAGTCATTATGTCATATTTTTCTAAAGTTCCATATTATCTATTTCAATTAAATACTAAGTATTTTCATTCGCAATAAACTTTGGATTACTATTCAATAATTAAGAAAAGAGACTTTATTCCTTCCAAATTTTAGATATTAGATATATTAGAGATCTTGGAAATTTATTTCAAAACTATGATTGTTTGACCAATTTCTTCTTTCCATGAGTATTTGAATTGAAATTTTACTTTATTTATTTCTTATGTTTATGCTCATTATTATTATGAAATCAAGTTTTCTAAAATAACAACTATCAGAATATATAAATTATATAATACTTTAAAATAAATCATGAATATATAAAATGATTAAGTTTAGACTAATGAATCTTTTGTTGAAGAAAATGAAACAAGATATCAGGATTATTTTGATTAATTCGAATAATCTGTAATAAAAAAAAAATTAAAAATCGTTTTGATAAAAAATAAAGAAGTCTAATTAATGACTTTAGATGGAGAGATAGTAAGATAGTAATGACCTTTATCTTCAACATTTAGTGATATTCTCTCAAAATATTGTAATGAAAACCCAGAAATACCCTTTAATCTAGAACAACTTACACATTTATAATGGGAAGGAAAGTATAAAGATCTGAAAAAATTTGGAAAGTGGACAGCAACATGGAAAAATGATATTTATTTAATGTAGGTTGTTAGTATGAAAAGGGAATGAAATAAGGCTAATGGAAAGAATTATTTAAAAATTACTATGAGTATTAGTTATTTTTATATTTTAAGCAAAGCCTAAATCTATGAAGTAGGAGAATATATTAATAACTTGAGAACAGGGATATGGAGTGTCATTTATGAAAATAAACTGATGTATTTTATAATAGATATTCAAAGTGGGGGAGGATTATATAATGAATAAGGTCAGAAAAGCGGTTAATGGATTGATTTATGCGATTATTTCCAATTGTATATAGTTTTAATATGGATATATAATTAGTGACAACTAAATTGGTATATGGGATATTAATAGAATAAGATTAGCTATCTTCCTTAATCTTAATGGATGTAAAAATAAAGGTAATCAGTCTTTAGAATTAATTTAAATGATAAATAAAAAAAGCAATTTTTAGGGGTTAAGAGATATATGACCAAAAAGGTCGAAAGAATGGAAAATGGGTTGAGTTATGTGATCATTTTAGAAGGTTTAAATTATAACAACTTAATATTTAGAGAAACCTAAATCATATACTGTGGTGAATATAAAAATGGTAGAAAATATGGTATTTGGGATATTCTTCATTAGAGATATAGTAATAGGCCATTTTAATTGATGTAAATATATTATAATTAAATAATCATAGTGGATTTGGTACATATAATGTCTCAGGGTTGAAAAATGGAAAATGGGTTGAGTAGAGCGAAAATTTTTAAAGGTTTTAAAAATAGTTTTATAATAATATTTAGGTAATTTATGAAGGTCCGTATAACAATAGAAAAAAAAGTTGGGAAATGGGATATTAAATTAAAGAATGATTATATTTTTGAAAAAGTGTATAAATATATTTTTGATAGCAATTCTTAGTGGTTTTGGATCTTATGATGAATAAGGACTTAAAAATGGCATTTGGCTAGAATTAAGTGATAATTATTGGAAGTTTTAATAATCTCTTATAATAATAGATTTAAAAGAGAGGTCACTTATTATGGAAAATATTAAAAAGATAAAAAAATTGGAAAATGGGAAATCTCCTTCAAAAATTGTAATAATCCTTTTGAAATGATGTAAGGAATATATTATATAGATAATTATGTTAGAGGTGGTGGATTATATAGTGATTCAGGTGTGAAAAATGGTTATTGGATAGAAAAGTATGAAAGTTTTTGGAGGTTTTATTTTAATTATTAAAATTAGTTGGAATGAGGTCATTTATCAAGGTTTATTTTAAAATGGAAAATAGATTGGTAGATGGGATCTATAATTTAGATCTTCTATAAAAAATGAGTTTCATAATAATTATATATTCTTATTAAACAATAATAATAAGAATGACATTCTGTATGTTTTTTTTATTTGTGTAAATTTTTGAGTGGTGGCGGAACTTATGATGACTAAAATTTGAAGAATGGTAGTTGGGTTGATTAATTCGAAAGATTCTATATGTGTTATTTTTGAATTAATTCATTAGGAACTAAGGTTATAAAGTACTGTATTGTCATGGTAAAAAGATTGGATTAATGTAAGAAATAAGTTAATGTAATTACTAAGAAAGTTTGAAAATGTAACATATAAAAATTAATAATTAGAGAACAAAAAATATTTGATTGATGATAATATAGATTATTAGCTATTTTTTTATTTCTAATTTTTATGTGTTATTATAACTGAATTAATAGAATCATTTTAGTATATATGTATGATGAAGAAAGAAAATATATTTAATTTATTGCTGGATATTTTAGATTTTCTTTTTATTAATTGTTAATAATTTCTTAATATATTAAATGTCATTAAATGCATTGTCTTATTTATATCTATTTTGAAATCCAATCCCATGTGCATAAGTATTGACCATCATTTGACATATTACCAAATATCTTTCTTGTACTAAAATCAATAACATCTATTAGTTAAAATTCTTCATCAGGTGATATTTTAATTAGATTAACTTTTGATCCATTTTTATTTAGAATAATATTTTTTGATTTTATAAATTTCTATGGGAATAAATTACTGCAATTTTCACCATTTTATACTTAAACATTTTTTGTAAGATGATATTAACCAGCTTATTAATTGAATTTATAGACACTTAAATCTAATGAATTTTCAGATTAAAAAACAAAAGTAAAATTATTAATAAAACACAATCTAAACCCTAATTTTTCTACATTAATTGTTTAAAGTATTATCCAATTTGAGTTTTTAAATTCAAATATTTTAATTGTACTATCACATGAACATGATATCAATTAATCTTCAGTCTCATTTAAACTTAAACTACAAACAGTGCTTAAATGAGCAGTTATAGTTTAACAACACTTCCATTATTCATCTTTATTCCAAAACTAGATAGTTTTATCTNAATTATATATTCTTATTAAACAATAATAATAAGAATGACATTCTGTATGTTTTTTTTATTTGTGTAAATTTTTGAGTGGTGGCGGAACTTATGATGACTAAAATTTGAAGAATGGTAGTTGGGTTGATTAATTCGAAAGATTCTATATGTGTTATTTTTGAATTAATTCATTAGGAACTAAGGTTATAAAGTACTGTATTGTCATGGTAAAAAGATTGGATTAATGTAAGAAATAAGTTAATGTAATTACTAAGAAAGTTTGAAAATGTAACATATAAAAATTAATAATTAGAGAACAAAAAATATTTGATTGATGATAATATAGATTATTAGCTATTTTTTTATTTCTAATTTTTATGTGTTATTATAACTGAATTAATAGAATCATTTTAGTATATATGTATGATGAAGAAAGAAAATATATTTAATTTATTGCTGGATATTTTAGATTTTCTTTTTATTAATTGTTAATAATTTCTTAATATATTAAATGTCATTAAATGCATTGTCTTATTTATATCTATTTTGAAATCCAATCCCATGTGCATAAGTATTGACCATCATTTGACATATTACCAAATATCTTTCTTGTACTAAAATCAATAACATCTATTAGTTAAAATTCTTCATCAGGTGATATTTTAATTAGATTAACTTTTGATCCATTTTTATTTAGAATAATATTTTTTGATTTTATAAATTTCTATGGGAATAAATTACTGCAATTTTCACCATTTTATACTTAAACATTTTTTGTAAGATGATATTAACCAGCTTATTAATTGAATTTATAGACACTTAAATCTAATGAATTTTCAGATTAAAAAACAAAAGTAAAATTATTAATAAAACACAATCTAAACCCTAATTTTTCTACATTAATTGTTTAAAGTATTATCCAATTTGAGTTTTTAAATTCAAATATTTTAATTGTACTATCACATGAACATGATATCAATTAATCTTCAGTCTCATTTAAACTTAAACTACAAACAGTGCTTAAATGAGCAGTTATAGTTTAACAACACTTCCATTATTCATCTTTATTCCAAAACTAGATAGTTTTATCTCCACTACTAGAAATAATTAGATTATTATTCTTATTAATAATAATATGACTGATCCAATCAGAATGTGCATCTATTTTTTATTAACATATCCAGATTTTATTTTAAAAAGACCATATAAGAATCATCCTATCTTGACCTCCTGAGAGGAAGCAGTCTTTATAATTAAAAAACTCTAAGGAATAAACTGATCCTTTGTGACCATTTAACATTTATTACTATTTTCTAATTTATTCTACTTCCAATTCAAATACAGCAATTTAACCTGTTGAATAACCAGCAGCAAACATAGAAGAGTTGTGATTGAATGAAAATGAGTAAATAAGACTTTCTCTTATATTTTATATTACCTAATATTTTGTTTCCTTTTTAATTGGATGTTATTAGCTTGAATCAATCTATGACTCAATAAGATTTTCGTTGAAATTCTACAATACAGATATCAACTTTTTCTAAATATCCATCATTATTGAGGAAAATTTATCTTAATTTTTTTAATTTTGTAAAAACAAACTCAAAACATCATTCATTTAATCCAAAGTATCAATTTTACTTTTTTAAAAAAAGGAGAGTTTATTTCTTATTTAATTAAATAGATTCATTGTCTTATCAAAATAATTTTCAAATGTTAAAGAAAAATCTAGGTATTCTTTTTGCTTTAGTTATTTATATTCATAAAATTCCTATATTGTTTTCAAATCTCTAGTATGACTAAGATGATGTTCCTTTTTTAAACATTCATAGCAACCAAATCGAAATGATTAACATTTTTCATTAAAACAAACGATTTGAATCAACTCATTATGGGAAGGACATAATAATTTTTGATTCATTATTTTTATATTAAAAAAGTTTAATTAATGAGTTTTAGCTCAGAATTATACTTTATTATAGATCTCTCTTAATTTTATGCTTTCTTTTTTAATTATCAAGACTTATATAATCAAATATTATAAATTGGTTAAAACATAAAGAAAACAAAATTTCTATATATCTCATATCAATCCTTAGAATAAATATGTATTTTTTTGAAATTATTGATTGAGATGTTTAAATATCTAAAATTGATATTTGATTGCCATTTATAATTCTATTCTCTATTTGATAATCTTTCGATTAATTAAATTAGTAAATAGGTATTGTACAGAAAATCAATTTAATTTATTGTAAGATCATAATTGATAACGACATTAATAGAAATATCTAATCAATTAAATCTACTCTATTTTACCTGTTATAAGTAATTGAGATAAAAAAAGTGATTGAGATTCTCAAGGATAAACAAAAAAAATTAAGAACAACTAACTAATGAGAATAAGCTGAAAAATTAAATAGTAATATATATAATTAGAATAGATATCCATTTTATATTTAGATAATGATTCATATCTAATCATTAAGTCTTATCAGCATCAAACTATTAAAAAATTTTAAGGTTTATTCTAATTAATATATTATTCATTATTAAATATGCATATATTTTGTGCGATTACTTTGAATATTTGAGCTCATACTGAAAAATTATCTTTTATATCATTTTATAATAATGTTATCAATCTTTATAAAAACAATATATCTGTTTTATGAAATTAATGATAAGCATTTATTAATTCATAATAACATAAATATTTTATGTTAAGAAAAAAAATTATAAAATTCGTGTTTTATTTAATAATAATTGTAAAGATTGCAAAATTTAATTATCTTTTGCAGATTCAATAATTTTGTTTCTTAATACTTTTGTTAATGAGCATAATCATTTTTCATTGTATAAATTCTAATATAATTTTTATCTTTCATTTAAAGTATAAATCCTTTGTGATAATTACCTTGTTAACTCTAAATGAATTCAATTAGTTTTATTATTGATGAAATCAATTAATAAAAAATCCTCAAATTGTTTCAACTCACTATACATTTATATCAACATTAAATTCTGATCTTTCAGATTCTAATTCAGATTAATTTTTATTATTGTATAATATTGGGAACACATAAATATACAGACATTTATTTAATTTTATATTACATTTATAATTTAATGAAAGTTTAAAATAGCTTTAATTATAGCATTAAGCAAAGATTGTGTTTTATTAAATTACGAATTGTAAAATTTTAGATAAAATTTTAAATTTTCATTTATCGACTGCTCCTCTTTAATAAATTACATAATTTTCTTGAAGATGATTAATTAAATATTCAAACTCTATGCGGCTACATTTTATTAGCAATTCCAAATAAATAATCAAATCTTCTAATTCAAGCATCATGAAAAATATGGAAGTTTTAAGTACCGTTCAATTTCAAAAATATTGCAATATGAATCAATTATTTATATATAATATTTTTTATGTTTTCTAGATTTTCAAAATTCTAAACATGTTGGTTCATTAAGAATATATCCATATATACATTCTAGATGTATTTTTTTTAAACCTAATGAATTTTATGATTTCTTAAATTATTGTGTTTGGTTAATACCAATTTATTTTTAAGAATAGTCAAAATTGATTGATTTTTGTCTTTCGATGCTTAATTTAGATTAAAAATATCAGCATATTTTAATAATTAATGAAAAATTACAAATATTCAATTCTAATTATCAGAAGTTAATAAAATACTTTAAATAAAGCTTGTAGATTCTTAGAATTAAATTAGATTAATGTTAAAATTTTCATGTTTATTATAAAATTATAACATATTTTACTATAATTAAATTTCTTTTTATTTCTAGAATCTGAAAAATATATTGCATTCTATTGATTTAAATTATAAAAACAATATTTAAATTATGAATTAATTTTCAGAAGACCAATCAACGAAACCTGGATTGTTATAAAATATACAGGATGGAAGTTTGATAACTGTACTTGTTGCAGGAACTAGTTTTGCTGTAACTAAAGCTGAATTAGCACTTTATCGATCCTCTTCCATAGGACTAGTTGCAGGAAGTTTTGCTGCAGCTGCATAAACCAGCATTTGAAGTTGTTGCATTTGAAAGTGCATTTGCTATAGCATAAGGATTAGCAATATCTGGAATCGGAGCCATTGCACTGCCAGACATTGGAGTAGGTGCAGTAGCAGGAGTTTGCTATGTTGGATATAAAAATTGATAAAAATGAATAATGATAATAATGAAAATAAAATATATTATAATTTTTTATAGTTGAACGTATTGGATTCCTAATATGAATAGATTTCATATCTTCCCTAATATATATTATTAAATTTTAATTTTTAATTAAGAAGAATAGAATTAACAACAACTTTATTGATAATTATTTAAAAGAACAATTAAATTTAATTTAGTCATTACTATTTAAAAAAAACCGTTAAAAATTGTATCAAATTACAAGTTTTCTGTCTCTGAATATTATAATTAATAAATTTTTTGATTTACATTTTAGTTTTAAAAGTAAATGCTGAATTTTTTAAGGGTAAATATAAATATTGAAATATAAATTCATTTCTTTTTCGAAGCTTCAAGACATTCATCTTAATATTAGTGTTGATATTATTACTTTTCCTGTCTTTTGTCCATTAATGGTTCTCTTTAATTTTTAAAGCTTTATCATAGCAAATCAAAGCTTCTTAATATTAATTTTAATCTTGTAAACATTTACCTATAAAATTACAGAATATTTTAACCCTTTGACCATAATGAATCCAAATGATTAGGATTTACTTAAAGCGATTACTCGATTACAATTAAGGCTTCTTCATAATTTTTCAACATTCTTAATGATATACCAATTAATTAGATAAGATTATTACTTTTAGTTGATAATGAATTACAATGTTTTGAATCAATCTATAAGGCTTTATCTGCCCAAATAATTGCATCATTATATTAACCTAGTCCCCTTAAACAAGAAGCTAACACTATAAGGTTTAATCCTACCTTTAGTAAATAATAGATTGCAATTTTTTGAATCAATTTACAAAGCTTTATCCACCCATATAATTGCTTCATTATATTAATCAAGCATTCTTAAACTTTCAGCTTAAAAATTAAATGATTATTCTACCTTTAGTATATAATGAATTGAAATGTTTTGGATCAATTTATAAAGATTTATCTACCCAAATAATTGCTTCATTATATTAATCTAGCATTTTTAAACTCTCAGCTAAAAAATACAATATTGATACTACCTTTGCACCATAATGCTAATTAATGTTTAGAATTTAAGCTCAAAGCTTAATCAAGAATTGCTATTGCTTCTTCATATTTATGATCATACCAATATAATTTATACCCTAAAAAATTATTTTTAATACCTTTTTAATATAATTCTTCAGATTTTTTGATATCCTAATCAGATATTAGATAATAATTCAATTAAGTTAAATATAATTCTTAATATAATTTTTATATTTATTCTTAAAGTTCAGAAGATGATTTTTGAATTAATATTTCAATAGTTTGTCTAAATGTTTTGAATTGTATAGTTTCTGCTAGGATAGAATTTATTTATTTGGAATTTAAGTGAAAGATTTATTCTTTATTTATTTGATATTTAATTTTGATTCCTCCAATTAATTGATAAAATTATTGATTAACAAAGTCCATTTATTTATTCAGCCTGTTAATTAATTCTTCACACTCTTTATCAATTTTTTCAATATGATCAAATAAATTTGGCAATTAATATTGATGTTGAGGATGGGATAAATGAATTCCATTCCTACTACATTACATGCAATATAATCTATCAGCTTTATAAGATTCATCAAAGCATTTTAGTTTAACATTATTTTAATGCTCTGGATTTGGGCATTTAATGATTAAATCATTATATTGAGTCATAATTTATATTTATATTAATATATCAGTTTTTTAATTAATATTAAAATGCTTGTAATTTGTTACAAATTTTATTTATTCATACAAAAAGAGCAGAAAACAGAATAGTTACAGAAAAATCATTAAAATATATATTAAGAAATATTAGTATAAATTTATTTATTTAAAAAAGAATTAATAATTTAATACTATTAAATATAGATGAAAATATTAAGATTTTAATTTATTAATAATTTAGAATAAATTTTTTATAAAAGTAGTATTATTATTTACTATTATTGCAATAAATATTAAGATAATTAGATTATAATTTATTAATTTATAATAAGAAGGCTAGTAATTTTCTATTCTTAAACTATATATTAAGATAATTATGTAAAAAAATTTTCATTTATAAACAAAAGTATTTTAAGTTTCTATCTGAAATACAATCTAAGGATATTAAAATATTTTTTCATAAAAGGGATCTAATGATAATTATCAATATAATAGGTCCTTATATTAAATTGTTAATTATTTTGTCAATTATATTATAATATATATTAAATATCTATTTATTAATAAGCAATGATTACATTTTATAAATTAAAGCAAAATCGCTTTTCTCTCTATGATTTATTGAAAAACTTATATTTATTCTCTATTGAATTAAAAATTTATATAATATATCATTTTTTGACAAATGTAGGTTTAGATTTAATAATGTTAAAACAACCATTTTATTTTTTATATGAGATTTTTAATTCAAATTTATAAATATTTTTGAAATTGAGAATAAGATTATGATCAATAATAAATAAAATACTACTTGAATATATATATATATAATTAAACATAAATAGATCGAATGGCATATTTACTTTTTGTGTATTTTTGACCTAAAAGAAATAAAAATAATTAATAGAATAGAATGATTATAAATTGTGATTATATATTTATCATTAGACACCAATATAAAATATAAATGAATGTAAAATTTAAAATACATCTTTTTAAGAAATATTAAAAGGTATGCAAATTTATAATATTAAAATATTGATTTTACGAAACTTATATGAGCATTTCATTTGTTGCATAACAATCTTGTAAAAAAGGTGTCGAACATATAAAAATTGCTGCACTTAAAATAGCATTCAGAATAATAAAACAAAATAACACACATTAAATGGATTTGAATAGATCCCCGACATTAATATAAGCGATTAGCTCATATCCTGGGAAATAATCAAATCAGGAAGCTTAAATATAATAAAGAGAAGATTTTGAATAAGAGTCTAAAAAATCAAAATAATTGACATTTCTTTAAACAAAAGTAAGATCATCAACAACTCCTTAATAAGTATAAATAAAGATTCGAAATAGGATATTTTAAGATAATAAGAAAATGATGAGATTTTAGACAATGACGTATCAGTGAATTAATCTGTATAGAAAGAAGTAACAAAATTAAAAAAGAAATCATTTATTTAAAATAGAGATCCATAATAAGAGTTTTAAAGTCATAGATAATCAGAGCATCCATTTCTAAAATTTGGTGATGTATTTGTAATAAAAACAAATGTAACAATGTCTGGCAAGTAATCAGATGTACTGTTTCATGAATTGATATTAATAGGGAATTTAAAATATTCTGGTTCTATAAATTGTGTAAATATGTCAAATCAAGTAATAAATAATCCATATTCTCATTAACAAAAATGTTTTTTTACAATTCGAAATCCAAGAACAATAAAAAATGATTAAAGTCATATTTGTTATGGTTAGAGGATAGTATTAGTGAATATAAAGTCAAAATTAAGTGTGATGATTAACTTGGATATGCCATCTTAAGAAAGAGGGTCATTTTCAGTTAATCTATCATCTCAAATAGGACATTAGAATATTTTGAGAATAATGCCAAGTTCAAGTGCAAAGAGAGTAGGAGATAAAATTTAATATAATGATTAATTATACTTTTAATAAGATTCAAATAGGTAATATTATTTAAAATTGGAGAAGGATGAATCGAGATATTCAAGCAATAAATTTATTGATATCAATGCAAGTGATTGTCCTGATAGTTTTCATCTTCATAAAGTAAAGCATTATCAAAACAATATTGTTTAAATAATTCACTAGCAATCATAAATAGCTGTTGGAACAAGTGAAAAATAGCTCTAATCATTTATAGCAAATAAGACTGCTTTAATTACAAGTGGAACTAATGATTAGTAATAATCATAATAGGAATCATTTGCATTAAGAACCCTTGATCTTAACAAATATTTAGTATAAGAGTATGAAGCGTTATCAAGCAATTTACTTAATTCTTATACATATTTTGAAATTTAGCCAATTTATCCATTTACTGAATAATTGGAATAACCAAATGCTTGCAAACTAAAATCTCTTTTCACTTAATAATATTTAAGTGTAGACCCTAATGATGAGAAAAGATTAAAGCTGACTTCGGGATATGTTTAAGATGATTATAGCGTATTTTACATAAATCCTGAATAAACTGGTTAATAAGAGTCTAATGAATAAATAGTTAGTATTTAAAGTGGTTTAGGAACTTATTTAAGCTTAACTTAGAATGCCAAATTTTAATTTTAATAAGTTTCCACTGATCAATCTCCTCAATTATTTTCAGTTAAATCTATTGATCTTTAATCATAAAATATTTTGGAGGACTTTAATGAAATTTAAATGAGAATCCTCAATTTTCATGTTTATTTATAATAATGGTCAATTGTGTAAGATAAACGTAAATAAAATGATGACATTGTTTTATTTGACTACTTAAAATCCTTATCATAGAAACCATAATTAGAACAAGAAGTATATCATTTGCAGTTATAATTGGATAATCTTAATAGTCATTTGACAATAAAACCAAATTAACATGAATTAAACAATAACACCTAAATAAATTATGCTCAAAAATAAAAAGTTATAAGAGAATAAAAAATACTAGAACTTTTATTCTCCTTATTAAAATTAATAGACAATATAGTTTTTACATCCTAAAAGGTTTTTCGAGAAAAAGATAGAAGTCGTCTTTATAAAACAGACCGCCCACTTCCATCACAATAATCAGCAGTAATATATATTTAATTTCTAATAGTCATATATTGCATTCAAAATTTTAGCATCTATGCCAATTTAAATATATAGAATAATATTGTTATCAATTAAGAATAACTAAATCAATAGAAGAATAGCATTAGATAATGACGAATTCTTATGCTAATAAATCAGAAGTTATGGTCCATAAGTGGCTGCTATATTAAGAGAGGCAGTTAGAGATTAGCCAAACATTGATTTAGCCGATTGGGTTAAATTGTTAGAACCACTTAATGAAATTGGAAATAATATATATGACATGACAATATACTTAAAAATTATTTCAATAGCTATGGTTGATTCAAATAATCAAGGAATAATTCGGTATTAAAAGAAAGTATGCAAAGAATTATTTTCATAAGGAAAAAGTGGAAAAACTAAATTTCTATGTTAATTTAATATCACTCATTCAAAACCGACATTTACTCTTTTCAGAGAAGAAGCCTTAGCTGATTTTCTGATAAAAAATCCATCATTATCCTAATTGCACTTAATTCGTCCTACTGAAAATATCGAATTTGAAGTATTCTCTTTAGAAGAATTAGGTGAAAAAATTCTCTATAAAAAATCATTATTATAATTTCTCAGTTACTTGACATCATGTGTAAATCTTTTGGCTCATTTATGTAAGGGTAGGAATAAAAAATGTATGAAAAAAGTTAAATAACTTGGTATATCATCCAATCATATCTAACATGTTATAAAATCCACTTTAATACCATTATCAATGAAAAATAGTTATCTAAAACTTTATGAAGTTTTATATATAGATATAGATCCATTTCTACCAATAGATTCTTAAACTTGTTTTATATGGGGATAACTCCAGATGGAAAAAGATAAAAAGATAGCCTAAATCTTTAACCATTAAGTTGAACCTACAGAGGTAGAAAGGATTATTAAGGAATTTGAAGATAAAATGTTACCTTTACTTTTTGAATAATTAACTGTAGGGCAAAGCTTTTAAGAAGGATTGATTTAGGTTAAGAAAAAGAAATTATATATTCGATTACCTTCAATAAATTCTAATTCAGTTTCTAATGAAAAAGTTGAACAGAAAAGCAAACTTTCATAAAAAATTAAATTTTTAACAACTCTCTATCATTTAATATATAAAATCATCTAATTTGGATATTTGACTGAAGAACAAATTTGTAATATTGTAAAACCAATGTTATAAATTTTTGTACCATTTTTATCTTTAAAGGAAAAATTGGCTTTGGAAGTAAAGGAGAATTGGTTAAATGAATTAATAAGTTCTGCACGTTCATTATAATAATAAGGGTTAGTAGATTTAATTGACGAACTATTTTTTAATGCTGGACTTTTGTTTAAATAGTATTTTATAATTTAATTGAATGTGTAAATTCAAGAATTTATTAAGCATTTTTAAAGATCTCATTAAACTTATTGTCTCTAATCTTTGGATAAACTTATATTTGAAGTAAAAGATATAATAAGCAGGATGTAATTAGGAGAAAGTAAAAATTTGATTTTAGGTTCTTTATTGGGATTTTATTTTTCAAATTTTTTATTTTAAAGCAAAGGATTTAAAATATGTTATGAAGCATTAAACTAAGGAGTTAATCAATAATGGATTTAAAAATTGAAATAAGTTGAAATAATCTTAGAAGGCGAAGAAACTGAATTGTATTAATAATTAACAGGGAATTCATAAAGTGAATCAATATTTTCCCCAACTAAATTAGAATTATTGATTTAACAATTAGAGGATTCATAAAAAAAAATTTAGGAGGGAGGAGTTTAATAAAAGGAGGATAAAAATTAGGAAATTGATACTCTCTTAAACAAATTAGTAAATAGAATAAAAGAATTTAAAATGGATCAATTTTAATTAAAAAAAACTTAGAATATTTTAAGAAATTTGGGAGTACATAAATAAATTCTTAGATTGATTAAAGTGTTTAGGGAATTTAATCCTACATAATAAATATGTATAAAATTATTGTGCTTATTTTTAATTAATAATACACTTAATTGCGAAGAAATTTAGGATGATATTTTTATTATAATAAAATTAGGAGCAAATAATATTAAAGTTTCTAAATTAGTTGGAGTATTTTGTTAAAGTTTGGTTGATAAATAAAGTTTAATTTAATAATTAATTAAATGCATATTTAGTACAATGTATGAATATAAATCAAGTTGCCAATAATTTTATTATGCTATGTTATCTATTTTATAAAATAAATAAATTACAACAGAAAGATTAAATATTATCAAGAGGGAAATATTAAGCAATTTATTTAAAGTACCAAACTTCATTAATGAACTGTAATATTATAAACAATTTAATGAGATTAAGAATTAAATAGATGAATAATAATTTTATAAAGTAGATTTTTAAATATTCTCAGCATCAAATTCATTAACAGCATAAGTGATTAAAGATTATCCATTAGGTGTTCAATAAATCTAAGGAATTTTATTTACTGAATAAATTAATTAAATGATACATAATCCAGGAACTTCTTATTTAATGAAATCAGAACTAATTAAATTAGTTTATGCTACATAAATTCAAACAAATCATACTTTTACTATGTAAGATATGAGAGAACTATTATTGCTAATATTAAATGATTTATTGGCTTTTCCTAAATATCTAGATGGATTGGCTAAGACATTTGAATAAAATTCTTAAGAGGATAAGGAATATATGAGATAAGATATATTCTAAATAGAATATATGAAAGATAAATTATTTTAGGATACAGAGGAGAAAAAAAAGAATTTATTAAATTCAAGTCTAGGATTAACAAATCAAAATACTGCTGCTTAATTATAATAATAATAAATTAATGAACTAAAGAGAATTGTAAATGATTATACTGAATATTGGAGATATATATTAGCAATTTCTAATTGGTAGAATATATAATTTGGTGTATTAACATTACTCTAATAATTATTTAATGAAATTCAAATCAGAAAGTGGAATATATCTGAAAATTAACTTAATTAATAAGCCTTTCAAAGTGAGTAAATGAATTAGGTTGTGGAAGATTCTCTTTATGAACCATTGGCATTAATTAAACTAATATTAGAAAGTATCAGATAAACCTTAGTTTTAATTGAAATTAAGCTACTAACACCAAAATTTAGAGTGTATTTGGCTTAGATCTAATATTTTATATCAAAATGTTTAACATAATGTCCCCTAGATTCAAATCTAAAGCACTTTAAAACTATCAAGTATGCTCAAGAACATAAGACTTAAAGGGCAATAAAAATGTAAATAAAGGAATATAAACAAAAAATTAATCAGAAATTTTCATAAGATGATATAAAAAAAAATTTTAATTAATTATATGAGAAATTGAGGAGATATATGATGGACAAACATTTAACTATTAGTGAGATGATGGATAAGATTAAAGGTGAATTTTCATTTCATTAAGATTTTCAGATTTAGGAAGGAGAATATAGTATTGATAATAATGATAAATTAATTAGTAGAGACAAGTTTTGTAGTTTGTTCAATAATATTTTGGATGAGCATTTTGCAATGTTAATTAAACTGAAATAATTAAAAGTCTTACCTGAATTAGATCAGTATTTAACTTATCAAGATGTAGTCATATATTATGAAGCTTACATTTAAACTAAAGAGACATCAAAGAATTTGCTTGATTTAAGTAGATATAATTATTTATTTATTAGATAAATTCTATTAATTATTGACTAACTATTTTGATAGCCAAAAAGCAAAATTTAATAAATAAGAATTAAAGGAAAGCTAAAGAAAATAAACATCTTAATAATCATTTTATTAATAAAAATCTATATTCATTCAATAAACATTTAATTAATTTATTTACTAATTTGATTTATTGATCAATCCAGATAATGTATATAATTTTTATAGATTGGATAAATTATTATTTGAGGATTTATAGGAGTAATTTCTACTTAAACTTTAAAGTGATGAAGAAGTAATATATACATTCTCAAGGTTGTTAAAAGAAGAAGCTAACTAAGATAAATTTCTAGCATTACATATCTTGAATGAAGTATTGTAAAAAGAATAGAATATAATAGAAAAAGAAAAACTTATTCATTTTGCATTAAAACAAATTCCATTTCTAATGATATATTTAGAAGAAAATGATAATGAATATGCATTGCATTGCATTAGAAAAGTTCAATTAACTTTGTCAATATTTGAATAAATTTAAAAAATGGATGAAGGACAATTAGGAAATATGTTTTCAAATGAATGTTGTTAATCGTTTAATAAATTCATCTCAAGAGCATTCAATCAGGTTGATAGATTATTAAGTTTAGAGCAACATTCAAAATAAGTTACCAAAACAGATTAAAAAGGGTTTTTTATTAGTAGAGTTGATATTTAAAATGAAAGAAATTATTTACTTGCATAGTTTTTTAAAATTATCATTTCAATCTTAAGATTTATTGGAAAATTAATCTAAGATATTGATAGAAGTAGCCAGTTTTGTGATTCAAATAATTAATAAGCTTTAATAGAGGAGGTTCTATATTTTACATCAAATTATTACAATTATATAAATAGATCATAATTAACACATATCTGTACAGAAATGGACATACTTACATTATATTCAGAATGTCTAAAATGTTTGAATAACTTTTGTGAAGGAAATCCATAAAATTAATACCTTGTTTTTAGTCATAAGCCATTGATTTCAATCATCTAATTTATAATAACAACTTAGAAATACGATATTCTAGCAGATAACTTATAGGATAATACTTTTAGAGTATTATTTAAAGCAACTATTTAATTACTTTTGTAAGTAAAATTAGAAGTTCATTAAAATTATACGGACTTGAATTTTTAAATGTTATTTGAGAAATTATTAAAAATATATGAATAATTTGCTCCAAGACTTCAGATAATTATGTAAGGATAAAAATGTAATCATGTAGATAATATTAATTGTACTTATTTAAAATGTTAGCAAAACTTTATTGCTATTGGAGAAATTGAGGTCTTAAGTATTTGTTTTGATTTAATTATTTTATTTAACATATTGAGTGAGAACATTGAGAATATAGGAAATTTTGATAAAAAGAAAGATTATTGGTAGACATTAAGGGATAGAGTCATTGGCGAATAACCAAATGAATTGTCCTTAAACTAAAAATAAAATATAAATTTTCTAAGAATTTACATTAGTATGAAGCATTTTGTAAAATAATAAGAATTCAATTAAAAAAGAGTTGAATTGTTAAAAGAATATTTGAATTCGAATGATTCTATAATTGCTTCTTTAGATATAAAAGACCTAAAAACATAACAAAAAATTAATGTTAAAAAGAAATCAACTCCTCTTAAGAGTCCACCTCTAGTGAATAAATAATATACACTATTGGGAGATAATTAAAGTCCTAAAAGCAAGTTTAAAGAAAGCATTTATAAAATAACAAATAAAAAGCAATTTGTTAAATAATCCTTAGATGAAGCAATTCCATTTAAAAAGTTTGATGAATAAGATCCGGTAATTGAAAATACAGATAAAAGGGAAAGTAAAATGGAATAGAAATTAGAAGTAATAGCAATAAATTGGTTAGAAGGTGCTCAATATAATAATCAAAGAGACAATATTAAGAAAAATATGTGTATGAAGATGGCTGAGGCAATTAATTTTTTTAGTAAATATGTAGGTTAAATATAAATAAGTTAACATAATGAGAATAAGTAGTTATATTTCATTCTACCTTTTTAATCATTCTTTTTATTATAATAAACTACTAAAAAGGCTAAGATGTTAAGAATGAAAAGAGGTAGGTATGAATAATTGAAAACAATGTCTGAATATTTTTAAAAAGAAGTTGCATTTCGTTAGAATATCTCAAAGTATCCAAAATTCAATTGGTTTTCTATCAATATTCATTTATTGAAAATATTAAATTATTTGATTGTGCTTACATTAAATTTATGTTATTTAGGTGATTTATAACGTAAGGTAGACAGTTTCTTTTTTAAGAGTTAAACAATTGAAATTATTGTTATTGTATTAACTATAATTTTGATATTGTCATCTGCTTTTGTACTAATTATTGAAATTATCAATCAATAACCATATATAGCATTTCGAGTTGATTATTATAGAGATTAAAATTAAGAAGATGTACCTTTAGGGTTAAAAGGGACTGAAAATCTAAATTAGATTTATCCTGATCCTTAAAAATAAAAGAAAACAAATTTGAAGAGAAAAATGAAAATGCATTAATACTTAAATTAAAATAGAACTTTAGCTTAAATAACAAATGTTACATTCCTCTATCATTTAACTTATTTGATATTAGCAGCTTTATCATTTATAGCTTCACCATTCATTTCATTACTATTATTTGATATAGTTTCAAGAGTGAATGTATTTGATTTTATTTATTATTATAGAGTTTAAGAAAAGTATTATCATCAGTACTTGTTAATTTTTGGAAGATTATATTAATATTATATCTTACTTTGATTGTGATTCATTGTTATTCATTTTTAGCATTTGTTGTTGAAGATGCTGAAGTTTTTCATGAAGAAGATACTGCAAAATTTACATTCATTACAAAATTTTGGTAGTTTTTTGGAAATGGCTTTAGATTATAAAATTCCTTTAATTCAGAAGATGAATCTCTTGATTGGGGTAATTATATATTTGTTGTAACATTATTCATGTTGATATTTATATTATGTTTTGCGTTAATCATTAGTATCATAAGTGGATAATATTCTCATAGCAACTCATTATCTAAGAATTAAAAGAATAAATCTTGTAAAATTTGTAATATATCATATGATTAATGCAGAGAAAAGTAAATAAATATATTTAATTTTAGAAATATTAGTTGGTAAGAACATATTGAAAAAGAACATAAATTATCATCTTATTTGTTTTTCTTGATTTGTTTACAATAGAAGAGAGAATTAAATTATTTAGAAAGAGAAATTGCTAAAAAAATTCAATAGAAAGATATGTCTTGGTTACCAAAAAATTGATTAATTAACAATATTTATTATAATGAATATAATTTGATGATTATTTTATAAAATTATATAAAAGCGGCAATATGAAATTTATAATTGTTGATTAGCTATCATGTTTGGCTCACATAAAACATACTACATAACCAACTCATTTCTGGTTAAAATTATCCATATTTGTTATGTATATGTAATATATTGCAATGTTATTACCAATGAATGGTTGGAATTTATGGAATTATAATGATGGTCATTTCAAACTATTTTAAATGATAGCTCAATCTTAATTAATGATACCTATTTTTGCAGACTCATAAATTGATTTCCGAATGACTGCATTTATAATTACTTTTATATTACTTATTGTCATTATAGTAATCATTTTCACTTTACTACTGTTTGGAATATATGATAATAGAAACATTATTGAACATTAATCAATAAGAAAATTCATTTTTTATTTCTTACAAATTACAGGAACAGTATTTTAATTACCTATTTTATTTTTATTAGTCTCATAAATTTTAAATGGTCCTGGAACTCTTAATTTTTAAAATACAATTCTTGGAACACAAAGTATTATCAATTTTTTTACTTTGATTTTGTTCACTATTATGATATTTTTTTCCTAATATTTTTTAAGAGCATACACTTTTATTCCTAGCAACTACATATAATCAAAGTTTAATGGTTTTTAACCATTACATTATATCTTGCAAATAATTATGGCTGTATTTTATTTTGTTGACAATTAAGATACTGTTTAATATGCATAAATTGCAATAATACATCTCTCTTTAACATTTAAAATAATTGAAAGTTTAATTTTTAAACCTTATTTACCATTTATGAATGAAACTCATTTTAAATTAGGATTGATTGCTGAGTTTATTAATATCATAATTAGTATCTGTGTATTTACAGAAGGTAAATTAATTACTTAAGATGAAATATTATATCTACTTTTATTTGCAGCATCATTTTCATATTATTTAGGAGAAGTATTTTATGAGAGGAAATCAATATAAGCTTATGATGTAGATATCAATTGTTTTTCCTGTATATCTGTAGCACAAGAACTTTACTTATAATGTGTTGCAATGAATAAATTAATCTATTAATAGCAATTCTTTTAATTGTATTTCTATCACAAAGCTCACAAATTGAATTGTTCAAGAAATTGGAATAAAAAGCACAGAAAAAATGATAATCATATCTAATTGACAAATCAGACAATTTATTGTATGTTATAGACTGAACTCGATAAAGCAAAAAGCGATACAAAAATTATGTATGAAGAACTTGAGTTATTCTTCATTAATTATGTAGCTGAATACATTAATAGACCATTGTTGGCATATGTAGAATTGAAGAAGTATGAAATTCTCACAAATCAACAGTCATACTTTTTCATTATCATTAAATATCAACTGAGTTAATTTCTTTAACAATTAGTTAGAAAATAGTAGAATCTAATTAAATTAAATAGTATTTAGTAATAATAATAATAATAAGAAAAATAATTAAGTATCACATCTATTCATGAAACTTTAAGATTCTAAGAAACATTTATACCAAAAGTAAAGGAGATAATTTTAGAAAAAATTAGTTTTTGGACTAATTAGATAAAAGGATTTAATAGTATTTATGATATTGAGAGAATGGCAATATCTTAAAGTTCGAATATTTAAATCTTACATGAAGAACTCAAAAGATTTTGTAGATTTGATTTTCATAATTTGGATAAGTTATCTTAAATTTATAATGTATAAACTATAAAGTTCATATCTATGTTTTTCAGTGCAGTAATGAATGATTATTATAGTACTTAAATTTGTGAACAAGTAATAGCTGAAATATTTAATCTTGAACATACATAATCAGATGATTTAATAACAAATATTTTATTGATAGAAGAGAGAGCAGCATTAATATAAATTAGTATGGTTAGAAATAGAGGTAAAATAATTAATTCAGATAAAAGATTATTGGCAAAATATTTTGACTTTGATGAATAGGAATTTTAATAAATTGATACTATTAGTGCTTTGATGCCATATTTTTTTGCAGAAAAGCATGACAAATTACTTTAGGATTATTTGTAATCAGCAAAATCTATTTTTTTTGATGATTATAAATTAGTTTTTGGAATATCAAGAGAAGGATTTTTAGTACCTTAATAATTAAAAATTGATAATGATTTCTCCCTTTTAGATGATTATATTTTAATGGGATGTATGTCTAAAGTAAAACATTCATCAGATTTTGTTTTATTTGGAGAAGATGGTTATCTAATTGGTTGTACTTAAAATTTTTATGAAATGTTTTTTACATTTTAACAATCAATAAATAGATTTACATCTGATATGATATGTCAAATTAGCATTTGCATGTTGTTTCCAAATATATTTGATTTGCTCATTGATTTAAGAAATAAACTAAAGAGTGACTTGTAATATGGATCACCTGATAATTATTGTAAAATTTGGAAATTCTTTAATATAAAAGATATCTTAGAAGATGGATTTAAATTATAATAATCATTAAAACAATTTTCAACCCAAAATTATGAAAAATCTTAAAGTATTTAAAAATCAAGGACAAGTTAAGCATCATTAGATTTAAATAAAACAAGAATCCTCTAATAATAAATAATTGATAATTATGAAGTTCAGAATACATTGAAAACTATTTAATATCTATATTAATTACCATTATTTAATGTTGTTGTGTAAAGTTAAATGGCTGATAATATAAGAAGATTTGAAGTATTTAATTGTAATATATACTTAGGAAAAGTAAAAATAGTGTTTTATTAGTAAAGTTCAATTGTAATTTAGAATAATGGGAAAGAAGGACTAAAGAAAAGGTTATTTTATTTTAGAAATCTTAGATATTAGAAGAACTGATGATAATAAAACAAATGAATCAATTGCAAATAATTAATACTCAAATAATGCTGTTTCTACAAATTATCATTAATAAAGTATTATGTATATTAAAGATATTAGCTAATATGGAAAATAGTTAATCATAAATTCAACCTAGTGAAAATGGATTAGAAGCACCATCAGTAGCTGTGGAGGAAGTACGTCCAGATGTTACAAAAATAAATGAAGTTTCATTATTAATCAAGAAGTATGGAAATAGATTGCCAGAATTATCAAATTATGAAGGTTAATTGATTGCTATAGAATCTGCAAGGGATAGTATGAGCTATGCACCTATTTCTCAAAGAATTTAATTCATCAGTCCTTCTTCTAAGTAATAGTAATTACAAGGATTAATTGAAAAGGATTTTACGGATTTATAAAATCAACTTGAATATGGAAATGGAGATATCATAAACGATATTGATGTACCAGAATCATCATAAGTCAAAGGAATAAGTAGTAATAATAAGAAGGAGAATAGTCATAATCTTTTATAATAATTATAAGAAAATCAATTATAATAAAAGAAGAATGATTTTGAAGTGAGTGCAAAGAAATCAAGATCAAGTAATACTTCTGGTACATCTGGAATATCTGCAATACAAGTTATAAAGAAATTTCAATCAAAGAGGGATTTAACTTAAAGTTTATAAGCATTATTAGCAATCAATATTTTGATAGTATTAATAATTGCTATATATATAATTATTCATCTAACAAATGTTAGTGCATACCATGATGAATTATTATAGACTCTTATTAATATTCAAGCACCTTTATTATTTAATAGATATTTCTTTAAGACATTTTGTTATATATGGAGTCTAGTGTTCAATTCATTAAGTATTATAGACAGCAGTGATTATATAATTACTTAAACTTTATAAGAGATTGAAGTACTTGCAGACACAATGCTTGACAGTTTAAGAAATATGTATGATACATTTATTGGAATTGAGTTTTAGGGAATGTTAAGTAAAATTAATTTAGATTTCTTATATTAAGAAAATGAAGAAGTAACTTATACATATTTTATAAATTTTATATCAAATATTGCTGATTTATTGTTTTAAGCATAATATCATACTGTTTAAGATTTAGATGAATTGATTGATTAAAACTATCTAGATAATCTATTGACATTAAGATACAATTTAAAGAATGTTAATTATATGAATGTTGAATTATTGGATTCATTAAATATATTATTCTTTGATTTGTAATAATCAAAATTAACAGAATTTTAATTATAAATAAGCATAGAAATAATAGTATTATGTTTAATTATGTTTGGTTAAATTTATTATTGGAATCAATTGGAAAAATATTGTCAAACAATAATTCTTTTAGCTGGAAGGTTGTAGGAGAATTAAGCTTAAGAGTAAATTATTAGATTCTCTTATGTAAATGAAACTTTATCAACATTTTTAGGAAAGTAAAGTTGGAAATAATAAAATTATTATAAATTATTATATTCATCATTAAATTAATTAGGTTTAGAATCTGTTTATACTTAATCTAGAATATTAAAGGATTATTAATTGTAATTGATTAATAAGAATCCTTAGAAGTCAGATGTAAATAATGAAGAAGGATAGAAAAAAATTAGAAAGAATTAGAATGTTGTATTAAATTCAAGGATTGCTAATTCCGGAATATCTATTATAAAAGAAGTATTTATTATAACAATATCATTCATTATTATTCTTGGATTTATTATTGGAGGTTATTTCTTATATAATTCTCAAGCAAGTAATTTATATCCTACTTAATAATTGACATTAAGTTTTATTAGATTTACTTCATAATAAGACATCACTATAAGTTGTGCTTTAGTAATCAAATCATAGCAGGCATTATATTAAAAATTAGTAGAGGATAAATATTATACAGATATGCAAATTCAGAATTTTTAAGGAGCTGGAGAAATTATGAATATATTTTTGGATTATTATGATTCATATTTTGAAAATTTAACAGCCATCTATGAATTCATTTTAGAATCAAATAGAATAAATGGAGATGATGAAGCTGTTCTATTTAATTTGTATTCTGAAGACTTTTGTTTACTATTAGCTGATCTTATTCCTTTTTGTGAAGTAGATGCTAATTTCAATTCTAAATATGGGTCACCAAATCCAGATGATGATAATCGAGAGTTTCTAAGTTCAGGTATCTAAGGTGTAGTGAGTCGAATTGATTCCTTATTTAAATAGTAATTCATTTATGAAATAGAGAACTAAGATTATAGAGATGAGTTAGATATAGTCATAGAATAATTAAATACTAAAGAGTTTAATAATGCAATTTTTCAGCACTTTTTAGATACAACTGATGGTACTAATTTATTTATAGATAACATTATGTTAATCTTAAAGAATGTGATGGGGGAGGATTTAAATGTAGTTTATTCATATTACTTGGCAGCAGGGATATCCTTAGTACTGATATATATTATAGTCTTTGGTATTTGGATGTACTCCACAAATTAAAGGCTAATTTTGTTAAGATTAGTGTTAACTAATCTACCTATTGAAACATTGACAGAACCACACACATTAACATTATTAAAGAAATTGAAATGAGTTTATTCTCCTAATCTAATTAATAAATATATTGTTATATTTAATATCTTATCATTTTATAAATATTATCTTTATAGTATAAAAGTGTTGTTTAAATTAATAAATTCTGGAATTGACAAAAATTTTAATTTGATCTTGTAAAAATTAAATTATTAATATATTAATTTCAGCAATCTATCTATTATAATTAATTATTAATTTCATCAAGTGATTTTTCATTCATAATCATTTGTAAAGTAATACTTGCAAATGGATCATCTTTATTATTTGTTTTCCATTCATTTAAATTGATTTATAATTTTGTTAATTTTTTTTTAGAATTCTTTTATTAAATTAGTTAAGCCAAACATATTCCTAATTCTTTTACATTACTTTGATTGTCACCAATTGTTGCATTCGTATAATCTTTAATTTTGAAATTTCTATTTACTTCACAATACAATATAGAATCTAATGTTATTTCATTTAAAACTAGTTAATTCTCTTTTGCTGATATCAATCCTTATAAAAGATCACTTATAATCATTTTAATTTTTGCATTTGACAATTCATGAGTAAAATGTAGAATCGATTTACTACAATATTAAAACAAAAGAAGTTGAAACTTTAAATGAATTATTTCTTGATTCAACTTAAATCAAATACTTATTTCCTTTGCAAGATAATCAATTTTCTATGTTTGGACTTGATAACTGAAAATATTTTCAGGTGTTAATATAAATTAAGAATTTAATTAAAATAATTTCTAAATATTTATTTTAATTATTTACTTGAATTATGTCACTTTCACTTTGAATTGGTTTTATAAGAAACTTTTTTTTAGATTTCTTATCTTCAATCTAGAATAATTAATTATATATACTATAATTTAATTTTAATTAGACAATAGATCTTTATCTATTTTTAGAAAATCAAAATCATAAATGGTCTATTCTCTTAAATTCATCTAATATTATAATGAACTATCAAATTTAAATTGAGAAATCTAATCAATTTAGATTTATTTAGCTCTAATTTATTCTTGTTATCTCTTTTGTATTTTTTTTGATCTTTATAAATATGTTATAGAAATACTTAGCTTAAATCTATACACAGTCTTATTTTATATGTTTATTCTCATGTGAATCAATTTCATTATCAGATTAGCTATTTTGATTTATTAATTTTGGAGAATTGGAGTTCATCTAAATAATTAAATTATTTAATGATATAAATCAATAGTTTAAGATAAGATTTGATATGAAAAAGTTAGATAAAGATTAAAATTAAAAATAAAATATGGATGAAGAACAGATGAATTATAATATAATATATAAATGGCATTAATATTTATATAATAAATATCATAATAGTGAAAATCCTATATTATAATGCAATATTTTTAAAACAAGAAATCAGATAGAAATTACTGTTTCTTCATTTTAGAATTTAATGCTAGCAAATTCAAATCAGATTTTATTTACTATGAAATAGATTATATAAGTGATTTAAAAATGAAAGTTTAATATAGACCTCTTATGATAAATGATTAAGTATAAAAATGTTATAAGTAATTATCTTCAAATAGAGAATGAAGATAATGAATTCAAAATTAATAGTGGAATTTAATACTAATCTAAGTTATCTAATCAAATAAAATAATATTCCGATAATAGAAGGGAATATATATTCCTTTCTATATAGATTATACTCTTAATATAATTAATTCATTTCCAAAATTTCATCATATGATAATATTCTCGCTATTAGATTAAAGCTTATGGTAGAGTTATGAATATAATATTAAATATTGTGATCTAATGAAAAAGAAAGAAACATTTATTTTATTTATAAATCTTGATATAATTAATCATATTTATATTAATTTAACTATAACATAAATTTAGATTATTCTAGGAATGTCATTTTTAAATATTTTATGGATAATTTAAAAGAAAACTTGATTCTTCAATCATAATTTACCATCCCTTCCTTCTTAACTAAAATATATGATATCTTAGAGGTACTCTAGTGCTCTAATATAGAATTCCAATTATTAAGATATCATTTAATGGTACTAAGATGGCACAGCATTTATTATAAAAAAACCTTATGAATTTGCAAAGAAAGTATTTTTATATTAATTTAATACTTTAGGTATTACCTCAATATTTCAAACATAATAATTATACTTCATTTGTTAGATAATTAAACATATATGATTTTCATAAGATTAAAAATGAATTAGGAAAACATGTATTTTAACATAATTTTTTTTAAAAAGATAAGAAGTATTCTTACTTTCTATTTATAATATAGATATTTGTTATGTGAGATAAAAAGAAAATCTACAGAATAACAAGAACAGTCTGAGGAAAATAATTAAAATTAATGTTAATATAAAATTATTTTACATTAGCCAATAATAATTCAATCTAACTTAGCATGTCTAAATTAAAACATGACTATCAATAATTTCATAATGAAATCCTGAGGGTTAAAGCTCAATAAAATGTATTTTAACACACCATAACTAAATTTATAACATAAAATGATTATCTAATGAATTAAAACTCATTATTATGGCAAGTATAATAATTTATTAAGCACTTATAAGGAAATTTAAAAAATTAGAAACATTGATGATAAAAAATTAGAAACCATTTCATATCTTTTAGCTACATTAATAATTACTATAAATGAAAATTCAGAAAGTTCATTACTACCAAGTCAAAACTCTTCATATTATCAAAGTTCATCTTCAGATATTAGTATATCGTAATAGAATTACTAAAGTAATTACTTAGATCAATCTATTAGTCAACAACAATAATTAAACTAAAGTATTAAATATCTTCATTAAAATTTAGGATTTATCCAATAAACAGGTTTAAGATAATCACAACTACTATTTTCTAGTATTTATTCTTATTTCAATTTTAGGCAAATAAGATATTTCTTTATTTGATAAGGGATTAAATAAAAAAAGTTAAAATTAATTTAAAGCCCTAGAATTAGATGCCTATTCTAATGGTGTAGTATTTTATTAAAGTAAGATTTATATATCTAAAGTATTTAGAATTGATGGAATTACAATAGCAACAATAATTAAAAGAAATGTAGGAAGGCTAACATCATTTATTAATAAAATAAAGAAAATGATTTGATCTCCCTTTTATATGAACTAACAATATAATATATATATAATCTTTAGTAAATATATTATATTGTAAAAGCAATAATTATTTTGAAATAGTTAGTAATTTTAATATTCATAACTTTATAAAGTGAGCATTATTATTTGATTATTGTAAATAAATAATAGAAACTATCTATTTCCTCTAGATTAATAAAACGGATAGTAACAAGAGTATAGAAATAAAATCCAATTGTCGTTTTTGAGATAATTAATATTAAATACATATACTAAAATGGCTGACATAGTTTTTAATTACATCAATTTCATCAATGACTAAAAATCAACTGAAAACTAAGTGAAAGATTCTGGAATATTAAAAAAGAGTATAAAGAAAGGAAAAGGATGTCTTTGTTAAAAATTAAGATAGAAAAAGAAATATAAAATATAATCACCTGAGGAGTCATCAAATGAGTGTGATGGTTGGGAAGAGGAAGACAATTATAACAGGAAATCATCAAAACAAAGAAATTAGAAAGAATTTGTCGATTTAATTTAGTACGCATCTAAACTATATATTATGATAAATATTGCGAAACAATAACTTAAAGAATTGGAAGAAACTATGCAATCAAATCATGCATAAAATTGATTTGAACTTTTTAAGTTAAATTAAATTAAACCTATATACAATTGTTGATCATCTCATAATATTATGATATTTAAGATGATTATATTATTTTCTGATTTATTTCATACATTCTATTACATATTTATCTATTCTATAAATAAATAAGAATTCCTTTTTACAAATTACAATATCTCATAATCAAAATTACCAATTTACCAAATAAACACAAGTAAACAAAATGCTGAAAAAAAGTTATTTTATAATTTTATCAAATTACAGTTAAATTCAATTAACAAAATATAAATGATTTAATTAGTTATGATATTTTTTATAAATTTTATAGAATAAGATTAATGAATGAAAAAATATTGTTAAAAAATACATAAATAATATAAATACAAATAAAATTAAAAAAATATTATAAATTAATATTTATATTGTGAATTATTATCATTTGAAAAGAATTCAAATAGATATCTTTATAATTGATTTAGTTCATTAACACATAATGAAATACTCAAGAATAATAATTATTATTTGAATATTTAGTACATATATTATAGATGTCATTTAATTTAATTCAAGTCTATATAAATATGATTGATCTTTATATTGAGAATATTATTTATTTCTTTATAATATTAAACCTTTAATTTGCATTAATAAAAAAGGGATAATTATTTATATTATAATTATCAGTGTGTTTTATAAATAAATATATACAAAATTTTCAGATGATTTATTTATATTTGTAATCCTTAATATCTTATATATATAGATATTTATAACAATCATCAAATTATATTAATTATAATAAAATTTGCTGCAGAATAAGCTTTGTTCATTAAAAATCTTTATATAAAATAAAATTTGTTTTAAATTAATGCAATAACCCTTTACAATAAATCCAAAGTGCTTTGGGTAATTTGTTAGACCCAAACACAATATTGAATAACAAGAACAAATATAAAAGAATGAATAATAATAATAATGTTTATCTAAAAATATTAATACTAATCCATAGATGTGGGTCAAAAATAGATCAATCACAATATGTTCCAATACATCTACTTTACCTGAAACTTTGTCTACATCTTAATAGATTTAAGAGTTAAATTAATCAATTTAAGAAGTGAAATAAGAAGAAATGTTTTATAAAACTATGCCAACATTATTCTAGTAACTTTAGTAAAAGAACAATAGAAAATATGAACCATAGATGTAAATCACTCAATACTAAATTGATCTTGCTAAAGTAAGTCTTTATTCTTATCAAGATTTGTGATGATGATAGAACCACTCTAATGATTCGCAATATTCCTAATAAATACACTCAACCTATGTTACTAGAGAATATAGACATTAATCATAAAGATACTTATGATTTTTTTTATCTTCCAATAGATTTTACTGTAAATTTTTTATAAATATTAGAATAAATGCAATGTAGGTTATGCATTCATCAATTTCTTACATACTAAATTTATTCCAAAGTTTTTTTTAGAGTTTCAAGACAAAAAGTGGAAACTCTTTAATTCAGAAAAAGTATTAATTTTATTTATATTTTAAAGATCTGTTAAATCACATATGCCAGAATTTAAGGTGTAGAATAGTTATAGGGTCATTTCTAATACTCAACTATTATGTAAGAGAAGGTAAAAAATTTATTTTTTATAACAAGGATAATCGATTAAAGCCAATCTTTAAGAAAAATAGATCCGATTAATAATTTATTAAATGGAGATGATATTTGTATTAAAAATACTGATCTAATTTATTATTTGCTTTTCTTTTTTCAATATTATTATATAACTGAATCTCTAATTACGTATTATATTATATTATTTTTTATGAAATATCTTCTTATATCAACCTTCGTGATATTATCATATTAATGGTGGGATGTAGGTCATATGATGACTGCATAAATAGCAAAAAATCATCTGAGAGAGAATAGACCTGATGTTTTGGCATGGGCTGATTCATTAATATAAGACTTTAGCTCCCTTACTGATGGAAGATCTAACACATTTGCAGAGGCTGCAGTTTGGCTCGATGATATCAAAGAAACAGGAACTAATTTCATGAACGATTGGCATTACACTGATCGACCAATGAATCCAGATGGTCTCTAAATTAAAATAGAAGATCAAGCTAGAAACATCAATTCCATCTATGCTATCAATTCAGCTACTTCTGTATTAACTAGCACCAAAACTGCTAAATACAGACATACAGTTTTCAAAGCTGAAATGATTAGAGTGTTATTGCATGTTGTAGGTGATCTACATTAACCACTTCACGATACTACTTTTTGGAATGGTACCTATCCTAATGGAGATTAAGGAGGAAATTTGATGAAAGTACAAGTAATAATTAATACTAATAATAATTAGATTGAAAATGGTACTTTTGTTAATTTACATTCTTTTTGGGATGCAGGTGCATTTGCCTTTACTTCTAATTCCACTTTTCTAACTAGACCTTTATCTTAACAAGATTAAGAATATCTGGATAATTGGGCAAAAGACTTGATGAAATCATATCCATATTCCAATTATAAAGATTACGATATGACGTAAGTGTATTAAAAAATTATGTAGTAATCCTACAGTTTGGACTTATGTTGGATATAGATAAGCTCAACAATTTGTTTATCCAATGATATAGTCTTCAAATAACTTCAATAAAAATTATGTTGAACAAGCAAAATAATTCTGTGAAAACAACATTGTTATTGGAGGTTATAGATTAGCAAACAAATTGATTGAAATCTTTGATACAATACTATTAAATGAATCCAAGATCAAATTAGATTAATGATCATTATTATATTTAAATGTATCTCAATCTCTTCATTATAAATTTTATTATCAATTAATTATAACTATCATTAATTAATAATTATATATTTTTATAATGTTTCAAATATCAAAATTTGATATCATTGAATGTCATTATTTTTTCAGAATTAAACGCATCTCTCCCACCAACTTGGATATGAATTTTTAGATTTAAAACGACGAATCTAGATATTATAATTAAAATAGATACTAAATATTTTCTTCCTTCTGCCCAAATCAACATCACTAATGCAAAAGGAAGTGCTCCTGTACCATAATGAATAAATAACACATCTCTAGTTCCAAACACAGCATTAAATACTTGTACATAAGATAAACAAACTGTTAACATAAATTCGACCCAGAAGGCAAAAAACATATAATAATTAGAAAAACCTAATAAATTTAATTCAATAAATTACCTTAAAATGTTCCAGCATTAATTAATGATCTTAAACCCTAGTAATTAGTAATTTATCCAACTACAATTCCATAAAGGAAGGTAGTCTAAGCATAATTTGAAGCCTCAGTTGTATAACAATAAGGTCTATTTGTATATGGAGAAACTAAATTAACAGTACATTATGCCCATTCAAATGATTATTAAATCTTACCATCTTTACATTCAAGATAAGCCATCCTCAAATCAAGTTTAGAATGATTTGCAAAAATCCAATCTACTTCCTCAGATTTAGATTCAGGAAATTCTGTACAAACTCCATCTTTATATAATTCTTTTAGATTTGTATTTCCAAACCAAGGATCATTAGGATCAAAAATATCATTAGTTTTTGGTAGTATAGTTTTTCTTATGCCAATATAAAGTAAATCTGAAGGATAGAATCCAAAATCATAAAATGATGCAAACCATTAGAAAAACCCACAATATGTAGACAAAAAACCATTCTGCAAATAAGCATATATGAACATTTTACCCCCTACCAAATGATCATCTTTAGATCTTGGTCTCCTAGTCATTATATCAATTTCTGCATCTTCAAATACAAAAGTTGTGCATGGAAATACATCAGTTCCCAAATCAATACACAATATTAATACAGTAGTTAAAGGTAAAGGTAATCTAAAGATGACAAATGCAACAAATGGAACTAGTTCTGAAATATTTGATGTTAAACAATATGCCATACTTTTCTTTAAATTATCAAAGATCTTTCTTCCTTCTTCTATTCCTATAACAATATTTGAAAAATCATCATTTAACAATATCATATCTGCTGCATCTTTAGCAACATCAGATCCTGTAATACCCATAGCAACTCCAATATCAGCCTTCTTAATAGCAGGACTATCATTTACTCCATCTCCTGTAACAGCTACAATATGTCCTCTTTTTTAACATCCATCTACAATAATTAATTTTTAAGCTGGACTTGTTCTTGCAAAAACCAATTAGGGTTTACTTAACCATTCCTATAATTATCTTCCTTTTTCATCTTCTGGTAAACCTTCATCATCAATTGCCATTTTAGTTAATTTATCACCATGAATTACTAAAGCATTTGATTAATGGAATGCCTCTTCAAATGATATACCTTTTTCTATCATTATTTCATCAACTGTTTTCTCTGTTATTATATTACATTATCTAGCTATGGCTGTAGCTGTGACTGGTTAATCTCCAGTAACCATAATAACTTAGATCCCTGCAGTTTTACATTTAATAACAGCATAAGGAACATTATCTTTAGGAGGATCAATTAATGAAATTAAACCAACAAAAACTTAATTATTAAATGGAAAATTCATTTTATCTAGATTAAATTAATATCCTATTGGAAATTATTCTTTAGGTAAATGTAATTTGGCAAATCCTAATACTCGTTCTCCTTATCTTCCAAATTATTCATTTATCTAATCAAAAGATCTTTCCCATTTCTCATCTTTTGTTTCTATTTTTCCATCTTTATATACTTAATCACATAATTTCCATATTCTCTCTGGAGCTCCTTTTGTTAATAAGCAATAATGAGAATCTTAAGTTTCATATTCCACTATGATAAATGCATATTTATTATTAGAATTAAAAGGCATTTTTGCAAACTTATTTTCTGAATCTTTTGCAGGTGTTCTACTTTATCTCATTCTTTAGATATCACTTATTGGTTAGAAGAATTTTATTAAAGCAGTTTCAGATGCATCTCCTATAGTAGGTTTATCTTGACAAAGCATCTTATTGAAATTTTATTCCCATTTCTCATTAGCTTCTTTTAATTTTTAATCTTTTTATTATTGATTCAAACCAAGTGCATTCTATATTCTAATCTTTTAATCTTAAGGTAAAGAATTATCAAATGTTGCTTCTGAACATAAGACTGCTGTTTCTTAAAGTGTTTTAAAACCTATTTCATTAATATCATATTCATATTTAAATTTTGGACCCATTTTTTCTAAATTCATTCCTCTATGCTTTTTGTTATTAAACCATAAATTTTCAACAGTCATTTTATTCTAAGTCAATGTTCCTGTCTTATCAGAACATATACAAGATCTATTATTTAAATAGATTATTACGTTGATCCTAGGGTTTCCACTCCCTCCAAATTTTTCACAAGAACCTTTTTATAAGCTAACTTTTTTGCTGTTAATGTTAATGCTACTGTAACTGTGGCTAGAAGTCCTTCTGGAACATTGGCTACAATAATTCCTATTCCAAAAACAAGATTTGTGATTGGAGCTAAGAATATAATATTTATTTATACGATATCCTATCACAAAACCCAAAACAAAGAAGATTACACCAAATGTTGTTGCTATTGCACTTATATTCTTTATAAAATTATTAAGTTCTTTTCTTAATGTAGTATCTTCACTTCCAGAACTTTATACTAAACCAGCTATTTAACCAATTACAGTATTATCTCCTGTAAAAATAACCAAACCTTTTCCATTACCCTATTTAATAAGATATTAAATTACCTCCTTGCATAGAGTTCCAAAAAAGGCTAAATTCTTTGTTTCTAAAGGATTCACAAGATTTGTGCATTCTGGAGTTCTCATTAATGATAATGACTCTCCTGTCAAACTTGAATTATCAACCTTCATTTCATTACTCTCCAATATTCTAAGATCTGCTGGAATTCTTTTTCCATTTTCAACAATCACTACATCACCAGGTACTAAATTTGAAGCCGGTAATTTTTATTATTATCCATCTCTTATTACTAAAGTCTCAGGAGGTATGAAATTTTTAAAGGAGTCCATTATTGCTTCTGATTTGGCATTCTAGAAAAATGTTATAACTCCTGTCAGTGTATTTACTACTACTATAACAATACCCAAATATAACTAGAATACTAATATAAATTTTACATTAGAAGGATCCTCAGGAGACAATCCATAAGCTATAAAGCATAAGATTGATCCAACCCACAAAAGCATTGAAAACATAGAAGTTAATTCATGTATTAATTTTATATACCAAGGTACTTTTTCTTTTTAAGTTAATTCATTTTTTCCAACTTCCAATAATCTTTAATTGGCAACATCTTTAGTTAATCCATCTTTTGAACTTGTTTAAAATCTCTACTCAAGTTCTTCTAATGGGATTCTATGTTCATCCTTAATTTTTAAATATATTAAGTACCATATTTTTGAATTTTTCTGCTTTATTTGCATCCACTTTTTCTTTCTCCTTACTCTTACCCTTGTCAATTTATGATAACAGCTTCTTTCTTCTTTCTGCTATCTCTCTTGTAAGTTAATCAAATTCCTTCCTCGCTTATACAAGTTATAATTCTTAGCTAAACATTAGATAACAGGATACTTCTGTTAAGTAAACATGGTTACTATCATAGACGCAGATTTATTAGCCGATTTCATTTGTAATTAAAAATTCAATCCTAATAAGATTTAATTGTCCTTATAAAACAATGATGTAATATAATTGATTAATTTATAAAATTCTAAGATGTCCCCTAAAATTTATAAGCACTGATTTTTGAAGTATTCGATTCTAACCTTAAACTTAGATAATTAGTTAAGACTTATTGTCATTTCTGTAATTTTTTAGTTGCAATTTAAAAAATTGAGATAAAAATTGTTTTAATATAATTTTTATATTTCAATATAGTGATATTTTTATTATGAAAAATAATTATATAAATAATGTGGTATTATATTTGATCAAATTCGAAATGATTATAATATAGATATTAATTATTAATATAAATAACAAATGTCTTATTAATATGTTATTATGCTATGAAAATTACAATTGCTGGTTTAAATATATGTTAAAAATATTTAGAATAAAATTAGGAATTATTGTATTCATAATTAAAATATTAAATTTATTTAAATATCACAATTATTTACTCAGAATAGCATACTTGAAATAAAAATATTAAAAATTTATGATTGCTATGTTAAGCTGATATAACTTTGCAATTTATCCTTAAAATTGAATAATTAATAGTAAATATTTTATTTTATTATTAAAGAATACAATAATAAAATGTTTAACATAAGAAATTGTAATTCTCTGCAAAATAATAATAAGAATCAGGACAAAGAGATGAAAATTAAATTTAAGACATGATAATTAAACAAATTATAATATAATTGTATTTATTTATTAAAGGAGATAAATATAAAATATCCTTAGTTAAATAATTAAAAATATATTCTTAAGCTTCATTATTATACGATTCAAAAATATTCATCATGATAAATAAATAAAATATGAATTCCAAAAGCCTCTCAAAAACCCATATAATCAAAGATTAAATGAAGAATCAATAAATACCTTATAAATCGATGGAACGTCTTTCGATATGTTAACCTTTCAGCAACAATGAATTTTTCAACCGATAAAAATTGTATGATGATTTATACAACACTAATCAATTCAAATGTGAAAGCTTAAACTTTGTGACTACAGAGAAGGGAATCAAACAAAGTAAGTATAAGGACATTGTTGAGTCAGCAAAATTAAAATATGCTTAATCACCAAATAATCTCAGAAACAATATAATATAATTACAATAAAACTCAATTACAGACATTGTAGAATAATTGAGAAATCAAAAGAAAGCTAATAATGTCAAACTTAAAAATAATGCTAACAACCTTTAGAAATTTTAGTAATTAAATCTGAATTTCATTTTGATTATAGCTATTCCATTAATATGTAGCTTGGTAGTACTTTTTGAAATGACAAGAATGGAAGGACAAAATACAAATTGAATATATTGTATATCAAGTATTATACTTGAAAATGTTTTAAAAACTATAAAGTATCTTTGAATATCATAAAAATATTATATTTTTAAAGTAAATTCATATCTTATTTCTTATTCATTTTTCTAAATCTAATATTCATAAACTGATTTTGATTTAAAAGTATTACTATTCCATTTTTTTAATTTCTGTTAAATTATATTTAAACTAAAATAAGAATTTAGAAAATTAATATAAGTATTAATCCAGAGCTTTAACCTTAGTTAAGGAATAGATCTTAAGATTAAAATTGGTCTTTACATTTTTAAAATTAGGATTAAAAATTTTCATATATTAAACATAAGATAATCAAGAATATTAATTAAGTAAAAATATCTTAAAATGCATTTATTTAATATATTTTTCAGTATCCATAACAGAATTTTGGGAAACTAAATTTTGTATTAATCAGTATTAAACTATAATTAAAAATAAAAGACAACTATATTTTGTTAAGTAATTTCTAATTTTTTATAATTAGTCAATTTTTATTAGATTATATATTTTCTTAAGGATCCTTTTAAATTGAACTAAAAAGGAAATCATAACTTAAATTTATTTTAAATTTCCAAATATTTTTTAATAAATAATTACTACTAATTTAAGTTTATCAAATTTTTGTAAAACATATGATCATACAACATAATAACAGAATTTAAATCTAATTACTTTATGAATACTAATAATCTATGAATTTACATATTAATTAGATGATTGGAAGATTTATTCTCAAAATGATGGATTTTCAATTGGAGAATGATGTGAATGTTTTATAAATTGCATTAGATTTAAAAGAAAAGACTTTTAAATCTAGTTGATATTTTAAGTACATTAAAAATTGAAATTATATAAAATTTGCTTTATTTATTTTATATGGAATAAAAGATTTTAATAATTGCTGCAATATTACTCTTTCCAAGTATCTGTTGAAAAAATATATTAATAGAATTTCAATAAAAATGAATGATTTTAATAGAGTCATCTGATTAGACTATAGTTCTTTATGATAATACTCATAATATCAAAGATTATGATCATTGTTCTACCAAGATGCTTCTACTTGTATTAATTTCCATATCACAACCAATTAAATTAGAAAATAATTTTCTTAGTTATCAAGTTTAATTCAGTAACAAAATCTATATTTATCCAGATAATGTTTTTGATCTAGGATATTTATTATGGAAGGATAAATGACATCTTTGTATTTATATATATATATTAAATATATTTTAATATGTAATAAATTGACATAGATAATCATCATTTAAACTTCTAATTAGAACTACAATATGCAAGAGCAAGATAACGATAGAGAAGAAGAAGGGTCCTCCTAATTGTGTTTGCCCTCATGTCTATCTTTTATGTAGTTATCAAACCAAAATAATATGCTGAAAAATCAAGTCAGATTCCATATTCTTAAAATAATGGTACTAATGGAGCCATCAATATTACAGAGACTAATTAAACTTTAGCTCAAATCTAGTCACATTTTCAAATCTTAGAAAAGCTGCTTATCTCATAATTCTAAGGAATATGGACAGATTCTTAAAATTTATCTAATAACTTAGCAGAAGCTAATTTTTATAAAACTTCCTATTAAAATCACTTTTAAATACAATTATCATTAAAACTCATTGAAGGTTAATTTCTAGAAGATTATTATAACTAATTCACATTTTATTTGAATTCTTCATAATTAATTATACCACTTGAAGATAATAAGTTTGTTTTTGAAAATGTTAGAGGGTCTTACAGAAGATCTAGTGTTTTTGTAAAAGATTAATCCAGCATAGAAATCTACTCTAATTTAACTATATATTTAAATAATTTTAATATTGAGAGGGAATCAATAGATAATGTTACATTAGAATTAAATGCTCATTATAAATTATATTCTGATACATTCTCTTTCAGTTCTTGTCTTAATATCATAAATGTAAAAATTTATATATAAATTAAGATAGATAACAAAGCTATAATTTATTCTACTATTGTATCTGTTTTAAGTGTAATTTAATTTATCAGTTGTCTAAAATTAATGAAAGACTTTATTAATTAAAATAGAATTGCTACTTAATTCAGTCTATTTATATTTGTTTTTCTTATGATTTTTGATGGATACTTAGGAATTGTTCATTTCTTTCTTGCATTAAAAAGTGAAGTATATATATCATTTTATTATTAATTTAGTATTTTCTAACACCTGCCTTCCTTGAATTAGTACTATTCTTTTTTTTGGAATTGAAACTTGCTAAACACATATGGTAAGAAAGGTTTATCAACTTAGAAGACAATCTAAATTTAAGAAGAGAGTTATATAGATTTCATCTTAAATTTTACTTCCTTGCTATTATTTTAGTACTTTTACTTTATTATTTTGTTTACTACAATATTTTTTTGATTTTTATGAACCTATACTTACTACCATAAATTATACATGTAGCATATAAAGGACAATAAGTAGAATTTGATAAAATATTTGTTTTTGGCTTATTGTCAACCAGATTATTCATACCTGTAATATGCATATCATCTTTTAGATTTATTATAGAGGTTGTCCTTACAATATTCTACATGCAAAGGTTTCCTATTTATCAGTCACTCTTATTCTTATCTTATTTACTGCTTAAATAATTCTTTATTATTATCAATGTAAAATTGGACCCAGATTTTTCATACCAAGATGGTTAAGACCTAAAACTCATGAATATTTTATTGATTAACCCATTGAAGGAGATTGTGCCATTTGTATATCTTAATTAACTGACATACCAACTGAATCTTAATTAGAAAATAAATTTTTTGCCCGTATTATTAGTAAAAATTAAAATAAACTTATGGAAACACCTTGTGTATAAATCTCTCATTATTTTAGGGTCATCATTTTCATTCTATTTGCTTAACTAAATGGATGAATGTCAAATTAAATTGTCCAACTTGTCGTACTGTACTTCCACCATTAATTTGATTCATATCAATAAATAAATTATAAATTTCACTTTACAATTTAATCAAAATTTTAAAATCATTTCAAAAAAAAACATTAATAAAGTAGATTATTTCATTTATATAATTAATAAATTTTATTAGAGACAAAAAGAATATTTAATGTTCTTTTTTTCACAACTTTTTTGTTTTCAGTTAAAGATCATCATGTATGGAAAGTTGAAAGTAAATAAAAACACTAAAACCTTCTTATCTATTAAGCAAAGTTTTATCTGTTAAAATTTGAGAACAAATTATATTTGTATAATGGTAATTTCTGTTTTCTTTCTTTTACAAAAATCACAATAATCTCTTTTATAAAATATATATATTTAAAGATATATTGTTAAATAATCATAATCTTATTTTTATTCAAGTAAATTATCCTTTTATACAAAAAATAATAGATTATCAATATAGAATAAACACCCCTATTGGCAAATATTTAAGTTAATATATATTTATTATAATTATTTGAGTAATTTATTATAATAAAATGAATGTTATAAAAAAGTGTGATTTAATGATTGTTTAGACTTGAACAAATATATTTATATAATGAAGTAATTTTTATACTGTTTTAAAAATAATAAAATCGATTTGTTTAATATATATTTTATTATAATAATATCTTAAAATGGAAGAATAACTCATAAATGTAATATTTGATCCAAATTTCTAATCTTTTGATTAAGAATTGGCCAATTTAAGTATGGATAAAATGATGAGTATCTAATTCTCAGAAGAATTATTACAAAAAAATTTTGCAGTTTTGATATCTATATTAAAACAATTGCATAAGGGAATGGTATTGTTAAATTCTAAAGTGTAAGATAATACTGATTGGGTGTAGGTAAAATATGAATAAATAATAAGAAACTAAAAGAAGTAAGTGAAACTCCTGAAACTAAATAATAGAACAAAGAGACAATTGATCAAATCACTGAAAAATTATCATAAATGCATGAATTACATGTAAAACAAGAAGTTTCTTAGAAGGACTATGCAACAAAGGAAGAATTAGATTAAACAAATTAGAAATTTAGTAAGTCTTTGATTTACATTCCATTTAGATAGAATTGTAAAATAATAAGAACAAACTTTGTAGGATTTAGAAAGTGAATAAACTGGTTAAGCCAAGAAAATAGAAGATATAAATAATACTCAAACACAATAATCTGAGTTATTAAAGTAATTAAATCAAGAAATTGAAAATATCAAAAAATAGATGAGTGGATTCTAAAATGAGTTACATGAAGTGGAGGAACGGAAACCAGAATAGATAATAATAGAGAAGGAAGTTATCAAGGAAACTCCAATTCAACCTATAGCTCTTCCTATTCAATATGCTGGAAATGATGAATAGATAAATAAATTAAATTAAATAACTCTTGAGTTAAGTAAATATTTACATCAGAGTTAGAATAAAAATAAGAATAATTGTAATAAGAACTAGCCAATTTAAAAGAGGGATTGAGTAAAGTCAAAGATACTGAGGAAAGTAATCCAATAGATTTATCAGATATAAATAAGAAATTAGATGGTCATGAAGAGGAAATCTAATCTTTATTTGAAATTCTAGATAATATAAGACAGAAATTAAAGGATTAAAATAATAATTAATAATCTGATGTATCAAATGAGGAATTAAATTAAATGAAAAATGAAATAAAGAAATTTTAATCATAAATTGAAGCTTTGTAAACATAATTAAACTTAGCATCATTTGGATAAGGTGAAGATATGCAAGAAAATTAAGTAGCTTTAATTTTAGGAGAAATCAATAAATTAAGAGATTAAATATAAAATTATTGTACAATAATAGATTTTTAGAATGAGAATACAAAAAAGGAAATGAAAATGAAAATTGTTTAAGATCATGCTGATGAAGAATTAGAAAAAGCAAGAAGAGAATTCAAAAGTAAAATTGATAAGAAAGCAGAATAAACAGATATTGCCAAATTGGAAAAGGATATAATTTAATTAAAAGAGCAAATAGGAAAATCTTAATAGAGATAATCTTCAATACTTATTGAAACACCATTAAAACAAGGGAATACTGATAAAGAATTATTAAATTAGATTAAAGAATTATAATAATCAATAAAAGAAATTGAAAGGTAATTAGTATTTAATCTTTTATTAGTGATTTATTAATACACAAAACATAAATGAATTAAAATAATTAACAAACTCATATAAAATTAGCTGAATTGGAAAAAAAAATTTAAGGCATTTAAACTGATAAAATTTATATAGAACTATAAAATTAAAGAGAATAAATGGATTTAATTAAACGTGATTAAGATCAAAATAAAGTTAAGATAAACAATTTTGGAAAGAAAATTGAATCAATTGTAACTAAAGATGAATTATTTTAAACTTTTGATCCTAAAATTAAATAAGTAAGAGATGAAATCTAAAGAATTGGAGATGAAACTAAATTAAACATTGAGAGAAAAGCTGATGCTTAAGAAGTTAAAGATTTGAATTAAACATTCTTAGATTAATTACAAAAGGTTGTTACTGAACTTATAAAAACATTAGCCAATAAATAAGAAACTAAAAAGGCTCTTATATATCTAGAATAGAAAGTATTATAAAACTTATATATATATATATAGATTAATTAAATATTTATGATACTTGAAGGAGATGGATCTAAAGATTAGGATTCCTTATTTGTAAAGAAGCCTCTCTCTTGGAGTTGTGCTTCATGTGACAAAGATTTAGACAAATACAAAGGATAATTGGGAGATTTTAAAAATTGGGCAGTGTTCCCTCCAAAAGAAACTTCACCTGAGAGGATGGGCAAGGTAAAATTTGATATCTATGCTTAGTTTGGAATTGGATATAAGAATATGTAAGAGAAATTGAAATCAAACAGAGAAAAATTAGATAAGGATAGAAATTAGAATGAAAAAGAATCCAGTTAACATTAATAAAGCATGACATTAAGTCAAAGTTAAACACAATTACCAAAAATAAAATAATGATGATGTCTTTATTTCAATATATAATTATAAAACCAAAATTTAAGTAATATTAAATGTTTCCAGAGTTATAAAAATGGTTGAATAAATAAAGAAAATTTGATGTGGTTTCTCTTTATATTGCCACTATCACATCTTTTAAAATAGGATGATATGGAATATTATTAGCATTTCTTATTAATAAAAATTATATTTTGTTTACAAATTTATTGAATTTATCTTACTATATCTTATATAAATAATCATAAAATAAATTATTAATTGTAAATGAAAATAAGAATGAATTATAGATCGATTATTTATATATAATTTTCATATTAAACTTTAAAATAATTAAGCCAAGTAGTAAATCATAAACTTTTAAACAAAGTTCAATTATATTTTATAAGGAGAGTTTATCATAAAGACTAGTTTGATAATCAAAAGTCTAGTAGAATTCAAAATAGTAAATAATGATTTCAACTTATGGTATCTAAAAAGTATCAATTAGACATTAATATGGATAAATATCAAAATCATATTATGATACAATGGATCATCAGGATTAAATAATATATATTGAATAAGAGTAAACACATTACAATAAAAAAGCTATTTAATTTACAGAATTAACATAACTAGAATTTTATAATCTTCTAAAATCTGATCAACTCATCTATGAGTAAAAAGCAGTCTTAAAGTTTAAAAGATGAAATTCTATTTAATTTGATATCTCTTTAATACTTTATTAATCGACGCACTTATGAACTTATGAAATTTTCAACAATGTTTACAAGTCTTTGCAATAAAAATTAGCTTAGGACAAAAGTTTAATTGTAATTTTTGAGAGTTTATACCTTAAATAAGAATATTTCAATTGAAAACAAATGCAATAAGAAAGTTTAAGAAAAATTGGATTTGATTATGGAATCATTAAGGAAGATGTAAATAAGGATTTCTTAGTAAGATTTGGATATATATAGACAATTAAATCAGAATCATAGTTAGTAGATTGATATGAATAAAGAATAAATGGACATATTACACCTTTAAAAGGTTTATAAGAATATATTTCAGTCAGGTGAATATAATAAATCAAAATATGCTTAAAATTAGGATGAAATGTAATTAGAAATGATGAATAAAGTAAGTAGGAAGAAATTGTAGGGATTGACAAAAATGAAGAGTTGATATGTTATAGAAAATAAAGAGAATCTTAGTAATTGTTTAAAAGGAATTAGATACAAATAAGAGAATACTAGAATAATTCAAATGAAAATTTATAAGTTTAAATGATTTCTTAAGTTAGAGAGGTTTAGTGAATAATTATAATATACTAATCAATCTTCTTTTACTATCCAACATTTTTCACATACATCATAATCACATTCTTAACATCTATATGCTCCACCTATTATCGAAGTTCTACACACATCGCAAGAATGATATTTCAAATTAGGAACATATTTCAATCTATTATTGATAATATATACTCGTGTCCACCACCACAAAATTCACCCATTACAGGAGGTTGTCTGCATTTAACACAATAATATATATTGCATTAAACACATCCATATCTACTCATAGTGTCAACTGGACCACATTAATTACATTTTTAAATATGCTTCTTGACCCATTATAGTTTATGTTCATTTTGACATACATCATTTGCAGCCCAATTAATCATAATTTTTACAATATTATTAATATTAAAAATATTCATATATATATCAATGAACAATCCTGATCCACTTGATAAAATTTTACAACTCGGATAATAATATGAATAATAGTATTAAATCTATTCAAAATTAGGATTTAACAAAGAAAAATAATCTAAAATACAATAGAAATTGTTAATTAAACTGAATAACAGATTTTGAAAGACAGAAAAGAATTTGAAAAATACTTATAACAAAAATGAAAAGTTGAATTAAATTTTTTAATGTGACAAATCAATAATCAACTTATCACATTCTACTAATAATTATTGATTCTCTTATTCTTGTAAAATTATCTAATAATAATTACAACCCTATGTAATAGATTCAATATTAAAGTACAAATGCAATAATGTTATAATATTTAAATTCATCATAAGGATATATATTGTTAATTTAATAATAATAAATAAATTATACTTTTAAGGTATCTATTGTATTATTATTCTTTTTATAGTAATACTTAAATAATTGATTATTATTATTGTTAAAAGTAACATTGAAAAACTTATAAATTTACAATTTCATATCATATAAGTGTCTGTTTTAAAAGATACTTTTTTATCATTCTATAAATTATATTATTAATTATCTTTAGATTAATATTAATAATTTTATTATTTTATGTAATCTTAATCTATAGGAGAAGTATTTCAATTTAACTTATAAAGGATTATTTAGTAAAAACTGAAACAAAAGGTGAAAGTCTAGCAAACAATAATAAATTTAATTAAGAAAGTTCTACGATTGAAAAAGAAACCAATAATAATAATATCAAGTTGATTCCTGATGATAAAGAAAAGTTCTTTGAAATAATATTGAAAGAATAGGTTACAAATATGTTTAATATTATTAGTAAATGAGATTGGATAAGAAATATCAAGATATGTATGGATAATACCCTGGGAATCTCGAGGATATGATTCGTTCAGAAGTATTTAAATAATATGGATATGATGATTGTCCTTCAAATCATAAATTATATTATGTTTTGACTCAAAAATACAGAAATGATCCTGAATTGAAGAAATAAGTATTCTTTTGGAGAAATAATGTAATGTAAGGATGTAGACTTTCTTTGAAACAAGAACCACCTGAAATTCAATTGTTTAATTTATAAAGTTAGAGAGTTTCCCTCAAAGAATTAATGTTACAGAGTCATTAAGAGAATAGACTTCTTGTTGTTTATTCTGGTAGCATTACATGACCTCCATATCGTGAAGCTATAGCTGATTACATTGCATTTGCATAAAAATATAAAGATATTTGCAAATGCATTATTACATATGTAAAGGAAGCTCATTTTGTTGAGAGGGATGAGTAAGGCAAATTTATAGATGGATGGCCTATTGGATTCTATGAATATGAATATCCATAACACAAATCTCAGAAAGATAGATAGTAAATGGCTAAAATGCTTAAAGAATAGTTTCATATTCCAGAGGATTTAGAAGTCTATTAGGATTAATTTCCTGATAATTTATTTGATGAATCTTTTGGAATTTGGCCATTTAATATGGTTGTTTTCAAGGAATGTAAATTTATTTGGAGAGGAATATTAAATTTAGAGGGTTTAAAAGAGAAATATCATTCTAAATAATTAGAAAATCATTTATAAAATCTTAAATATTGAATTTATTAAAATAGTAATCATTGAAATGAATTCTATTAGTAAAAACAAATTGAAATATTGATAGAATGAAAAATATGATGGTTATTATTATATATTAAAATTCAATCTAAAATTTTGAGTTTATTCATATATAATTTCAAGTTAATTGGCCTTGTTTAATCGTACTGTTACTAATTATATATTCTTTACTACTTATAAGTTTAATCTGCATTTTCAATATATTCCAGTTCTCCAAAAATCTAAGTATCTTTTAAAAAATTATTCAGTTTTACATTAAATAATTTTATAATTTTTAGTTTATACCAATTTATCATTTTATAATTAATTGAATAAATCAACTGGTTAATATCTTAATTTATGATAGATATTATATCTATTTATTTTTTAATGGCATATATCTATTTTTACAATTAAATTTAATTATTGCAATTCATTTATTAGATAAGCAAATAGAGATCATCTTTAAACTCAACTTTAATCTCTATTAACCTAATTAGAATTAGTTCAACGAATGATTTATCATCCTTTGGATATATAATATTTTCAATCTATATATAAATCATAATTTAATATTTTTATAATAAATTGTAGAGAGAATTATGAAAAAAAACCAACTCATTGATAATAAAACGGAATACTCATAATCACTCTTATTCCTCTTTAATAGGTTAATAAAACCATTTTTCAGTAGGAAAACATAGGTATTAACTTATTAATATAATATATACTTAAATCCAATCTTAGGTAACTTTTTTCTTATTTCCATCATGAAATCAATCCTATCTTTTCCAATTTTACATTTTGTTCTTGCTTTTCTTTCTCTGGATTACTTTTTCCCTACTCTTCCTTAAGTTTTATATACTTTCAGTATAGCTTTTGCTGTTGATAATTTTATAGAACATCTTTCAGAAGCATTCTTGATAGTAAATCCATCCTCAATTATCATCTTTATTAATGAATTTCTCTAATCATCTGTTATAAAATTATATTTCTTAGTTGGAACTAGGTATCATTCTAATTATGAATACTTTTATGTTGTTTAATGTTTGTCTTTTTGGTTTAGACATCATTAATACAACTTTTTAATAGATCTAGTTTAGGAAATGGACAATAACTTTTATCAATTAAATCCGTATAAAATGTGAACATATTATAATTAGATTTGTTTATTTTTAAAAGTGTTCAATAAATATTGTATAAATATGATATTCAATTTTCGATAATTATATAAATTCTAAGCAAATTGAGAATGTTCTAGATAATATTTATGAATAACCATATATAAATTTGTTAGATATAGAACAATTTAAGAATTCCTACTTTGATATCATATATACATAGTTTCATCCTATTATTAGAAAATAATTGAAAAAAGATCTTGAATGAATAAATGTATATTTTTTAATAAAGATAAAAATCATATTTGAAATGGAGTTCTATAATGAATTAGATTAATTTAATTAATGAATAATTAATAAATTAAGATGAAGAAAATGGTAAATAAAAAATAATGAAAATAAATATAAAGGCTCATATATGATGAGTTTAGTACCATTCACAATATTTGTATAATTAAGGAGCATTGGATAATTCAGCAAAGGATTTTAATTAAGAGACAGTGTTTTGATCTATAAAATTGCATAGAATCTTCTCACATAAAGATTTCAAATCTATTAACATATATTAATCAGCAGTCTGTAATAAGGATTTGACTTAGTCTAAGCATGATGAAAATTAATCATTTGGTACCTAGTTATAACTTTGATTACTTACTTCACCAGTATAAATATAAAATAATAATTATTCAAATATTAGAGCAGATGTATCTTGGATATATATTTTTTATTCTTAATTTTATTATTCAGATTCAAAAAGTTTAGAGAAATTTAAATATCTAGATAATACTGTAATATAATATAAATTTACATATTTTATGTGCATAAAATTGTTGATTATCAACTATAAATATAAGATCACTATATTTTGGTGAATTATAGAATTATTTAAAATAGTTATTTACTTAAATATTATTAAAATCTAGAATATGAATATTAGGTGGAGTGATAGTATCAATAATAAAAAAGTCTTTAAAATATTAAGAACCACAAGATCCACCAAAAATATAGATTAGATTACCCATAGCAGTCATACTATGACCAGCTCTAGCTTTATCAAAGTGTTCTTCATCTTACAATTCAACAACAGTCCATAAATTTTTAATTGGATCATAACATTATAAGTCTCCAAAACAAGTTGTTTATGGTCCACTACCACCAAATAAATAGATATTATTTTCAATAGTTGTCATACACATACCTGCTCTTGCACTAGGTGAATATGCTGCATTTAATTCACTCCATTTATTAGTCAATGTATCATAAGAATAGAGATCATTTAATCTTTTTTTACCATCCCATCCACCAAAAATAAAAAGTTTATTTTCCCAAACAGTAGAACTATGATTAGCTCTTGGAGGAGGTTTATCCTTTTCAGAAGTTTGTATGAATTTCCAAATATTTGTTTTAGAATTGAAACTATGTAAATCATTTAGATAATCTTTTCCATCTCCACCTCTAAAGATATAGATTAATTAACCAATTAAATCAGCACTATGCATATTACATGGACCAGGAATCTACTTAAATTATTGTTATTACTTCACCTAATGTATTTACTAATGTCCATGTTAAAGTATCAAGATCTAAAACATATACTTCTCCACTTGCATAAGTTCCACTTCCTAACCATCCACCAATAACAAACATTTTATTCTCAATCACAGTTGCTGAATGTCCATTTCTACTTTCAGGTATTTTACCATTAGCTTTACATTTATTCCATTATCCATCTCTATAAATATGAATATCATTATGATTCTTCTTAGAATCATATCCACCAAAAATTATAATCTAATTTTTATAATGCACAGATGTATGATTCTTTATTGCAGGACATTATTAAGCATTTTTCCTGAAAACTTTGGCTACAAGTTTTTCTTATTAACAATAATTAGGAGATTATCCATTTCCATCATAGTGATACATAATATTGTAAGATTATTTAAATATGATTATAAATTATTCAATCAGATTAATTAATAGAATCTATTTGAATATATATGATAAAATGATATTCATATTGTTTATATAAACAATTATAGAATTAATCAACTGTTTTATTTACTCTTATTTGATATTATACTGTCTTGATATTATTTATAAGAGAATAGAGCCTTAAAATTAATAATAAGTATATACCTAATCTATATTATTTCTTGGATAATAATCACTATAACTATGATTATTATCAATGGATTAATTAAGATCATATAGAGGCATATCAAATGGATTATTCTAGAATTACTTAGCTGTCTCATTGGTAAATTTAGATGATTATATTCCATATTTCGAGAATTATCTATGATCTGAACTTTACAAGATTCCGTTACCATGATCTTCACTTATAATTGATTTGGATTTTTAACTTCTCTTGTCTTAAATAGTAGCATATTTAATTATTGAGGGACTTAAATCTAAAATATTGATTATATTTTAACCTCTTTCAATTTTAGTCACATGAGATTATCTTTTCTCTTAATATCTTTTTTAATGAACCATGAAACTATCTTTTGGTGATTTTAATTGTTATGCTTATTTTAATTCTTTTAAAACATAAGAACTAGCACTACTACCAACTTAAGGTACATATTAAACAGGACTCAAATTTTATACATATTATGACATTTTATGATGTTCCTCTTCATCAGAATGTTCAGTATGTTATTACTCAAATTACATTCCTAGACTAGTAATTGTTTTAGGGCGTTTAAAAGTTTCAGATGATAATAACATTAGATGTCTAACATTACATACAACTTATTCTATTAAACTGGCATTTTTCATACATTTGAACTTTTTTGAATGATTTCTCTATTGTAATATAAATATTTACTCTTTAATATTTTTATCTTTTGTTAATTTCATCAAAATAAATATAATCCATTAACATTTATCTTGGAGGAATATAATGAACTTTCTTACAATTATCAATTTTATGATTCCCTTTACAAATTTAACAAGTTACTCCAATTAGTTTATATTCCTAATTGAATTATACTCTATCTAAACACATTTTAATTTTTTCAAGTTCAGTAATACTTTTTTTAATTTCTTTCCAAAATAATTCTGAATTAATTTCCAATATCTTACAACATGTTTCACATTAAACACCAATATCAGACTCTTATTATAAAAAGAATCCATTTTAATTATAAATTCCATTTTCATTAATACCTATTGGAAATTATTTGTTTTATTTTTATTAATAACATTTAACTTTTCCTGATAATATAAAATATAAGAATTTATTTTATTATTAAGCTTCAATTAAAACTTCATTTGGTTCCAAAATTCTTTCCTTTGTTGCATTCATTAATATATTTGCTATTGATGATTTACTCAAACATTTATCTATTAATGGTATTTTCCTTAAAGTATTTGAATATTATGCATTCAATAATTTAGTAGATAATGTATTTGGTAATCTATCATAATCAATTAAATTTCTTGTTTTCAATCTTGATTAAATTTATTTATTTGATATTGATAAACTTTCATATCTTAAATCAAATGGTAATTATTGAATAATTTTAGAGAATTCAATTAATCCTGATATTAATGTACTTTAATTTCTATATAGATGATTAATCTAATCACTAATAATAGTAAATTAATAAACAATAAAAATAAGAACAATAATTTTAATTGGATATATTAAAATTGATTGATTATTTGTAATTATAAGTATATTGATTATACTACACTAATTTTAATAGAATTCATTCAAACTTTAATGAATTTAATTAACTTATGTAATAACTAATAGAAATCCACAAATAATTTAGAATAAATGAATTTATGATATTCTTAAAGTAAAGAAATAAATTGAATATTATCTAAAACATATAGAAAGTTAAAGTAATTGCTTGAACATTTGATAAAATCTTGTAAATGTCACTATATGTATGATTTACATGAATATAACTTGCTATCTAAGATAATTATAATTAATACTTAAAATCAATTAAAGTACAAATAAACGGAATAAAAGCAGCCAATGGTAAATAATCTATAAATTTAGCAGTCTTTTAAATATTCAAACTAAACAATAAGAAGTTTAAAAATAATAATGGCAGTTAGGTTTGTAACTAATATGTTAGATTATAATCAGAATATGCTACACCATATAAGAGAAGTGGAAATTAATACATGTAATAGATATAAAGGATAATTTGTATAATAATTACTATTGGTTTGATATTTGTTTAGAGTTCTTGTTTCTTTTTTTCTTTTGCATAAGTATTATCACCCAAATATTATCCATACTTATTACATTAATCATCATCCTTATATGTACCTTAATGAGTAAATATTTAACTCCAATGTACTGGTTCTTTGATAATAAAATCATTGATTTATGGAGATAGTTTCTTATTTATTAGAGTCTCAAATGCCTTATTGTCTGACTGTTCATTCACACTTGATTCTTCATTAATGAGATTTAATGGTGTAGCTCTACCATCTATTGCTCCTGATGTACAAAGTGGTGATTTCTATACATTATGAGTACCTATTCTAATTTAATGGAAGTTCTAATACTATGTTGAGAGTCAATAGGAGTGAAAGAACTATTTAAATCACTTGGTCTTCGAACTTACATTACAGGCTAAGAATTCAGGGAGTTAATTTGTTGTAAGACTGGAACATTATTAGATGTGTCATTCACAGAGATTTCTGATTTTGAGCAATTTTTACGATAAGAACTCATTATTATTTAATTATATTACTCAAAGTTAATGGAATAAATCCATTTACTTATTACATTTAAAATTGAACTACATCTTCTTCATTTTCATCAAACATCATAGGAATTGGTTCAGTTTCATTCATCTTTTTAGATTTTACAAAATTATTTCGATGACTTAATTTCTTTTCTAAAAATTCCAATATCTTCATTTACTTATTTAATTGAGGATTAACATTATTACTAACTTATTATTATTATTCTATAGAATCAATCTTAACATCTAATAAATCTTAACTTCTCTTTACTATAGTATTATTTTGTTCTTTTGATAAAGATTGTTAAATTATGATTAGGAATATAGATGTAATCAAATCTAATATTACACCTCCAGATAAACTAATATAGAAAACCTAATATATAAATATTCTTTACTAGAAATAGATATGTGTCATCCTTCAAATAAGATATTATTGCAAATATCCTTACAAATATACACAATAAACATTTTAATACTAACAACCAAATGCTCTTGAAAATGTATCTTTTTATTATTATACATTCAATACTATAATTAATTTTAATCCAAACATTTATTTAAGTAATTTGAGTGAAATTTACCATTGCAATTCTAACAAATTTTGCATTCTTTACATTTAAAATCTTTATTCATTCTTCCACAATTTAAACATGTTTATGTATACTTTAATTTCTTATTGTTAAATATAGTCACTAATTTAAGAATCATAAATTACCTTTTGTATTACCCAATAAGAAAAGTAATAATATAATCATAAATCCACATAAAATACCCATTGCAACATACTATTCATATTATAATTTGAACTACCTCATAATGTTAATAAAGTATCGAGTAAATGCAGTCAATTATGAATAAGGTATTCTCTACCATTTATATACCAATCACAATATTCAGAATCATGTTCTATTTCATATCAAACTTAATTTCACTGATATTAATATTATTTATAATCTATTTCTCATAACTAATAATAAATATTTTAATTGAATTTTACTTAAGATATAAATTATATTATTAATTCCATCAAATATATTAGGTATTGATAATTTAATAAAGTAAATTATTCTATTTAGGTTATAAATTATAATGTTAAATTTTAGTATTAAATATATAATCTAAATTATTATTATCTAATATTTAATTATATTAGTTATCATTTATATTATGCTATTTAAATAATAATAATTATTCACTTTGTTAATTAAATAAATTAAGATTTATAAATATATAAAATTTAATTTAAATTGAATCAATTACTTAAAAATGAATAGAAATATTATTTAAAATTCATTATTTTCATTATTTATATGTTTTAAGAACTAAAATTATAAAAAATATAGAGATTATTATAATGAGAATCATAAATTAATCAATATAAAGAATAATCAATCATAAAATAACTAATTTATATTATTCTTACATATATATATTAAGTTAAGACTTTTTATGAAACATAATTCTTAATTATTAAATTATAAATTGAATGGGTAATCAATAGCAAATATTGAAATTGACTAAGACTAAATAGTTTAAACGTATATAAGATTATTAATGAAATAGCAAACTCTGTAATTGTAATCACAGGAGCATCTAGTGGGATTGGACGTGAATTAGCATTACAATATGCAACAAGAGGAGTCAAGTATATATATTATAGATTAGATTAATGTTGGCTGCTAGATCAGAAGAGGAATTAAAAGAAGTTTGTACATTATGTGAATAACTGGGATCAAGAGCTCATTATCAGATCACAGATGTATCTAAAGAAGAGGATTGCAAGTATTTAATAATTTAAGATTAAGAGATTGTTGATAGAGGAGACAGTGAGAATATTCAATAGAATTGATATTTTAGTATTAAATGCTGGAGTGAATGCACATTCATTTTTTGAAGAATTCAAAGATTTATCAGTATTTAAGAAGATAATGGATATCAATTTTTATGGATATGTATATTGTACTAAGTAAATATAATTAAGATTGATTTAGATATGCATTGCCACATATAAGAAAGAGTTCAGGTTAATTTGTTGTAATGTCTTCAATTTCAGGAGAAATTGGATTACCTTATAGAGTACCATATTGCAGTTCAAAGTTTGCAGTAACAGGCTTTTTTGAAGCACTTAGAACAGAATTAGAAGATTTCAATGTTGCCATAACAATAGTATGTCCTCCAAGTGTACGAACTCCAATGAGAGATCATGATTTATTAAAGAAACATTCTCCTAAAGATGAAAGTGAAGATAGAATTACAATATAAGAATGTGTTTCAATGATTTTAGATGCAGCTGATAGAAGAGCTCGTAAAGTATTTATTAGATTAAATATTAGATCTTCTTTCCATTTAAAGCTTATTTGAGTGTTTATGTTAGACCTATCTTTCCTGATTTTGTGGATAAGAGATTAAAATAGAAGGCTAAGTTGTGAGAATAAAAAACAAATTGTCATTATATAATTATCAAAGTCTTTTTTTACCACATGAACCACAATATTTATGATTGTTGGCAAATTTATTACCACAATTAGTGCAGAATATACTACGTTGAAATTTATTTCCACTATTCATACGTATACAAAGTTGTATATGTTTTTCATATGCTTTTTGTTCAAATGTCTTTTAACATGTAGGACACTTAGCAATAGGTACTGAACGTGATAATATACTTTCAACTCTTTATTTTATTTTTGGTAGAAATGATGGTTGACTTGATGATAGTTCCTATACCAAAGTTTCATCTGCCTCTTCTTCTTCATTTATTTATGCAACCACTTTATATTTATCCAATGCTTTTGTTCTAGCTTAACATGTATGTGCCTTTAGATTTCTATATTTCTTATGACAATATGGACATGGTTATAAAGTAGGCTATGTGTGTAATTCTTATGTTTTTTATTTCTTTGATTTTTTTACAAATGGATGTTCTATAGTACACATACGTAAATGTAATGTTAAACGACCTTAAAAGAATTAACGTTTGCAATAAGGACATTGTTCTTTTGGTATCATTTCTATTTAAGCATCTACAGGTGTAAATGGTCTTTCAATTTATTCATCTAATTGTTCTTTATCGAATGAATTATTCACTGCTTAAATTGTTGACTTAGAAATAGCATCTTCATCAAAGAACTCATTATTCTCGTTATCAATCGGAAATATTAATTTGTTCATTAATTAATATATGCTTATTAAGAGATTAAGTAACATCATTGTTAAGTATAGATTCTCAAAAGAAATTCTCGATTTTGCAAAATCTACACCTCCAAAATAACAACTTACTTCATAACCTGTTAATTGTATGGTCTTACATCCTGTCTTATATCCTAATAAGGGACCTGAATTAGAATTGTATATGGCTGAAGAAGCTATAGGTTTATCAAAATCATTAAGTTGGACTTTAGAATAAGGACCTTTTTGGAAAGAAGAATATACTTAAGATATTAGAAGAAGTTAAGGTAAAATTGATGAGGAGGATTAAGATAATTAATTATAAGAATAAAATCAACAAAAAGATTTCCAAATTAATGAAGATGATTTAGGTCATGAATGGAGAAATAAAATTATTAGAAATTCAATAGCAAAATCATCATTAGTCAAAATACCTAGGATTCATTCAACAACATTCTTTACAAAAGGTAAACTTGCTATGTTAGGATAACATATATAATCTAAAAGGATTAATGCTGTATTTATAAATCATGAATTAACACCATTATAAACTAGAAATTTAGAAAAATTATGGACTCAATATTCAAAAGGAGAAATAACATCTGTAATTAAAGAAGATAATAATGAAAATAATGAAGCTATTATTACAGATGAAATAGAATCTGATAATGATTTTGAAGGTCTCTCAGTTAAAGTATTTGATAGATTCACCATGATTTTATAAATATTTGCTAAAAGATCTACATAAGGTGTTTCTAGATTATAAATTGAATTGTCATTTCTTAAATTTGCAAAAACTAAATTAGTAAGAAGTGGAAGTGCCTTTGTTTCACTCTCATCAATCTTTAAAGGAGATTTAATGATGGCTAAAGAGGTTTATGTTGAAGTTGTATCAGCTAAATAAAGAAGAGCTTTAGGTAAAATGAGTGGATCAGGAGAAAGTGAATTATAATTATAAAGAAGACTTATAGATGATAGAATTGCAAAAGTCAAAAAACTTATTGATGAAGAAAGTTAATAAAGATCTAAAATTAAACGTAAAAAACTCATTCACACTGTTCCCAGAATTGCATTAATTGGATACACAAATGCTGGTAAATCTTAATTATTGAATTGTATATTATAAAAGGAAGTAGTCTAGAGTAGAGATTTACTTTTTTAAACTTTAGATACAACCTCAAAATCTATAAGATTAGCCTCTGGATAGAAAGCAATAATGTTAGATACTATTGGATTCATCACTGATCTACCACATGATTTAGTAGAATCATTTAAATCTACATTAGAAGAAGTTGAAGATGCTGATATAGTATTACATATTAGAGATATATCTCATCCATGTACAGAATAATAAAAATAAGTTGTCCTTGATGTTCTTAAAGAATTAGGATTTAATTAAGATTTTTATAATAAGAAAATGGTATTCTCTAATTATTAATATAGATTGAAGTATGGAATAAAATTGATTTGATGAATTATCCAATAGATTATGAATTTATTGAATCTTAGGATTATCCCATAGTACCTATAAGTGCATTGATGAATATTAATATCAAAAGGTTGCTTTAAGTTATGGAGGAAAAATCTAATCAAATAATGAATAAGAAACTATACAGAATCAAATATAATATAGATTAACATTTTGAAAGGCTTAAATGGTTATATGAGAATGGAAACATTTCAGGAGTTAAGAATGAAATATAAATACCTCCTATTAAGAAAGGAGATCCTACAATCATAGAGTATGATGTCATCATAGATGAAATCACTTTCAATAGATACATAGCCACCTTTTAACCTGAAATGAGAATTAAAAAAAATAAAGGAATGCCTCCTTCAAATTGGAAATGATTTGTTTATGTTTTCTTTAATATAATGAGTTTTCTTGTATTTAAAATATTATTATTCTTTAAATAACACTAAATACTAGTTGAACTAATACATAGTATTTCCAAATAGCTTTTTCAAAACAAATGTTAAAAATAAAAAATATACATTGTTTTTAACTCTTTAGATTTTAATATAAAAAAAAACAGAAAAAATATATTATTAATATTTAATATTTAATTATGAAAAATTAATAATAATTAGTTATTCTAAAATATGCTCTAATTTAATATGTAAGATTTAATTTATTTTTAGACAACCAATATTTCATTATATTAATAATAAAGAATTACTTAAAAAAATTTATATTGTTTTGATAGTCAACCAATTTTAAGTTTATCGAAATTTTATTTTATTTAACAGATCTTTACAATTTTATAGATGTCTATGATAAACACAGATAATTTAAATTAATTCTAGTTTGAGGTTTTATCCTATTCTTTACAATTTTTCAATTTTTCTTTTATTTAAATTTTCTTTTATATAGGTTCTTTTCATATTCTAATATTAATTAAAAATGTATTAATATTATAAGATGGGTTTAAGATATATTCAAAAAATTAGATATAAACTTTATATATTATTTATCAAAGCTCAGCCATAACAGTCAAAATGCATAGAATAGGAAAGACAATCACTAGGATCATTATCAAATTATATTATTTTCCCTTATTTTCTATTGGAATTTATTTATCGGTTATAAGTTTCTTCTATTTCCTTAAAAGTTCAGCTATAATTTCAATTGATCTTTATTAATGCTCTAATTGATGGTCTTTATAAAGGAAATATTTCCCATAATTTTCCCTTTTTTCAATTATTTATTATGTAATTTCATTGGCACCATTAGAATGGTGTTTCTACTTGATATTTTTTGGGATCTATTCAACATTGTAGGAGTATTTATATAATTTATCATAATCTTTTTATCTGTTTAAAAATTCTTCCTTTGTTTCAGAAGATGTGGTATATTATGTAAAAGTTTGTCTTCTTTTTTTAAGTAATTGATTTTTCATCAAAGAATTGTGATTAGAACTGTATAAGCATTCTGTTTTCATATTAAGCAAGTATTTTATTTAATTTTAATAAGCAAAAGAACTTTTATTCACTTAAAATAACATTAAATAATATCTTTTATTAGTGATAAATAGTTAGTGATGGTCTAAACTAAAAACTATTTTGATATATTTAACAATAAAAAATTAAAGTAGGATTATAAAATATATTAAAAGGTATTGTTGAAACTATTTTTAACATTAAGAATTTTCTAGAACTTTAATATAAATGAAAAATAAGATAATTTTATAGAATATCAAATTAATTTTAAATATTTTTATTCATTCTAAATAGATAGAAACTTAATCAAATGTCATATATATAAGTTTGTGAATATTAAGATATTATTATTGAAATAAAGTTTACATAATTTTTATTTCACAATCATACTCTTTCAATAAAGTAACATTTGCCTTTACATTTTAAAAATCTAATTATTTTCGATTACATCCCCATTATAACAATATTGGTTGTATTTATCTGGTATCTAAAATTCAAAATTTCACTAAGATTCTCTATTCCTCATTTTATCCGATAAGGTACTTCTAATTATTTCTTTATTTTATTGAATCAATAGAATCAATTTTTAATTCTTTGAAGTGTTCAAATTTTGTAAACCTGGGTTCTTAAGTATTATATTATATGTAGTAAATGCTAAACATATTATAAACTTTGTAAAGTAACATTAGATGTCATTTTATAACTATTGTTATACTAAAATCAATTAATTCATGAAAATTTGGGAAACAATCAAAGGAATCAAATATCAATTATAAACAATCTATTAGCTATCTATAATTTAATTGAAAATTGAAAAGCATCATTATGAATAGATGAAAAATAAATCAAAATTGCTCCAGATTTTATGAGTTTCAAAATAAAAAAGATTTTTTTTGAAATTTTCTTGAATTATTTCTGCAATTCTAGTGATAATAGTATATAAATTGTTCTTCTTTGATATTCAAAAATGGGTGACAATTATATTAAATAAGATACATTTTTAGTTTGATCTGGAGATCATACATACTTGTGATACTCAAGTCACTAAGAAAGAACATATGTTCTTTACTATCCTCTAATTTTTCTGTTGAAATTAGCTATGTGAGATTCATTATATTCTTTTTCTGTTTCTCATAAGCATATATCAAAAGAGATTTAGGAAAATGAAGAATTATAGATTTCGATTGACCTAAACTACTCCAATTATTCAAGAAACATTTAGAATCTCTTTTTAAATCAATTGGACATTCACTTTCAGAACTCAATTTTATTATTAAATGAAAAAAAAGGCTCCTACAAGAAAAAGAATGAATTATGAGGATGCGTTGAAAGTAGCAGCAAAAGAGGAAGTACTTGCAATATGAATAATAAAAGGTGGCCTTTTTTGGATAATGTTAGAAGTTTAAAGATAGACCAACTGATCCTGCTCCAATTGATAGAGCAATACATTTCCTCTTTTTGAAGGAGAATGTAAGTTACTTCATTCTTCCACAACTTAGAATGTAGATAGAAAGACAGCTTTACAATTTGGAATGCGAAGACTCTGTAAAATTGATAGTACTAGACAATTTGATGGTCCTGCTGATTACAGAATAATGAAGACTAATAAATTACTATCTGGAGCAATTAACGGATGGTATAATGGAGCAGCTGAGGCTAGATTTGATTTAGGTTCTGGTTTTACTATTGATATTGCCAATAAACAGGACAATAGTTTTCATTTGAAAAACAATAATCCTATTGATTTAAGAGTTTAAACTTCAGAAAGGGATAAGATTACTATGTAAAGGTTTGAATTCTCAAAATTAAATTCAGATAGATTGACATAAGAATTAAGTAAATTAAAAGAGGAGACTTAACAAAAAAGCAATCAGCCTAAATTATATGTTGAAGTAGCTGGATAAAAATTATTTCATCTTCTCGATTAGGAGAATCCTAAACCTTCTCTTTTATAAGAATTTAAAGCTTTTTCCACTATCGAAGATATTGTTAGACTTCATTAAGTTAAATCACTTGATAAAATTGAATCAATTAGCAATCTTCAAGAATCTAGTACTTCAAGATTGAGATAGAGAGCAATGACTAATTTACATGATTAAAAATAGACATTGTTTTCTAAGAAAAGATTATCAGCTCAACCAGAGGAAGATTCTTAAAAGATTTATAAGAAGTTGTTAAAGTAATTAAGATCAGAAGATTAATTTATTATACCTTCTCAACAACCAAAAAAGAGTTTGTAAAGTAATCATGCAAATACTTCCAGAAGAAACTCCTAGTAGTCTTTCTTCTTCAATTTAACTAACAAATAAACAATTCCTTCCAATAATAGCATTAGCAATTCGTAATAAAATTTAGAATCTAATTATAAAAAACCATTTACTTAAAGAACTTCATAATTAGATAAAGGAACCTGTTTTGAATAGAAAGTTGAAAACTTTGTTAAATAAAAGCTTATGATTTAAAATTCAAAGTCAGTATCTCCAGAAATAGATTGCACAAATTTATAATAAAAATAAGATGTAATTTATTTTTTTTAGTTTAGTTATTCAAACAATTAAGATTGAAAGAAATATAAAGAATATAGAAAGTAAGGATAAATTCATAGAGATGAATATTAAGTTATCATTAATTAATCTTAAATTTTATTGGCAATAATTTAGATGATGTTTCTGTTGTGGATAATTTAGGTTTGATTTCTGTGATGAGATAAGTTTCTATCTTTCCAGAGTTAAGTTTATCATTACTACAATACATTTTTTTGTTTCAATCTCAAAAGTTCCATTTAATTTTATATCCTATAAATTTACAAACTCTAATCATTTAAATGCAAAATAGTATTTTTATTAACATCTTATAATTATTATTTGAGTGTTTCTATTTGAGATTGTATTTCTTAAAGAGTTATAATTTTAAGGTACATTTTTTTGTTTAATTACTTATTAATATCATCATAATCATCTTCTGCCCTGAGAAGAAGCTGAACGTACAGACGATCTAACAGAGGGAACTCCAACGGATGAGGGTTGTTTACTAGGAACAGTAACATTTTTCTCCTAAAAGACAGCATCTATTATGGCTTGCATTTCTGGAAATTCTTAGACTAAATTACTAAAGAGATTAATAGTTTATGAAATTTTACAAAATGCATGTCTTTAGTGTCTTATTTAAATTATTTTAAATATCTAATTCTAAAGCAGAGATATGTGCATTTGATTCATCAAGCACAATTCTTTTTTATTATACTTTTGCTAATTTAGAATTCATAATGTTTTCAGCTCTACTAATCTTTTCTTGTTAATCTTGCAACTCTTTCTCCATTTTTTAAAATTGCATTTCCACTTCTCTCTCTTGATTATCAAGAATTTCAATCTAGAATAAATATTTATAATTATAAATACTCTATTTTATATTTCAGTCAACCTTCTCATATCTTCATCTATCTCTTATTATAATCTTTGTAATTCCTTTTTCTTTTTAAATAGATTTTCAGATGCTGCTCTACATTACTCTTCCAATCCATCTCTATGAGATACTTCTTTCTAAGAAATACCCTTATTTAAGAAACTATCCCTATATTTACTATTTCTATTCTTAAGATGAGATAATGTATTATCTAAGGCCTTTAATTCCTAATCTCTCTTAATAATTTCAGCATTTAATTCATCACCTTTCCTCTATAATTCTTCTCTTTCTTAAGAAGCCTTAATAATGTAATATGCTTATGAATGTTCTTCAATGTTTTAAGTGTCTTACTCTCCATTAGAAGATTTATTCTTTTAGACTAATGATTCATATTTAATTCTGAGATTCTTCACTCTATTTTATCTCTCAGCCAATTCAACAGCAATTTTATGTCTTTCTTCTTCAGCTGCCTTATGTTCAGCCACCAATACATCCTTATGCACTTAAATTTCTTATTCTCTTTCTTGCATAGCCATTTCTAATTGATATTTACGATTTTCTAAATTAAACACTTTATCAACAGCAGTTGTTACTACTTTTTATATCTTTTGTATTTCTAATTTCATAAAATCATGTTAAACTAACACTTCTTCTTTTGACTTTACAATCTTACTCAAGTCTTAATAAGTCATATCATTTTCTAAAGTTAATTCATCTATAGTTTATTTCAATTTATTTTATGATGCTTTAGTACCAGTTAATTGTCTATCTGTTCCTCTTAAATCATCATCAAGTCTTTTCAAACTCTATAATAATGTTTTATATTCTTTCTTTTATAAATTAACTTTCTCCTCAATTTCTTTAATTTCATTTTCCAAATCCTTCTTCTCTTCCAAAGTACGTTCTCCTTTGGCTCTTGCTACTCTTCTTTCCATCAATTATATCTAATATTCTGCATTATATAATAATTCTTATTATCTTTAAAATTCTTAAATTAATTTATTGATATGAGCTTAATAATTACGACAAGCACTTACATTTGCTTGTATTTCTCCATATAAATTAGCTTCATTTTCTCTTAATTTGAATAAATCTTAAGTAGCTTTGAATAAGACTTCTTTTTATAATTTAATTTCTTTATCCAAATCAATTCTTTACTTTTCTAAATTCTTATATCTATCTGATGCCATACTCCTTTACTTTTCAAATTCTTAGTGTTAAATATCTTCCAATTTCAATTTCTACTTTTCACTAGCATATTTCTTTTAAGCATTATTCAATCTTTATTTTTTAATCAAAAGTTCTTATGACATTTATGCTAATCTATTCCTTTTATTTGATAAATCAGTAGCAAATGCAGATAATTGATTCTTTTAAATTTCTACATCTGCCTTAAGATTATCTATGGCTAATTCAATATCTTTATTTGATTATCTTTATTAAATGATAGTTCTTTCTAATTATTAATTTTAAACTTCAACTGATTTATTTTCTTACTTTTCATTCATCAATTAAGATTTTCTATTTTCCAAATCTTATTAATTAGCTTTAATTTAAGCTTTAATATCAGCATATCTCTCTGATTCATCTCTAATAGCTTAATCTCTTCTTGCAATATTGTCAGTCACTTCTTACCATTGTTGAAATAATTTATGACGTTCATCATGTTATCGTCTAAATTCTTCAGCTGTCTTATCCAATTCAATTTATGCTGTCTAAGTTTCTGTTATTTCTCTATCCAATTCATTTTGTCTCCTACTAACCTCAACAGTCAATTTTTCAATTTATAGATTGAGTTCTTTAATTTTTGCTTCATCTCCTCTTTTATATTTCTCCATGGTTAAAGAATCTTCCTCTTTTTACCTTGCAGCTAAAACCCATTATTCTAATTCTTCTTAATTCCAATTCATCTCAATCTTGTATTTATCTAATCTTTCATTTCCTCTATAGATTGAATTCTGAACATCATTCAATCTCTCTTGTTACTCGATCATTCTAAAATAAGCTATGAATATAATACATCTTTTATTATTTTGTCATTTCATTTTGAAGACGACCAATTTATCTTTCTGTTATTTATTTCAAATGGTCTTCAGTTTCAATTTCTTTATTTTTTGTGTCAATCTTAACTATTATTCAATTCATACCAATGCTTAAGTGTGAAGTAATTCTTGTTGAATGTTCTTCAAGTGTTCTGAAAGTACTTTTAATTTATCACTCTTTTCTTCAATCTTAGAATTGATATCTCGAATGATGCCTCTTTTTAATTTGATCTAAAATTCAAAAAACCTATATCCATACCTTTTCATTAAGTTCCTTATTTGCTTCATTGGCATATTCAGGAAAGTCATCATCTTCTTCCTCATTAAGAAGCTCTTGATTCTCATCATTCTCGTTATTGTTATCCATTATTAATTATATATATAATTTATTTATTCAACTGTCTGTAAATATCATTTATTCTTTGAATTCATTTGATTCCTTCAACCTTTTTATATCTATATATAATTAATTATAAATTTGATTGACTAATATTGCCATAAAACATTTTGAGTTTGAATTTGAAAACATAAAATAATAAATACTATATATATTAGTATAATTAGAATATAAATGGGATATTGTACTCTATTCAATTTTTTATAATTAGATGATGAAAACTATTAGAACACATAAATCTAATATTGATAAACAAGGGTTGCTAGTATAAATGAATTTCTAATTAATTTATCAACATATTTTAATACAGCTCAAAATTAATTGTCTCAATAATTTAAAATTATAGGAAGGCTTAATAAAGATCTATTATTTGTTATAATTTATTGAGAATACCTGATTATAGAATAAATATTAATACATCTTGGTTCAAGAAGATCTAAAAATAATTTTAACTTTTAATTTAACATCTAATAATAAAAATAATCTTTTTTAGAGTATCTAAAAATAAAGAGAATAATGAAATTGTCTAAAGTAGATATCAATAGATTATGATATATAAAGTATAGATTTAATGATATTAGAATAGTATAGGAAATATAATAGAAGAAAACATAAAGAAGATAATATATTTAAATAATTATTTGATAATGTCCATATATTTTTATTTGGCTAAAGATATTAACTCGTTTTCTTAATTAATGCATATAAATAATATTATATTATTTGTTTTGATCTAAATAATTATTTTATGAATAATAAGGACAAATTTGCCAATTATNTTCAAATGGTCTTCAGTTTCAATTTCTTTATTTTTTGTGTCAATCTTAACTATTATTCAATTCATACCAATGCTTAAGTGTGAAGTAATTCTTGTTGAATGTTCTTCAAGTGTTCTGAAAGTACTTTTAATTTATCACTCTTTTCTTCAATCTTAGAATTGATATCTCGAATGATGCCTCTTTTTAATTTGATCTAAAATTCAAAAAACCTATATCCATACCTTTTCATTAAGTTCCTTATTTGCTTCATTGGCATATTCAGGAAAGTCATCATCTTCTTCCTCATTAAGAAGCTCTTGATTCTCATCATTCTCGTTATTGTTATCCATTATTAATTATATATATAATTTATTTATTCAACTGTCTGTAAATATCATTTATTCTTTGAATTCATTTGATTCCTTCAACCTTTTTATATCTATATATAATTAATTATAAATTTGATTGACTAATATTGCCATAAAACATTTTGAGTTTGAATTTGAAAACATAAAATAATAAATACTATATATATTAGTATAATTAGAATATAAATGGGATATTGTACTCTATTCAATTTTTTATAATTAGATGATGAAAACTATTAGAACACATAAATCTAATATTGATAAACAAGGGTTGCTAGTATAAATGAATTTCTAATTAATTTATCAACATATTTTAATACAGCTCAAAATTAATTGTCTCAATAATTTAAAATTATAGGAAGGCTTAATAAAGATCTATTATTTGTTATAATTTATTGAGAATACCTGATTATAGAATAAATATTAATACATCTTGGTTCAAGAAGATCTAAAAATAATTTTAACTTTTAATTTAACATCTAATAATAAAAATAATCTTTTTTAGAGTATCTAAAAATAAAGAGAATAATGAAATTGTCTAAAGTAGATATCAATAGATTATGATATATAAAGTATAGATTTAATGATATTAGAATAGTATAGGAAATATAATAGAAGAAAACATAAAGAAGATAATATATTTAAATAATTATTTGATAATGTCCATATATTTTTATTTGGCTAAAGATATTAACTCGTTTTCTTAATTAATGCATATAAATAATATTATATTATTTGTTTTGATCTAAATAATTATTTTATGAATAATAAGGACAAATTTGCCAATTATAAAGCCAAAGTTAATGATGTTATCTAAAATATGATCTATGAATTATTCAAAAAACAACCAGAAAATTATGTAACTTAAATATTTAAGTTAGATTGATTGGATGATTGAATATTTGGAAGTAAGAAGAGCTAAACATCATGTTAAAGCAACACAAAGTTTATAGATTACATATCACATTTCCTCTGAGGAAGAAAATCAAGATGATGTAGATGAAATGGAAAATACAATAAAAAAAGAATAACAATTTCGTACTTCTGTAAGTGCTGAAGTTTATGGTCTTTACAATAAAAAAGAAGACTTTAAGCCTAGAGTCATACCTAAATCATAAGATCTTAGAGAAAGAATAGAAAATAAATTGAATGGTGTATTTATGTTCCAAGCACTTGATTAAAATGAAAGAAACATTATTATTGATGCTATGGAAGAAAAACACTTCAATCCTGGTGATTGGATCATAAATCAAGGTGATGATGGCAATGAATTATATGTTGTTGCATAAGGTCAATTAGACTGTTTCAGAAGATTCTCTAAAGATTAAGAACCAAAATTAATAAAATAATATTAAAGTGGAGACATGTTTGGTGAATTAGCTCTACTATACAATGCACCAAGAGCAGCCTCCATCTAATCCAATACTGAATCAGTACTCTTTGCATTAGATAGATCTACATTCAATGCTATTGTTAAAGAAGCAACTGTAAAAAGAAGAGAACATTATGAAGATGTGTTATCTAAAGTTGAAATACTAAAATCTATTGACTCTTATGAAAAGACTCAAATATGTGATGGATTAAAAGAATAACATTTTAAAGCTCAAGATTATATTATTAAAGAAGGAGAAGAAGGAAATAAATTCTATATTGTGGTTAAAGGAACTTTGATTGCACTTAAATAAAATGAAGAAGTTCTCAGATATTAAAGTGGTGACTATTTTGGTGAATTAGCTCTTCTTAATTAAGTACCAAGATAAGCCACCATTTAAGCTGAAGTAAATAACATTTTTAATTTTAGACTGATAGTATTGTTGTATATTTAGATTATCAAGCTTTTATAAGACTAATAGGACCTATTGAAAACATTTTGACAAGAAATGCAGAGAACTATAAGAAATTTGTAAATTGACAAAAATATAAAACATATAAATTAATAATATATTTATTCTTAATTAAATATAATTGATTCACTTCATTTTAATATGTTATTTAGAATATAAATTATTAATAAATATAAAATGAATCATAATTTTGAAATATATCTTTAATTTATTAATTTTTAATAATTTAAATTGATAATAAGTAAAATAATTAAATCAAACTGATAATATAATAAATTTCTAATGATTATTTAAATTATTATATAATTATTTTAAATAAAAATTCAATCATCTTAACTATTAACATTATATAAATATTAAATCAAGAATTTAATTAAATGCTTTTCATAGATTTATATTTTATTGGACCCATTGGAAGTTATATATTCTCTTAAATATAATCTAGTTCTTCATCAAACTATTATATAGTGTTTTTTTGTAATATAATACTTCTATCACTTTTAGTTTTCATAATTGACCCAAATTTAAAATCTTGACCACTCTTCTTAGTAATAGATTATAAAGATGATTATTTCCTTTCTTTTTTAGGTATTTATTATATAATTTATAAAGAATTACCTAATTTTTGGTATCTTCTTAATAATAACACTTCATTAAGATCAGATACTTTTAATTATGGTAGTCTTGATAATAAAGCCTAATAAACATATATAAAGATCTTAATAGTTGTAATTATATAGTATATGCTAGTTACAATATCAGTTGATGTATACATATTGGATACCTTCTATTCATATAAGAAATCATTTCTATATTTTCCAAGAATAGTAACAACAACTAATATAGCAAATTCAATAAATCCATGAATTAACTCAAAGATCTACTTATAATTCCACAATCTTCCTTTAATATATATTCCAGATTAAGGACAAAAATTGCTTAATACTTATTCTATATTAAGCATATGATCTGCTTGCACTTTGAGCATGCATTATTAAAGGATATTAGCTTAATCTGCATTAGAAGTCTTTAGAAAGAGTAGGAGAAACTTGAATGTAATGTAAGCTTAATAAATTGCTTTCAGGAACATAAATGCTGCCATAAAACTAAGAACTACTATAATACGATTTTTGAGCCCAATAAGATTATCTTATTCATTATCTCTAATAAAAGAAATAATTTCTAAATTTGATCCCATAATTCTGCATTCAAAAAAGTAATTAAAAGAAATAATGAATTGTAAAAAACATAACCATACTTCATTCTTATGTGCAAATTTAAATCTTTAAAATCTTACCATTTCTGTAGTTTAAATGCAATAATCTGGAGTAGCCTTTAATCTGATTGTAATAGCTAGTAATAAACTTGCAAAAGTTTAGGATAGAATCAATACTATGAAAACGTAGGCTTCTCCAAAAAAACCTTCATGAAGATCATTTTGAAAACATTAACCATTTTTGGCTACACATGTTAGTAAGTTATCTTTTATACTTATTCTCATTGATAATGCTCCTATACCCAACATTATTTTAATGATTTCAACTATTGAACCTATTGTCATGTAAATTTTAATTTTAGTTAATTTTTTTCTTGTATAACTATGTAATGAACTACTAAATCTAAAATCATAACTTAAACTTTAAATTAAATTTAATGTTTTGTTGATTAAATGTACTAACCATTTTCCAATTTTACCCCATCTCACTTATTCAGTTTCATTTACTATATAACCCATTTTCTATAAAGAAATGTGATTCTTATTTTACAAAAAGACTTTTAAATTTAGTAACCAATATTTGAATAATCCATCATCAAATTAATTAGGCCTAATTCTAAATACTATATTTACTGGTCAGCTTAATTCTGATCAAAACATACTTCGATAATGTTGTAATTAACAAAATTTTCATTTATTATATCTATGTACATGTGCATTTTACTCATACTTGTCATATATTTTGTACTCCCTCGGAAATCTATGACTTCTAAATAAGGAAATTTAAAGTATTGAGATCCAAACCATATAAAAAATTAATCACTTAATTTTGTATTTCTTATAATCAATTATGTAAGATAATGAGGCACTTCTTTTGTTAAATTAATCTCACTTGCAAATAATACATATTAATTAATAATCTATTAAGCAAAAGCTTCAGTTACATTCATCCAATTATTGTAAATATAAAGTCTAGGATTCTTTTATAATAATAAAGTAATTCCTTAAGCATGTTCTTTAAACTTATTTCCATCTATAATTAATAAACGAAAATTAGTTAATGGTATTATTTTTACAGGTGTTATATCTTTAAAATATGACTCATCAATAAAATTTCTAATTTCATATTATTATTTTACTTTGATATATTTAATTTGATTAAAGAACTCTTATTGTTTAGAATAGGATCGAATATAAGTTTGAAACCTTTCCATGTAAATCTATTTTCAATTAATGATGCTTCTTTTATTATTTTATTATCTTCAATCAATTTAGCTAAAGTTCCACATTAATCATCCATAATACCACAATTATTGAGTGTCAATATTTATATATTTTCAATTATTTTCATTTTAATGAAATGATCCAACAATTAAATGATATTTTCATTTTATTTAGAATTCATAGATAAATCTATATGTTTTAAATTGCTTAATAGATTACTTACATGACTTTGATTTTTAATGGAATCTACATCCCAAAATGTTTATAAATTTTATAATTTTAATGTTTAGATAGAACTTCTGTGACCTCCTAATACTTGTTCAATTTAATTAAATGTACTCAATGAAAGTTCATTTTAAGATATATCAATATTTTTAATTGATGAATTTTAATGTAAACAAGGCATAAGTTAAAGTATTGATTCATCACTCAATTTACAATTTTTTAAATTTAAAGCTATAAATCATAGAAATTAATATTTACTTGTGACACTTGAATTTGAAAATAATCCATCACATAATACTTAGAAATCATTTAAATTAATAACATTTCCACTTAAATCTAATTCCATTAATTTTGAAGATATTCTAAGTAATTCAGATACAAAAACATAGAATGAAAAACTAAGAGTAGATTTTCTTACACTAAAATGTTTGACATTTCTAAAACAATTTAAACAACTATATAATGTATCTAAGACTTTCTCATCTTTTTCTTTAAATGATTAATAGTCTAATATTATAACAATTAAATTCTTTATCAATTTTATTGAAGAAAATAATTCTATTAATTATTCTTAAAATAATAATGTATTTGATATTTCTAAAAATCTTATATGTCTATAATTTTCTTCAATAGTTTTAATTAAATTCTTGAAACTATCATATCTAAATAATATTTTGTTAATAGAAAGTGATTATACTTTTACATCATTTCCAAATTTCATTACATTATTCATATAATCTAAAGAATCATTATCTTATAATTCTAATCTTTTAATTGAATGTGATTCAGAAATAATTTAAGTGATTATATGTAAATCATCAGCTGTGAATTGTTGTTTTTACATTTTAATTTATGGAAATTGACGACATGATTTTAACAATTTTTTACGTGCAGATTAGAGTGTTTAACCTCCAATTTAATTTCTAGATATATCTAAATATTATAAATTAATATTAGAAAGTAATTTAGGAAAATCATTAATAAGATTTTTTGTTTCATAAATTAAATTATTACTAATGTTTAAATATTTTAAATATCTACAATTAGATAATCCAGGAATAAGAGATAATATTTTTATTTTTAATTTATTTGATGATAAATCTAAATATGTTATTGAATTATTTTTGAAGAATCCATCATTTAATGTTTTTAAATTCTTTTCATCCATCTTACCTAAATTATTTCTTGCCAATAATAAAGTTTATAATGTTTAAGTATTGGATAGAAAAGAAGAAAGTGCATCTACCAAATGTGTTTAATTAATTTCACAACCATTCAAATTCAAATATTCTATTCTATTGAATTATTTTGATAATGAATTTAATATTGATGAAATCATACAACTATTTTCAGAAAAATCAAGTTATCTTAAATTTGTACATTTAATTTCAATTAATTCTTCTCTTCCACTACATATATCATTTTCATCTTATCTTAATTTTGATAATACTAATGTTCTTAATTGACATTCTTTCATCATAGAAATTAATGCATAAACTAAATCATATCTTAAATAATTATAAGATAAATCTAAATATTACAAATTTAATTGTTCATGATTGAATATATAAACTAATATACCTTCACCACTAATATTATTATTTGCCACAGATAGACTTATTAATCTTTAATTTTCTATAAGAGCATATATCAAAGAAACAAAACCTTATGTACAAATTTCATTATTATTCAAATTTAATTCCATCCACATAACCTTTTTAGAACTAACAACCTATGATATTTAATATGCTCCTTAAGTTTTAATTGAATTATTTGATAAATTAAGAGAAAGAACATTTAAAAAGAAATTTGTTGGGATTTCTTCAAATCTATTATATGATAAATCAACTCTACTCATTTTTTTATTTAAGACTTATTAATTTTAGAATTCTGATATTTTATTTTTTGATAAGTTTATTTCTTCAATATTCAATTTCATTAATATCGTTTCTAATGATTCTATACATTCTTATGTCAATTAATTATATTCTAAATTCAATGATTTAATGTTTATTTATCTTACTGACATAAATAATGCTACACTTAAGAGTTCAAGTCCTTAATTTGTTATCCAATTCCATGACACATCCAAATAATCTAAAGATTTATTACCTGTATAATTAATTATAGCACTACTCAATGCTAAAATACTCTCTGAAGAATTTAAGTTTACCAAAGAAATAATGAATCGTCTTTAAAATTATATGTGTAATATATACTTTAATGATCTCAAATGTTTCAAATTTGGTAATATAAGTGACAATGAAGCATTATCAAGATTACAAAAGCTTAAATTTATTTCAAATAATGGGTTTTTGCCTTTTAAGACATATTTACAAAAATCCTCAACTGATGTCACTGTGAATCCCTTGTTATTAGAGAGATTTAAATGAGTTAAACCTGTATGATCTATCATCTAAATAAGGTTTAATCTATTACTGATTTGAATATACAACTTAGAGAAAACGAATTCAAATTGCATCCAGCCAATTACAATACTTAGATATTTGTATTCTTTTAAACCAAATTAGCCAACTCAATAGCATAGTAGATGTTAATATTACATCTAGACAAATTGACTTCACTATTCTTAAAAACTTAACTTACGTTATTTTATTATTGCAAGCCAATTCAGTACAAAGCTCAGTAAAACATGATAAAGCCCCACGATTAATATTTTAAGAAAATTCACTAACATAATTTTCATTCCATTTATCTTTTTTTTCTTTTTTTCTTGACATTTTATTCACTATTTCCCAAAGTGTTCCTGCTAAATTCTTCCTTTTCATATCCTTTACTTGCTTCTAATACAATTGCTAGCTTGAAAATCTTTCTAATGATAATTAAGAAGAAGGAATAAAGTTCATTTAAAAACAATTATAATTTAATTTAAAATAGTTCTTATTTTATATCATTTACAATACTCAGGTCATTCTTTTATGGACAACAATACAATTCCTATTCTAATATATTCAATTTTTATTATAAAACATTCCTTCATTTTTGTAATTAATTTTCTTTACCTACATATTACAATAAGTTATATTTGCAGTTTTTTTCTTATTTGTTTAGAATAAGATGATAATAACACAAAATTATCAATCAAACTATGTATAAATTACTACCTATTCTTTTCAAATATCATTATTTTATTAATAGCTTTATCACATCTTTTGATTAAATAAATTATAAATATTTATCATTTCATTTACACAACTAAATAGTTTTTCTTAATAATTTATTAGTTTAGAATTTGAACAATATAAATTAATTTTCTATAATTTTATCTTCATTAAATTATTCATAACAAAAAATAAATACATAATCTACCTATTTCCCATTACACATGAAAAGCAAGAGAAAATTCAATCATAAAAGTATTTCTTATGATTATCTTCCTATTAATACTAATCAAAGCATAACTAATTGGTGCAAAATTTAATAAAATAAAAATTCCAATACTTTAAATATTAAATTTTCAATATATAAAAGTGATTGTGAATTCATTAGTTTTATTAAATGATATTTGAAATAACTCAAATTAAGCAATCTATAGTATCGAAGTATAATTTTTCTGAAATTAATATAAATTTTATTAAAGATTAATATATACTTTACAATTTAATTAAAGCAATTGGTGTAAATAAAGTATAATAAATTTTGTTAAATATTATATCATTTTATTCATATTAAGAATTAGCTATTATTTCTATAAAATCCTTTATTGAATTACTAATCAGAAGAAGATCTTTAACAATCAACAATAACAATTAATTTAATCTAAATGAAAATCAACTTTGAAATTATAATTATTTCATTCAATCAAATACTAAATCCCCTTTAGTCTTTACAATAATTAATAATTATATATATTAAATATAAATTAAAGAAGAACAATAGCTACTACTTTAAATAACAAAGAAACTTTATTATATGGTTCTATTTTTTTCATAATTTATGAAAGAGAATCAGAAAAATGAATTATACTAAATAGAGGCGATCTTTTATTATATAAATGCATGACTTTATCACTTTAATACCAACTTAACTGCCTCTACAATATTGTGTGCTTTAGGGAAACTAAGTTCTTCTAAATTAAATGCATATGGTGTTGGGATATCAGCCCCTGTCACTCTAACAACAGGTGCATCCAAATGGAAGAATGCATTAGCTTTAGATATCAAAATTTAATACATTCATTGATGATACTACAGATTTCTGCTCCAATACCACATTGTCCCCATCCTTCTTCAACAGTAACCACTCTGTGAGTCTTCTTGATACTTTCTAAAATTGTATTTCTATCTAAAGGTTTCAAAGTTCTGAGATTGATAACTTCACATGAAATTCCTTCTCTTTCTAGTTCTGCAGCAGCTAACATTGAAAATCTCAAGTTAATTCATTCTCATACTTGACCATTTTAGAAAATGTTACAATTGTCACATCTTTTCCTTCCTTCATGATTTTAGCTTTTCCAATTGGTATCAAGTAATCCTTATCCATAACATTGTCTGGGACTTCAAATGCTTCATTATACATGATTTCATTTTCAAGAAAAACTACTGGATTAGGATCTCTGACTGCTGCTTTCAAGAGACCTCTGGCATCTTCACAATCATAGGGAGATAATACAATCAAACCTGGTACTTAACTATACCAAGCAGCAAAACATTGCGAATGTTAAGCAGCCACTGATGCAGCTGCTCTAAAAAAATCAATAAATTCACATATCATACCCATTGATTCCTCTAAATACTATAGATGTTTTCAGACCACCTGCACTCATGTAATGCAGTTTGGCTGCTGAATTGATTACATGATCAATGGCTTACATTGCAAAATTGAATGTCATAAATTCAACTATGGGTTTAAGTCCATACCTATAAAAAGATGAGGTAATTATTACATAGAAGCTCCAACACTTAAACCTGTAAATCCAGCTTCTGTTATTGGAGTATCCCAGATTCTACTCTTTCCAAAACGATCATAGAGACCTTTAGATACTTTATAAGCACCTTAATATTAACCAACTTCCTCTCCTAAAAGATTGTAATTTCTTATAAAATACCAATCAAAAAGACATTTGGATCTCTTTCAATTTCTTAAGCCATTGCACTATTTATGGCTTCTCTGACTGTCATTTTTGCAAACCCACTTCTTAATTTATGAACAATTCTTAACATGAATTATTTATATTTATGTATATTTCAATTAATATAAACTTTATACAATTATATAAAAAGAAAAATTTAGAAATCTATTTTCTTAATAACTACTGATATTATATTTAAAAACCCAAAGTTTACGAAATATTTGATCAATATATAAACAAATAGACTTATCCTATCTCTCCTTGTTTTATTCTTAAACAATTAGGTTTACTATTGTATTGAAATAGTAGATTAATCAAAATTTTCTTTTTTTTAAACCCCTTCATTTTTGTATTCTCAATTGTAATTACTATAAAAACAATCTTATTAGGTGGACAACTAATAGATATTACATTGAATATATTAAGATAATTGTTTTTGTATAAGTATATGATCATTTGTTAAGAAATTGTAAGTAAGAAACTTCTTAAAATCTATTGAATACTGTGGCTATACTCATGGAATGTATAATAAGGAAGGTATTTCAATATGTTTCCTCATTTCTGTTATCCTTTTAAATGGAATTTTTAAGGATGAGGTTTTAAACTTTCTTTCTCCTTTCTTTATTTTTATAAAGACAATTTATTAAATTGAAGATCATGAGTTCTTTAAAGGTCTAAGGTTGTATTTTAAGTTATTTGTATTGAAATTGAAGTGCTTAAATTACTGTAAATAATAAAGTATCATTATTGGACAATAATACGAAATTTTCTGAAGATAAATTAATCATTTGACTTTAAAACAAAAATAGTCTTACATACTTACGAAAATAAAGCGACTGAACTCATTGTTGAATCTGAATCGAAGACTCATTACAAGAGCTCTTTGATCAAGAAAAAAATTCTAATATATAAAGAATAAAAGCAATATATTTAAAGTATAATTATACATCAAATTTCTGTTTTAATATCATTAGAATGCTCAATTTTATAAAATATAGGGGGAGGTTAATAGCTATAGGGATAGTAAATAAAACTAACTTAATATTAAATCAATACTTTTGACCAAGTTTGGGCAATTACTTCTTAATTAATGTTGCTTAATCTAATTGTTTATCGACAGTTTTTCTGTTCAACTTTGGTCTTTTTTAGCGCTCTTTCTTTTTGCCAATCCTCCCTTAGGTTTTATAAGTCTTCAAAATGGCTTTGGCTGTCGATAATTTAATTTCATTGGCTTCAGCAGCTAATTTGACAGAAACCCCTTCTTCTAAGACCTATTTAATAAGGAAATTCCTTTTTTCATCAGTTATAACACTGTATTTCTTATGAGGTTCTGCGGCTAAAAATAATACGTACTATGTTATTATTTTGAGATCTCTGGTTCAGTTTAGATATTTCTGGTACTTAGTACTTGCAATGGTGGATGAAAATATAAACTTTAACTTTTCGGCAACATCCCGGAATAATTAAACATGAAGATAATATTTACTTTTTGAAAAATAACCTTTTAATTGATTTAATTAATGATAAAATAAAGATTCAAACTAAGTAGTTGGATAAAAAGAATAAGCAGAGAAGTGGCAATAAAACCATCATAAGCAAATAGTATAGACTATATATTTTATGATGTTCAAATTTTATAATCAACTTATGACTTCTAATAGTTTTATTTAAGTTAAATGTAAATTATTAACCAAGACTCTTCATCTCTTTACTAAATTTTACTGCACATGTACTAATGTTGATTAATTTGATTGTTGAATCTTACTAAACCATTTTTGTGAAGATCAGTTGTTTTTGACTATTCTAAATATATAAACAATAGACATTTATAATTCATTCAATAAATTTACCATTATTAAATAGAAAAGTCCACATCATTATAGTTTTATAAAATATAAAACATAATCATATCAAATAAAGTAAAGGTTCACTTCTCATCTTAATATTTTTTTAAATCTAATTTTTTCTTACTTTAAAATCTAAATTAATCATCAATGAAGTATAATTGGATAGATTAAATGATTAACAACAAGTCCTCATCAAATATATACAGATTTTCTTATATCCTTAAGAAGTTTTGAAGTACTTAAATAAAAATGATTTGTATAATATTAAATTTATTTAGCTATATAGAAGAAGTTTGAAATAATATTAGAAAATACTCTTTATTAATTAAATTAAGTGAATTGATTAAAATAGTTCATATTAATAATAGAAAAATTCTAAGAAATTGAGAAATTGAAGTTCCTCTTTCTGAGAAAGAAATTTTATATAATTATTTTTTTGAATTCCTTTTTAATTATTAAATAAAAAAAAGGAGATTTGTTTATGATGTTTAAATAATATTGATTATATATGTATTATAATATTTACTAAAAATTCTCTATATTTTTATGTTTAGAATGTGTAAATTACTCAATTCTTAATTTTCATTATATCTAATCCATTAATTTATAAAAGTAAGCATCCTTATAAATTAATAAGGTTATGATTTTTTTAATAGTAATTTGAATGTTAATTTTATTGAATTAGAGTTGTTTAATTAAATCTAATTAGGAATGAATTATTTCAGTCTTGTTTATTCATAAAATGAGTATGAATTTAATAACCATATAAATTCAATATAAATAATTATAAGATTTAAATAGTTTAATTAACAAACAAAAAATTGATTAGATTAAATTATTATCTTATACTCATGAAGTAAATGAATTCTAAATAAATTATAATTAACTTAGTTAATTGATTTGTGTATATATATAAAAATTTTAATACAACAGAGATTTATAAATCCAACAATTTAAAACCTATTATTAAAAATCTCTGATTTTCGATAGCTTAATTATTTTAAATATAAAGAATGATAACTCAATTGCTAGAATCAATTTGTATTCAAGTTGGATATTTTGAAATACAAATTAAGTTGCCATTGCTACCATTTTTTTTTACTATAGGTCGATTATTTTCATTACTGTTTGTGATTTATCCACACAGCTAAGTTGATAATTTACAGCATACAAAAGAATCATCAAGTGAAAATTAGTTTTATTCATTATTACAACTACAAATTGAATTGTTAAATGAAGGACTTGGGAATTACAAAATACAACATTATTTTTCGTTGATATTTAATTGTGTTATTACAATACTTATTGGAATAAGTATAATTCTCAATTATAATTAAAAAGAGAGAATAGATGAGAATGTCAAATAGTAAAATATTAATACTATTTTAATGAGAGTCATCTGTCTCATAAATTCCTTTATAAAAGTAACTATTATACAACCTTTATTAATTATTGGTTTGTATAATATATAAAACTCAATGTATAATCAACTCTACTTATGGATAATTAACGATATAGTATTTTTATGTAACATACATTTTACTTAAATATTGCATTTTTTACTAACTGAAGGCTCTTTGATTATATAATGTCACTCTTATAAGAGATTGTAAGTATCATTAGTAGAATATATTGCATACCTATTAATAATGTCTTAACCTTATATATTTACATTTGGTTTACCTAGTATTACTTAGTATGCATAGGCAATAATATATATATCAATAACAATGTGTGAAATACATTCTATTTTCATTTCAAAAGTATATTCTTAATAAATTCAAATATTTTTAATAATTGTGATTCATTCATGTGGAATATTCATCTCTATATGTATATTGTCAAATATTGAGAAACCATTAATTTATATATTCTTGCTTTCTCCATTTTTAATTTATATTGGAATGTTTGTATATAATAGTGCATAATTTGAAATCTAAAATAAAGAACCTTCTTTATTATCCTAATTAGATTTGCATAATTTAATTTGTAGAAAACTTTCAAATGAGAAATCTTCATTCCATTTAACTTGTGTACTTAATTCCATTAAATTAAGGAAACATATATAAAAATGTTTACGTATTGAATGTTTTTGTCACACTTTATAATATTATTCAACTGAATCTGAATAATTATTAATTATACCAGATATAATTGAGGAAGAACATAAATTTAGTTTGATTAAAAGTTTAAAAAAATCAATTTAATAAAAATAACCTAAAGATATATTTTATATCCTCTGTCATATTTTGTATGCTTAATAGTATCATGGAGAAGTTTATGAAATTTATTCTAAAATTGAAAACAAAAGTATCATAGACAATCTTAGTAGACTATAAAGAATTAAATGGAAAGTGTTCACTATGATTATAAAATAGAATTTATACAATAGTTTTACAGCTAAAGTTGAAAATTATAGCAAAGATTAATCTAATTTATCAATAAAAATTAATTAATTTGTTTAATCTGAAAGTTTTAATTAAAGTATAAAAGATGGACTAATTAATATTATTTAAAGAAAGTTAGACTTTTCAAAAATATTATTAGAATAACAAAAGTAAAGTGATTTTTTAACTTTATATTTTGATTTGATTAAATAAATAGAGAAATAAGAAACATCATTGAGAATGATATATGAAAGATTTCCAAGTATTTAAATATATATTCATATTAGGTTAAAAAAATTAATCATAACTTATGTTCTTTTATGGAGAAATTAAATATGATTGGTAAAAGGCATTTGATTAATTGTAAATAAATGCTTTAGATAATTAATTATTAGATTAATCTAATGATATAGATATAAATAGATTAACCAACAAAATGTCTTATGTGATATTCTCTTTTGAAGATAGAAAGTTAAAAATTAAATCATTCTCTAAAAAAGCACCATAAACTTTTGGATATAAAAATAAAGCTTTTGATAATATAGTTAATTCTGATATTTTAATTCCAAGAATTATTAGAGATAATCATAATAGTTATATAGAATAATTTTTATGTGATGGAAAAGGAAGTTTCTTTAGAAAAAAAGCAGAAATCATTTGTTAATTAAAATCTGGACTACTTCAAAATCTTGATTTCTTTTATGATTTATACTTTGATGGTAATTAGTGTTTTCGTTTTATATCATTTTTTTGTACAATTGAATAAATTGATCCTACTATTTTGATTGATCAAAACAATAGAATTTAAGGTCTTAATAAGGAATTATTTAAATAACTTAACTTTAATCCAAAAACAATTGAAATATTATAAATTGAGAAATATTTCTATAATATTTCTGCAACCAATTTCTTTCCAAATAATGTATTAAATAGTAATCAAAATACTATAACTTTTTAATTCAGTTTCCCAAAAGAATCTTTCTTTATATCATTAGTTCAGTAGAAAGTATCTTTATAGAAAATTGATGCAAATCTAATCAATTATGATGTGAATTGTGATATATTATATAGAGATGGTTATAAGATATTTAAATTCAAAAAGATCTAAGAAAATGGATAATTCAGATAATTAGTTTCTATGGATGCATAAAGCATACATGATAAATTATTCGATATTAATAATGAAGAATCTATTATTTATCCTTATGATGGTAATATGGTGTCTCCTAAAGAGTCTTGTACAAATAATATTATGTTTGATACTTAAAGAAGAACAGATATAAAAATATTTAGTGATACTGAAGACAAAAATTAAATGATTAAATACAGTAAACATGAAATTATGCATGAATATAGTGATTCATATTTTACAGAATAAGAAGATAAAACAGTTTAAATCTTAGGTAATATTTATGAAAATGATATGAGAAATTAAGAAAATTTGATTGCAGGAGGATCATAAGCATCCTCTATGGCTGGATTAAGGAAATCTGTTTTTTATAGAAAATATTCTCTAGTAAATATACTAAATGAAACTAAAGTTAAAAGTCCAATGTTATTAAAACTAATTGGATTATTATTTATTCTCTTACTTAGTCAATCTATATTTTTAATTATTGTAATTATTCTTAATATATATAGAATATTATTTATTCCAAATAAGATTTCAATTCTCTTAATTATTATTATGAATCCATTTAAATCAACCATTACTTTATAGAACCAATGTAAAAATTCTTTTTAACTCGATACATGTTACAGGATTATTAAATCACTTCTTATTATGGAGAATTAAATTCTACTTAATTGAAATTTTATACTAGTTTTATAATGCCACTCTTAATTGATTCCTTTGAATAATTTAAATAAAACTTTTAGGATCATTTTCAAGATGAAAGTTTCTCTTAATTTATTAAAGATTAATATGTTGTAGTAAAACAATAAACTTACCATTATTCTCCTATCAAATTATAAGAATACAATATTACTTTATTTAATGCTTTTAGTATACTTTTAGATGCTTTTTATAAATAATAATAAATTTATGTCACTTCTTCTTCAACTAGAGGAACCAACCCTCATAATACTTATTAATACATAAATTATATACTTTTTGTAACTATATTTGATTAGATATCTGATTAAATGTATGAAGAATCAATAACATAAATTGATTTGGTTGTTACTAGATGGTTAATCTTAGTAATTCCCATTTCAATCATAATTTCTACAATAATCATTCTATTAGCATATTATCATAATCTATTCAATCATTTATTAGAAAAGTTTTTTGCATTAAATACTTTTATTGAATAATCAGCTATTGAAAATGATAATGCAAGATAACTTTTTATTTTGTAAACTTTAAAATAAGGATCAGATTTGATTCATAGATATAAGTTTAATTTAATAGGAAAGGAAGAAATGCTAAGAAAATCTTATGTGAAGGAAAAGATCAATATTTAGAATGATATTAGAAGAACAAAAAGCAGTGTAAAGATTACTAAAATACCTTTAATATTAATGATTTTATTCTTTTAAGTTTAATATTCCCTTATTGCTGGACCATTAACTTATGTAGGTGCTAAATATATGAGAAAATTTCCAGATACTATTCATTTCTTTAAATCGTTCTCTGACATAGGTGTATATGTTCCAGCGGCATTTTCTCAAAAAGAGATGTTATATTATTTCTTTTATTTTTCATACTTTACTAAAGAAGATAGAACTTTTTTTATAGAATAGATTTAAAAATCAGTTTAGAAAATTGATACTTTTTTAAGTTTAAAAATAGATGATGATAATTATTAATTTTCATCTTAATTTGTAGATAATTATGAATTCTAAGAATAGAATAACTTATGTCTTCTTTTAAATAGCACTAAATATTTTGATTTTGAATATTTTTGTTATAATTCTTAAAATGGAATTTTGAAATTAGGATTGATTCCTACTTTGAATGCATTCAGTAATATACTTAAGAGCGAGTTAGATATAGATTTTCCAGCATCTAGAACAATACCACCAAAAGAAGAATTAGAAGCAGTTTATTTTTGTTCAGACATTGTATCCACGATAACAAAATAGATGGCCTCAAATATATAGGAACAAGCAATTAAATTAGAATAGACATATAATGTAATATAAATTTTTATTAATTTTAGATTATAAATGGACTTGCTTTGAGTTTCACACTATTTTTAATTTTAATAGTGTACTTTGAAATATATCAGAGTTTTAAATTTAGACTTTGTAGAACTAAAGCCATTTCATTAGTTTTTCCACTCTAAACAATTTTTTTAAATGATCATTATGAAAGGGAATTACGAAGAATAGTTACAACGGAATAACTTATTTGAATAATTTAGTACTTATACATATCTATTTTATTATCATAAATTAATTATATTTCAGATTAGATATAGAGACAAAATTTGGATTTTTTATTAATTTCCAAGGAAAATAAATATTTGTTATAGCTTTAAATAATTTACATATGGACTCTTAAATGAAAATAAAAAAAGCACATTTTATAAATTCCAGCATAAAGAGTAGAATGTTAAACATATTGTAGCTAATATTAAAAAGGATTATAAGTTTTTAAGAGAGATTGGAGCAGGAGGGTTTGGAGTAGTATTTGAAACAGAATAAAAGTCAACAGGTATCATTGATATATTAATCAGGGGTAAAAAGAGCCATAAAAGCAATTGCAAAGGATAGAGTAGTAGATAAAGAAAGTTTTAAAAATGAGCTTTCTATTTTAAGAAAAATAGTAATATTTATGAGATTACTTTAAAGGATCATCCAAATATATTGAAAATGTATGAAGTTTATGAAACAGAAAAGACATTATATTTAGTTACAGAGTAAAAACAATATTTAAATTACATAGAATGTGTGAAGGAGGAGAACTATTTTATTATATAACAAAAACATAGCATTTAACAGAATTATAGGCTGCAAAAATTATGAGATAAATTTTTACCGCAATAGCTTATTTGCATGAACATAAGATTGTACATAGAGATTTAAAACCTGAAAATTTCTTATTAAAAAATAAGGATGATGATTCTTCAATAAAATTGATTGATTTTGGGTTAGCAAAGACTTTTAAAGATGATGAAGTTATGACTTAACCTAATGGAAGTTTATTTTATATGGCACCAGAGATAATTAAAGGATAATATGGTTATGAAGTTGATTATTGGTCATTGGGGGTCATTTTATATGTTATGATGAGTGGATAACCACCATTTCCAGGTAGAAATCCATAAGAAACATTAAAGAATATTTAAAAAGGAATATTCACATTCTCAAAATAAGGTTTTAAAGGAGCAAGTGAAGAGGTATAAGTGTTTTTATGAAAAGAGGTTAGGGATTTAATATAAAAGTTACTAGTGATGGATCCAAAGAGACGATTCACTGCTAAATAAGCATATAATCATCCTTGGGTTTAATTATAGGTTAGTAATGAAGTGATGAATTTAAAATTACATGATGATGCAATTAAGGGTATAGATAGAATGATAAGTGCACAATAAATGAAAAAGACTATGTTATTATATTTAGCTACTTTTATTCCAGAAAGTGAAATAACATCATTAAGATAAGTAAAAATGAAAAATAATTTAATTAGTTATTTGTATCTTTAGATAAAGATGGTAATGGAATGATTTCATTAGAAGAAATGATTGATGGTTTAACAGAATTCAAAAAGTTGAAACATAAAAATATGGATAAGAATTACTTAATATAATTATTTAAGGCAATGGATATTGATTAAAGTGGATAAGTAGATTATAGTGAATTTATTGCTGCTTTTTTAGCATGTCCTTAATTTTAGAATGAAAGATTTATCGAAGAATCATTTAAAAGAATAGATTAAGACAATAGTGGTAGGATTTCTAAGAATGAATTAATGGATATTTTTCATACTGATACTATCTCAATTAAAGATATTGATATAGAAGAATTAATTAGATAAGCTGATCTTAATAAGGATGGAGAAGTATTATTATTATTAATATCATAGATCGATTATCAAGAATTTATGATACTCTTAAGAGACAGATTTGCTGATTAATTAAAGCAATGACTAATTGATTAAGTTATTAATAATTATAATGAATAGACAATTCTAGCAGAACTGTCCATTTAGATAACAATACGCAGGACAGTATGATTTCTTAACAAAGTCTGAAAATACTTTATGTAAAGGGAAAGTTAAACTAATTTAACAATCACCTTCATTTGCAGATTATGTGAATGCTTTGAAAGATTAAGGTTAAAAAAAGAATCATCGTCATAACACTGAAACAATATAGAAATGTCCTATTCTTCCTAAGATTGAAGTTGTCTTACCAGATCTTTAGACAATGAAATCACATTTCGTTTTAAGCCTCAATAAAAGCACTACACATTCATATCATTCATAAAGCTATATATAGCATTCTAATTCATAAACTCCTAGATCAAGAATAGGAATTCCTACTTCGATTACTAGAAGATCTTTACCACCACAAAAATAAACAAAACTATCTACAATTACACCTAAGAGTTCTTTATGCATCAAATCTAACTTTGATGAAGATGATGGAATCTTTCTTACTAAAATTGGTGGTGAAGAAGTCATACAAGAAATAGCCAGATTATTTCATCAGCATTCTCAAATTCATCCCATAATTTAGAGTAAACTATTCCTATATATGTGAGAAATTGATGATCCAGCTATGTATGAATCGAAATTCGGAACATTTCTCGAGTATATCATGGGGAAACCAGTATTTTTTAACATTGAAGCGCTAAAATAAAAACATATCCCCTTAAAAATTGATCATGCATTATACAATCAATTTAAGAGCTACTTAATTGTAAATAATCAATTATAATAAGAAAGAGTAGTTTTATTCAAAGTAATAAAGGACCTCCTGAATTAATATTTGAATTCAGTGCACTTATTGAATAATATAAATACTGTATTATAACATCAGAATAAACTTTTGCTTAGATTTATAATCAAAGGACTGAAAATAATAAAGATGAAACTCCTTAAAGTATTGTACATTTAGCAGATCTTACTTATTAAAAGATATTAGATGATTAAACTCTTTGTGAATATTTTGTAGGCATTTAAATGGATGAATAAGCTAAAAAACTAGGTATTATATTGCATTAAATGATGGGTTGGAATTGTGGTGTTGATTATGTATTGAATTATTTAAGAAAATCCCATTAAAGAATGAATTTAACAAATGTTCATTTTACTTTATTTAAATAACATTTGGTTGAAGCTATGAAAGAACTTGGATTAAAAGAAAGTTAAATAGAATTAATAACAAAAAGAATGGATGGTTATAGAAGTTGTATAGTAAATCAAGATTGCTTATTGGATTTTTATTTCTAATCTCCAACTTTATTTAAAGTCTAAGTTAAGAAATATGAAGTATTTTTATAAAGAGATCCTCGATTTCGAAATTTTCCAAATGTGCCTACTCTATTAAGACATGCACATTTTTTACTAAAATTTATAACTCATTAACATTAACCACTTTTAACAAAAATTGATCTCACTACTTTACATAAAAATTGTGTTATTCAAAATGAATGGTTAGATGGTTTCAGAGATAACTTTTTTATATTAATTAAAAATTATAATTTAGATAGATTGATTTTATAGGATTATGCTGATTTATGGTTTTAATTAAGGTTCATTGTTACAAATTAATAAAGTATTGAAAGTATAATTGGACCATAAGGATTAGATCAAGTTTAATTCAAAGTTTAATTAAATCTTTAAGATAATGAAATATATAGTGATCATTTTAGAAATGCTGAATACTAATTAAAATCTCATGTGAAAAAGATTGTTGGATTTATATTTAGAAATTCATCAATTTATAAGGCAAATGATTTAAGAGTTATTCATAGCCCATTAAAAATTAGTGAATAAACTTTTAATTTATTTGTATAATTAATCAAATAAGTTATGCAAGAAGAAAAATTGTGTGCCAATTTAATTCTTTTTGCTGATTAGATTTGTTAGTATTATAGAAGTAGCATTTGCAATTTGTGATTTTATCTATTAATGTACTAATATGTATATATTATATATGTCTCATTATGCAAATGGCAAAACACCTCTTTGTCTAAGAATAGCCTCCAAAGCTGCAGCACTTTATCCTTTTTATCTTAAATATCCTGCCAAGATGACAGTGCTATTCTTTTTGTTATAAACTCCATTCTCATCAACCTTTAATTAGAAATTGAATCAATACTTATCCTACATTGATTTATACACTGGAGTAATCACTGCTATTCAGGATCATATTTGTATATTGGCATTTTCTTGGTACATAAATATCGACAACTTATTTCTCATCATTGATCATTCCTGCATTTTCTTGAATTCTGTGAGCCATAATATTAAAAAAAGATTTAAATTTTTTTATATATTTAATTAATTCATTATCCCTTCATCTATACACAACATAATACTTATATATATTCCACTCTATAAAATCTTGAGAACTAACAAAAAAAGATGTGATCTCCTTCTGTTGAATTATCTAAGTTATTTATTAATATCAATAAAAAATAATAAGATAATCAATTTTTATCTTCAATAGACTGTTGCTGTTTTACTACAAAAGTCAAGACTGTGCGTCCAACCTAAAATTCAATACTAATATTACTTATAAAGCAACCTTCTCTTACTCTATTTTATATGGTTAGAATAATCTTACTAATGTTCCAAACTTACTATTATTGTCAAGAATCATGAAGTTACCATCCTCATATTTTATGTAAGCATGTAATCTAGATACTGAAATATCTGATATTTATATATCACATTGATGACCTCTTCCCTATAATATAAATTATATATTTACTATTTTAATAGGTTCATTATTTTAAAATTAAATGACATATACAGCTTTACCATGTTTCTTCTCTTTTTTATGTCTTGATTGCATTATTAAATATGGTGTTGAAGGACGCTATATTAAATCCAAAGAAAGTTCTCTGTCTTCCATATTTATTTTCAAAGGTAATATAGATTCACAAAGTTCACATTATTGTCTAAAATGTTAATATTAAATACTATTTCCATCTATATGATTGTGCACTATTTAACTATTTTATTTGGCATCTACTCTCTATCCATTGTCTCATACAACTGAAATGAACAAACTCACAGCTTCCTTTACAATTACATGGAGAAATGAAGGGATCTTCTATAGACTATGTCTCCATTAAGCAAAATCGACAGATTGCTTAAGTATTTGTAACATAGGAAGCAGTTATTTCAAACCAATCCTGACTTTTTATTCAAGTTATACTTTTAACATTTCATTTGTAGCTTTATTAACTAAGTTATCCTTATTCCTTGTTTCTATTATCAAGTATTCCATTCTTCCTAATTTTATTATGTCTCCAGGTTCCATTTTATATCCCTTTCATTTTAATTATCAACTAATACTTTCTATCCTCCTTAACTATTTTTTAAACTTCTAACTATTAAAAAATTTTCATTTTCATCACATCCACTAGGGTTGATATAAAACTTATTATTTTGTTCTTTAACTGCAGTTAAATATTATTGAGACTCTAGTTATTCAGTTTCTGGAGAATGTGTACTAATCTCTTAACCTATTTAATATTATTTGTATAATTATACCCAATCGGTAAACCTTTTTCTCTTACATTATGATATACTTTTCAATTGTGAGAAGTTGAGTTTCATAATCAAATAAACCATGAGAATCTTTTTGCCAAGTCGCAGCCTTCATTTCGACACTAAATAATTTCAATAACTGTACAATTATTGCATATGAATTTATTAATTTATATATAAAATAATAGAAATAACTATTAGAATAATTAATAAACATTATTATTAGAATACATAACAATCTAATTCATGAATTTTAGAAAACTATTTTAAATTATTTAACATAATTAATAATAATTAAATGATTTGAATAATAGATTTTATATATAATATAAATATATAATTTAATATATAGTTTTGATAAATCCATCTAAAAATTGAACACATTTTAAATATGAATTAGAAATTAATCATAAAATCATAATTTAATTTACTTAAATATTTAATAATAATGATTGATTTGTAAATTATTTATTAAAAATGCATACTGTTCTATACAAAATTGCTAATTTATAGAATATTTATACAACAAATAATATATTTAATAACATGAAAACTATTCTCTATACTATCTTTCTTTTCAAATTAGTTCACTCATCATGCCATCTGAGATCTATCTAGTCTTGCCTTTAAGATGAATAATGTTAATTAGTTAAACATGAATGTTAAAGTAGACCAAATAAATGTGAGGATATTGATGCTTCAAATCCAAATAATTGTAGTGGAATCTAATGCTACTATGATTTTGAGTTAAAAATTTGTTAAGTAAAACTTATTTTAATAATTTAGCCATATGAAGATGAATATGATATCAAATCAAGAAGAATTTTAGATCATAATGATGGTAGGAATAATGAAGAATCTGAAAGTTAACATAATGATAAAAATTAATATAATCAAAATGGAGAATATCCTAATTAACATTAAAATAATGAAACTACAAATTCAAACAATAATGAACCTATTCCTCCAGAAAATGAATCCAATTCATCTGTTATTTAAAATAACACTGGATAAGATAATCAATCAACAAATTCTACATCCTAGAATACAACTGATGTAATAGCATTTGAAATGGTGTAATTTAATTTCAATTAAGAAAAAATACTCAATAGTAATTTGGATGAAAAAGATTTAGTCATCAATACTAGTTTCTCAATAGCATTGACAGCAACTGTAATTTTAGCTAAACTATTTATTTGATGATATAAATTAAATAATATATGCTATTTGTAATTTTTATAATTGGAATAATCTATGCTTCATGTATAAACAGAACAATAGAACAATGTTTGATACTAAATTTCAATCAATAAGAATAATGCTAAATCTCGTCAGCTCAATGTTTGCCTAGATCATAATTATGTTTTGAAATAGATGCTTCGTATCCTTTAAATTGTCAAACATCCCAATGTTACTATGATAAAATTTTAAACAAATGTCTGGTATCTTTTTATTTATCACAACAGACCATTCAATAATCTCGAATTCTTGATGAAATAGCAGAGAGAGGAGGAAGAAATGGAAATGGAGGAAGAGCAGGAAATGGAGGAAGAGGAGGAAATGGAGGAAGAGGAGGAGATGGAGGTCGAAATGGTTATGAACATAATCATGGTTCAGATCATAAAGAAGATGATGATGACAAAAATTCTTATCATCAACAATATAATCAATCCTCAGTATTCATATAAAATTTCATTCATAGACATAATAATATCCTTAATAGCCATATCAACCATAATATCCATATTAACCTTAATAACCTACGAATCCACAATATCCATAATAACCACAATATCCATAATAACCACAATAACCATAATAACCACAATAACCATAATAGCCATAAGAGCCATAAAAACCATAAGAGCCATAAAAACCATAAGAACCATAAAAACCATAGGAACCATAAAAACCATAAGAGCCTTATATACCCTAAGAGCCTTAATAACCATAAGAGCCTTAATAGCCATAAGAGCCATAATGGCCAATATAGCCAGAAAAACCATAAGAGCCTTAATATGTTGATCCTTCCCAAAATGAAAAGTAAATTTATCTTTTGATTTAGTTAAAATGATAATTAGGATAGTTCAGAATAAGATTCAAATAATTCAGAATAAGGTATATATATAATTGATTATTGTTAGATTTCCAAAATGTACCAAATGAAAATAATTAAAATTCAGAAAGTAAAGACTATAATTATATCGATTCTAGGTGCTAGTTTAAATAATTTGAGAATAGAAAAATTTATTGAAGAGGATATTAGAAATAAGATAGAAGCATCAGAAGATGAGAAGCAAATAGAGATAAGGAATTCAGGAGCAAATTTAATTTTATCATTTGCTTTAATGATAATTTGGATATGATCATTATTTAATTAAATGAATCACAGTCTCTACACGGTGCATCCAACTTACACTCCTATCAACCTAAGACTTGCAGAAGAGTATTTCAATACACTTCCTTCTGGTGATATCAGCAGACAATTCTTTGATGGTGTTCAATATAGAGCTGTAAAAGGATTATTTGCTTCATATGCACTTAATAGATTTTCATAATATGGAAAGTTGAACTCACTATACAAGTTCTATCCATATTAAAAGATTGTCAAAGAAACAAATGAAGAATTATGTGAAGATTGGACTTCAAATATTTGTAATATCGAATTAAATATATTCTTAGAACTTGCTGCAATTGTGACAGGAGCTTCATGGACTTTCCTTTATTAATATGCTAAAAGAGGATAAGTCTTAAGTATTTTGAGAGAATATGGATCAGTTTTCAAGACCCATAGATTATTCAGATAATATCTATACACTCTTGTGCTTCCTTTTGTAATTGCAAATGAGTATACATTTATTCATTACCATGATCACATTGAATAATTATGGCAAGTGCATGCAAATAGGTAATAAATAAATTGTAGATCTTAGATTGAATAAGAAGGATTTATCAGATCCAGCTGGCACCTAATATCCAGAAGAATTAAGAGCACCAAGAAGAGATGTGTTTATCAATAAATGGCATTGATCTACACCATAATAAATCTAATAAACAATATTATTATTTTTATAATTTAATATTCCACCCATTCTATCTTGTTATCTATTAGGTTCTAATATATAATACAATTCATTTCTAAAAATGTTTAATGATTTAACTTTATATATTAAATTTTTTTAAGTATTTGATTAGAGAATCACTCTAAATAAATGACCGAATAAAATTTAATTAAATAAATATTCATAAATTTTTTTATGTAATTTATTCTTTACATTATAATTTATGAACACTTAAAATTTAGATGATTTTAACAATATATATATACATTACTGTTTTTGGTAAAGATTAATTTAGTATAATCCAAAAATCAGAAGGTAAAATTAAGAATATAATGTTATTGGATTTATTTATCCATTCATAAATGAATTTAATAATATCACACTTATATTGGAATATATAAAAAAATTGTGAGTTCAATTTTTTATAATAAGATTTAAACATAAATATTTGTAAAAACAATATAAGTTAAGTAGAATTTTTAATATAAATTTATTCAAATGGTAAAAATAAATACACCTTATATTTAATTACATAAATAATATTATCATCAATATGGATTTTGAATATTCATCTTAGATACTCTTTAGAAGTTAGAAAATATTTAGAAATCAGAATATATTTATAGAATAAATAAATTCATATAAGAATATCAACATTGATCTGAAAAGATCTATGATAAGAATTTATCTGAGATATATAAATTTAATATTAATAAAATTAATCAATCTACTTATTTAATAAAAGAAATTTCATTTATTAAGTGTTGGTAATTAGACTTTTTACTTTTTGCTATAATTGGTTTGTTCTGCTGTATTCAAATCCAAAGACATAATCTTCAAGGCCATAGATTTCTCATAATTTTCTTAAACTTGGTTTGGATTTGGTCTAGTCAATAAATTATTTAAACTATTAAATAATTAACTAATTATTACGTGCTTTTTGACCATTTCTCTTAATATGTAGTTGTCCAATGTTAAGATGTTCCTAAATCAGATTTACGCATCTTGAAAATACTGATATAAATTTACTTTTAATTCATAATCTGTTTAGTTGAGTCTATTAATAAATGTTTAATCATATTTATATCTTAAATCTCTATTTTATACAGATATCTTAATAAATCCCAAATCTATATGTAAATCATGTCCAAGTCTGGTTAAATCATGAATAGCTTTTATCAACGAAGTATGAACTGATTATACAACATCTTTTCCTAGATAACTTTATCACAATTAATATATACTAACCTTGATGCTGCAATTGGACCAGCATTACAAAAGTTCATTCCAAATCCTTTCTGATATATAGAATGTTGACTTAAAGGTTTAGTAATTTCCTCTTTGCCTGGATAACGAGCCAAGAAATATTTAAATGCATTGTCAGGAACAAAACAAGGTCTATAATTTATATGGAAAATAAAGTACCTGATTTAATGAACATGTTTTCTATCTGCTCTCTAAATGGCTAAGTCTTGAGTCATATTGAATCCTGAATGTTAGAGAGGTTTCACATAATCAGAAATGACTTCCATAGTAAATGCTCCCAATTCTTTCATATTGACTCCCTTTAGATATTATTGAATTTTACATTTCCATTAAGCATTTTCTCTTTGATGTATTCAGCAGTGGCTTTGATAATGATATGAAATTAAGCTTTTGGTTCAAGTGGTTTATAAGACTGTACAGTTCGTGGTTATGATTCCTATTATTTTCCAGGATAGTTCTAGGGATGTTAAAGAATCCTAATAATGAGAGGATAATGAATACCAATTATAAATGTCATCAAGGTTCATTAATCTAAGAAACTGATATTAAAAATATTTTTTATTTTTGTTAAAATAAAAGAATACTTAAATAGAGTATACACAATAAGAGTAGAAAAAACAAAAGATATTAATTTGTTATTATTGTTTATATTTATATGAATCATAAGAAATAATCTGGTACTCTTTTAGGGACAGATTCATTTTCAGATCTTGGAGCTGGATCAAATTGTATGCTATATAGAAATATTAAATAAATTAATATTACAAGGTCTAACGTAGATTCTCATCTACTTCCATTATACCAGCTTGATTACCACATCTATAACAATAGTTTGGAGCAGAGAATATAGTTACTACATTTCTCTCATGGGCTAAAGAATATCCCTTTTTAATTAATTTAAATAATGTACATCCATCACCAATTGATGGGCTCTTGCAATCATCTTTAATTTGTTATTATGATTGAATTATTCTGAAATATCCTATCCAAATGTATATCCTGCACCTCTTGGAGAAATACCCCAACCAGATCTATCATCTGGATCACTCCAAAGTAAATCACACATAGGACCTTCATGAGGTACTTCTTAAACTCTATCTAATTGACGAATATGATCCAATGTATCAATGGAAGGTGAGATACCTCCATGAAGACAGAAGAACTTTATTGATTAGAGGAATATACTTATGATTCAACTACTGCTGTCAATGGTAAGTAATCAAATAATTCAGTGAAGCATTTCCAAACATTACTATTACCATATTTACGTGAACATTCATCATAGAAACCATAAACTTATGTGATTTGTCTTGATTCGTGGTTACCTCTTAAGATGGTTATTCTGTCTCTATGACGAATCTAATATTCATTAATAGATTATATACTTTCAACAATACAAGAAGTGTTACACACTCAACAGAATGATGTCCTCGATCTACATAATCTCCCATGAATAGATAATTAGTATCCTCAAATTAAAATCACTTCATTACTGGTGCTTTGCCACCTATTTTGAACAGTTCCATCAAATCATGGAATTGACCATGAATATCACCACAAATTATAACTGGTGCACGTACTGGTTATACATTAGATTCTTCAATCAAAATTTCTTTTGCCTAATGAAATATTAATGTTAATTCAATATACCTTTTCACATATCAGCTTGACATCTTATTCTGGAAGTGGTTTGCATTAATATAAATGTTAAATTTGATGGTCAAGATTGGTTGCCTCAATTGTATTTAATTTAGAAGCCATATTAATTTTTGAATCAATATTTTAGAAACTAATCAAATATATATATATTAGCTATTAATTGAATTTAAAAATGAATCATTAAGAATTTAGTATGATCTACATGAATTAGGGTAGACATTCATATGCATATTATTCTAATAATAATTCTTTTGCTCTTCTCTCTAAAAATCTTCCCAATAATATTCTTTAATCATTTGAATTTAATTAATTCATTCTATAAAAGACTTCTCTTTCAGTTGTATCATATTTCTATGATCTAATTAACATCAATTTCAATTCAATCTCTCTTATTTTCCATAATTTCATATCATTAAAATATTATGCATTATTCTTTTATAAATATTCATTCAAATTTACTAATAAATTATGTTCTTCACAAATTTATGAAAATCTCTTATGTGACATATATTAAATACTATTTTATTCCCAATCACATTCATTTATGAATAAATTAATTATCTATTATTCTGTTTTCTATTAATCTAATTCTAATAATAACAATCTAAATTAGAGAGATGTAAATCTATCTTAATCAAATAAAGTTAAAATTAACTAATATTTTTGAGTAATCTCTTTTGTTTTATAATCCAACATACTTTACATATAAGGTTATATCTCTTGATCATAATCAACTAGCTGAACATATTTAGGAATAGTGTTTTTAATATATTGTCCGATAGATTCAGAAAGTTATAATTATTGGACAATAATTCCATTTTCTGTAAATTCTTTATTTTAAATGCTATTCAAAATACTCAAATAAATATTAAAACTCTAATCTCCAATTAACATCTAATGGAATAATTTAGCATATGTAGTTTTTTTCTTATAATAAAGAATACTCTTAATTATTCTTTAATATTTTTATAACCAAACTTAAGGAGGTTATTGAAAATTTTCTATTTAATAAAATTCATATAATTATATATGAAGAGGATAATTATATTTACCATATTTCACACACCAACAAACAAAACTAGACAAATATTTTTATAGAGTTTATCTTGTAACTATATTATCTATTTTATCTCTTCTAAATTATTATATCTCTTATAATAAAAGTTGAGTAGCTGTCTATGTATTTTTGGATGGACATTTATTTACAAATAATTTCTTTTCAATTGATAATAAATTTTTAATTGGTGATAATTATGCCTCAATATCTACTTCTTAATCACTATCCGATGAGGAATCATCAGGTGGTGCTAATGCATCTTAAAAAACTAAGCAATTTTAATGCATTCATTTTACATATTTAAATTTAATGATGTTTTTTAGTTGGACTAATTGGTGGTGTTTCTCTTAATTCTCTATATAAATCAACTGATTAATCTCTTCTCAATTAATGAGGTTCAGTTGATTCACTTTAAGCTATATCTAAAGCAGATCTTTAAATTTATGAACTTGTAGATTGATTGATTTATGGAGGTATCAATAATTAAGGTTAAGAAGAAAAGAAGATAGTATTTGATTTTTCAGGAGGTAATAAATTGGGACCAGGTGATTAAATCTTAGGGAATTCAAAGAATATCTTCCTTTTAATAGCTTATCTTTTGATAGTTTCAATTTAAAAGTGAGGTAAATATTTATGAATTCTTATTATTTATTTTTATAGAAAAGACACTTATTTTAAAGTTAATTAATGTTTAGTTATCAATAAATCTAATTTTTTTTCAGCATGAATCTATTTTCTATATGATTATTTAGAATCAATTTATGTTTCATAAAGAGATATCTTATTTTCTACTAAATTTGATTTATTTTCAATAATTAAATATTCCAAATTACTAATTAACTTTATAAATACATTATAACTATTTATTACATATTAACTCACACATTAAAAATCATCCAAATGAAATTCTTCTTTCATTGTCAATATATTAAATAATTATCTAGATCTCTAAGCCAGTATTTCAATTAAATTATTTAAATCTGAATTAAAAGTATTTTTATTATAATTGATATTAATTTCATGATAATCATCAATAAAAACTTATATAGGATATTTTGACATTTCTAAATATGTTTATTCTTCTTTATTTCTAGGTATACATTCTCTTTTTATCATTGAAAAATTGGCTTCAATAGATTAATTAATTGTTACAATAGTTGGTGTTTAAGTACTCCAATCAAATACTTTTTTTTTAAATTAAATAGTTTAAACAGATGCATCTTCTAATTAAAGTAAATCAATAGTGTCTGTTTCTTATGTTTTATAAGTGATTGAATTACCAACACATTCATCCTTAAATATAGTTTATTAATAATCTTAAAGTATTTATTCATCATCTTAATTTTAATTTAATATTTCTCTCCTTTCTAAATCATCTAATTTTCTTTAATACATTTCTTCATATATCATAGTTCTTTATTCAAATTAATGTTTAAAATCATCAAACATTTCCTTTTTAGCATGTTACAATTCATCTGCAAACTTTTCTTCAATCTATTATGTATTAACAATATTCTGATTAATATATATAGAAGGATCAATTTAATAATTTATAAATACTTTCATAGCATCTATTTCTCTAATTAGATCTGAATTCTATAATTTAAGGAAATCACATTCTCTTCTTATGTTTAATAATTCTTATTCTAATTTTTAACATTTCTTTCTCAAATATCTACCTTCTTTAATCATTTTATCATTTTAATCAGAATTCTATTTCAAATATCTTTCAACCTCTTATAATTTACTACCTTTATCATTCAATGTTTTTTAGTACATTTAATGCAATTTCACAGTCTCTGATAAACAATCTTTCTCTAATTTTCTGTTTGTTTCAGATTATCTTTCAATTATCTCTTTCACTGCATGAGTATATGATTACCATATTTTATTTAACATAGTCTAATAATCAATGCATTTCACAGCCAATTACTAACCTAACTAAGTTATTGAACCAGTGTAGACCAATTCCATTTTTTCATAGAAATCTCGAATATTGCTATACTATTGTTATTATAATTATTAAACCATTAACTAAATACTAAACTTAATATACATCTGTCCATTGTTCTAATTGTTTAAGATCTTTGCGTTCATTTAATTCAAGTACCCACTTTGTTCTAGTAGTTCGATTGCTACTCACATTATTGGCCCTACTCATAAGGGATCTCATGGCAAAGACCTATGATCTCCTCATTCTCATTCATTACCGTTCCATCCTCACCTTAAATAGTTCTGCATATGTTTTGAAGAGAAGGCAAGTTGTTAGGGGAATAATAACGTTTAGAATTATTCTCATCAGATGATAGCTTGCCTTTGGACGATAAATCGATATGTGTCTCAACTCGAAAATGAATACTCTTTAGTGGCTTTTGATTCATTGGTAATTTAATTTATTAACAACATCATCTTTTCAACTTCTTCTCAATACACTACTACAAACGCACCATTTCATTCACATAATTTTTTGATAATGTTTTTGCTTATTCGGCTCTCAATGTATTAAAGTAATTTGCAATCTCTCCCAATTCTTTCATAGGCAATTTCTCATCCAATCTTCTACCAAAAGAACGTGGAGATATTACTCCTACATGTTCAGACATTCCTCTTGATGTCTTTACTGTTGTACGAGGACTACCTATAGTTGAAATTCTATTCATTTATATTTTCCATTTACTATTCTCTCAATGTGACTAATTTTGATAACATTCCTGATTCTTTAGATTCTCTAGTTGTAGCCAACACCTACGCATACATACGGTTATTCGCCTTATACTCTATGAACTCAGATGACTCAGTGGGATAACTGGAATATAGAAATTAAAATACGATCTCAATTGTTACCGACCAAACATTATTTAAATTAATCGAAAAACACACTCTCTTTCAAATTGACTAATTGTTTAACCAATATAAAACATTCATTCTAATAAGATTATTAACTATCATTCTTAAATAAATCATTATTTTTCATCAATATTCAATTAATTAATTTATCTTATCCGACATACTATTTTCCACACAACATTTCTTCAAGAAATATAACTATAGCAATATCTAAGGTATGTCCTTTTTTTTATAATAATTATATTATACCTTTTTAATTTGTTATACAAATTCATAGTTTTATTGATTGAATATCATTTACAATATTTGAATCCCCATTAATATCAAATCTTCATTATGATACAAACTTAAAATTTATTATAACATGCACATCAAATTTGTATTATAAATTAGATATTTCAATTGGTCCTTGTTATTAACTTTTTAAATTAAGTTCAATATCAGAACCCCTATGCATCTATAACCTTAAGCATCAATCTCAGTTCCATGAAGATTTATGATCTCATTAAATATTTTTGATCTTATTAAAGTTGTTACTGCTTCATCTACATTTAAGCAATTAATCTTCGATAAAAATGTTATAAAAAAGTTCTTAAACTCGAAGTTCTCCAATAAAAAATTGTATATATAATCCAATAATCCTTGTCTAATTAAAAATAATGTTCCATATTGAGAGATTTCTAGTATCTTTTCACAAATTACAATAGCGTTTAATTATTAATTTTATAATGCATAAATTAAGTAATTATACATCTCTTCACATTCAAAATATTTCAATATACTAATATCATTTAATTAAACTAGTTTCAAAAGACAATTTAAAGTTCTAAATAGAGTATCAAATTTCTTATATTTGATTGCTTAATTGATAATTTACTCTAATTATGAAATATTTACAATAATGCTTTAAAAGTCAGATTGCATAATTACCTACTCAATTAACTAAAACCAAAGTGTCAATTCTTCATCATTACTTAAAGCTGGGAACTAGTTCAAAGAAATTAATAGGTTAGTTTCTAAATTAATTAATTTGAAATTATTTATAAATTCAACATTTAAAATTTAGTGCATCTGTTATTAAATAGTCATCTCTTATTCATTTTTTTTTGATGTGTTTACTTATGTTTCATTAACATTTTATGTTTCTCCTAAATATAGATAATTGAATTAATTATTTAAAGAATCATTCCTCAATATACCTTATTTCTTGCATTCATATGGCCTTCTTTTGTTTTTGAAGATGGCTTCTCTATGTTCTCTTAAGATTTTTTATCTGAAGCATTCTCTCATATATTCAATCGTTTCAGAATGTCTTTAAAGCATTTTTAATTAAATTTGATTTATAATTAAATACAAATTTAACCATTAAGAAATCAATATTAATAGATTATTAATAAAATAAATATACTTCTGTTATAAAAAGAAAGTAGCAATTGCATTTTATAATCTTTATATTACTGTGTTTATTATTGAAAATTAAAAGTCTAATTAAGACTAAAAGATTCGTTTAATAAATTGATGATGATAATATTCATACTATTCTATCAAAAAATTAAATTAATCAAAATTAAAATGTGATTTTATGTTGGTACATTGATATTTTTCTGGATAGACTTGTAATTAAGAATATAAATAATTATATTTTAACTAATTTAAATACTAGTTTAATATAAGAAATTAATCTAATTTGTTAAAAATATAGACTTTTAGATTAAGGTAATTATAATATATAATATTATTAATGATTTACTCTATAAAATTTAATGGATTAATTTAGATAAACTAAGATTTATCTTATTTTATAAATTTCTATTAAAAAAAATATAAATTCTTTGGAAATAAAAAAATAATTTTTGTTTCTTAAGATAATTCTTTGATAATTCTTATATGATAAGTATATCTTTAAATGAATAGATTGGTTTCTATGTTTTTAATAATTTTAATTGCGAAAATAATTCACAAACTTCAAGCGGGAAATTATTCTATGATTAATTAATTAATGATTAATAACACAACTTTGAGTTTGTAAAAAAAACGAGAGATATTTGCTCTGAATGTTAAACGTATTGATAGAGAGACTCTATTCTAAAATAATAGGAAAAAAATGATATAATCTAACAACAATGAGATTGAAGTTGATAAGACACTTCATCTTTTAAATGGTGCAATTACAATATACAATAAAAAGGATATCAAAAATTATTTTAAGCAAATCAATGAGTTTAATCACTTTAATTAAGAATAAGAAGTTAGATTAGTTTAATTAATTGAAACACTCCTTAAGTTAAAAGTTGAAGATGATAATTCTGCTTTGCATAATGAATGTTTGAATGTTTTAGTCAAATTGAGTTTGTTTTAAAATTCAACTTAAGAATTATTCAATATGCTTACAATTCTTTGCAAATTAATGGATAAGTATAACAATCATATTAATCAAGCACTTTCTTACTAAATTTTAGATAAAATACTAGCATTTATTGGTAATTATTAATCTAAAATAAATAGGTAATATTTCATGTAATAATGGATTTATTAGTGCATTTTCACCAAATTTGATAGATATCTTATAATATTAAATTATTTATGGATAAAAAAGATTGTTATTTTAAGCAATATGGGCTTTAAATAATATTCTGTATGCTATTCACAATGAAACTGCTTTATTAAATTAGATATTGGTAAAGATAGGTTAATCTGAATTACCTCAATACTTAATATAGTATGTAAAGAAAAATGAAAATAAACTTGATAAAAACTAATTAATACAAATATATTGGTTATATGCAGAATTATCCTAAGCTATTCCATTTGATTTTGCATAATTATAAGTTAAAGAGACAGAAAATTAAGAATTACAATTAATAATATTATTTATTTATGCTAATTTGACAGGATAGCAAATAATTCCTGTAAATTGTAATGTGAATTTATTATTCAATATGTTCCCAATTTCAAATCCTCTAATTTAAAGATAACTTTTAGTGATAATAGCTAATTTAGTTCTCTTAACAGAAATTGAATTAGAAGCCTTAAAGAATTTAATAAATTATGCCTTTCCTATATGTCCTGTAAGAATAATAATTTTTATTTTTAGATAGACACTATGTTTTTATTGCATAATTGTTAAATGAAATACAATTTTTAATTAAGTGCAAATGAAAAAGAAAATATTTTGAGAATTATTGATGAACTTCAATAGGATTCCTTAATACAAGATTTAGTAAAATAATTAAAATTAAACAATTGAATAAATTAAAATAAATCAAGGTTTTCTAAACAATTTTTTTAATATGTTCTTATTCATTGTTATTAGTGTAATTTATTCTTATTTTCCTATTTAGTTTTATTCACTTATTTCTGAAATAGATTCATTATATAAGTTTTATAAATACTATATTTAATAATATTTTTGTCAGATCCTTCCTAACATTCATATTAATTATCTAGATTATTACTTATTTATCTTAAGATTTTAATATACATAATAATTATTCAAGTAATTAGTTTAAGATTAGTTTATAATATTCTAATTGTATTATTTTTATTTATTACACTATTAGAATTGAGATAATTATTATATGTTAAATTCATTTTTTTAACAATTTAATTAAAGAATCAATTGATTAAGTTGTGTTTTTCTACTCTCTTGGACTATAAAATTGTAAATTGGCTTTCATTTTTATTGGATTGATATTATTTTTCTTGAAAATATATTCAATTTATTTAGGCAGATCTTAAAGTTCTTAAACTTCAGGAAAATGTTATGTTGTAGTACGCTAAGGAATTTTTATATTATGACTATTGAGTAATTCATTAAGTTTTCTGAGACTTAATCTATCTGATGGATAGATATCTGCACAATCAGTAAGAATTCGTTTGCTTATTTGATTTAAATCTTATTTCTGAGGACTTAAGCTCAACTTATCTTGTGAATAAGTTGGTTTCATAATATTATTATTTTGTTTCAAATATATAGAAGGTAATTATCTACGAGTAGCTCTTTTGTTTTGAACATCGAGTGAATTGTCACTTTTGAATTACATCAATCTAGGACTTTAAGCACCAAGTTTGATTGAATTTCTTTATTTAAGTTTATTATTCAAAAGAGGTAATAATTTGTGTTTAATATCATTAGTTTGTTGAAGTTCTAAAATTGAAATTTGACTTAGAGATTTTTAAGTTGAAACATTCTTCTAAGTTTTATTATTTTACTATGATTAATTAATTTACTATACAGGACTTTGTTGTTATGGAAAATCAAAATTATAAAGCATATTATTATTAATGAAGAGCCATAATTAACTTATGTGTTACTTATATGATTTAATTAGTGATAAATAAAAAATATTAATTCATTTGATATTATAGATTTTTATATTTTAGAGTTTAAGGTTTACCTTAACAGGAATGTATTCATTAGCTTATTTTGCATAAGATTCAAATTCCTTTTCTTTTTTCACTTCCTAAATAAAATTAATCCATTGTAACATTATAAATTTCTTTTTCATTAAATTCACATTTCTATATGCATTAAGAAATTTGGATTGTAATCTTTATTATTAGTAAGTGAAATATTTCCAAGTCTAATAATATTTTTTTATTGTTGTAAAATAATATTTTGTTAAACATTTAATATCTTTAGCCTTTTTCTCCCTTTTAGTTACATTTAACCAACTATTAAATAAAAATTGTTTATATTAAAGATCCATTTATTTTTTCATCTTTTATTAGTATACTTAAGTTTTCCATCTAATCATTAATACTTTCAATTTATGCTTATTCATTAATTGAATAGTATTTTGAAAAAACTATATCTAAACAACTTTATTTTATTGTAATGCTGAAAATATATTTTCTTTTAATTATTACTATTTTTAAAAGAGAAACTATCTAGATATCCTATCCTTTTCATATTTCTCTAATTATTTATCCTTATTAATCTTAAATTATTTCATAAAATTTCTTAAAGTAATAACATCCTTCTTATATAAGTATGATTATAATTTCTTTAATAATCGAAAATCTTACAATAAATTCTTATTGCATTATATAATCATAAGATCAAAATATTTCTCTGTAATAAACAATAATTAGGTTTTGTTGATACTATTCAATAAATGACTATTTTATTCAAATTTCTCCATATCAATAACTAATTCTTAGGACAGTTTCTTAAATATTATATGATTATTCATTGTAATTCCATCTTTTATCGTAACTTTATCCAGAAGTTTAGAGTTAACTTAATTATTTAAATAACTAGATTGTTGCTATGCCTAATCAAATGACTATCCATAACTAATATCATTATTAGTAGTATCTTGCTTTATATATAATGAATTTTGATCTTCTTATTTAACTTCTAAAATTGTTGGTTACACATTAGGATTAAATTAGGCTGTATTTTATGGAATGTCTTGATACTAACTCCATCTTTATGCTTTTTCAACTAATTAAGACTCTTAATCTAGGCTTTCATAAATTTGACTTTAATTTAAATGAGCATTTTCCTCTTAATGAGATGAATGAGTCATACTACTTAATTCATCTTGATTCTCTTCTTTAATACTTTTATAAGTTCGTGATGATTACTAGTTATAATCAAATTTTTAAAATTGAGTTCCACTATTAACCTTACCTGATTATTAGAATTGTCCTTACTCCTCTATTGTATCATAAAATTATTAGGAATCTAGTGATTTTTCTTAAGTTTAACTTAAATTTTAGATGTTACTGCTCTCTTAACTTGTATAATGACTTACTAAATTTCTATCTGATATTGTCTTTACATAAGGATCAAACATTTATATTTAAGTAAATTGCATTACATTTAAACTATCAAATGGATTTTTCTGTCCAAACTAGTCAATTTAAACAATATCTTATTTAATTTAACTATCAGGCAATTAAACCTCCTTCTATCTGCTGAATGATATATTTTATTCGTCCTACTTAGTTTTACGACTATCTTCAAAAGGATTCTTTGGAGGTTCTGAGTGTTGGGAAGAAACACTTTATTAATGTTCTTCAAGCTCTTAATGTTACTTTATTTATAATTAAGGATTTGGTTTAGAGACTATTTAAAATTTTGGTACTATTTCAAGTTGAGCCTTATATTTATTCAGCAAATCTCTTGTCTTAACTGGCATGCTCTTTACTGAAGGTCGTGAAATACTTTCAAAATCATTTAATTATTATTCAGATGTTTAAGAAACATACTCTTTATAATTAAGTTCCACACTTTTTTTATAATCGTGTAAGGATTAAGCTGCTTTCTAATTGTAAGATATCTATATACATCTTTTTTTTCTTATAAGTCTCTATTAATTATAGGTCGTTATTACATTTAATATTAAAATTATATAATTAATATAAAAAATTAAAATTATTTAAATTGAAAGTGTTTTCATTTTTGTAGAAATGAGAAGCGAGTGACATTTATTTTAATTAATTTGAATTATTTTTTAGAATAAAAATAATAAACAAAAAATATATTTAAATTGTTATCTAATTTAATTGAATCTAAGGAAATAGAGAATTTCTAATCATCAAAATTAATTGTATTTAATAAAACTAGTCCCCCATAAATTAAACCTATCATAATCAATATGAATAGGTACATAACTTAAATGTACTTGATAATTTAATTATAATTAGCGTTATTTGTCACAGTAAGTCTTTTAGGTGTTTTTATTTATGGGCAGCAACTTTTGGTCTTGCTCTCTTGTAATCTAGAGTGAAGCAAAATAAATGTCCTATCAAATAATTATTATTTGTTAAAAGCTGATGAAATAATTCTTATTTGTTATAATCTAGACTATCAATCACAATATACAGTCGAAAATGTGATGATCATATTTTCTCTTTTGCTACAATAAGCTTTACTTTAAGATTTGCTGGATCATGTGTATAATATTTTGCAAAAGAATAATAGGCAGCAATTAAGATGTTTGCCATTCTAGATGGAATAAAGATAGTTAATCTTCAGACAATATGAAAGAAAGTATGATATTATATTGGGACTGACTTCTTCAGGATTTTCTCCTAAAAATCAGGGATATTTAATTTAACTAACTTTGAAAATATTTCATACCATTTACAAAATATACTCAGATAATAAATAAAGAATGCACTAAAGTAAGCCAATGAATATGATTTTATAAGATTAAATTTATTTATAGAAACATAATTATCCTAAAAAGAAATTGACAAATAAAGAGAATAAGGAATTTAAAGATAGTTTGGACCCAAAAGTACTTAAATTTCAGATGGACAATAAAAAGGGATTGCATTAGTAAGAGCAATATTAAGGAATTCTAAAATCTTATTATTAGATGATGCAACTAGCTAACATTTGATTTAAAATAGTGTAAATGAATATTACTCTTGCTATTACTCATTGAGTATCTACTATCAAGATACTTTATAAAAATCTAAATTTTAGGATTCAGATCTTATTAATGTATTAGGATGGTAAAATAGTAAAGCAAGGTATTTAGTAAAATTTAATAGCACTAAAAAGGATCCTTTTTTAATTTTGAATAAGGAATTGCCAAATGAATAATATTTTTTATATTTTCAATCTTTTAATAATTATATGTATGTTGATAGTTAATAATTTTTTTTATCAATTTAATTTTAATACAATTATTCTTAATATAAATTTTATATTGTAGAGTAGTTCAATTAGAGATTATTGGATGCTTGATGTAATTTCATTGTTATTTGTTAAAACTTTTAAAATAAAAATAAGAAATATAATTTCACAAATAAAAAAATCTTGATAAACCCCAACATTTTATAATATTTTCATTTTAATTCTTGAAATTCAAATATTAGTATAAGTAGGCAAATCATAGGGATTGTTATGATTAATATCAACTATAAATTCCATTTTTTTGTTTGTTAATTTATTTGATTCGATTTCATGTTAAGAGTTTATTTTTAGTTTCGAAAGATTTATGCAATCAATGCTATTGAGTGTTTTTATTATTAAAGATATCGATTCTCACTTTTTTATATTTTTTATTGTTTATTATCTGAGTTTTCTAAAAACTTTAGTTTTGCTTCTTTCACAGCATTCTTAATTGTAAAAAACTTTGAATGTTTTTCTATAGAATTCACTTTATGATTCAATTTTATTGAAGTGTAGACTTTATTAAGTTTATCATACTCTACTTATCTATCTAAAAGATCTCTTGTGATTTCTTATAATGATATTTTTTGTGTTCTTTGAATACTTGTAGATTTTTTATTTAAAAGAGTTGTTGTTGTTAGATGTTATTTTGACAGTTTTTCATAAGTATTTGGAACCATCTTTGAATAAATATATAATTAATTATGCATTTTCAAGATATTTATGATATTAATATTTTCTCATGAAATCTCATTAAATTATAAATGAATATTATTTAATTATATAAATTAATAATTAGTCATTAGCCAACCATTATAGGAAAAAAATATTTGAATTTCAATTAAGAAATCCTAATTGATTTTATTTAATATATTGTCATGGACAAATTATATTTTCTAAATTTCTTTAATATTGATTTAAGAAAAATATTTTTTTAGTTGATAAAGAGAAGAAAATAGAATCTTTAAACAAGTTATTTACCAGGGTTTCTGATAATACAAAGGAATCAGCCACTGCTAATGTCAAATATCTATTTAAATTTTTTATTAATGATTAAGTTACCAAATAAATAAATTATGATTACATAGTAAAAGGAAGGAATTCTTTATTTAAATTATTTAAATTTTCTAAATCTGAAGCTAGCCCTTTTGATTAATTCCCCGATTTCTATACTAATTTAAATAATAAAATCATACAACCTTTAAAGTTTAATGATATTAAGAAAACTTAATGTATTAGTTATTCATAATTGTTTTTTATAGTAAAAATAGTAAACAATAGATAATAAAAATACTTTTATATCCTCTTTCAATTTTAACAAATATTTTTACAAATTTTATTTATAAAAATATAAAAATATTTGATTAATAATAAATTATATTTAATCAGGTATACTCATAAATTCTCATTAATAAAATTTTAACTTGAAAGTTTTTCAATATTATATATTACAAAGGTTTGCTTAAATTTGATTATATTTGGATGAAATTTTTTTTGCCAATAGTTAGACTTATATAAAAATTAAATCCGTAATTTATCAAATTTATTAAACAAGATAATATATTAATTTAAATAAAATTTACATCATTATTAATTAATATAATAAAATATATTTATCTGATATATATTCAGAAAATTATCAAATCCTGTTTTAATAATTCAAAAATTATTACAATAATGCATAGTATTGGTATAGCTAGGGACAAAATCAAATTTAGCTTTATTTTTTTTGGTGTTTATGTTTATTTTAAATTACCTTTGTTTTGGAGCTTCTTTTAATTTCTAAATTAATCAGCTATTAATTTCATTGAGCTTTGTTACTTTTCTATATAGTATTTGTTTGATTGTAAATTGGAATTAAGATATTTTGATTTAGCGTCATCAATAATTGTTCTAAATTTACTAGATCGAGTTTCTCCTCTTTCTGATAAATTTAGTGATTTTTCACTTTTGAATTCAGGGTATTTATATAGATTCTCATATACTTTTTATCTAATAATAAATTCACTGCTAATCTCTTTTTATGAGTCAATCTAATTGTTTGTATTTTATTTTGATTATTTTGGACTTCCAGCAGAATCCACAAATGATATTTTTTTATTAGTTTTATTTTAAAGCTTTGTATTCATATTAATGATTTGTAAAATAATAAATGAAAATTTGCTAAAGATTTTTCCTTTGAATATTAAATTTCATCTGTAAATATTAAGAAATTTAAAATGTATGAATTTTATATTAATCAATAGAAGGCATAATTAAATTCATGAAATATTATAATATAAAATATCTTCTTTTATATCAAATTTAATTAAAATGAACGATAGAAAAGTATGAAAAACATTATAAATATTATAAGATACAAAGTGAATATTAGAATGATAATAAATTAAAATCATTTTTGGTATTTAAATAATTTGTTAAATCTAAGAATCATTTGAATTTATAAATGAATATAATTTTTATGTCATAAAATTGAATATTATATATGAAATATTTTTTTAATATAATATAATCTAAACCTATTTAATGTCAAATATTTATGCTATATAAATTAAATTATAATATTCATTAATCAAAATAAATAGACAAACTCTTACCTTTTTATAAATTATGATATTGTTTAAAATTTTAATTATTTATATTAAATATATTTTTATTCATATTAAAATTTCATATTTCCTGCAAGGAAGTTTAAATTTAATTTTAAAATTCTTATGTATTTTTCTATTATTATTTGTATATAATATAAGTTTTTTAACAATGAGAAATTATCAAAATTAATTATTTATTTAATTATAATTTTTAATTTAAAGTTCACATAGAGAATTCCGAATTCAATAATATTATTTTTTATGAACCAAAAGCATATTATTTTAGAAAATGTATGGGATTTAATGGAAATCTTAAGATTCACAAATTGATTTATCCATTTGGGGTTAAAGAACTTATAGAGACTATTATTTTAATTCTGATCTGAATATTGACAATTTTTTGGTCTTAAAATCTTATGATTATTGTCTCTAAATAATAATAGAACTGGCTTAAGAACGATAAGATTAGCATCTTTATAATTCTATTCTTTTAGACCAAAGAGGTGATGTTTCTATAAAATCTGCATTCTGATGTTCTTCATCATTATCAATTTCATCTTCAAATAATTTAAATCCATTATTGAGAGTCGAAAATTTCATATCAACATTATAACTGCTTAAGGAGGGTCCTGAACGTTTCTAATCAGAACTAAAAATAATAAACATTTTATACTTAGGTTCAAATAAAGTCAAAGTTTGATTTTAATGTTCAAAGAATTATTCATTAAAGAATTCATGTTTAAGAATTTCCTCAGCAGATGGTCTTTATTTAGGATTTTGTTTCAACATTAGGGAAATAAGATCTTTACAACTTTAAGGTATTTTAATTGTATCATCAAATTTATATTCAACATATAAGTTATTTTTAAGCATCTTTTCTTTTTAAACATCTTTAAATGGATGTTAATTATATACTCTAATATAATATAGCAAATATTATATACAATTAATACAAAATTACTCCAAGACTAAATATATCACATTTTTCTGAATACATTTTATTGCCTTCTTTAAATTACAATATTTCTGGAGCCACATAGCCAGTAGTACCACATCTATAATAAATGTGAGACTTAGCTTTAATGTAAGTGGCAAGACCAAAATCAGCCAAAACTATATCTAAAGAATTAGTTTTGCATAATATGTTCGAAGGTTTTAAATCTCTGTGCATTACACCTTTCTAATGCATATAATCTACACATTCTGCCAATTATTTAAATATTATTCTAGCATCCCGAATGCTATATCTTTAATTTTTCAATAATTCTCCACCTTCCACTAATTGTAATACCATATTAATATGTCCTAAAATGTAGATATTACTTTTAAATACTATTAGTTTCGAATACTCGGTATAACTTTATAATATTTGGATGAGATAAATCATTCATCACTTAAATTTCTTCCATTAGAAATTGAGGATTCAGTTTAGAATTTTTTCGAATTCTTTTTATTGCATAGTGAGAATTATCATTTAAAGATTTAGAGATAAAGACCTTGAATAAATTATATATTACTTGAGCAGTGGATCCAAAACCTATCTAATTGATGATAGAGTATTGATTATGAAATCCAATTAAGATGCAGAATTACTCCAACTATGACTTAAAACAATTGAAATCCTATTCAGAATTTGAATATAATATAATCTAATTATGGTTATACATAAGTTCAATTTAATATGGATAGGAAGTCTTTTCAATTGAAGTTGATAAATACACATTTTCTAATTTTTTAAATCCTTTTAAGTCCTACAGGATTATATATCTTCTTATAATACTTTATCTCCATAAAACAAATAAGTTCCTTAGACTGTATAGTATCTAGGAATGAATTTATTGAAATATTTTCCCTTTTTATATAAACATATGCAATTATCATTGTTTAGTATGAAATTACTTTCATTTTAAATCAATTTTCTAAAATCTTTATCCCAAAATGTATTTGATTTATTGTTTTTATCAATAAAGAAATGATTCAAGTAAAAGTTTTACTTATCCATAAAGTTGTCCCTAATCAAAATATCTAATAATAATGAATTAATTAAAAACAAATTCATAATAAATTAATTGAAAAACAAAATATTAATTAATCATACAAATTGATGACTCAAAATGACAAAGATTGAAACTTTAGTGAAAGGGTTTCTGAAATTACAGAATTTAAAATGAAAAAGAATTAATAATCTAAATTTCTTTAACTAATAAATTGTTGAATTTATATAGAATTGAGAATCAAAATTCACGATTACTTTTTTTAATCTAAATTTTATTCACTTATAATTATAATTATCTAATTTCATCATCCAATTTTCTAATTTCTTATTTATGTTTTACAACAACATTTATTTGATTATTGAACTAAATTATACATACATATTAGTTACATCAATAAGACTTTTAAGGGTTCCAATTTCATCCCTCATCAAATCTGTATAATTTTATAGGATATCAAGTCCTCTCATAACCTCTTTGTCTCTTTACTTTAAAAATTAGTATTATTTTTCATTTTAAGTTTACATACGTTTATCAAAGAGTAATTTCTCTTCTTTATCAAACTCGGTTATATAAGAGTATAACTTAGATTTATAGTTTTTTTATAAGTGTGATTTTAAATTTTAATATTTTAATCCTCTAAACTCTCGAAACTTAAGAATCTCATTTAAAAATTAAACATAAGAATCAAGAAAGTTATCTTTATATTTTTTTTCGATTTTGTCAAATTATTAGCTTAATTCACTAAAGAGATCTAAATAATTTAAATTAAAATACATATCCATCAATTCAAAATTATATCTGATGCACTCTAATTCCAATTAATCAATCTTCTATTAAATGATTTGAAGACATTTTTCATATTCTGGATTATCATAAAATTATCCCAATTGAGTATAATACAATGACATTGCTTACTCTCTCATTTAATATAATTTGTTAGTTAAAGAATCAACTGTGACTTCTTCTGAAATTGAACAAAACTCCCTTATTTCTTTCTTATAAATGCTTTCTATATAGTCTTTTTCATATTTAATTTAATTTTGAATGGCTTTATAAAAACTTAAATTAAATATGATATTATAAATACATATTTTCTTTCACATTATTTTTTTCTAATTCTGACATAGAACTTTTGGTTATTATTTCAGCAATAGAAAAGAATGTAAAGAAATCAATTTCATAACATTGATATATCTTTTTTTCCAAAGTCATCTCAAGTTCCAAGGCCCAATTATTTATAGTGTCAGTTAGATTGTCAACAAAGGATGTATTTGAAGCATTCAGATAATGATTTTCTTCCATTAGTGTTATTTTTATATTGTCATATAATTGATACCATTTAAATTAATCGATGCTTGTGCCTAATCCTTCAACGAAATTTATGACCTGTAACTTATAATAAGATTGTTAATCATTTTTAGTAATTTAATGAAAATTTTCCAAAATGTCATCATCATTATTGTTAATGAGAAACACAATCTCACTAGCCAAAATAGATGCTATTGTCATTAAAACTGTATCTGCATTTATGAATATACTGCTGTTTTCAACCAAATTCAAACTTTGTCTTCTCAACTATTTTTCTTTAAATTGTTCACTTAAAATGCACAAAAGCTAATATAATTAGATATTCTTATGTTCATTGTATATAACATGATTCCAGATATATATACCTTTTTGTAATGTAGTATCAATTAGAGGTAAATTTTTGTCCAAATTCAATTTAGAAATTTGATTTATTTCATTCCGTGCAGCAATATAAATGATGAAAGAAGCAGGTCCAGTTCTAAATAATGAGTTCTAAAAGAAAATTAGTATAGCAATACGTATTTCTTAATGTCCAAACATAACTTTATTTATTTTGCATCCTCATCCCATTTTAGAAATCTAATTGGCTTAGCATCAACATGACTCTTCTTCAATTGATTTGGCTACATAAGAACTGTAGTCTTTTTAACTATCTTTTGATTAATAAAAGGCGATAATTGATTAGACTAGATAATATTCATTTTTTTCTATAATAAATTTTAACTATTATATTAATAATCTCAATAAACAATATCACTATTATTCTTTAATCTTTTAAAAAATTCATGTAGCAATGCTTCATCTATTAATATATGTAGTAAGTAATATCTTTTTAATAATTCTTAGTTTTCTATTCTTCGATTTACTGATTAATTGATAACTTGAAGTTTTTTAATTCTTTATTAACTATTTGTTTTTTTATCTTAAGTTTTCCACTGCATAATTACTCATGTCTTCTTTAGGAATAATTAAAAGTAGTATCTACTCAAAACTTATATATACATGTATTTTAAGTTTAATTAAATCATTATATAATTCTAATTTATAATCATATTGTTCAATTATTGGTATTACTATAATTTTAGAACTAAATTATTCGATAGAATTAAATTTAGTATACATTATAAATTAATTATAAAGATACGTTAATCTAGGTTATTTTAATTAAAAATTTATATTAATTTTGCCTAATAATTTAATTAATAAATAACATGATATACAGTTATTGAAATTATATTCAAACACAATGTAAACCAATTTTTCATAATATAGATATCTAATAAATGAAATAATAAAATATTTTATTGAATAAAATAAGAATTTTTGATAAAAATAAACTTCAAGTTTAATATGATTCATAAATATTTGATTTTTTCATTCATTTTTAATTTATAAAATAAGAAACTTATAGTTTTACTACTGGAATTAGTTGTATAAACAAAGATATTTTAAATTAAATTAGTATTTAAAATTATTGAAATTTATACCACATAAAAATAATCTGGCAATATAGAAGAATAATGAATATTTGTTAAAATGAAAATAATGAATTCATAATAGATTTTTTTATAATCCTCATAATAACTTATTATTCTATTAATTAAGAAATATATCTATAAAATATAATGAATAGTTTCTTAAAGTGAAAAGAATATCAGAAATTATTGAAAGCATAAAATAATTAAAAATAAAAAAAATGATCACGGCCAGTCTCGAACTGGCGGCCTCGTCCTTGTTAGGGACGCGTGATAACCCCTACACCACGCGATCAATTATAACTATAATAGTGGAATTTCATAGATTAATAACATAATTTAATTCAACAGCATCCCTTCTTATTTGTTAGATTGTGTTTATTTTTGGTTAAATTTATTGTATAACTATTATCTTCAGTAAGAATTGGTAATGAAACCTTTCCATCTTATTATTTTATTGCTAATTCAGCTAATCTTTAAAATGCTTCATACACATTTAAACCTAATTTGGCTGATGTTTCTATATAATCCACTCCTAATTAATAAGCTAATTCTTCTCCTTATTCTTATGATATGATTCTTTAATCTACTATATCCTTCTTATTAGCTATCAATATTATGGCAATTTCATTTCTTCCTTGTTATTTTAAAGAATTCATCCAATATGTAATATCTTGAAATGATTTCAAATCATCAACTGCATAAACAAGTAATACTCCATGTGCAAACTTATAATAATTTGATGTTAGAGTTCTAAATTTCTCTTATCCTGCTGTATCCCAAATTTGCATTTTCATTATTTTACCATTAGTTTTTACTTCTTTAAATTTAAAATCAACTCCTATTGTTGTTATATGACTTTCACTATAATTATCATCTATAAAACGCATTAAAAGGTTTGTCTTTCCAACTTATGAAGATCCAAGAATCAGAAACTTGCACATTATATCATATGTAGCATATTTTGACATCAATATTATTACTAAATTTCTTTAGATAGAAAACAAATATTATTTTTATTAATTTTCATATTTTTATAATAATTTCTTTGAAATCTTACCTCAAAAATTAAATTTGAATTAGACAATCAATGTTCACTTAAAAAGAATAAACTAAATTTGAAGTCAAGAAATAGTTTATCAATTCAATCCTTAACCTCTATCATAGTATTAAAGTGAATAAATTTGTATTAAGTGGCTTTTACTTTTTAGGATTACTCCAACCGATGCTCTTCTAAAATTATCACAAAAACTAAAATCCTTAATTTGATAAGTAAATACTAACACCAATTAATTAATTTTGGTATATAGAAGTAATTGCTCGACCTGATTTAATAATTTCTACAAATACTCCTGAGATTGAATATTTGATATCTTTGGCATTATGCATATTATTCTATATGATTCCTTTGTTTTTACTTGTTGAATAGAAACGTAATGATGATGCTAAAAAAAGAAAAAACAAATTTTTACCTTATGTTAATTTAAGTTCGATTTTATTTTAACTTCAACCAATATACTTATAGATTCCTTTGTGTTCTTTATGCTTTAAGTCCTTATCTTATAATTTTGATTAGAATATGAATATCGAGAGTAGTTATATAAACATAATACTGGCCATAATCACTTTGATAATTTTATGTTCATTGAATTTTTTAACTCTTCTACTTTGCAGAGAATCAATAGATTTTGATTTAAATAGTTTTTTGACATTAAAGTTAAGCTTTATTGATTTTGTTATTTGGATTACAAGCATTTTTTAAATAATTGTATATTATCATTTACCAAAATTTAATGAATCCATTTAAGCAATATTATTGTTACTTATATCCTTAATGATACTTATTAATACTTTTAGTCTAATAACTTGTTTAAACAATATAATAAAAATATAAATTACATTTGCTTCCTATTCATTAATTCAATCAATTTTGATATTAATCAATCTTTAATTGAATATCTCCTTATATATTAATGTCTTACTCTATATATTGGTTCCATTGCTTAACTATTTATTAATGAAAGTTTATAACTTATATGATTTTAAAATTTCAACAAATACACTACAATTTTCAATAACTCATTACAAGTATGTATTTTCTAAATTTTTTAATGAAGAATTCTCTTCCTATACACAAAAGATTATTATCTATGCTAAAATTATATAATTATATTAATAGAAAAGGAATCTTGAACCAATTGCATAATTACCATTAAAGTGTATAAATTAAGAATTTATGCCTAAAGAATTGATGCACTTTTATTATAAAACACTTCTTAAAAAGTATTTAAAAGAAATGTTAAAAACAAATAATAAATAAAGAAATGCCAATCATTATATTCATTATGCTGCTATCTTATTTAAAATAGGATTAAACAATTTATCACTTAAACAAATAAATATTTTATTATTTAATACTAATTTTAATAAACATACTAGATCTTTTGCAAAAGACAATTAGAGTGATTAAATTAAATCACTCAATACTATACAACCTGGAAATAAATCTTCATTTAGTAGATCATCTAAATCATAAGAAGTATAGGAGGCAGGAAATTAATAGATAAATAAAACTAATAAATTGTTAGCAACTACTGGAAATCATACTTTAACATTTTATTAGAATGTTAGAGTTATTATCTTAAGGGAAAAAGTAAGAGATAAATTAAAATAACAATTTCAATATAAAGAAATAAATGGAGATTCTTTTGGATTATAAAATGCCATAGAGATGTTTATTAAAAGTGAAAAGAGAAATCAAAATCTAAAAGATCAAGTATTAAATTTAGTAAATTCTAAATTATAATTTTTCATCTAATTACAACAAGTGAAACATATTAAATTATCATAATTATTTAAAGTTTCAAAAGAATTATGTTTGAAAGTAGAAACATTAGAAACTAAACTATTAAAGCTTTATAAATATTTCCCAAGTCAAAGAATTTAATCTCTTTATACTTATTGTTAAGGAGAGATATTTGATAACTATTTAGATGCCCATAAAATTACATGTAATACATCTATTTCTGATGAAAAATTGAATAATTTACATAATAACACAGATGCTTAATATACATTATTTAATAAAGATCTAATTTATATAAATGTTAAACTATTTGAGGAAACCTAAGAATTATTAATCTAAAATATAACACCAAGAGTTTGCTAATTTTTCTAAAAAACCTATGATGACTTTAGGATTAATAATTCAATAGATTACTTGATTCCTTCAGCTATTAAGAATGAACATTCACTTTTAGTATAAAGATTCCTATAAACATCAATATCAAGATTTTATTTAAAAAAGAATATTAATTTTTACAGAATTTAAAATGAAATAATTAAACCATGTGAATTCTTTTTTGAAGTCAATTTTAGTGATATTACGTAAATATAATTTTTAGCTTTCTTTTATGATAATTTTTAAACATCAGCTTTTATAATGGTTGATGTAAATTATTAATTAGGAGGAATAACATAAAATTTATTAGATAAATTAGGATACACAAATTATTATTTAGAAAATATCCAATCTTAATATATAAATCAAGTACCAATAGAATTATTAATTCCTAATTTTACATAACTTGTTAATCAAAAAGAATTATTATATGTAACTGAATTTAAGTTTTTAAAATAATCCATTCTAATCAATCATTTAGTTACTGATGAATAAAGAAATAATCCTAAAAATAATTTTACTGAATGGCATATTCAAGATAATCTAATTCATTGTGAAAGTTTAATATCAATTAATTCAAGAGAATTATTTGGTTTTTCATATTTTATCATAGAAATCAAAGAAATAAAGACTGATTTCGTTTATAAATAGTAAGCTTTAGATAAAGATTGTAATTCTTTTGATTAAGCTTTTTCTTATGTTTCTGATTAAGAAGCAATAATAAACTCACCTTTTGTGCTTAAAATTGATTAGACAAAATTTGATGTTTTTAATAGAGATGTAAATTAAATAATAGTTTAAGGTGATAATGATAAATGGTAATAATTTTATCAACCAGATTTATCTCATTATGAAATAAATTTAATGAGTCCTATGGACTTAAGTATGAATCCAATTGCTTTAAATTCAGCTAACCCTCTTTTAAAAATTAGATAATAAGAGTTCTTTAGTTTTGTAGGTGAATAATAAAATGGAGCCAATTCTTTTTCATCAAAAATTCATTTGGGTAAAGCTTTTGAAATATAATAAGATGAATTAATTAATAAACCATAAATTAGAATCAAAGGAGATGATACTAATTCTTCTTCTTATGCAGGTGCTAAAAAATCAAAGTTTTTTAAAAAATATCAAATGTATTAATAAGTAATAACACCACATAATCCTAAATAATTAAAATTACTCATAATATTATTGATTTGTTAATTTATCATAGGAAGTATACATTTCTTAATCATAATGACTAAAAATTAAAATGATCTTAACTAATTCATTTCAGAAATTGATATGATTGAATTACATAGTAGTTTCATGGCACCACATGATATTTTTGTATCTATGAGACTTGCTATTATATCTTATAGTTCTTATGTGAATGAAGGAGCAATAAATTAATCACAAGCTAATACACTAACTTAACCATTCTATGATAATATTTACATTGGATACTAAGAAATTAAAGAAGTCTTTATTAAATAATTAACAAATCAAAATTTATAACCTTTTTTTGAAAATAAAACAATAGATATGGTATTTATGGATGCTAATACTAGTGATGTATATAGTAAAACATTAAATATACGTGAAGCTTTCTAATAAATTATTTAAAATTTATATTAGTATAAATATAGATATGAAAATCGTATGAGTACATCCGGAAGTGCAATCCAAGTATTTGGAGTTGCTAATCAATTTTATTTACATAATTGGTTAGAGATATTAACAATAGAAATTCTATAATACTCAAAATATCGAAGTGAATCAATTACTAAAGATTGGAGTGTTATTTGGATTACTTTTATTTTAATAACAATTTTATTAACTCTTACTGAAATTTATTATTATAGATAATATAATCAAAGATATGATAAATATTTAGGAATTTTTAAATTTTGTAATTAAAATAAATTGTAATATGAGATTGATAGATACAAGATAATGCAAAGATCTTTATAAAAAAATCCAGATCAAATATTTCTTTATAATTTTGACTTAAATCAAAAGGAATTATAATTAATTACATAAGCCAAAATTTAAGATGCTTTGAGTAAGAAAAACAAAGATTAATAAAGAAATATTTAATTCTAATATGAATCAGTATCCATAATTCTTGGAACATCCTTAATTATTGGAATTTGGATGATATTCTTTGGTTTAAGTATTATAATTTTCTAAGGATAAATGACTTATTTAAATAAGTATTCTGATACAGTTGATATTTATAAGTTGATTTAAGATATGACATATTCATCAGCCACCTTATATTAGAATAGAGAATATCATTTTATATTTAGTAATTTTACTTATTTGACTCCAAAAGATGAAGAATATATTTTTGATTTAATTTATTCTGGTATTGATAACATAGAAAAGTTTAATATATTATGTTCATCTTTTGATTAGAATGCATACTAAGTGAATGATGATTTTGTTACATTTTTTAATTAGATTCAAAAAGAATCAGTTTGTGATATACTTACATCTTAGTAGTTGGCTTTTTTGAAAGATTTTTGTTCAATTTCAATTTAAGGGAATTTCTTAAAAGGGGCAATTGCTGCATTGAATTTTATGAAAAATCAAATTAGAACATAGATTGTTGTGAATAACTTTACTAAAAGATTAGAGTATCCATTATATGATAATGAGGCTGGTATTATAATGGTCAGAGTATTTTAGTTGATGACTTAGAAATTAAAATCAAGCATGTTAGGTGTTACCACTGATTTATAAGACATCTCTTAGGTAATTTAAATTAGTATAATAAGGTTTTATCAACGATCTATTTAATATTTGCAGTCCTCTCAATTTTAGTATTGATAATTGGAATCAAAAGATATTTAGAAATTGAATATAACATTGTGAAGAGATTCATATAATTGTTACCTACTTCTATTACACTTTTAGAAGATTAATTTGAACGTTATATGAGGGTGCTATTAGTAGAAGAAAGTGAATGACTTTGTTACATATATTCTATTTTTATAAATAATTAATTAATCTTAACTATGTACCTCATTCCCAGATTAAGCAAAATTCATAAATCTTAGGAAGATATAGCAGCTATTTAAGATTATATGAGTCAATTACCATAATTTCATGCTCCTTACGAGATCTTAAAAGAGGTATAACGAGTTTTATATAGCTATGTTATAGTATGAATTATAAATCATTCAAACATGGTGAACATGTTAACAATAAAAGTGAGTTTGCTTACTTCATTTTAAAAGGATAGATTTTAGCTGATAATGGTGATTCATATAGTGTGGATACATGGTACGATTTAGATTACTCGTTCTATGTTGTGGTACAAATTTTGATTTACTAAGGTCGATACACATTGTATTATAGTACCCATTAATACTTATAAGAATTTTAATCACACTCATGGATCTAATTTTCAATATCGCAAAAATATTTTATTATAAAATATTACATCAATAGACAAAATAAATTCAAGCAAAATATAAGAAAAACTAATTAGAACTTTTACAGAAACTACTCTATCAGCTGGTAGCATTATTTACAAATAGAATGAGCCCTCATAATCTATATATGTTCTATCAGAAGGGGTCTTATAAATTTCTCGATTGTATGAAAAGAAAATGACTCATTATGAAAAACAAGTTTTACCTAAAAAGTATTGGTAGACAGAGATCAATATTTGTTAACTTACAAATTCAGGTGTCATAGGTGAAGAATTATTGAAATAGGACTTTGCATTTTATAATGTTAAAGTAATCTCGAAAATTGCAGTTTTATAAATGATATCAGTTAAATAGCTAAAGAACTTTTTAAATATCAATGTTGTTATCTAATCCTTATAAGATTTATTTAATGATAAACATGTCTAGAGAGAAGAAATCTTTAAACAATAATGTGAAGAAATGGAAAAAAACTGGTAAACTACCAGTAAATAATAGATTATTAACTCTGAAATTAAGAAAACCATAAGTTTCAAGGTTCTTAAATCTACTTCTGAAAAGTAATAATAAACTAACAATACTACAATGAACATGACTAAAATTAATATTAGTAACACTCCAAATCATCAGGATGAAGAACTTGGAGAATTTCAAAGAACTAAAAGTCCTATCAAAAAAATACCTAATTTTATATAATAATATTTTAAATAGAAATAATTAGAATCTACTAAAAAAACAAATGAAATAACATTATAATAATTTATCTAAAGACAGTAACATTGTAATAACCCATATTAATTATTTGAAAAAGTTCATGATCCTCTTAATTATATTTAAAAAGGATCTAATTATAAAAGATAATAATTTTCAGTCTTGATTTAACATGGAATTGTAAAAATTAAAAATCCATTGATTCCTAAATAACCTAAAAGACCGATAACATCTTATTTAGGAGATGACTCAAGTAATAACAATAATAATAACAATAATAATAGTAATAATAATAATAATAATAATAATAATAATGACAGTTCTCATTAATAATAACCTACAAGATTATTAATAAAGAGTGTTCATACTCCTAAACCTATTGTTAATTCCTTAAAAAAATTTTATAGAAGTTAATCAGCACACAAAAATAAAGGATTTTCTTTATTAGGAAAATCATATTAATAATAATCAAGTAATAAATAAAAATCGATATATTTAGGTCCAAGAGACAATATGTTTTATTTAAGAAGTAATTCAACTCACAATTTTAAATTAAGCCTTAACAAATCCTCAAATTAAAGCTAATAATTACAAGTTTGTTATACAGATAAAAAAATACAATGCGAAGAATCATTATTATGAAGCAAGTTTCTATATAGTTACAAGATCATTTAATTCTTTATTAACGTTCTACATTTAATCGATTATCTCTAATAATTTCTATCTCTTTTCTTTCTTTATATTCATGTCTGTAAACTATTGGATTTACTCTTCAATATCTTAATATTATAAATTGAGTGCTGTTAGTTGTTCATCCAAAAACTTTATTCTTTAAATAGCTTGAATATATTTTTATTGTTTTCTACAAAATTATTAATCTGTCTATGTAATTTCATCACTCATGATGATTGCATTGTTGTTATCCTCATTCTTATTTTAAGATGGATAATTTTCTTCTAAAGTCTTTACTATCAATCTACTTACACCACTACTTTGTGAATCATATCCTTATTATTTTTAGTTTTAAAGATTATTATTTTACATCGATTAAGATTGAGTTAAAAATTAAGGATCTTTAAATTTATTAAGACTTTTGCTTTTGATTTAACGTAAATCTCTAATTTTTTATGCCTTTATTGGCATTTCCTTTGATGACAATTATTTAATATTTTTTTTCTATGTTACTCTTGGACTTAAAGTGGATAGATTAGATTTTGAAGATAGTGTAATTAATTATTATTTTAATTACTCTATTCTAATATTTGATTCTGAAGATTTTTTAACTCTTTTAAACTCTGATTCTTCAAGTTCTTTTTTAGTTAAATCTAAATTGGATTTTAAATTTTAAATTGATTTCTTAATTTATTCATTTTCTATTGTCAAATGCTCTATTTAGTATTTTAATTTATTATTTTCATCCTCCAATTCTAAATTATTTATTAAATTACATCTAAATGTTTGATCATTATAATAAACAATATATTATTCTATATATTAATCAGCCTCAAATAATTTTTCTTTTAATTTAACTATTTCTTATTGTAATTTTTCATTATTTTCATATAAAAATTATTTCTCATTTTTCTCTTATTCAAAAAGGAACTATAAGTTTGAATAATTCTAATATACTTTTGATATATTTACTTATTTTTCTTAAGATAAAATTTAATTTAATGAATTAACTTTGTTTCTTAAGTTTATGTTATTTTCTTCTTAATTCCTCAGTTATTCATTTCTTTATATATTCAAATAAATTACAAATTTTAGATCTCCTCCATATATTCCCTATATTTTTGATCTGTTTATTATGTAATACTCAATATATTATGTTGTAATTATCCTATTTTACATTCATAATCTTCAATCTTAATTTTAGATGTAAATTCATATTGCATTAATCTTGATTCAAGTTCTTTAATTTATAAGTTTTCACTAGTTTTTTAATGAACACTTGATTCCTTTTGTTTTCTATCATTAGATTTCATATTACTCTTATAATCATTTGATGACTAATTTATAAATTCATAAATACCACTAAAGTCTATAAACTAGAATTCTCTAATTCAAGTTATTTAATCTTTTCCTACAATGCTTTCATTGCATTTAAATAACTTTATGAAGCTGTAAAGTTATTAACAATTTTTTATTCATCAGATGTATTTGAAAGTATATGCTGTTTTTTTTATTAGTCTTTGTTTCGAACTTTATAACCTGCAAAAAGTTAAGAACATATAAACTAATTATATTTAGCATGCTTATCAGATAATGCTGAGTGAAAACTATCAGCTTTCATTAATTTATTATTATATAAAAAAAAAAAGTGAAAATGTTGTAATGCAGCTTCAATATTAAAAGATCATATTTTACTATAAAAATAATGATTTTCTATTTATAACAATAGAATTTATCTAACATTAAGAGAAAAGCAGAATTAAATATTATTGTACAATTACACTCTAAAAATTATAATTTTAATTTTTTAATTCTTAATTACAACCTCTAAATTTTTCATAACTTTTTTTTTGAATCATATTGTTTTTTTTGGTATTGTGATGAAATTTGATTAGTTCATTTATAAATTATTGTGCAGTTAAACTAGATAAAAATATATTATAATATGCATTATATTATATTAATTCATTATAAATACTTTCTTAATAATAGTTCAGTAGCAAATAGGACTAACAGAATAACAAAAAAGGCCTCTATTAAGTAGATACAAACTTTCTAATTAGAGTCATCTTATTTATTATTCTATTGTCGAATTGAGGATTAAAATGACTTAACTTTTTTGAGTTAATCATCTCTTTGTTTGATATAAAATGGTACAGTCTAAAATGAATTGTAATAATTATTACTTATTTTTCTTATCTCCTTATTATAGAATTCGGAGTAGTTTCAATAAATCTAATTTTTGCCTAATTGACCATCTCTTTTAAGGTTTGAGGTCGAAATTCATCAGGATTTGCTTATTCAATTTTTCTGATGTTCACATTTTAAAAATGAGAGAAATCATCAGTCAATAATCTCTTCAATTTCTTGCTGCTTCGATTATTTTCTTATATTGGACCCAATATAGACTCATTATTATTAGAATTGTCAATGTTAATATATCCAAAAGATCTTTATTGCATTATGATGAGAGTAAATATATTTTAATTATTTAATATTGACTATTTAAAATGGAATGATTTAAAATTACAAAAATATAATGAAAATTTTTAGTTGAGAATTTTTATATAAATTTAATAATCATTAATTTTCATTAATTTATTAGTTTTTTCTCTATGGAAATTCATCAATTCTTTTATTTAAATCTCCACCTTTAGCTTTTAAAGTAGAAGATTTTTTTAATTATTCAAGTTTGAGATTCTTCTCATGATATTTTTTAGAATCTGATATAAGAAATTAAATGATTTAGCTTTCTTATATCTCTTAAGTGCAGAATAAAGCATTCAAATAATTTTCTAAATCTTCTTTTCTCTTTTCTATAGTCTCTTATAATTATAAATTTTATATAATACCTGGATTTTCATTAGTTTATCCAAATAATTTCCTTGTTGGGAATTATGGCAACTTATTTTTAAATCCTTGATCAAGAAGAGCATCATGAATACTTTTGATTTCAGAATATCTTTTTTTATATATCCATTCATCATTTGCTTAATTATTTTTGAAACGAAGTATATATATAACAACTTCATCATAAATTACATAGTTTTCAATCCTTATACTTATATTCATTCTAATAATCATAATAATATAAATACTATTAATTTTAAAGATTTTCTATTGGTAAATATTATTAGACTGGAGTTAAACTAAGTATTTTATCAATACTAAAAAGTTCATTGAAATAGGTTTCTAATTCAATTTTTCTTTTTATAATTTTTTCTTCATTCTAATTTGTTTTACTAAAAAGAGATCTTCCAGGAAATTATGGTAATTGCATTTATAATTTTAATAGAGTAACATTCTTATGCAATTTATCATGAAAATCTTTTAATTCTGAATATCGATTTATAGTTATTTTTGTTTCATTTTCATTATTTACTTTTGTAACTGTGATTTAATAGTAAACTTTATTATCATTCTATAAAAGATGGTTAATTTGAACACGATATCTCTTAACTAACATATAAAAATTCTTTAATTGAAAATAAATAAACTATTTATATATAAGTTATTAATAATTATTTATAATATATTATTATTAAATATAGGATTTTATATATTTTATATATTTTTCATTTTTAATATAAAAATATCTTCTCATATAAAAATTATAATTAAAATGAATTTTAATTCAAATCATGAGAAGTTTTCTAAAAATTAAATTCATCATTTTTCAAGGCTAGTCTAAATTTTAGAAAAAAAAGCAGTCATGATAAATTTTGATTACATTAGAACCTACTCAATGATAAAAAAGAAAATTAGCTCTATAGATTCAAGCGACATATAATAATTGAATTAATTATAGTAAAATTAACATTCATAGTAATCATTTCGTAGAAGTTCTTAATTGATGACTCCAAAAGGAAGTATGTTATAGGCAATATAAGAATTAAAAATCAAAAACATAACTGAGTAAATTAATCAATCATAATATGAAACATCTAATACAAAATAAGGATTCAGAAAAATTATAGAATTAGAAAGGAGAGCCAGAAATATCAAAGCAAATTTAAAAGATAATAAAATTATACTCAAATCAAATGAAGAAAAATTTTATGAAATTTGCTTGGCTGTTGTACTGATATTTTTCATCTTTACATTTACTTATACAATTATCCATGAATTAAAGAATTGAATTTTGTAAATTATTATTTTATCATATATATATAAATCATTATAACTAAAATGACATAAACACTACTTAAGTAAATCTAGATGATATATTTAAATAGCTTCAAGTAAAATTTTACAAAAATTGTTAATTAATATATAAAAGGAATTTGTATTAAAAATTACATATATAATTATTATTCAAAAACAATCAAAAAAATGATTAAAAATTTTCTATTTATCTTAAAATTACTTTTTATATAAATATTAAAATTATATCTACTCTGAATGATAATTTAAATCTTATAAATTATTTACTTTAATCATACAATTAAGAGTTTGTAATTTTCTTAAAAATCTAAAGACTAATAGTAATCATAGACTACTTTATAGCAGAAGAGATAAATTTTTTTTATTTAAAGAAAATTGAGTTCGCGAATTTTTTAAGTGTTTTCATTAGTTTTAATTATTTTAATCAGATTTATATAAAAATGAATGAATAAAAATTGCGAGAAATGATGAAAATATATACTGTCTCCAAATAGGTTAATAAAAAAGCTGAAAAAAATTTCCTTAAGTTTTCTCATCAATTTTATAAAATGCATAAAGCTGATATGACTCCTGAATTATTGAATGAGATCAATTCTCTAAGATAATAAATCAAAGTTGAAAAATAAAATTTTTCTAAATAAACCTCTCCCATTATCAGTCCACGTCTCTCTGAAAACCCTAAATTAATTCCTCCTAATTAAACTTCAATCACAGATTTAGTTATTGAAAATAAATAAAAAATAGATTCTATTATTTTAGAAGCTGCTCATGCTTAAATATTCAAACTATATATAGAGGAAATTAAAGATTTGAAGCAATGTATATTGTTTTAGTAATTTTGATTAGAACTTAATAAAGCAAATATAATGATTGAAACATAAAAAAAGTAATATGATATTAGACTAGAAAGTATTTTTATTTATTTATTTTAGCTCTCAATAATTAGATAGTTGATTAGAAACGAATAAATGATGATTTAAAAAAAGAAGTAATAAAATAAATAATATAGGTAAAAGTATTGAAGCAAATTTTATTGGAAAAATTATACAATCGTTAAACAACAGAATTATCAACTAAAACTTAAAATGAAAGTCTAGAAAAATACCATAGTATCAATACTTCAACTTCTAATTCTGTTATTACAAAAGAGAAGAGCTTAGATCTTTTTAAATCAGAAATTGAATAGGCTCTTAATATATATCGTTTAGATAAATAAAATACTTAGATTTAGGAATCAAAGACTTAAAAATCATGATGTTTATTTATATATGAGAGATTGTAATCTGTTATTCTTTTATAAAATTATAAAATTAATAAATAAATTATTCTTAAGCTTAAATTACATTAAGTATATATAATATTTTCTTATTAGATCTTAAATAAGTACTAAAAAAGAGATAGTATTATTCAAAATAATTGATTTTTTATTGGTTGATTAAATTACTTAATTATATTTCAAAAAGTACTCAATAATATTCTAGAACAATATTTTAATTAATTATTATATTTTATATGCTATAATTGTTATTACAATAATAATCAATTATAATATTCTAATAAAACAATAAAATAATTTGTATAAATTTAAGTGTATATTTATACAATTATAAATTGGAATGCAAAATGTAAAATACTATAAATTAATTAGAGTGTATAAGAATGATTTTTATATGTTTATATGGTGCAATATTTAATTTATATATTTTTAGAGCTCCTTCAACATTTTTCATCATGATAACTCCAAAGAAAACTCTTAGGCCCTCTTCCAGCTGCTCTTTTAACAAATTCTGCATCATTAGGTGGTTTCATCTGATATATGATTTATAATAGACCTTTTTTGTTGCACTAGATAACATTGATTGTATAGACAAGCAAACAGAACTTACAGTGAGGGCGGCTGACCACTCTAAAATTATAAATCATTAGAAATACCATCAAATAATATTGATAAACAAATAAATCCATTGGAATATATATGTTCATGTTCAGGGGGTTTACCAATAAAGATTACCTAATTTATGAGAATAATATTACTTCAGGAGATTCGATTGGCTAATTTCAAAGAAAAAAAGAGCTAAATAAGTATAAGTATTTCTACATATTCATTTGAAAACTTGAATTGCAATCTAATTTATTTAAATTATTTACTCGAATTTCTCTCCTTAATATAATGTTCCTTTTGCACCTTCAAATGCTACAATCCAATGTTTAATATCATTATTTGGCATTCTCACATTAAATTAATCTGTATAAGACTTTTGCATCTACTCTAAATCCTTTTGTAGTCTCTTGGCCATTCTACTTTACATTTCTTTAAAAAATATTATATATATTTTTAATTAATATCAAATTTGGAATTATATATTTGGATTAAATGATAAGTTTCTGATTCAATCAATTTAAATACTTGGATTCATAAATAATTAAGAACAATAACATAAATATTATAAAAATAATAATGTAAATATTTTTAGGTTGTTAAATAATCATATCCATAAATAAAGTGGTTTACTAATTAAAAAAATAGATAGAAAAAGTTGTAAATTCTAAAAAAATATATAAATTTTTAAATAAATTATTTTATTATAGAATAATTATTATTTAAGTAAAATATGAGCGCATTGCCGCTTGATTATTTAATTTTAAAGACAAATGCAAATTTCCGAAAATCACTATTTGCTCAAAAGGTAGGATACCTAAGATTAATAGTTCAATTCATAATTTTCATCACCTGAAACAGATTTTAGATAAACCTAAAAGGAAATATTTCCTTACAAGACACAAGAAGAGTATGAAAAGGAAACTTAACAACTTTAATTCTTTACTCCAAAAAAAACAAGGTATTAAGATAAAGAGATATATTATACTCCCGAAAACAAAAGAAAACAAGAACATTAAAATAACTAACAGCACAGAAAATTCAAATAGATAGGTAATATCTTGTTTGCAATACAAGTTCTAATTATCATTCTTTTGGAAGTGATGAATTGACTATTATTATTATTTTTATGTTAATTACTTTAACATTTTTATATTAATCAAGAGTTTGTGGATTATTATTATCAATATTCTTAACCCACAAAAACTAATTGAATTATTGAAAAAAAGAAATCTAAAAATTAATTTAATAGGATTATTATGATAGCTTGATTAATTATTTTATTAAGAATTTAAGATTTTTATTTAGATTGGAATCTATAAGTCCTTTTAGATTAAAATAGATATATTAAAGATTACTTAAATAATATCTTTATATACACAAAACTCTTTAATTATAATCAAAAATAATTAAATATTTTCTTAGATAACAATATGATATTATAATTTCTATTATATAATTTTATATAAATGCTACAAAACTTATATGTAGATTAAATCTATAATTATAATTAATATTTATAAGTGTATTTTATATAAATATTGATTTTGAAAGATAATTAAAGCCAATTTTGTTAAGGTATTATTAAAATAATGAATATCATGGCAATTCATCCAAATTTTCATTTTTATATAATGTCCATAGTCTTGTCTTCAATTTCATAAGTGTATCTCTAATTTATGCCAATTTTTCTTCTTTATTTTCATTCTCTTTAAATAAAACTTTATAGAAATTATCACGACTATCTATTTAATATGATTATACCTTCCAACAGTAAATAAACCTGCTTTTACAGCTGTTTTTATTGTGAATGAATGATGAGGGGCAAGACTTTCACTATATGCTTCTGAGCATATAGAACTGAAACTTTTCTTTTAATCAGTTATCAATTAATTAGTCATATAGCAAACAAAATCGAAAAACCACATAAGTCTTAATACTGTACGTGCTGATGACTCATAATCAAAATAGAAGTCTCCTTCTTTATATCCAAACTTTTCAGTGTTCTAACCATTTAATTTTGCAATGTCTATTATATAATAAATATAAATACCCTTCTATTTCTCAAATAATATAAAATCAATTAAAGATCCATGTTTATGCATATTCCAATTTCTCTCTAATATTCTACATTTAGATGTGATATCTTCAAAAGCCTTTTTTAAAATTCCACCCATTTCCATAAAAATCTATTGTTAAGGAGAACTCAAAAATACCTTAGTTAGTTCTCTACACATAAGAACAAATGTATTAAATTGATTTAATTTATCTAAATCAGCCTTAATGATTGAAATTGATTCCAGTAATCTATTTAGATTAAAATTTTGCGAATTATCCATTATTTTTTTTAATTATATTGTAATGTATTTTTTATTATTTTTTTAATTTCATATACAAATAGTATTTTCTTAAGATAATATTAAAGTATGTCTCTATTTTAAAAAAAAATAAAAACTATATGAAACTATAATTAATATTGTTCAAACCAACTCTTAAATTATCAGTAATTTAATTTAATTATATTTAAGAATATTCTTTAATTTCATTAGATTTATGCATGTTTCTTAAAATGGATCACCATTTATCATTTCCTAGCCATGTAATTCAATTTAAAGAAGGCAATTAAACTTGGATAAATTTAATTATACGCATTAATGCATATAAAGTGACTTTAAAATTGCAAATCTTTTTTTTTATCTCTAATTATAAATTTTGGTATTATTTGCAAATATGCATCAGTTTTTACCCAACTAACTCATCTTTGATTCCTAATAATCAATCAATTACTGGAATGTATATCAGAATCTCCAACATTCCTATTATAATAATTATTACACCATGTAATAGATGCCTTATGCATAACAACATCCATAATATCAATAGAAACTTCCATAAAATTTTGAATATGGTAACACTTCCTTCTATATAATAATTAGTACGTTATTATGAAGACCCAATTTCGACTTAATGTACAAGAAGATCAATTGTAGAATATTAAGATGTAGTACCATAGATCAAAAATGAAACTCTAGAACGATACATAATGATGATTGTCAATGAAGATGAAACTTTTCATAATAAAATAGCAAATCTAAAAAATAGTAATTAGACAGCTTTATTTAATCTTCTTGAAATGTTGGCTTAGAAATAGAGATGCTAATAGAAAAGTAGAGAAGAACTGGTTAAGTTTTGCTTAAGAAAAGCATTAAAATTTATATTCAAAAGAGTTTAAGAGAAATATGATAAAACAAGTATGTATATAATCATATTTTAAGAAACAAATTTGAAATCTGCTTAAAAAATATTCATGACAATTGTGGAAAAAGAAACTTAAACCATCATTATGCTTCCATTTAGAAAAAATAGTAAAAATAAAACAATGAATTCAGATTTTTTAAAATAAATTTTCTCTTCAAAAACCTTTGTTACTTATTATAAAGAATTCTTAAGTAAATCTTATGTTTATTTTAGGTTGTTTGGAATCAGAAATATAAAAAGATTCTAAAAAAAAAATTGCATCTCTTTGCAATAAAATTATGAATCATATTAAAGATGAAAAAAATGTATAAATACAAATTAAACAATTTATAGTTTGAATTTGATGTTAAAAGATTACCATGGTCTCATTCAAATGTAGAAAAAGTTAAATAGACAGCTTAAGAAATGTTACTTTATTCAAATTTTGAGATTAAGTGAATTATAATATTTTAATTTAACCCATACAATATATTTTTAATAAAAGTCTCAATAATAATAACAGGGTATTTAAATATTATTTTTTATATCAATAGGAATTTAGAAAAATGCCAGTAGGTTTATAAAAATAAATAAATAAAAAGATAAAAAATAGACTCAATCCATCTCAAAAAACATTATAAATGTACTAAAATACTAGATACACTAAAGAATAAATGGTGAAAAAAATTCTTTGATAAAACTATGAACAGCCACTGAATTGATTAATATATAATTTAATTAATAATTATTAATTTAGAAATATATATATATATATATTTTATTATATATATAATAAAAAATATTGTATAATTATTGAAAATCATCCTATTAGAATAAGATGAATAATAATAATAATCATTATTTTAAATGATATAACTTATATTTTATTTAATCTAAATATTCTGAATAACAATGTTAATTGGAATTGGTTGTGTTAAGTTAACATCTCATTTTTTATTAATTCCATTCACATTATTCTGATTTTATATTACATAAATTAGGACTCTTGTATTATTAACATCTAAACAATATTATAATTTAATTACTCAATATTTTAACATTGATTTTGATTCCATAAGCATAATCCTTTATTTTCTATTCAAAATTAATATGAAGTATAAGACGAACAAACGGAATATCCACTTGTATATATGAATTTAATACTCAGTTCACCATATACATTGAATTCCATTTACAAAAGTACACTCATAATCATATTTTTTATGCTTGCACTCTTAGAAAATACATTCAAAAGTATCAAAAATAGTTGTTGTTCTAGATTCAATTGGAAATACTTCTCCATTTACAATAGGCACACATCTACATATATATAATAGTTTAATTATTACTTCTCTTTAAATCTAGTATTTCTACAACCTTTTACAGACTAGAAATCTACACATTTTGTAACTTATACACACTTTTCATTTTACCATTCACATGATATTTGACCAAAAGATTCACAATCAAAATCATTAGTGGAATTTTCACATCTAAATTAAATATAATAAATTTAAGTCAACACATTTACCTTGTACATTGGTTTTCATTATTTCAGTATCATAATTTGTTGTATTAGCCCCATCCCATCTACCTCCATATGATCTATATAGACATGTAAATTCATTTGTATAAATTAAACAAGGTAATTTATTAAGGATAGATTTTACACATTTATTTGAATTGCATTCACAAATCGAATTATTATTTGAATCCTTAGCTTATTGACATATATTTATATCTATAATAGATTTACATGTAATTGTATTCACAGAACATGTTTATCCTACTATATTAGATACAATATTAAAGAGCAAAATAATGTTTAACATAGAAATTTAATAATATATATAAACTAAGATTTTCGTTTAATAATTAAATCCAAAATTTAATAAGTCAATAGTTTTTTGTAACACTACTTCTTCTTAATCCACTATCTCTTAATTAATTTATTTTCGAAGTTGTTTTAGTTGAACTTGTTTATGTAATCATTTTTCTTTTTTGTATGCTCTCTATTTAAGCTTCTGTCATTGTTATATCCTCTTCTATATCATGATATTTTTTATTAAGATCTTGAAATTTCTTTTTCCATTTTGCTAATTCTCTATTTTATTCTTCTACTTAACTGCTTGCCTATTCTTCTGCATTCTCTAAATTATATTATGCCTAATCGACCAAACTTTCTAAGTTTTAAATTTCCTCTTCATTTTCATTAAGAATGTGTTTCAATTTCTCAATTTCTTATTCAAGTTATCTAATTCTAGCCTCATCTTCAACAATTATTTATTTAGTTTCAATCTTTCTTTAAGGACCATGTTTTAACATCAACTACAATTCAATTAATTATTTCTCCAAAAGTATCTATTTACTCTTCCAAGGTCCTTAAATTTCATCCATAGATATCACATTTATTGGTCTATTTACATGATGTACTTCATGTATAATTGGTGCATCTTCTATTTCATGAACTATAAATATTTGCTAAATTTATATACCAATATTAACTTAAGGTGGTTGTTAAACTACTACTTAAATAGGTTCATTATATAATCTATACACTGGTTAAACAGATTATGTATAATATACTTTTTGTTAATTTAAAGGAGAAGAGGCTCTAACAATAGGTTATCTTATTGATTAAGGAATTTATTATTAAAAAACTTAAATTCTTTAAGATGAAGTATTTGAGAGTAAAGGTTAGGATAAATTTCTAGCATGTGTTGAATAAGTATGTTAACGAACTGCAATATAAATTAATTTTACTACTATTTCCTTATTGTATTTAAGATTGAGCAATGCCATATGTAGAGATGGATTAATCAATATATGGATTTAATTCAGATTTTTGATAGCTAAATTTTGCATCATAACCATATGAATTATTCATTATTTCTAAAATAAAATTTAATTATAAATGAAAATAATTTAATTTTATAATTCACCATACATATTTCCATTTAATTCTTTTTTTATCACACTATAATATATATATATATTATTAATATTATATATTTTAAATTTACTTGAATATTAAATGAGATATATATATAGATATATTATTGATTGAGCAATAAAATTAGAAAATAATTATAATAAATCAATTGTAATTTCTATATACATTGATTTATTTTATATCCTTCCATCCAAATATAGCATTCCATTATTAATCATAAACTTAAGTAGATTTATCTGGATATGTAGCATATATATGAACATAAAATATTAATACAATAATCTATATAATAAATATATATTTACTTTAACAAATAATAATAACCAACTCAATATTATTTGATATTTCTATAATCCATATTCTAAATGATCATAATTTGCATTAAACTCTCCCAAATATGGCTATCAATTTAATCTAATATTTACAGTACTATAAATTGCAAGCCAAATTATATCCATCAATAAAGCAACACCTAACATAACCATAATTATCTTAATGTGAAGTAATGATTAAAGCTTATAATTTTTCTGATAAAACAAAAAGCAATAGAATAGTACTAAGAACTATATAAAATATCACACTTTTTATACATCAAAATTTAATGTTCTATACATACTATTTAATAATCCAAAAACTAAATAAAGAATAATTAATAAAAGTGAAATCTAAACTAATCTATCTATTTAATTCTCACTAATCAACAATGGACTTTATTATTATTATTATTATTAATTTGGTTATGTTTGATAAGTTGATATAGTTAAATTATTTTAAAATTTGATTGTTTATTTGAATGGAGAATTAATAATATCCAAATCAACTATGTGATCATTAATTTCTTATTCTAATTAATTAATTTATATCATATTTTCATTAATTAAGTCTTATAAATATTTATTCTACATATCATTGTTATAAATACTTTTGAATATATCCATTATATTTTAAGATGTAATTTAGCTCTTACAATTTAATTAGTTTCATCTGTTAAATTTACAGTAAAATCATGAAGCATTTAATCTCCAAAAGTATTTATATCTATATAAGCAACTCCACCATTTCCTCTTTTTTATTACAATTCTGTATCCAGCAAAATAAATTTCATTACTGTTTACTCATTGACATTACTAAATCATAAAGTTAAGTAAATACAAATCAAAGGTTTCATTCCAAACTGGTTTTTGTCTTTTTGTTAACTCTATAATCAAATAACAATTTACATGTATAAACAACAGATGACATACATTCTAAACTTACTTATAATTATCCATTTCCTTAATACAAAATCTCAGCATCAAGAATTTCTACATTCAATTTGCTTGATGAATTAATACTATTTGTTTATGATTATCTAATTTTATCATTATAGGCTCTAATTTCACTAATGATAATTCAAATATAAATATACATATTTTTTTAATCTATTATTTCTTAACATTTACTTATTTTATCATTTAATACATCCTATGCCTTTTTAAATACATTAATTAACTAATTAATTGTGCATTATTATTATATTTATGCTTATGGGATTTAGTCAATCAATTATTAATAAACATCTCTATCAAAATAATTATTAGCACATTTTGAATCCAAAAATGATAATATTTCACTTAAATTGTATTTCTGATTGTGTAATTATGAAAATTCATTGAAAACATCCTAGAATTGATTCATTTTTTAAAATATAACGATTATTAATAAATATTTTCAATCTATAATTTATTTTTGCAATCATTCTTTCATATGAATATTGTCTTTGTCTTATACTCATCTATTAAATCAATAAATTTAGTATATTTGACTTTTAATTTTTATGATATAATCTTTATATCTTCTTTTTATAAAACCATCTAATATAAACTATATTAATATATATTAAATGAATTTCCACTTAATTTAATATAGTATATAGTATTTATTGATGAGAGTTAATAAAAATTTTAAAACAAATTTAATAAATTTATATTCTAAATTTAGTTTTTTCACATTTTTTATTAATGTATTGAAAGTATCTTGATTAAAATTGATGTAAATGGTATTTATAAAGTTAATTTTATAATGAATATTAGATTTCAAATAACAGTAGTTTTTTGAGTTTGAAATTGTGATGTTCATTTATATTATCGATATACAAGACCAAACCTTACTCTTTTTTGACTATTGGTTTTACTCTTTTGAGAATTGGTTATTGATTTTTCAGATCCAATAGATTTCAAAATTGATTTAGGTTCTAAAGATAAAATGACAGCTTCATCAAGTTAACAAGATAACCTATTCATTTTAATCAGTGAAGTTGATCTCTAATCAGGACTATGAATTAATAATGCTGTATTGTGCTTCTTTTGATGATTTGAATGTATGACTTTCACAGGACTTAATTACTTTTCAGTTGATTTTCTTCTAGCCAAATTAGTTTTATCTTCTTTCAATTATTCCAAAAAGTAATTCTCTTCCTATTTGTATCGATTTTTAGATTTGATAACTTTAGTAGGAGATTAAGCTCTTGAGAATTTACTTTCTCTGACAGGTGATAAATCTTCATCTGGCTTATCTTCATTTGTCATTAATATTTCGAATTCTTCCTCCTCTAATCTAGCAATGGTTGGGTTCTTTGATTCAATAGTTGGTTTAGATGGACTTTAAGATTATGAATTCAATAGAGGTAACATACATTAACTATTGCATGGGTCAAATTATTATTATTTAAAGTTTCTAGCTACTAAATTTACTTCATCTATAGAAGGAACTTATTAGTGACATGCACCATTACCCATTTTATATATATAAATTAAAAGTTAATTAATCAATCATTAGCAAACAAACTTAGAAAATCTTTATCAAGAGTACTTTAAAATGGAACTTTATTCTAATTATTTCGTGTTGTATTGCTAGAATTGCATGTTATAAGAAAATTATATTACAGCTATTATTCACTACTTATTTTATAATTATTTACTCTTTATCATCTTCATTTTCACATTCTAAAATCTCATATTTTGTATTAGTGTTTTAAATCACTTATTTACCTTGATGATCTGTAATTTTATTCCTTCTACTTCCTTCTGAAGTTTATGGTCTTCTCATTTTTTAAATCTCCTCTTCCATTATGAGGATTGAATTATGTTGAGTGATAGCTCTATTCTATTTGAGTGAATTATTTCTAGATTAATGATCCAAAGTCCACTCAGAGGGATATTCTTAACTTTTACGAGCTTTTAAAATAGTTTAATTGATTTGGGACAATCTTATTGCATTCAACCCCTTCTGTTAATAAGACATTTATAAATATATAAATATTATTTCAAGATTCTAAGGCTATAACAATATTTTATATCTACTCAAAATTCCTCTTTTTAATATACTATATAACCCAAAAAACTATTGAAATTAGTATTCTTTTAGAAGAATTTTTATATTCTCCTTCATTTTTTTTACTTTTCTTCAAATTTAATTAAGGTATATATTAATAGAAATTTAACTATAAAACAAAAGATATCTAATCAATTCTTAATATTTTTTTGATTTAAAACTAACTGAGTCCATTCTTTAATATTTAATCTTTTTTTAATTATTTGTTCGGTTTTGAGCTAATATTATATTAAATATAAAATTTTGTAAAAATTAATAATATCTTCCATTTAACCATGTTTAAAATTATAATTACTTTTATAATCTATTATACATTATGTTCAATTACATAATGACATCATATCTATTGTAGAATAATTAATTTAATTAAAGTTTACTTATAGTCTATAATATTTAATTAATTCTGTTGACAGTTATTAGCACTCAACTTTAAATAATTTTAAGAATTTAACTAATAAAAAAATTGTGAGAATTAATAAATTATCAGATCATTGATATATTTGATATTGATAGAATCATAAAATTGATCAATAAGATTAGCATGATTACTTTTGATAAAAAATGAAAATCATTATTTACTAATGATAAATATTTATGTTCATATCCGATCTATATATATTTTTTAATATTAGAGGAAAATTTATTTTATTGAATTTCTGCTTTATCTTTTACAAGAATTTATTTAAATAAAAATATAAAGTAAAAATATTTTTCATTGTTTAGATAAATTTTTAAAGTTTTGATTCAGTTTTAATTCTCATTAAATATCTTTTCTAATGTTAAATAAAACCTTTCCTATATTTTATTTTCTTATTCTAAGATTTTTTGGAAATTGATATCATTGTAAACATCACTAATTGTATTCTTTAGTTTTTAACTTAATATACTAATAAATCTATATAATCAAATCATCAACTATTTACAGATAAATAATTAATTCTAATTGATTAATATTCTCTAAAAGGTATGAAAATAGAAAAATGAAATCTATACTTCTTTATTATTATTATTAGGTTTTTAATCTTTAGACTTATTAATAATGTAAATAATATATTTAATTTTGAAAGATAGAATCAATATATATTTTTCCTGTGAAAATTAACTTTTTATTCTTGTGTGAATAAAATTATACAATACAACTTTAAAAAGTAGTATTATTGAATATCATTAGTCAAGTTTTAAACTTTAACTTGAAATATTTTATTAAGATTAAATAAGAATTGCTTTATATTTAAAGAAAATATTCTTAACATAAAATTAATATAAAAGCCATGTCAATAAATTATTTGATTATTCTAAATATTAAAAATTTTCATTGAGTAATTTAGTGATTATTTTATTGATCTGATTACTTTAACATATACATTTGATGTACTTTCTTCTTTTTATAGTTGAAATTCAGAATTTAATTTATGCCTTAGATTTTAGAAATATTTAAATTATTTCTAATTGAAAGTATTAAAGTATATCTCTATATGTAATAATTAAAAAATTATTGAATTTTTATTTAACACTGATTTTCAATATATTTTTTATGATAATACAATACTAAATAAATGAAAATAATTGATATTTAATGATTATATGAAAATGCTTGATAAACTCTATATTTATAAAAAAAGACATTTAATCCAACAAATTAACAAGTACAAAAGTCACTTGAAATATAACCAAATGGTTTGATAAATCAAAACCGAATTTATAATTGCAGATGAAAAAACGCTAGATTAGTGATAATTATTAATAATAATAGAAAGATTATATTGCACTTTTATTTGAAAAGGAATGATTTTTCAATTCTAGTGTATTAGAAAACATCTAATATTTGATAAATAATACTTATTAACCTATGATGGTTCAAGTATTTTTATTGGGGAAGTATATATTAAACTATATAAACCAGACAAAAGCAAAACCTAAATACCAACTGGAAGTATCTCTAAGATCTACAATAACATTTCATATGGATGAGGATTTTTATGGATTTTCAATTCCATACTCAGGCCAATAAAAGCTTTTTAGAGCAAATGCCAACAAAATTAGAGAATTAAAGAAATTAATAGATGCTAAGATAGTTTATCTTGATATGAATCAATTCTACCTTCCATAATAAGTTTTAGGAGTTGGGGCCTTTTCATAAGTATATATTTATTTATTATAATTAGGTACAAATGGTGTAAAATTTGTAGACAAAGTAGTTAGTAGCTGCAAAATTTCTGAACAAGATTAGAGAAGGAAAATCAAATACAGAAAGAATGAATGTAATATTAGTTGATGATTTGAATTATAGGATATAATAAATGAAATCTAAATATTGTACCGATTAAATCACCCAAATATTGTGAAAATTAAAGAAATATATGATAAAACTAATTAAATAGTCATCATCCATGAATATGTAGATGGTTAAACTTTAGAAAGATTCATCAATGAACATGGAACATAATTACATTAAACTGAAATTTAATCAATTATGAGAGTAATTATATATATTATAATCTTTTTTTAGCAAATTTTGTTAGCTATTGTATATATTCATGAATAAGGATTGCTACATAGAGATATCAAACCAGACAATATAATGATAGACAAAAACTTAAATATTAAGTTAATTGATTTTGGCTTGGCAACAAAACAAGGAAGTCCGTTATGCGTTCAAAAATGTGGTACTCCTGGATATATTGCACCTGAAATTATCAATTCTTAAAAGCCTTAATACAACAACAAGAGTGATATATTTAGTCTTGGAGTTGTGTTCTATAAACTGTAATTTTATTAATTTTACTTTAGAATTACTTAACAAGATTTATTTTAGAAATCGTAATTAGATAATTTGTAATATTGTTATAATGAGAACATACTATCAATGGAACATTTAATTGAATATAATATTTCAGACTCCTGTTTTGATTTATTATCTAGTATGCTCTGTTATGATAAAAATAAAAGAATAAGTGCAAAAGAATGTTTGCAACATAACTATTTTAAAGAGAGTCTTCGACCTTCTGCCAAGAAAACTTAAGTCTTACTTTAACAATCTACATAATTCGTTTAATAATAATCAACTATGTTTTAGTCATAATTGTCAGAAGGAAGTAGAAAACAATCCAGAAAAATTAGTGATAAAACAAACAATCGATCGTATAATATTTATTTATTCTTTAGTTTATCACAAAAAAAATCAATGAAATCTGATAGTTCTATTTGATGAACTTTTTCAATATGATATCTACTCGAGTTATATATATATATTGTAATTAATATTGAAATTTTATTTTGAATCTTTAACAGTTTTTCTTTATTTATTTTTTATTTATTTAAAATGCAATCAGATAACGAGTACATTTACTAAAAACCAGGTTAACCAAATATTAAACAAAATAATAACAGTTTAAGATATGATAATCGAATCTAAAGTGCAGAACCTGTATCAAGAATCACAAATTAACAAATGCCAATCTCATATTAACCTCATTAAGAACTAACAAAATATTTAAAAGAAAACCTATAACTTGTAAATAAAACTGTGAGATCATTTGAAAACTCTATTTAATAATTATTGACAACCTTTGGAAATAATGTGATTAATGGTTAATAATAATACTATTACTAGGTTTTCGAGTAGATGAGTTTATAAGAAAGTTTTTCTGCGTTCTGGAACGAAGATTAAATAAATTCTTTGATCATTTGGATTATACATTATTTTAACAGAAAATTTAGCATTAAATTACAATACCTGAAGATTATAATGTTTCAGATATACGTAATTACATAAGAATGAAAGCAAATTAAATACCTACAGATCTTTTAAACCATTTTTAATAAAAATAGAACACTGATGAAATAGATAAAGAAATTTTGAGAAAAGTCGATTAAATTCTAAGAGTTTATGAATTATTTAGATCTGATTAAGCCTGGAATTTTTTAATTAATATAACAAAATTTAATTTAGAATAATTATTGGAAAACACTTGTAATAATTAACTTTAGGATATTCAATCTATAGATGAACTAATAGAATCCTAATTTATAATTTCAATTCAATTAATATAATCTGCTATACTAAAAAATAATACTAACTTTTTAAACATATTTAATAAAGAAGATATACTTAACAAGTAAAATTTTTATTTTATAAAGATTTCATTAAATTATTAACGATCTTGATGATTATTAAATTAAAATTGATGATATATAATATATTTGTCAAATTGTTTGTTAAAGAGATAGAAGAATTATATATAATGACTTTCATTAATAAATTACTTATAATTTAAATGAATTGGCCCCAGAATATTTTTAAATACTCCCAAATAAAAAATCTTATTATTAATTAAAAAAAGAGGAACTTTAGAATAAATTAATAAATGTTTAAAAATAATGGGAATTAATTAAATTAGATGAAAATTATTATTTAATTCTAGAAAATCGAATAAATGAAGCAAATTTAAATATAAATTAAAATTTTTCTAATTAATAATAGCATATATTTTAACTTTAGAGATTAGGTACATTTTTCAATAGAATATAAAATTTATAATCTGATTAAATTTCATTATAAAAAGAGATAAATAATCATTTAGATTAAACTAAAAAAAATGTACAAAGTAAACTTACTGATGCTCTTGTTAAAGCAAGACAATTTTACTCTAAAACAACTCCTGGAAAAAATCCATCCAATCAAATTAAAACATTTGTTGATACTCTATATGAAGAGTTAATTGATCTTTTAGAGAAAAGTTAATCATACCCAAACTAATTTAATTCTTCACTTTCACACACTCAAAAATCCTAATTTGGAAACAATTCAAATGGCTCTTCTTTTCAGAAATCTGCAAATTTAGAAAAAAGTTTACGAAATTCTTCACTTAATCGACCCTTTTCTAACATTTAATATAATGGTTTGATTAATCCATAGGCAAAATTAGATAATATGATTAATTGGTAACTTGAATAAGGATAAAATCAAGATAAAAAGCAAAAATTAAATAGAGAAGTTTATGCTCAACCAAAAACAGATTATTATAATGATTCATTTTAAGGAAAAATAAAAAATCCTCAATATCAAAAGTTAAATTTAAATTAAACATCATACAATAAATCTAATTCATTAAATGATAAAGATTATGATCTAATAAAAACTCAAAAAAAAGAATTTGATAACTCAAAAGCATTTAATCCAAATTAATCAATTAAATCAGAGACAAAATATTAATAAAATTTGTTAAATTAAAATAATGATAATAGAAACAAAATTAATTAAGTTTAATAATATGATAAAAAATATCCTGATAATTTATAAAAATAAGAATACTCAAATAGTCTCTAAAAATAACAAATTTAATCATTAGATAAAAAAAGAGAAACCGAACCACCAAAAATAACTGAAATAAAAAAAGAATAACCTTTAAAACAAGAACCATCAAAGAAACAAGACTTTCCAAAAGAATAACCAAAATAACCAGAGCAGTCTAAGAAATTTGAACCACCGAAAGAATAACAAAAATAACCTGAACCTCCAAAGAAACCAGAACCACCAAAAGATTAGCCAAAATAGCCTGAACCTCCAAAGAAACCTGAACCCCCTAAAGAGTAGCCAAAATAACCTGAACCTCCAAAGAAACCTGAACCACCAAAAGAGTAGCCAAAATAGCCAGAGCCTCCTAAAAAGCCTGAACCCCCAAAAGAATAGCCAAAATAACCTGAACCTCCAAAGAAACCTGAACCACCAAAAGAGTAGCCAAAATAGCCAGAGCCTCCTAAAAAGCCTGAACCCCCAAAAGAGTAGCCAAAATAACCTGAACCTCCAAAGAAACCTGAACCACCAAAAGAGTAGCCAAAATAGCCAGAGCCTCCTAAAAAGCCTGAACCCCCAAAAGAATAACCCAAATAACCAGAGCCTCCTAAAAAGCCAGAACCTCCAAAAGAATAACCAAAATAACCAGAACCTCCAAAGAAACCTGAACCTCCTAAAGAATAACCAAAATAGCCAGAACCTCCTAAAAAGCCTGAACCCCCTAAAGAGTAGCCAAAATAACCTGAACCTCCAAAGAAACCTGAACCACCAAAAGAGTAGCCAAAATAGCCAGAGCCTCCTAAAAAGCCTGAACCCCCAAAAGAATAACCCAAATAACCAGAGCCTCCTAAAAAGCCAGAACCTCCAAAAGAATAACCAAAATAACCAGAACCTCCAAAGAAACCTGAACCTCCTAAAGAATAACCAAAATAGCCAGAACCTCCTAAAAAGCCTGAACCCCCTAAAGAGTAGCCAAAATAACCTGAACCTCCAAAGAAACCTGAACCACCAAAAGAGTAGCCAAAATAGCCAGAGCCTCCTAAAAAGCCTGAACCCCCAAAAGAATAACCCAAATAACCAGAGCCTCCTAAAAAGCCAGAACCTCCAAAAGAATAACCAAAATAACCAGAACCTCCAAAGAAACCTGAACCTCCTAAAGAATAACCAAAATAGCCAGAACCTCCTAAAAAGCCTGAACCCCCTAAAGAGTAGCCAAAATAACCTGAACCTCCAAAGAAACCTGAACCACCAAAAGAGTAGCCAAAATAGCCAGAGCCTCCTAAAAAGCCTGAACCCCCAAAAGAATAACCCAAATAACCAGAGCCTCCTAAAAAGCCAGAACCTCCAAAAGAATAACCAAAATAACCAGAACCTCCAAAGAAACCTGAACCTCCTAAAGAATAACCAAAATAGCCAGAACCTCCTAAAAAGCCTGAACCCCCTAAAGAGTAGCCAAAATAACCTGAACCTCCAAAGAAACCTGAACCACCAAAAGAGTAGCCAAAATAGCCAGAGCCTCCTAAAAAGCCTGAACCTCCAAAAGAATAACCCAAATAACCAGAGCCTCCTAAATAACCTGAACCACCTAAAGAGTAGCCAAAATAACCTGAGCCTCCAAAGAAACCTGAACCGCCTAAAGAGTAGCCAAAATAACCAGAGCCTCCTAAATAACCTGAACCACCTAAAGAATAACCAAAATAACCGGAGCCGTAAAAATAACCAGAACCCCCAAAGGAATAACCCAAATAACCAGAACCCCCAAAGGAATAACCCAAATAACCAGAACCCCCAAAGGAATAACCAAAATAACCAGAGCCTCCTAAATAACCAGAACCCGCAAAGGAATAACCTAAATAACCGGAGCCTCCAAAATAACCAGAACCCCCAAAGGAATAACCAAAATAACCAGAGCCTCCAAAATAACCAGAACCCCCAAAGGAATAACCTAAATAACCGGAGCCTCCCAAATAACCAGAACCCCCAAAGGAATAACCAAAATAACCAGAGCCTCCAAAATAACCAGAACCCCCAAAGGAATAACCTAAATAACCGGAGCCTCCAAAATAACCAGAACCCCCAAAGGAATAACCAAAATAACCAGAGCCTCCAAAATAACCAGAACCCCCAAAGGAATAACCTAAATAACCGGAGCCTCCAAAATAACCAGAACCCCCAAAGGAATAACCAAAATAACCAGAGCCTCCAAAATAACCAGAACCCCCAAAGGAATAACCTAAATAACCGGAGCCTCCAAAATAACCAGAACCCCCAAAGGAATAACCAAAATAACCAGAGCCTCCAAAATAACCAGAACCCCCAAAGGAATAACCTAAATAACCGGAGCCTCCAAAATAACCAGAACCCCCAAAGGAATAACCAAAATAACCAGAGCCTCCAAAATAACCAGAACCCCCAAAGGAATAACCTAAATAACCGGAGCCTCCAAAATAACCAGAACCCCCAAAGGAATAACCAAAATAACCAGAGCCTCCTAAATAACCAGAACCCCCAAAGGAATAACCTAAATAACCAGAGCCTCCTAAATAACCTGAACCTCCAAAAGAATAACCCAAATAACCAGAACCCGCAAAGGAATAACCCAAATAACCAGAACCCCCAAAGGAATAACCAAAATAACCAGAGCCTCCAAAATAACCAGAACCCCCAAAGGAATAACCTAAATAACCGGAGCCTCCAAAATAACCAGAACCCCCAAAGGAATAACCAAAATAACCAGAGCCTCCTAAATAACCAGAACCCCCAAAGGAATAACCTAAATAACCAGAGCCTCCTAAATAGCCTGAACCCCCAAAAGAATAACCAAAATAACCAGAATAATTCAAAGCATAGATTAATGAAGACTAATAGAAACCTGATATGATGAATAAACCAGAATAAAATAACTAACAAATAAAAAAACCTGATAGCTAATTAGAAAAATTATAAAATTAATAATAAGGTCAAAGCGCAAAGTAGCAAGTATATATCTTTTTTTATCTAGCACTTTGACGAGTATGATATTAATTTAGAGGATATTGAAGATGAGGATGATGATGGTATTGATTTTATGACAAGTTATGTACCATCAAACAAAAATAAATAGACTTAATAAAAATAGAATGAACCTGAGAATAAAATAAATTAGATGAAATAGCCCGAGTTATCGGAAGGTGATGGCGCAGAAATTTAAATTAAAAAATTAATAACTGAAAAAACATTACCTTGGATTAATAAGTTTACTAAAAGTTACAAATATGGAGCTTAGTTTTAAGTAAAAGATTTAATTTACGAATTTAATTCATTTGATCATTTAATATAGCTATTTTAAACATTCATACTTTAGGATGAATTATATTTTTTTGATTTTGAAGAGACTGATTTGATTTTAGAGATTTTTGAGAAAATTTTAGCTGAAGAAGACCCACAAAATGAGTTAGAGCAGTTTTAAGCAATTACTTTATAAAACTTTTAGAATAGAACATAAAAATAAAACTTTAGTGAAAATTAGAAACTTTATTATCTGTTTGATAAGACAGATATGTTTCCTTTTGATTTTTATTTAATAGAAAAAGATCCTTCTTAACATCTTTTAAGACTCTATTTTGAAGATGAGCCATCTGAGGAATCAATGGGGGAATAATTTTAAAATTTTTTGAGTGTGTTTTAATAGATTTTTGAATGTGAAGAATATGAATTAGATTAAATTGTTCTCTAACCTAAAGCATGCTAAACTTTAAAAAGCCTTAAAAAGAAAGATAATAAATATTTAAAAGCCTTACTCACATTATTTTCTCAATTATACGAATAAGAAGGTTCAGAAAATATAAATTTTGATGAAGAAACCATAGCTAGATTGGTTTGGGTTTTACATTAAAGCAATGAATTTTTTACAATGTTTGAAGAATAGGAAGAAGAAATAAAAGAACTATTTTTAGATATATTAAAGTAGGGATAGTAACAAGATCCATCAGTTGAATTTGTTATAATGGAGTAACCTTTTAATGAAGAAGGCTTAGAGAATATATAACAAGTAATTTACATTATTTTTATAATAGGAAATTCAAATGGTATATTAGGAATTTTTGTAGAACAAATAAATAACTCAAAATTTAATCTCTGTAAATGTATTACTAGAGGAATAACAAATAAAAATTAGTTTATACTGTCATCTTTAAAGAATTAATAATAAAAATATATTAAAGGTAAAGTTTATAATTATATTAGATTTTTACTTTGAATCATTATTCTGAGATAGGAGCTTAAATTATAGAATTATTAAATGCAGATGATCTTTTTGAACAACATATCTATAGTGAATTCCCTAGACATAATATCTTCCATGAATGCACTGAAATCACTTTAGGAGCTTGGTATTTCATGTAGACTCAAAGTAAATTGTAACCTGAGGAAGCAATGGCAAATTTATTATTCTCATTAATTCCATACAACCTCATAATGACATAGGAAGAATGAAAATTTAAATACCCTATAACTTAAGAATTATAAATATATTATTTATTCAATAAAATTGATTCATTTCTTCTTAAGTAAAAGGGATGGTCTTAATAAATTTTTTTGCTAAAGAAATCAAAAGTTCATTAATTTACTAAATATTTTTGCTACTTCTTAATTCTCCAAATAATGTCAATTCAGTAGCCAATAAATAAGTTAAATCATTTGGATAGGCATGATCTAACCCTTTTATACGATAGTGCTCAACATTATTTCTATTTTCTAGAAAATCCATTAATAACTTTGGCTCAAAAACTTCTTATTTAAATCTATTTTTATCTTTGCTTAAGATTAAAGTTCTTCCTTAAACTTATTTCTTAAATTCTTCCTTATTGAATGGAAATAACCATGGATCATATGATATCACACTTTCTACTTTAATTTCTTAAGCAACTTTGAGAACAGTTGCTCCCCCAAAAGAATGTCCTATTAAATTAATACTTTAAGGCTTGAAATGTTCAAAAATTTCTTATATTTTTCCACATTTTAATTACTAAATTAAATACTTTACTTATTCACATCTCCAATCTAAATGAGTTGCTCTTAAATTTTAATATTTTTCCATCACTTCTGGCTTATTTCCAGAATTTAAAATTTTAGTTTTATTTAAATCCCAAGGATAAACCATTTCTTGATGTTATAATGAAAATACAACATTTCCTTCACTTGCTAATTCTTAACACAAAAAAGTGTAAGCATTTCTATGTTAAGTAAATCCATGACTAAAAATAGCAACATCTAGATTATCATTAATTAAAGGTTACTCTAAACTAGCCTTAAATGTTATATAACTTATTATTTGAAATAAATGTTTACTTTAAAAAGCTTAGACCAAAATCAAAGATGAAATGATGAGGAACCCATTTCAACTGTAACTACATTCTTTCATATATTTATTTGGAATATTTTTAATTTGGCAGCCATTTAATATCAACATCTTTCTATTTTTAATCGCGACAGGGGTAGTAAACTGAGACAATTGTCTAATATTTATCTTTTAGTTAAATTTGTTTATAACAAGTTCTAAACCTACCTTTGGGTTGAGGTAATGAGAAATTTTTCTATTTAATCAAAGACCATAAATATAAAATTGCAAAAAGGGCTGAAGCATTAGATAAAATACTCTTTAATGAAAAAGCCTAAAATAAAAATTTATTTAATACATTGTCTAAATAGAAAAAAAATTAGGCAATAATTATTAAAAATGAATTAAAGCGAAACCCTTCTAAATAATAATTTAAAAGTAACCACAAGCCTGATGCTAAATATGAAACATAATCAGTATATTCATTATATATTAGACTAAATATATATACAAATTTTACCCTTTTATAATTCTCCAATCTATTAGAGGTCTTTAGAAAGATTGAAAAGCATCCAAAAATTGGGAAAATATTATATTAATTGATATAATAAGCCCCAAAACAGAAATAAGTTTTTTCATTTTTATTTTAATAATTATATATTCTAAATTTAAGATTTCTAATCATTCAAATTATCATTATTCTTATCAATATTTGTTTATCTAAAATTAATACTCATTTTCTATCAATTTTTTATTATAAATAGTTTAATATTTTGATCATTACAATACATTAATTTATTTAAATAAAATAGTTATGTAGCAATAATTTTTCACAAAACTTTAAAGCCAAATCAACTACTCCAATTCAGAAAAGAAGATCAGAAGTTCACCAGAGTACTAAGAAATTTTGTCCAAATTGTAAACTGGAGGAAAAGTATTAAAATATTCAGATGATGAATTAGATGTTAATTTAACATCTAATTTTGGAGATAAAAAAATTAGATAGATCAAAGTGCCAGTACAATAATTTATTTTATTTAAGGTTTGTATAGAAGATTGCAACCATGAGATATTTGACTTGTATGACATTTTCTTGTATAAAGAATAAGTCTAATGTAAAAATTGCAAAAAAAAAGCAACCAAAAAAAATATCAAAAGAGAAGAATTTTATTCTTTGATAATTTAAAACATGAGTGAGAAATGCTTTAGTTGTTCCATAGTAGGTAAGTAATTTTTCCATTCTTTTTCAAAAGATATTTAACCAAAAGCTAGAGAATTACTAATAAATACAGAATATAAATAATTATTTGTAGATGTTATTTAGAGTTCTAAACCTAAAAGAAACTAAATAAAAGATATCTTACTTGAGGAAATTGATAAAAAATAAAGAGAACTTACTTAAAATAATAATATTCATATTAATAGAATTGTGGAATTCCCTTTTCAGTGTTTAATCAATTGTTAAAAAATTATCATACCAATTTATTTAAATGAATGTAAACATTTAGATTGTTATGAATTCACTAGCATACTAAAATTAATTAATGATAATAAAAAATTACCTGAGATTTATTAAAGAAAATTTGTTAAATGTTTTAAAAAAGATTGTAAGACTTAAATTCATCTTGACATAAGTTAATTAAAGTAGTAATTGATATTTCCTTAAGAACTTGCCAGTGCTATTTCAAAAGACTATCCATTTTCTATGAAATTAGTATGGGATTTTTAGAAAAGTGGATTTGAATATTAAAAAATAAAAATTTAGGACTTTTTATAAAATATAGGTTTAAAATCTACTTTATAAAATGAACCAAATATTGACTATTAAATATTGATTTTACTTAAGAAAATAATTAATAAAGAAATGAGTAACTAATTATAAAATAAATTAAATTTTTCTAAATACAAAGTTAATTTAGGTTAAATTTAATTTCCCTGTAGATGCATTTATTGTGAATTATAAAATGTCAAAGACATAGAGGAATTTATATTATAACAAATTAGCCAATAAAAATCAAATTCATTCACTTGTCCAGCTTGCAATTATATACATTATAATTATGGTTCTTTGGAAAAAATTATTTATTTTGATAGATATCTATATAATACTTAATTAAAAAAATAAGACCATTAATAATTTGAATACAATAAAGATGATGATAAATTTTAGAAATTTTTTTTTTAACATCAACAGATTGACTTTAAATAAGTGAAAATAAACTATTCAAAAAATAACATTTACCCCTATTCTAACTAGTTTTGTGCATTGACTAGTAAAAAGATTAAGTAACCTCTGACATTGATATTTTGTAAAGAAAAAAGAACAGTTGAATTGAAATCCCTAAAAAAGTTTTTAGAGAAAAATAACTTTAATTTTTATAATTTTCCAAAATGCGTTTGCGCATTTTGTAAGGCAAAAGAATCTTTAGAAATAACAGACTTTTATTATGATCCTGTTTATTATCAAATATTAGCAAATTATTAAGATTAAAGCTTAAATGAATATATTAAAAGCTAACTGACTAGTCAATATCTTGATAATAAAAGGGTTACTGATGAAATTCCACAAATAAAAAAAATAGTTTAAAAATACAATGAGTTAAAATAAGAATAAGAGTTATAATAATAATAAAGTTAATAATTATAGTAATAATAATTGTTATACTAATAGTAATAGTAATAATAATAATAGTATTAATAATAATATTAATAATAATACTAATAAATATAATAATTATAATTATTAGTGTAATAGTATGAAGAATAATTGTAGTAATAATAATTTTAATAATAATATTAATAATTCTAATTATAGTAGGAGCAATAATACTAGTAGCCATCATACTAATACTCATAGCCATTTAGAGCAGATTAATCATAACATCATCGACCACTTCAATAAAATTTTATTAGTTAATAAAATAACTAAAATTCAGAACACTAAAGCCCTTAAATTAGAGAAACAAGTTAACCTATAGATACTACTTAGAAGGGGAATTAGCAATATATTTTTATAGATGGCTAATTAATACCCTTATAACTTTATTAAATGAGATAATAATAATGATGATTTATGATATTTTTCACAATATTATACAATTTTTAATTTAAGAATAAACAGGATATTCTAAAAAAAATTATGAATGCTAAATGAAACCAAAATCTCTTATAAACTGAGTATGCAAAAGAATTTTGAATGAAAGTATGGCTCCTTAATATAAAATGAAAATTTGAATTTATAGTAAAGCTAAAAAAAAGTGCAAGATAATTCTATAAGGAAATAAAAATTTTAATATTTTAATGGAGCATAAACTAAATGATCTTAAAACTCCTGCTTAATCAATCAAATAATGAGATTAAAGAGTAATTTTAATTAAATTTGATAAAAAATTTAACTCACCTTTAAAATTCAATATCAATAATATTAATAGGAGTCTCTGTAGATTAAAAAATATAATTCTATTAATTTTTATTAATAAATAAACTAATTTATTAACAGATAAATTATAAATAAGTATATTATAATAACAATACTTTTTATAAATGTACTTAATTACTTAAATTACAAAAGATATTTATTTTTTTTTGAATATAATTTATTTATTAGTTATTTTTTTTATGAATATGAATTTATTTAAAAATACAATATTATAATTAATGATTTCTTTATTATTTGTGTTTTAAATTACTACTATTTTTGGTTGTGAGTTCAAATAAGAAGACCATTATTACAATTTAACAAAGCTTTAAAGAACTGAACCATATATAGTGAAAGCATCTGCAGATTCAAGTTTTTTCAAGATGGCTTATTGTAAGTTTATAAATAAAATTAGAGTTTAATTTTTGTGGAAATCACCCAAAACATTGTCAAGGTTAGAGTGGAGCTTATTAAGCATTAGAAGTCATGGGAATATTAACTGATTCTTGTGAAATATTGGGAAAACCTGATAATTAATAAATTTCTCTGATTGAAAACGGATTGCAAATTACTTATCCATAAGGATCTTAATGCGAAAATAATTAGAGAAAAAGTGTGGATTTCAAGATTATATGCAGTTTAGAAACTGATTAAAATTTTGCATTGATATCAGAAGATAATTGTCATACTGCGTATAATTGAATCTAAAATAAAGTTTTTAATTGAAATCTCCAGCAGGATGTAGATTGGAATATTAAACATAACCATTATTTATCTATTATCTTAGTGGAATAGGCATATTGTTAATGATATTAGGAGCATGTTTTGGATATAGATAATTGTAAAAAAAAAAGGATGGTAAATCTGATTAATATGTAAAAAGAAATAATAAATCATTAGGAAAAATTAAAAAGTGATCAACATTAAGAATAAATAAAAAATCCAGATTAGAGTACTGCTGTTATTATTAACCATGAAGTAGAATCCTCTTGATTTATATTATGATAAATCATTTATAAATAAAAAATGAACTATATCATATTTAACTTCTTATCATGCCTAAAAATCTAAATTAGATAATATTGGATTATCATTAAGTTATAGTTAGATTCCTTTAATTTCAAACTTGAATTTACTTAAGGTTTGATCATTCTTAAAAATTTAGTTCATAGAATCTTTTTTCTCTTATAGATTATTTTATACTCCNTTAATTACTTAAATTACAAAAGATATTTATTTTTTTTTGAATATAATTTATTTATTAGTTATTTTTTTTATGAATATGAATTTATTTAAAAATACAATATTATAATTAATGATTTCTTTATTATTTGTGTTTTAAATTACTACTATTTTTGGTTGTGAGTTCAAATAAGAAGACCATTATTACAATTTAACAAAGCTTTAAAGAACTGAACCATATATAGTGAAAGCATCTGCAGATTCAAGTTTTTTCAAGATGGCTTATTGTAAGTTTATAAATAAAATTAGAGTTTAATTTTTGTGGAAATCACCCAAAACATTGTCAAGGTTAGAGTGGAGCTTATTAAGCATTAGAAGTCATGGGAATATTAACTGATTCTTGTGAAATATTGGGAAAACCTGATAATTAATAAATTTCTCTGATTGAAAACGGATTGCAAATTACTTATCCATAAGGATCTTAATGCGAAAATAATTAGAGAAAAAGTGTGGATTTCAAGATTATATGCAGTTTAGAAACTGATTAAAATTTTGCATTGATATCAGAAGATAATTGTCATACTGCGTATAATTGAATCTAAAATAAAGTTTTTAATTGAAATCTCCAGCAGGATGTAGATTGGAATATTAAACATAACCATTATTTATCTATTATCTTAGTGGAATAGGCATATTGTTAATGATATTAGGAGCATGTTTTGGATATAGATAATTGTAAAAAAAAAAGGATGGTAAATCTGATTAATATGTAAAAAGAAATAATAAATCATTAGGAAAAATTAAAAAGTGATCAACATTAAGAATAAATAAAAAATCCAGATTAGAGTACTGCTGTTATTATTAACCATGAAGTAGAATCCTCTTGATTTATATTATGATAAATCATTTATAAATAAAAAATGAACTATATCATATTTAACTTCTTATCATGCCTAAAAATCTAAATTAGATAATATTGGATTATCATTAAGTTATAGTTAGATTCCTTTAATTTCAAACTTGAATTTACTTAAGGTTTGATCATTCTTAAAAATTTAGTTCATAGAATCTTTTTTCTCTTATAGATTATTTTATACTCCTTCTTAATTAAATTTTACATCTATTCCATCAAAAAGATTTTCAGTTATATTTAAGATTTAAAAAGTTCTTCCTTCCAATAATTTTTTACCAAATATATTCTAATAATCTTCATCATTTAACATATCCAAAAATCCCATTCTTTAAGGGGTAGTAATATTTTATAATGCAGAAGAGTCAGCAACTGCTTAACTTTAAGTTAAGTTGTCATTCATAAAATCAAAAGAAAATGAAATTTAATTGCTTTTAGATTAATAGAATTTTTTTAGAGCATAATCAAAGGCTTCATGATAAAAAATTTAGCCTGCCAATTTTTTAATAGGATTAGTATTACAACTTGAGCATTTACATAAAATCAAACCATTATCAAGTTTAAAATTGCATTATTCCATTTATTGATATAAAGTTTAGAAATCAATTACTAATTTATTAGGACAGTTCTGTAATAAAAGTGGAATTGATAATTTTTAATTTTTATTTAAAGAACAAAAAATTGTTTTGAATTCTATTTTTAAGCTTGATCCTTTTTATTTTAGTGAATTTATATAATCTGCTTTTGTTAATACTTATCTTTCCTAGAATTCTTGAATCATATACTATTGTCCTAAATATGAAAATTTTTATGTTTATATGTAAGACAAGTCTTTAAACATACGAAATAATAAATTTTAATCTAAGTAGATGTTCGTTGATAATGCACATGAAGCCAAAGAGACTTTAAATTCAGTTTAACATAGAGGACATTTGAATTTATCTGTATTTTTTCTTAATTTCTTTTTAATAAATTCGCAAGCATAACTTTTCAAATCTAAACATTTTGAAAAATTGGTGCAATATTTACATCTAACAGGTTGTTCAATTATCATATCTGTTAGTTAATCTTTCATATTTATTTCTAAATTGCGAAATTTATAAGAACTTAATTCTTTCTCTAATTAAGGGCATTCTACAAAAAGATCATTTTAACATATTTGTGCTACTTGTTATTATACTTATTTTTAAAATTCATCAAAGGATATATTTATATCTTTTGAATTTTTTTAATAAAAATTATTGATTGTAGGATCAATTATCCTTCCTTTTTCTCTAAAAACATCTTCTTCAAATTTTTAAGTTTAATAGTTAAAGATAAATTTCATTGAACTAGGACTGCTTTTTTTTATAATTTATAATAAATCTTCATCTATTGAAAGAGAATTGAATAAACTATCAATTGTAGAAATATCTATTCTCTTTTTTGGGTTATCACATCCTGGATATACACAAACATAAAATTATTCTTATCCTTGAACTTGTAATTATATAAGACTTGTTAATTCATAACATTCAGGATGTCTACATCCTATAATTCTTACAGGAATAGTAATTTTTACTTTATCTTACAAACAAAAAGCCCAATATTAAATTCTTTAATTAGTTCCTGTATTTATCTTTTAAGAATTTTTTTATTCTCTAATAATTATTTAATTTATAGATGACTCTGTTGCGACATACCTTTGATATAAATTTTTTAAATGAGTTTTAATATTCATTTTGGTAAAATGTTCTAAATATCTTTTTTTTCTAGAGGATTTATTAAATAATTTTCCTTCAATTATCATAACATTAGTAACAAATTCATTAAATTCAATATTTACCTAATATCTAAAATCTTTACACAAATCTGTTTATTAACAGACAGTTTTGCAAACCTCACATTACCAATAACCCTCTTATTATATTTTATCAACTATAGTCTCAAATTCAAAACAAACTTTTGGATGAATACATTATTTGGAAACAGTCTAAAATAGAGACAATAAATACTGGACGTAGAAATTATTTATTATTGGAATCCACTACTTTGACATCAGGTTCGTATGAAATTGTTTATAATATTATACTATCAGGTAGTGATTAATAGTTTGATTCCAAGTTAAATTATTAAATCATAATAATAATATTAATTAATTTTCATAAAGAATAAATAGGTTATGAATACACATAATTCTATTATTTTGATGTAATAAATACTAATTCTTTTATATCATTACTTAGATTAATCTTTGAATTTTTAAATCTAAAACCCATAGATTCTGATGGATATCGCATTCCTATCATTATAATAGGCTTTTACATTTTTCAAGGATCCATAATTTTCAATATTAAATAGGACATAGCTACGGATATATTATTTTATAATAAAAATATATATATGAGTAAATTAAGAGATATGTATATAAAATGGCAATTCATTTTAACTTAACTTCAAATTAAGTGATACATAGTGCAAATGCTTGTAATATTGAAAGCGGATGACAAATATCTAAATTATAATAGTATTCACCACATTTGCCAAATTACATTAAAAATTCTTGATCATTCTCTTAATTATTTGATATGAGAATAAAATTTTTATTTGAAGCAGATCGTACTCTTTATGTGAATTTTAATTAATATGCATTCTTTTCTTCACTAAAAGTAGGAGGTTTTGAAATTAATTACATAACATTTTCATTCTTTTATTAAGTAAATGCTTTTTAGATACCTTCATTTTAAGAAATAGGTTTAAAATCTTATTGTTATCCATTTATAATTGAAGGAATTAAAACATTAATTGATTTAACACCTAAACTTGATTTTTTATATGAATAGACTGCATATTCTTTTCTTGTTGTTTCTAATTGATTAGTTTTATTAGGATCATTTCCATTATCATATAAATTAAATTAGTTCTCTGCTGTTCCATATTTCAAATTACCTAAACATACTGATTTGTTGTTAGAATTAAATATGTCTACATCACTAGAAATTATATAATTTGATTTTCTCTTTGTAGTTTGTCTCTTTCCAGCACAGAGAAATTTTAAACTTTCTGAGAAGAATAATTCAAATTTAGGATAGAAATAGCAAAATCCCTTTTTATTTTTTATGAAAGTACATTATATTATCTTACCTAATAACAAATAAGTATTATAATGATACCAATAGGAATAGGGGAAGTTAAGAATTATTGAATATCAGGTATATATTGAGGAGCATAGAATATTAAATTTTGATTATTTAATCTCTCAGTCATTACGTTAACTTGTTATAGAGAAGTTTCTATTTTTTACTTTGAATTCAGTGTATCAAGTAATGAATCCGATTTATTTTACTAATCATTTGTTCTTGTTTCATTGATATCATAAATTTTATTATTCCCAAAAGTTTCAACACATTTTAGATTTAAATTTACGTTCATGGGAGAGAATAGTTTACTTTTTGGTATCAAATCCTCATCAAATTAATCAAATTATATCAATTCTTCCTTTTTTTTATTATTGCAAACTGATACTTGGGTATTTTTAATTTACAATATAGAAATGCCATTTGTTGTTTGCATATTTTTAAAAATAAATTAATTGAAAAAATACCTTTGAATTATAAAATATAATTCACTTTTACTATTCAAAAATAATTCCTTTATTATTATTTCATCTTTTTATATCTAAAAAATTTAAATAATCTAAGCAATGATCATAAATTGTATTAAAACTTGAACATTAGATTGATATTATTTAATTTCAGAATAAAATATATTTTAAATATTTTCAATCTAATATATTAAATTATGTTTCTAATTTTAACTCTTTTAAGTTATGAACTACATTAAGAAAAGAAATTAATTTTATTTTTTAAAATACTTATATAGATTTTAGACAGAGTATTTATCATAAGAAGCAAATTATTAAAATTTATAATTCTGTCAAAATGATTAAATAATGAATCAGTAAAAGAGTAATCTAATCTAATATAATCATTTCTAAAATCATTCATTTTTTGATGAATATAAGATCCCATAACTTTATAATAAATTATTTTACATTAGCTTATATTCTCAATATTAATATTATTTTGTATATAAATAATTAGATGAATTTGAGAATTTCATATAAAATATATATCAAATAACATTCCTAATTGAAGTAGAAATTCTACATCATTGAAAAGTAATATAAGTCTTCATGAATAATTTTATTTTTAATTATTATATAAAAAAGATATTTACATAATAATATATATATATATGATTATTTTATTTAGTATTATAGGAATTATTCATTGCTTTCACATAAACAAGCAGGGAAATTTCGTAGATGATGTATATAAGAATTGAATATCTAGAATGGAACAATAAGAATATTTCATGGATTGAATATTGTTTACAAACCACCCCCATATTATCCAATAATGGATCATTTTGATGTTATGACATCTTTTTCTGATTTGGATTGCTAGCTCATTACTAGTTTGGGGTAAGTTAATAAATAAATTGATATTTAGTTTCAATATTATAAGATTACATGTTGCATTTGAAGCTGGTATGCCAAATAAAGGAATTTTAAATGATGAATATATTTTACATATAAGAGAAATAGTAAGATTGGCTGCAAAATATGATATTTATGTGATTCTTGATGCTCATTAAGATTTATTAAATAGACAATTCTGTGGAGAAGGATTTCCAGATTGGGCAGTAACTAAATTTGACTTTCCTTCTCCTCAAAAAATTGAACTCAATTATGATGATTAAGGATATCCCTTAATTGAAGATTGTTTAAAAGTGGGAAATTTTGCAAAATTTTATTTAACTTCTGATGTAGGTAGAAATATGGAATCAATTTTAAAAAATGAAAATGGAGTAGCTGATATGTTTGGTTTGTTTTGGAAAAGAGTTGCTGAAATACATAGAGATGAATGGAATGTATTAGGATATGAAATCATGAATGAACCATCATCAGGAAATTATCAAAGAAATAAAATTTAATATTTATGGCCTGGTTGGGCTAATAATCATTTAATTATGCCATTCTATTAACTCATTAATAAATATATAAGAGAGGTTGATACACAAAAACTAGTATTTTTTGAACCTTATTTCACAGATGCATTTGGAGGAGGATTTAAACATAATATTGGAGGAAAGAAGTATCAAAAAAAAGAAGTTTTGAGTTATCATCTCTATTGTGGAATATGTATTCAATTATACTATAATTATAGGGAAAATATCACCGTTTTTATGTAAATAAGTTTACAATTTTATGTATCCTTTAAAAAAATTAAATATGAATCATCTTAAAACTGGAGCAATGTTAACAGAATTTGGATCTTTACCTAATGAACCATTTGCTTAAAATATTTTGAGTTTTATGTTAGATAAGGCTGATAATTATTTATAATCATGGGCTTATTGGTAATATAAAGGTTTTAATGATTATACTTCTTCTTCAAGTATGCTAGATGAAAGTATTTTTAATGAAGATGAATCACTTTAAAAACATAAAATCTAAGCTTTAGTGAGACCTTATGCTTAGTCAATTTGTGCTTCAAAAATATATTATTCAAAATATAATCATAGAAAATAAAAATTTAGTTTGAAATATAATCCAATTCCTAATTGTAAGACAATAATCTATATACCTCCAATAAATGAATTTACAGTTGGTTTTAGATTTACTTGTCAATCCAAGATTATATGTTCCTTATCTTAAGCAGATGATTATACTTGGTCAGTTGAAAACTTTTCAGGAAGAGTAAAATTAACTATTTAACCAAGTTTATTAAGTAAATCTAAATTATGAATATAAATATTAAAGAAGTGAAATATATAATTTTAATTAATTAGATATAAAATAAGATGATCAATTTTGATCATATTATAAACAATTTAATTGACTTTTGATATTAATTAATTGATAATCAAAGTCTTATATTTAAGTATAATTACTTTTTTTTCCTTGAATTAAATGATATCCTAATCATATTGTTGTAATTATAGTATATATTTTAATAATTATTGACATTAGATGTAATGATGTAAATCTTAGTTCCTTAATTTTTATGTCTTTTTGTAAACTATTACAAGGTCAAAAATGGATTTTTTTTTTAAAAGAGCAGGCTTATTAAATTATTGTATTTAGATTGCATTCGGAGGAAAAAGAAAATTATATAAAAATATTTGATTCTAAGAAAAACAATTTTAAAATTTAGTATCTTGATGTTTAAGTGAATCATGTTAAATTTTGGATATGTTTTTCTTTAGTAATAATTAATCTATAAATTTCAAATTTAAATGAGTTTTGCTGTATAATTATTTTTTTAATTTGTACAGCCATGTTTTCTTTTGCTGATTTAAGAGATTTAATCAATAGAGATAAAGTATCATTTTTCATAAATCTCTTAGCCAAAAGCATTGAATAAGCATAATCCATACTACTCATATGATTCCTCAAGTCCTTCTAGAAGGGATATTCTAATCTAATGGATTATCACAGTATTAATTTAATATTATAATTAGCAATCGTCTTAATTCTAACATTCAATAAAAACTTTAGAACTGACTGTCCTTATTATTGATACATACTTAAATTATTTTAATATCTCTACAGAATACCTTTAACTCTTGGGAATATCAGCATATTCAATAGCCTCAAAAGTATGCATACTTTCTTATAGTACTAGTTTTATGAGACAGAAATCTTGTCATAAATTAAATTGTATAATCAAGAAAGCTAAGCACTATACAATGATGAGGAATATGATGAAATGGAGGAGTAAATTTTGAAAGCCATGGGATATTAATTGAATCTTATAACATCATCAGATTATTTATTAGCTATGAATGTAGAAGTAGATGAAAATGTTTAGAATTTATTAATGTTCCTTCTTATGGGTATAATAATCAAATAATATGTAAATAGACTTCGAAATTTATCAATATTCTAATTTTGAATTGGCATTGGCAATCATGCACTATCAAAATGATACAAGACTTGTTTTTTCAGAGAAAATTCTCATCGTATCTTAATTAATTCATAAAAAATTAATTAAAGCTCAAGAAATCTAATGTGACAAATATGAACAGGAAGACACAAACTCTGTTGAAAGAAGTCCCTAAATTCATAAAAAGATTTCCAAAAAAAGAGAATCTCAAAGGATAAGATAAGTATAATAATAAAATTGAACTAATTTTGTTATATTTCGTTTTCAATATTGATCAAATAAATGAACGATATTATATATTCGTTTCTATTTTTATGTAATTATAGAAAACTTATTTATTTTATACATAATCCTTCTATTCTATGATTAAATTTTAACCTAATTTAAAATATATATTCATTACTGTTTTTAAATTAGATTTATATTATTTGACTCGAGAGTAATTTCTATATCATTTAAATTGTTGCTATTAAGCATTCTAATGTTCATATTTGATTTCCCTTGAATCAGAAGACGATATAATCTCAAATAAAATAATTACTGAAATTTATTGATTCTAATAATAAGGTTAACCCCCCTTAATAATTAATTGTAAATTAATTAAGCATTACATCATTAGCTATTCTCAAACATACTCTAATTTGAATCTAAAGATTTCTTTTGAATACTTGAAAATATTGCGAATTTACTCATTATTTTTTATCATCTATCATATTTTGTTTATTTTGTGGCTACTTTTCATTATATATATTCAAATAATTTAATATTTTTATTTTTTTTTTCTAAATATCTCAATAACTCTTATTTACTCAAAATTTTAATCTTTTAAATCATGTTTTACATTCTAATTATTATTAGTTCTAGAATAAAAAATAAATAATAATCACTTTTATAAATGAATGATCGTTTTACATAAAGAATTATAAAATAAATTATATTTATGTTCAGATTTCTTGGGAAATTAATTAAAAGAACTCCTAAAGAATGTTTATAGCATGATCATACAAAATTCCCCAATATATTAGCTAATGAATATTGTCAAAGTTGTGACTAAAGTTTATGTTATATGTGTGGTAATGACCATATGAGTCAACATCATCCTGTGAAAAGTAAATATGATTATTTTTCTATAGTTAACCATCATTCTTATGCAAATATGAATTTATAAAATAATGAAGACTTGACTGAGAAAGATAAATTAAATTTAGAGACATTAAGAGCATTTAATACAGGATCATTAATTTAATTAGACATAAACAAATTAAAATGTATATGTGGCAAACCAGCTGATGAAAATACAGCTATTTGTGCAGCTTGTGGAAGTGCCACATGTTCATAAAAATGTCATTAAGAATTAGTGCATTAAGATAAATGTAAATTTCATCATAATTTCACTGAGAAAGCTAATGTAGTTTCTCTAAGATCAATCTTACTAAAGTAAATGTTTATAATCAATATAGGAATGCTTATTTTCTCTTTGATAAAGGATATGCATAAGGCACTGTTTTTAGTCGAACTTCCTAAAATTTCATATCAGCATTTCTCACAACTTAAAGATCATCTATATTTTTACAAAGAGGTTTTAGGTAATATGGAAATCCTGAGGTATTATCAATTAATAACTTAGATAAGATTTAAACACTAAATGCTATGGATATTGTAAATGGAGCTGATCTCGATAAGGAAGTGCATTTAATGAGGGTTTGTTAATGCAAATGTACTCATTGTAAAAATCTTGGTTATCACCCAATGCATGTTTGTTAATTGGTTTGTAAATCCAGAGATTTATATGTATTATTTTTCATTAATCTTTAGATCTATAGATCTTATGCTTAAGAAAATCCAGTTGAGAAATAATAGACTTGTGGATGTTAATGTAAATTCTGTTCCTCTGGTCTTACAGTCTTATAACACAAGAAAATAGATTGTTGTTTAAAATGTGAATTTAGATAAAAAGTTGATTTTTGAATAAAATTGTATATCAAATAGTAAATAATATTGTAATACCTCATATATAATATAATAATATAATAAAATTGAAGAAATAGTATAGATATATGTTAAGATAGATAATTATTCATTGATTTTTATAAACATTTTTACACTTAGAGACCAAATCTATAATTAATATTAGATATTATTATAATAATTACAATAATTCTCATTTCTATTTAGGATTGCATTAATATCTTTATATTTTCGTAATAATTCTTCTAATCTTGAAATTTTAAGTAAAAGAATTTAATACTTTGAGGTTTTCATAGATAATTAAATTATTGATTTATTTATGGAGTTCTGGAGTATAGAATTTAAAATTTGATTTTATATATTCTATTGGTATTATATGATAAATTGATTTAAGTTCAAATTAATAGGTTGCATATCATTAAATTAATTACCAATTGTTTTAATTATGATCTATTGAGTAAAAAATATTTATTATCTAAGTATAAAGTATAGTTATTTGTTTGACTTCATTATTTTCTTTGTTTTTTATTTATTATATATGAAATATCATGATGTTTATATAATTAATTTAACTGCTTTGTTTTGGTTTAATCATTTAAGAAACATTTTTTAGAGAAATTAAATCCAATTTAAGTAGTATTTTGTTAATTTATTTATTATCTCTTCTTTAATTAGCTTTATATTTTCACCTATTCAATTTATCTAGATTTTAATAATAAAAATATGATTGATTCAAGTTATGAATAAAAAATATGGCAATTAATTGGACTGCTAAGGTATTAATATATATATATATGATATGAAAAAATTATTATAATAATATAATATAAAAATCGATTCAAACAAAAAAAGATATATTATTATCATTTGAGTATCAATTATTTTCACTTGAATTACTAGATTGAAAGGAAGTATTATGAATTTTATCATATAAGCTGGATTCTAATCGGCTAAATTCTTTTTTTGTATCACCTAACATATTTTCTAAAGTATGCAATTAACTAATTAGAAATATCATTTTTGAATCAATTTTATGATTTTAAATCATAAAATTAGTAATTTCTTTTTTATCACTATTATTCTCAAATTCAATAAATTTTTTTAGAAATGTATTCATAACTTATTGATTTTATTATATTTCATCTTCCTTTACTTTAAGAGTTTTAGTAATTTACCTTTTTGAATTCTAACTCTTTAATTAATTAATTATTTAATCTTATTATTATTATTATTATTATTATTATTATTCATCTTAAATTGTTTTTTATTATTTTGTACAATCCATTTCAGTATATACTTTTTTCATAATTTAATCTAATTATGAATTAAAGAAGGTTAATAGTTTATCTTAAAATTCATTCAATTTATCTGAATCTTAATTTTAAGATTAGACTTCTAATTTACATTCTTGAAAATTAAGAAGATATTGTTCGAGATTTTATTTTAAATTTAATTCTTATAATTCAGATGTAGATTTACATATTTCTTTTTTCATTATAATCTTTCTAAGATTCTCAACTTTTTCAGATTATTTTTTATCTTTCTTTCTTTAATTATATCTCTTTTTATATTTCTTATATATTGTTGAATAATCTTTCATACAAGAAGTTCTCTTAATAGGACCTCCTTATGATTATAATAATCTATAAAGTAAATTTTATTCTTAATAATTCTCAGTATGTATTTTTCTTTTAGACATACTATCATCTTCTGATTTGATAGCAAATTCTTCTAATTTTTGATCTTATACTGGTTATTCCTCATCCATTTAAATTGACATTTATTATTCAAACTTTTAAAGATGTTCTTTTAAGAAAGTTTATAATGCTGATGCTCCATTTTCTTATTTAATTTCTAACATCTAATATATATAATTTTGTTATACTTATAGAGATAGTCCATTCTTTTCTTAATCAGCTAATAATTTTCTAACAGTTGAATAAAAACGATTTTTAACAGAATTTTCAGTTCTTCCTTAAAGATTCTTAGCAATTTTAGACCAAGAAGATGAATATGTTAAATAACCCTTGAAAATTTCATGATCTTCATCTAAATTTATTGTATTTATAATTACCTGATGTCCATCCTCCCTTTTTCACATTTGGATTTAAATTATTAAACCACCTTTCTCTACATTATTTTCCTGAACGTCCTGCAATGTTTTCAGAACATAAAGACCATTTACTAGGTCCATTATTCTTAACCCATTCTAATAGTTTTTCATCTTCATTATCTTACCAAGGTCCTAAATATTTAAATTATTAATTTGTACCTTTCTTGAGTCCAGGTCTTAGTATTTTAGTCCATCTATGTAAACATTAAATTGCACTTCTACCTTCCATTACATTACTTATCATTCTCCAACTCTTTTCTCCATATTCTATAGATTAATTCAAATTGAATACCTTCAATCAATTTTTAAAGCTTATCATCTTCTTCAGGTGTCCAACGACCTACTTTTTTTTTATCATTTCCATAATAATCTGGATGTGATTACATAGATTGTTTATACTTTGAATTGTTTCTGTTTGATTTACAATCATATGAATCATCCTCATTTTTTATAATTTGACTTCTTGACATAGATGATAAGTTTGTTTTAGTTTTCGTTTTTATTTAAATTATCCGTTTTTTGACAATCTCCAAAACGATAAGACATGCTCTTAATATACGTCATATCATGTTGCTATTAATAATTATATTATTAGAGTATGTTAATTTAGTAATGATATTATATTGAATTAATTTTAGTTTATTTTAATTCATTAAGTTTCCTTATAATTAATTAGATAATCGTTAAAAATGGAAAGTGAATAAATGTGTAAGAATCATCCAAAATAATCACTTAGTTGGATATGTTTAGAAAGAAATTGTTAATAAAGAGTTATGTGTTCAACTTGTGCAGTAAAATTGCATGATCGAAATCATAAATTAGAGGAATTATATAATATATATGAGAATGGATGTTTAGCTACTTATTTTAGTAATAAAAAGAATTCAACAGCAGGATTATTATAATTAGTAAATGGAGAATAAGATTATGTTTTTGAGAATGAATAATATGATGATTATTTATAAGAAGGAATTGAAAGATGTTTAAGAAATGTTTCAAAAAAAATAGAAGAAAATAAAGCATAATTAATTTAATAACATGAATAATTGAAAGAAGGTAAGGAAAATGAGAGAATTAATTTTATTGCTTAATTAAGTGAACTTGATGGATAATTAAAGTCATCTTTAAATTTGGAAACAGATATTGAAAATGCATTTTAATAAATAGAATTATTTGCTTAAAAAAGAGAATTAGAGATGTCTAATAACAAAGAAAGTGCTATACTATTAAAAAAAATTCGTTTATTAGAATTGATGAAAGATAACTTCTTAAAAATGATTAAGTCCTATTTTCATAATTAATTTACAGCTGAATTTTGTCATTTATTTGATATGTAAATAGAGACTTTAAATGCTAGAGAAGTAGATGATGTTTAAGGCTTTTTAGATTATGTAGATTCAAAATGGAAATAAGATTATAGAAATATTCAATTATCCATTGAAAAATTTGTAGGTCGTCTTAATGAAGGTCTTAAATATTGTATAGGAATGCCATTAGAAAATCAGAAGAAATAATATATTGTTAGATCTCCAATGAGATAATTTCCTATTAATATCCAAACTCCAGCATATCATCAATATACTTCACCAAAACAATTAGAATTCACCAAATCATAAGTAATATATGAGGAACCAAGTTAGAGAAAGAACATCAAAATTGAACCCGTTAGTTAGAGTCTTTAATAGTACTAGTGAGATATGGGAACATATCAAATAATGAGTATATAAAATATTAAAGTACTATTTGTTGCATAACCATGTAAAGAAATATAGAGATCTAAATCATAAAATACAAGTATCTTTCAAGATTAACAACTCAATGGAATCATCTAAGGACCACGTTATGATAAAAGAGGAGATATTATAAAGAGATCGATAGTTGGAACAATTGATTAATTTTAGAGAGAAGGCAAAGTTTAATAAGATAGTAGAGCTACTGATGATGATTCTTCTATGTTAAGATCTTTTGTTATTACTTAATTCAATAAGAAATAAAACTTAAAGAAAAAAAGAGAACCTGTAAAATTAAGCAGAATTTCAAAGGAGGATATTAGATTGTATATTGATAAAATACAAAACAATATTAAACTATCAGAAATCTCACTTAGATCTAAGGAAGAGACATTACCTATAATAGAAAGAAATCTATTAACTAGATAGAGAAGAATCTTAGAATCCTGTGAAGAATAGAAAGAAAAATGGAATTAATTAGAATAGTAATTAGCAAATAGATGTGAACGATCACATAATAATACTTTACTTAATAAAAGCTAAGGATATAGAGAAAAGAAATAATTATTGGACAATCTAAATGTTTTATAGAAAGAACCAAATATCAAGGAATGGTATGGTAATTTGAGAAAATATGATTAATCAAATGATCCAACTATTGAAATAATTAAGAGTGGAAATAATGTTAAAATTTGCAGTGACAGATTTAAGAATATGATCAATTAGAGATTAAGTAAAAAGTATTATGACTCTGATTATATTATTGTCAATGGAAATAGTAAATTAAAATTGGAATCAGAAGAAGCCAGAGATCTAATGATACTACCTTAAGATCTTGTGTAACAACCAATCCAAGATATCAATTACTCTAATTATAATAAAAGAGATATCAGTCGTCGATCATCCTATAGAATTGTTTAATTATAGTGAAATATATATATTTTAATGCAAGATCATCTCTAATAATCAAAAACCTTGTTCTTGATGCATAAAATTAAGAGTTATAAGTAACAACCATAACTCTCTAATAACATATTCGAAGAACATAATCCTTATTATGGACCATAATATGATAATAGTAATAAAATTATTGCTCGAAGTGTTGTTGGAAAACCAGATGTTATTGAAAAAATAAAAAAGAAAATAGAAGAATCCAAACTATCTAATTCACCTAAAATGAAGAACTCAATTATGTATTAAAAAATGAAACAATCCTATTCAAATCTCTCTAATATGAAGAAATCATAATCATCTAATAAGATCCCTCTTTTTCATGATCCTATACATTCAAATATCCTATCTCGATAAGTTTCTCATAATAAATCTACAATGGCAACATTAGTAAATCATCATGCAAATGTTAATGTAGAATAATATTTATAGGAAACAAAAAATAGAATACAAAGAAATGAAATGGAAGAATTAAAATTAGAAAAGTAATTAAATTTATTTGAAAGAAATGCAAATACTAGATAATAAAGAGTTATAACTTCTTTTCAAGAACGTGAATAATCTTGGGAATTAGTTAATATGACAATTTAAAGTAAATGTTAGGCAAGAAGTAGAGACAAACTCACTTTATTATAAAAGAGTTCAGGTAATGAGATATAAAAATATTAGTTGAACAGCTTATAGACTAAAAAAGTAGATTCTTAATGAATTACCATCTCCCCCATAAAATTGGTACTAATAATTGAGAGGATAAAGTTACACAATAGAAAAGGAAGATGATTTATCTAACAATTCATAAAGAATAAATATAAATTCCAAGACATTATTACTGAAATATGCAGATATAGAAAGTAGTTTAAAAGTTAAAGGAGAGAGTAAATTGAAAAAGGAATTCGAAAAACCAAAATGTTCTTTAATAACAATGGTAGGATAGGATAAAATTGAAGAAAGTGAAGTCTTGCCCAAAATAAAATATTGAATACTTTTTTATTTAATTTGCAAAAAAATTTATATGCAAATATATATCTATCAAAATAACCATTACAAAATATTATTAATTAAATTATAGGTAATTGCAATATTACTTAAAAGATAGAATTTCAAGATTCATCAAGTACTTAAAAATTTATACAAAAATTCTATCTGCTTTTAATTTGGAATTTGTTGAAGTACTGGGTTATTTGGATAAATTAGGAAAGTGAAGATATCTAAGGCAACGTAAAGAATTGAGGTCCTTATTTAAGGATTATCTCAAAAAAGAGCTTAATTTCAGTTATGAATGAGAGAATATTAATAAGTGAACTAAGACATCCATCTCTAATCAATATGATAGCTGCATTTTAAGATAGAGAAAACTTCTATCTTGTTATGGATTTATTAAGTGGAGGAGAGATCTACATATTCATATTGGAAATTATAAAAATTTACTCAGAGGAGGAAACTAGTATTTAGAGTTCTTTTAGTTCATTTATCATAATTGCAGTAGAATATTTGCAATCTTAAGATATTATCCACATAGATTTCAAACCTGAGAATTTAGTATTTGACTCTGAAGGATATCTTTGATTGACAGATTTGAAAATTATGTTTCTGGAGTCCTTATAATTAGGCAGATACCAGTGGAACACCTGGATACATGGCACAAGAATACTTTTTAAACAAAATAATGAAACTACTGATGATTGGGAAAAAGACCATATCTAGACAAGAAATAAAAGATGATGTATTATTAAAATAAGTGTAAATAAAAACAACTTAAATACCGGTTTCATGGTCTTTGAAGTCTGCTTATTTAGCTTATAAAGTATAATTATTTAATATCATACTAATGAATATAATATCATGCTCAGAAGAAACTCTATATAAGTTATAGATTGTTCGAAATTGTATTTAGCTTAATTCGATGGATAAATTTATAATGTTAATGAATCTAAGAGAGTAGAACCATAAAAATTCTGATTAACTTTTTTTATTAGTAATTATAATCAAACTCATATAGTTTTCATTTTATAATTGAATATTGTTGCCAAATTCATGAATTGTTATAAATATTCAGGAATATTTTCTAGTTCTGAATATGAACTTTCCATTATTTGAATTTAGATTTGTTTTATAATCTAATAGTTGAGAGAAATCCATTAATTTAACGATTTAATAATTAATTAAGTTAGAAATAAAAAAAGAATACTCATACTTAATTAATTTTACCCTCATTTAAACATCTTCTCACAAATCTAATTGCTTCTTCCTGATTGTAATTATTTCTTACTACTATTCTGTATAAATCTTAAACTAGAATCTATTAAGCTGGATCATTTTTTGAAAGCTAAAGTTTCAACTCCAAACATTTTGAATAAAAAGTTCTTTTAAATTCAGATACTTTTCTAATATTATTCTCTGATTTGAATTATCTATATGTGTATTCAGCTTCACTACCTTCCTAATATTGTGATTCGGTTTTTATTCTTGTATCAGCCCCTTAAGGTAATGAATTTTGAGAAACCAGTCTTTTCTGATTCTGTAAAACTAATTTCTCTTTTACCAAAGATAATAATCTGTTTAATAACATCATGATAGTCATTGATGTTTATGGGTAAGCTATCAGTACATTTACTTCACTTTCTATGTCTTTTAGCTTTTTGATACTTTGGTTATTATAACATCGAATAGCATCGATTTGAGAACTAAGCTCCTGTATTCTAATCATGAATTTGTATTTTTCACTATTAGCATTTGATTTATCAGCTCCTTTAGTAGCAATGTTCTTTATATGTTGTAATTGTTAGGAGATTTAATCAATTTAGCTGTTGAGCTTCTTGGTATTGTCCATACAGTTTAGACAGTGAATATCAATTTAAGCAATTGGAATAAAATTTAAACATTAGACACAGAATCCCATCTATTCTGAAGGTTATTATCTTCTTTTTATTTGTTATGCTGTGCTCATTTAAGTAAAGATTTAATAAAATGTTTTGTAAATGAAATAGGTGATACAGAATTAAAATAACTCGAATAATGTATTGATTAATAAAAACACATAATTAGATATTCATTCTCATCTGATTATTTTATAAGTACATTTTATGTTAATAAAACTATTTTGTTTTGGTTTTGGTTTATCTAAATAAATGCTTCTAATTTCTAATGCTTTTTTTGTCAATTTCATTTTTGGTTTAATACTTCTAGAAGGTAATACGAAACATGATGGTTAAGGTTTCTTTTTAGAGGAAGGTGAATATGATAAATTTAATGAATGTGATTCTGCACTATTTATAATTAATTCATCTGAATTCTTTATTGGTTCATATACATTATTTATATTATTCTCTTTATTCTAATTTATACTTCTATTTTTTATAGGTGAGTGTATTTAGGTTTTATAGAGATGGGTATTAGTTTTTAGTTATTATGTTTATTTTGTAACAATGAAACTAGCATTCTCTTTTCTTGGCTTTTATGATCTTATTCTTAAATTACTCTAATTTTATTATTTGATTCTTGCATCTCCGGCTATATAACTAATATTTTATAGTAACTTTTATCTTATATTCATTTTTTTGAATTTAATTAAATTCAACAACTAAATTTTCTTAATTAATATACTAATCATTCTTTATTTATTATACAATACATCTTATTCATTTATTTTATGTTCATGATTATAAGTTTAAAAAGTAATTTATAAAATAGAATTAGTATGTAAATAATAAAAACTTTTATATATAAATGTTTTTGGAATATATATAATTATTATTGTAATTTAATTTATTATTTTTTTAATTTAAATAATAGTGAAAATGAATTCAAATTCTAATATAGAAGTATTGAATTATGAAATAAGGTTAGTTCAGGAATTGTTCCTTTGAATGTGAAAATGCTTAATTAAATAACTTTGGAAGGAAATTAAGTTTATTATGATAATATTAATTTAACAATTGTTTTTATTCATGGGAGATTTCAAAAAATTGTCAAAGAATAAAATCAAGTCAGATACAGTATATCAATTAATGATGATACTGGTATTCTAAAAGTTACTTATTTTGCAAATAAATAAAATGAAGATCCAATTTTAAAATTAATAGATGAAGGGAAGTATGTTTATATTATAATTTAATAGAGATGATCCTTCATATTATTATAAATTCATAATTTAAATAAAAATATTTAAAGATGCCCCTTATTTTATATTACAACATTATTTAACATCTAATGTATCAGATTGGATGTATCATACTATGAAGGTAATTGAAATTGAAGTATAATCTCGACCACCAATTGATTGGAAATAATTAAAGGATGAACCTTTAGAGAAATAGATTGAAGGATACATCAGACACAATAAAAGAGTAAATATTGGACAATTATTAAAAAAATTTAATTGTTCTTTATAATAATTGAAAGTGTTAATAGATCAATTGAAAAAGCGTTCAGCCATAGCTGAATGTTTAAATAAGGAAACATTTAGAATAGTTAATTGAATTAAAATTTATATAATTATAAATGGGCAATAACTAAGTAAATCAGTCAGACAACATCTATGATATCTACAAAAATTATTAAGTAATATCTGTCTTCTTATTCTAGAATCACTGGTATGTTGGAGTAGAAAGGGAAGTGTTAAAATTAGGATATCATATAAATGTTAGATCAGATCGTTTCCATAAAATCAACTTTCTTACTCTTTATTAAACAGTTAAACCATATTATGAATAAAATAATACGATGAGTACCAATGAATCTCTATTTGCAACTGAACTAGAAAACATAAAAAGATCAAAAAATACTATTCATACTTCTAAAGAATTTTAAGTTACGACATTGCTCTAAGATTGTGATCCTTATCTACAGGATTATGAGAAATAAGTTATTAATTAATTATCAACTCTTTCTGGTTGTTTATTGGATATCTTTTAGGCTTTTCGAAGAACCTAACTGCCCAATACTAGTCATGAATTAGATACAATATTAATTAAATTTCGAGATTCTTATGTTTAAGTAATAAAATAATTAAATTTAGATTTTAATTCATTATTATAATCTAAGACATTATGCTATGATTAATTAGTGCTAATTTTTGAATTTTTAATCACTTCAGTGTCTTGTCACTAATATGATATTCAATGATGAAATATCTACTTATGTTTATTAAATCAAAAAATAAGAATAAATACAAGAAAATCAAAAGATACATTTCAAATTAATCTAATCTTAAAAAAAAACTCTTTCAGATTTCGGAATTTCTAATAAATTTTGTTTAGATTGCACAACTAGAGATTATATTTAAATTAAAAGATCAACTAAAATTAATACAAATACTTCTATTACCAATTAAATTTAATAAATTAATTATGAAACTCTTATAATAGAGGATGTTGATATAACATAATTACCCTCTAGACCTTAGGCAAGATTGCTTTCAGGTACCTTTTTTCATTAATCACCTTTTGAAAAAGCAATATAAGCATTATAACTTATATAATTTAGATAAACTCCTCATCATAAAGTAAAATAATTAGTTATTTGTTTTCAATGTATATATTCTACCATTATGGATTATTATTAATAATTTGCTTAACAACCATCAAATTTGAGTACTGATGAATTGATTTCTGTATTTAATTATGTTTTATGTAAATCAAAGCTATAAAATCCATATACTCACTTTGATATGATGCAGAAATATATAGGAAATTTAGATGGTGTGGAAGGCATTTATTTAACCATTATGGAAGCAACCTTTTAAATTGATTGAATGTTATAAATATCTTTATTTCTCTTATATCTTTAAATATTAAGATATTACAATATTTCTTCTTCTTCTTTTTCAAACATTAATTATAATTATATTTATTAAATTTATATGTATGCATTTCTTAAACTCAATAAATTTTAATTATTTACAATGAATGATAAACAATATGAAATAAAGTATTAATGTTAAATAATTTAATTGTATTACTTTTATTTTAAGGATAAAAGAATAATTACCTTAGTAAAATATTTATCTTATTTCTCATTAATAATAAAATTAATACTTCGAATTTCTTGAATTAATTAAAAAACACAAATATAATGTTTCATCTTCTCTATCTATTATCAAACTAAAATATATATATATATATATTACTTTTAAATGATAAAATCAAAAATAAAATCAACTTTTGTGTTTTAAGTTAATAAATGCTATAATTTTGAGATGAATATTCTAATCTGTAAATGTATTTTCAAATTAATGTAGGGAACAGCTCTAAATTATTTTATAAATAGTATAGAAAAAAGATACAATTTTAATTAATATATAATATTTATTAGAATATTTATATTAATTTATTATTATCATAAAAATTAATAAAATAGTTTATAATTCTAAAATAAAATGGTTAAATATCTGGTACAATTTATGAAAATTAAAATTTTAATCATCTAAATATTATAGCAATAGAAAACAATTAATGAAATTACAATAGTATTTTTTAATTATAGATAATCATAATTTCATGAAAAAGTATTTATATATAATATTAATTAAAATATGACAACTCCCTACATTTATTGGTTAAAAGAATCAGCATAAATTTAAGAATATAGTGTTGTTGGTATAATTGATGGTTCAGGATCAATGTGTGAGGCTTGGAATGACTTATGTAAAGCTTGGAATTACTTTGTAAGTGGATTCAAAAGTGTTTATTGTATTCAGTATGATGACACAGCTATACTTTAAGTAAGTCCATAATTAACTACATAAAAAGGAGAGGGAACAAATATTGAATTAGGATTTAGAGAATTAATGAAGTTGATTAAATCTGGTAACTTATTACAAAATATTCTTATCATCTTTATTACTGATGGAATAGGAGAACATGATGGAATAGAATAGTATTTTGAAGAGATGAATAAAGAATTTGAATAATTACATTCTTAAGGATATTAATTTAAATTTCATACATTAGCTTTGGGAGAAGAATTTTCACATCCTGTTGCTGCAGAATTGAAAATGATTATTCATAATTCAGGAATATTATCATCATAAATAGATTTAATATAAAACACTAAAATTGATTTTACCAAAGTATTGTAAGATATTAAGGATGAAGTTTTCTATTAAATGATACGTGTTGATCCATAATGTTAATTGACTACATTTACAGGACCAGTACATAGAGTGACTCCTAATCAAGTATTATTTACAAATAGCAATTCTATTAGAGTTGGCGGAAAATAAATTAATTTAGATAAAGAAGGCGTAACACCAGAAGCTTTAGATAGATTTATTAGATAAATAATGACTAAATTAATGGAGTTTAATTCAATTGGTAAGGATGTTAAATAGGAAGCAATATAAGCATTATAAATTATTGAAAAATTGAAATCTAGAGTAACTTTTAAAGAAGATGATGATGAAATTAAAAAATTTATTGATTAAAATATACAGAAAATTGAAGAATTTGCAACTGGAAATTTAAATCTAAAAGAATTTCAACCATTATAAGCAGCAAAGTTTATGCATGATGTATAAGACCTTATCATAAGAGACAAAAAGAAAATGTAAAGAATTAAAAGAAAGTCTGTAGTTCATGCTTAATTAACTATGCATCCTTAATAACCAAAAGTAATTATATAATTTAATAAAATAGCAATAAGTAAAAGATTATTATAAAGAATTGGCTTTAAAAAGATTAGAACAATATGAAAAACAATTAAATAATTAAGAACTTTATGAAGACTTAAAGGAATTTGCAAAATAAAATAAGGTTAAGACTTTAGATCAAATAGTTTACTTAACAAAAACACATGATTTTCAATTAAAAAACATCAAGGAATTTATATAAACTGATGAAGATACAGCTATAGATATGATAGATTTATTTTTAATATCCTTAGATTGAGTTTAATAAAGATTGAAATTATTTGCATTTGAAATAATTATAAACTGATTTATCTAATTATAATTAAATTAAAAATTCTATATTACATTAAAAAAAAACATTATTTTTAGTGATATTATAAGAGTGAATAAAAAATATTTTATATTTAAAATTAATTCTTCTCCAGAACAGATCATATTTTTTTATTTTGAATAAATGTAATATTCTAAATAAATCATCTCTTCTATTAAATTATATAATAGAATTATAAGACATATTTTGTAATATATAAAAACAATACTTCTAAAGATACTCAATATTTAGTTAAAAAATATATTATAATATTTTTTGGAATATAAAAGTTAAATATTCAGTTTACAAACAGAAATTATTAAAAATCAATGTCTATTTCTAGATATTAATTGCTTAATTGTTTAACATGTAATTTCTTTATCTTAAAGATACTCTTAAACTAATTTATTCTTATCTCTAATTTTTAAATAATATTTATATACCTCAAAATAATTAATGCCAATAATTATAGACATGCTTTATTTGAATTGCAATTATTTAGTAAACAATCAATAATTCCATAATTTAATCTAAATACATATCATTAATACGCTTTTTCTGTCAATTTATGATTACTATAAAGTAAATCAATAATCAAACTTTTATCTTGTATGATTTCATCCAAAATTTATTATATTGGAAATTTGAATCTTCTTTTTAACTATAAAATATATGTTTATAATTTTACCTAAAACTTGTCTTCTCTTTGTCTTTTTTATAATTGCTCAATCTTTAGCCAAACTTTTTCCCTTATCATAAATTAATAATAAAATTATTAATATTTTATTCACTTGATAAATTCTAGAAATAGTTTAGTTAAATTAATTAAAACTTAATTAAAATTTATTATCTAAATAATATATATAAAATTAAAAAATTAGTAGAGAAATGAATAAGGATACCATTGATATAGAATTTATTGATAGTGAAGATGAATAAAAAAATAATTAAAACTCATAATAATAGAATAAATAATAGATAATGCAATTAGAAGAAGCTCCATCTCCTAATATATTTGCTGTTGTCATCATTAATTAATATAAAAATTAAATTAAACATATTATTTCAAGATAAGATGTTATTACAGCTATAGAATACATTGTCAAAAATATACTTTAAGGGTCAATGGTAATTTATCATTTAAAATAAATTAGAAAAAAATAAGACCTACTGATGTTAAAATAGAACCTATTTTATCTACTTAAGTGCAAAAGGCTTGTTGTTTAATATAAGTTGATGAAAACATAATTAAATAGTTAATAGAATTTTAAATACCTTTATAATTTGGTGATAAAGATCCATAGAAGGGATTGACAGTGGTTTATGAATTTAAATTTTTTCAATTTAATGAATTTGATAAATGTGATTTATTTAGTAATGGAAAGTTTGTAAAGGAATTTTGTGTTATTAGACCATATTAAGAGACTTAAAGATATACATCTATAATTGTGGCTATTAATAAAATGGATTAATAGATTTATGCAATAAAAAAAGTGAGATTAATGGGAGAATTCAGTTGGCAAAGATTATTTTATAATTAGATTACTTAAATAAGAGAAGTTAGAGCAATGTTAAGACTCTAACATCCAAATGTAATTAGATTATATAGTTGGTGGGTAGAATAAGAGATTAATTAAAAAAATTAAAAATATTTCTATCTTTATTTACAATAGGAATATAATTCATTTTTAGGTTGTAATGATTTATTACAATTTAGTGTGAATCATTTATTAAATTTACCTTTAGAATTTAAAAGAAAGACTATGAAATCTTTAATCCATTAATTAATAACTGGATTGGAATATATTCATGGTTAAGGATTCTTTCATAGAGATTTAAAATTAGAGAATATACTTGTAACAAAAGATAATTTTGGAGATGTTGCTTTAAGAATTTGTGATTTTGATTGGAGTAAAACACATTTAAATGATGATGGATAAAAAGTTAATTGGTTATAACTTAGTAAAGATTGTGGTACTGTAGAAATGAATAATGGTATGCAAAAGAAAGGAATAGCTTATGATGCAAAATAAGAATTATTCTAAGTTGGAATTATAATATTAGATCTTTGTAACCCAACACCAAATAAAGATGAAAGAATTTAAATGCATAAAGATGCTAAAAACAAGTATAAATATATTCCTATATCTTAGTATATTTAAACCACATATATTATAAGATTATTAACCTGAATTACAAATTATTTATGCTTTACTAAAAATGGAATTTAAATCAGTATAAGAATTAAGAACCTCATAACTATATAATAAATATATGGAAATATGATTAAGATATAATTATTAAATAATAACTTATTTAAAGATCTTTGAAAAATATTTTAATAATAAATCATAAAATTAAATTTATTATTATTTATTAGTTTTAAATATTCATATATATATATACATAAAAGTATCACTAATATAAAGCCCAATAAAGTGCTGATATATGGCTTAATGTCTTGTTTTATAAAGTTTTGATTATAACTTCTCTTTAGTAACCATATTATTCAATCTAAATTAGATAAAAATTATTAATATACTTAACATATAATTCTTAAATCTAAATTTGAATTAGGTTATTATTTTATTTATTTAAAATCAATATCTTTCATCCAAATATGTTTCATGATTTCTTGTAATGTAAATCTCAATTTTGGATTAATATTTAAAATAGATTTCATTAAATCTACTGCTTCATTTGAAAGATTTGCTTTTTTAATTTCCATAAAATTTAATAATCCACTCTAAATCTATTGATTTAGTTCATTCATATTATTTCCTTTGAATGGTGTTTTACCAACCAATAAAATATATAGAAGAACTCCTGAACTCCAAATATCACTAGCAAAACCTTCATATCCAGTTTTTTATGTCATAATTTCAGGTGCTAAATAAGCAGGAGTTCCACACTATTCTAATATTTTTTATCCTTTTACAATTTATCTACTTACTCCAAAATCACATAACTTAATTTATTCTCCTTATAATAAAATATTATCTAATTTAATATCTCTATGTAAAATATTATGATTTTGCAATATTTAAAGTGCTAATATTAGTTATCCAAAAATATTTTTAGCCATTTATTCAGATAATGGTTTTTCTTTTGTAAATTTGATTAAATCTCCTCCTTCAACATATTCCATAATTAAATAGATTTATCTTTTAGTTTCAAAAACTTCATATAAACGAATACAACATTTATATGGTTATAAGAGTTTCATTAAAGTAATTTCTTGCATTAATCTTTTTTTAGCACTTTCATTTTTAAGACTAGATTTCTCAATAATCTTCATTGCTACTTTTACTCCTGTCAAAATCTGTATTCCTAAACAAACTTTAGCAAAAGCGCCTTTCCCTATAACAGAACACAGCTACCTATTTTAAGTCTACATAATAAACCTTATAATAATCTGCTGTAGTTGTTGGTATTCTTTTTTTCATCTTTATTGTATTTGCTATCCTATTAGCCAAAATCACACGTTCCTTCATTAAATCTTCATCCATCTTTAATTGTGGCTCATTTAATTACAATAAGAAATCTTAACAATCTGCTAATTCAACTTCAGGACCTAATAAGTCTCCTAAAATTCTTGGAATTTTTTCTTCTTTTGGTCCATTTGAAGCAGATCTAGTACGAGCAGAAGATGTAGATCTTGTCACACTAATATTTGTTATTTGCTTTTTCTATTTGACTAAATCTATTTTCACAGCTTCCACTTTATTATTATTCTTAGTAATCGAAGTTACAGGCCGTGATGCTATTGGTTTAGGTAATGTTTTCACAGATGACTGATGAGAATGATGAGATTAATTAGCGGATAGTGTTATGCATTTCACTTATTTAACCTGCTGATTTAATTTCTTCAGTTAACTCATTATAAACAGTTAATTTATTAAAAATATATTTAATCATAAATAAAATCCATTTCATATAATATATTTAAATATTAAGTATTTCAAAATAATATATCAATTAAAATATAATACTTACTTTTTTTATTTTCTATCAATGTATGAATATACATTATTTATAAAAAATATTATTATTATAAAAACCTATTTAGTATCTATAAACATATTAATTAAGTGATGATCTTGACATTAATTATATAAAAATTGAATGATATACAATCAAATATATTTAGTATTGTCTATTATATGTCAAATTAATCTAATGAATTAATAGAAATATTTATATATTTCGTTTAAAATGATCTAATGATCCAAAGATATTAAAATAATCTATTTATTGTTAAATTCAACAAAAATCATTTATTCCTTTTCAACTGTATTTCCATAATTGTTTGTATTATAATTATAACTTTTGATTCTCCATTTAAATTTTAATTACTCTTGATACTAAAATTATTATAATCTTTAATATTTTTTCAAGCTCTTTATTACTTTCTAATTATATCTTTAAGTTAGGTTAGAAATAAAATTAATTGAATATAAAAATATACTCTTTCTATACTTATTTACATATAAACGTAAACCTTATTTTTACATAATATTTATAATTCTATATTTCCACATTAATTGAAATTAGGAATTAGAAATAACTCTTATATTTTTATTAAATTTTAGCATTCTCTCTATATATGTGTATAAAGACTTATAATGTTTATGAAAATCAATCTATATTTATATAATCATACTCCTCAATTCTTGAATTAAATATGTAGAACTAAAATTTTGTATTTCTTCATAATTTTTTTGTTGATACAAATTATTATTCTAAATCAATATTTAGAATTATTTTAATGTTAAAAGGAGATTAATCATATTTATGATCATTTTGTTTCTATTTCTATATCATATGATGATTGAATTTAAATAAAAATAAAAATATCACCAATAATAAATATTTTAATTAATACAATACAAATGGTTAGAACTAACTTAGAGTTTAATTAAAAGTAGGAATGCTATAATTTGAATTATTAAATATATTAATTATATATGTCTTATTCAATTATTAATAATTTAATTAAAGAGTTAGAATAGTATACCATGTATCTGAATTTAAAGCTCATGAACTTTTTGTATCTAAATTTATTCTTGTATTTGATTATATATATTTTGAAAACAAATTGATCGAAACAAATTAATATCTTCAAATTCTTAACATTTAATAATGAACAAAATCGTTATTAAGAAAAAAGAAGATATGAATTAAAAGGTGTTTTAATAAACAAATGATCATGCTCCTATTTAAAATAAGAATGAATTGTATTATATTAGGCTAGTTATAAGGTTATGTTAAATTGACTCTCAGTGGAGCTAAAGAAACAACAATTAAAAGAAAAGTGAAAAGTAACTTATAATATAATTTTCAAAGGGACTTTCAAATAATTGAATAATGCTTAGGTTCTGGAGCTTATGGGTCTGTTTCACTAGTGAGAGATATTAATAGTCGAATTTATTATGCAAGAAAGACGGTAACATTTTGATCAAATATATAAGATTAGTAAATCAAAACTTAAGACATAGGAATCATTAGATAACTTAAAAAGAGAAATATTGATATAAAAAAAACTTTGTCATCCAAATATTTTAAAATTGTGCTACTGTTATGAAGATTAGATGAGGTACTGTTATGTATCTAAAAATAAATAGTGTGTTCTTAATATTAGAATATGCAGAATTGGGCTCCCTTTTTTAATTGATAAAACGTAAATAAAGATTATAAGAGAGAGAAGCATATTAATACTTTTCATAATTGTTAGCTGGTTTAGAATATATGCATAAAATGAAGATTGTACATAGAGATTTAAAAGTACAAATAGAAATTATAAAATAGCCTGAAAACTTATTAATAACAAAATCTGGAGATTTAAAAATAGGTGATTTTGGATGGGCTACATAAATGCCAAATTATCATAAAGCTTTTTGTGGTACAACTGAATATATGTCGCCTGAGATGATATAATCTTAAACAACTGATTATAAATCTGATTTATGGAGTTTAGGGGTGTTGTTGTATGAAATGGTTTAAGGAAAAACCCCATTTTAAGGAATGACATTTTTAGAAAAGAGTTAAAAAATATTATCTAGAAGACAATTAGAATATGAATATGATGTTTCTGAAGAATGCAAATCATTAATTAATAGTTTACTCTAATATAGAATTCCTTGTAGGCCTACAATTGATTAGATTAAAAATCATTAATGGATGCTTTCATAAGGATAAGATAGAAAAGGATCAATAAGAAGTTCTTCAATGATATCTGTTAAATCAACTCATTATACATCTGAAGTTCTTGAAAGCTAATCCAAAATTTTGGATAGTCATTTTGGTTAAAAATCCTCTATTTAAGAATGGGAAGCTATGAAATTTAGAAGTTTATAATTTTAGTTTTAACGCTAATAAGATCAACAACAATCATAAGGTAGTTGTTGTTAAAACAATGGATTTTTAACTAAAGCTTTAATTGCTTTAGGATGTATTAATCGATGATTATAATGATTTCATATTCAACTTTATTTTTTCTTTTTTTTATATTTATCTCTTATAGATTTATCTTTTCTTTGATCAACTTCCATTTACTCTTTTATATCTTATCCTCTAGTATTATCCTTCATTTTCATAAATAGTAAATCCAATCTATAAAGACAATCGGATGGTAATGGAGATGACTCTAACTCTAGAACATAAGGTCTAGTTGTTATATATATATTTATACCTATGTAGATCAATATCCCAATATTTAATATTATCAAATTATATATAAGATGTCCATCTACCTTTGATACTTGTATTGTAAGTGTCTAGTATCTCTTAAGGTAAAATTTTCAATTTAATTCCTGAATTTGTTTTATGTGCTTTCAAACATTTTTAAATGCATTCTTGAGTTACTTTACAGATTTTGCCTACAAAAGCATCTATCTTTTATTATGAAGAACTAAAAAAACTTGTAGATTTATTTTTGGGATTGAATATGATTTCAACTAATAATTAATGTTCAGGTTAAAAACAAAAACTTCTTTTATGACAATTGACACTTCTTTGACCAAGCAAAACCCCATATAACATAAATGGTTAACCCATATAATAAAATTTGAGATTGGTATTTTGATAAAGAATTTGTGAATGTCCTTATTACTCACCTGCTAAACTATTAGTACCCATATTAACAACAGGACAGAATGCTCCAAATAATTTATAACCTCTTCCATACATGATATAATTTGATATAGGTGGATGATGAGATGTCTGTTCCAAATATATAGGACATCCCTTAATTCTACCTTCAAAGGTTTCTCCTATAATTGGATTGAATGGTTTTTCTTACTAAATTCCCATCATAAAACTAGCCATATGAAATGATATAGTTAATTTCATTTATTCCATAACATCCATAATTTAAGCTGCTTTTTCAAGAAAGATAGGAGCATGACCTTATGCTCTAGCCATTCTCTCTAAAAATGATCTAGCTTCAAATACTTGAATAGGCAATGAAACAGACATCAAAGATTTACCACTCAATAAATTGGAGCCCATTCTCTTAATAATATCTAATAAGACACTTCTTTAATCACTAACTAATTTTTTATTAGTATAAACTAATCCACCTTTTTTAGGATCAACTTCATAATATTTAGTTAATAAAAAATGTCCATCTTCTTTGGATGTTTCTAATTATTTATCTAATCCTGGTAAAATATTTTGATTAAATTATCTATTAATGGATTATTAGATATAATATCCACTTTAGATTAAATTTAATATCTCTTAATATTCTTAGATTGATTATTGTTGATGTTATTCTGAGGTAATTCTATGTATTTCTTACTCCATTTAAATAAATGAAATTTGTAGATTCTCAATATCATTTTCATTCTTGATAAGTACATGTTCTGTTTTCTATTTAATATAATGATAAGCTTCTAATATTTGATCATCAATATTTGCAAATGATAATAGGAATCTTTTCATAACTTCCTCACCTTTTTCTTCATTTTAACATGATAAATACATGTCTTCAATAATTTATGTCTTGTAATTGCCATCTTATTATGATTAAATTAAAACACAAGATCTAGTAATTTAATATTCATCAGTTCCATCTATTCTATCTTTATCAAATTGATTATGATGTATTTCATTTCCAATATATTTTTTCATTATGCAATAAGCATTTTCATCAATTTGAAAGTGTTTCTATGTATAAATCAATCTAATCTTATCATTTTGTATGTTTTAATTTAATTTTTATTATGAATTCTAATTACCTCCTAATTCTATTTCATTATTTTTATTTATATCTATTGTATTTCTACTTAAATCAAATTCTGTATAGATTATAGCACAATCTTTTTTAGTTGGATAAACTTAGTAAATAGATACTTGAGGACTCCAATTATCTATAAAATTATGTGTAGATAATTCCTAATAAATAAAATAATTTGAGTACATCAAATATTTAATTAGGAGACATTTCAGATTTCAGAAAGAATCTCATATGTAAAGGATCTTTAGGATCTTAATAAAGTACTTTGTTTTAAGATTGATGTAATACTATAAAAGAATGTATGTCTGAAAAACCTTATAAATTTTCAAATGTATTTTCTAATATAATTTCAATATCATTCTAATTTTAATAATATTATTATACTTATAAAAATTGTGGTAATAAAGGTATGATTTGTCTCATTCTTGATATTTAACTTGGTTTAATATCCATTGTAGGTACTATTTGATTGACCACTCGTTCAGATTCAGGCATAAATTTATCCCATTCTTAAAGATTTCTTTCCTAATTCTCTTTTTTTATTTTCTATGTCAAATATTTTCCGTTGAAATAATCATACCATTGAAGTGCTTCTGATTAATTCATCCAACCAAACCTTGCTACTCTAGGTTCAATTTCTTATTGAGTCTTAAATTTAATTGACCACTTTCCTTAATGAAAAACAACAGGATGAATAATATAATTTTCAATTAACAATTACTTTTGTGTTTACCCTTTCACATCTATATATCTCAATATCTCTCTATTTATTATACAATTTACTTATTTCAATAAATCATAAATCAGTAATCTTTCACTCCATCCTTTTAAAACACCACTCTCTTTAAATGCACTACAACTCATTAAAGCATTCTTGTTATCAATCATTTCTAAATTAATTGTATGTAATATATTTTATACATTTTAACAAGACAGATAGTTATATTTTTAAATATATTTTTTTTACTTAAAATTTATATAAAATATCAATATAACAATCAGATTATCATATAAGCAATAGCTTCCTTATCAACATTAATCAAATATTATAAAAAGTATTCTTAACTCGATGCCATCTTAAACAATTCCTTACACTTTTCAAAATTCAAATTGCAAACCACACAAATTTAAGCTAAAATTATTGAAAATTCCTTTTAACTTAAAAATGGTTTCACTTTATTCAGTAATTCTTATCTCTATCCCTCATTAATAAAATAGAAAAACACTATATCTTTCTCAAAATTAGGATCTAAACTTAATTCAAATACATTAATTAATTAAGTCAAATTTCCATTGAATATCAATTATTCTACTACCTTATTAAGTTAAGCATAAGGAGTGTATTTGGTACAAACATAATTTTATATCTCTTTATATTTCTTAAATTTTATTATTTGCTCTTAATTTACAATCCTAATATTTAGTGGAGATGTTAAATCAATCTCAGATTTATCATTGATAGTACTTGGATTCTTAAATTGCTCATAATTTTAATCACTAATTTTGCAAATCAATTATTTTGAATAAGGTAATTTATCTTAATTACATTATAATTCCATCTAATTTAACAATATCATAATATAATCCAATTAAATTCTAACTCCACGAACTACATCTTTAAATTTTAATGAGAATAATTACATTTCTAAATTTACTATATACTCAAATAATAAAGTAAAAGCCTATATTATATTTAATAATTCCATACCTTTATTTTAGATTCTTATCTCATTAAAAAACTGAAATAATGAAGTACTTTGTCTCCTTATTTTAAATTAAGACATTTTTCACGTGAATATTAAAGTAACAATTCTGCAATTTGTTCAGTCGTTCTTGCATCTAAAATAAATTACAATCAACTTACTTAATTAACATTTAAATAATTGATTGCTCTCTATCATTATGGATAATTGATCATTTATTTATTTTGTATCATTCATATTCAAAATTTAAAATAAAATTTGATATTGTTCTTATTTAATAGCATAACTTATCAATTTTTTTAATATAATCTCCTATTCACTATCAGAATTTGATTATTATTGTAGATAAAGTGAAATTTTCAATTTTAATTCTTGATATTGATCTTCTTTTTCATTAATAAAATCAATAATATTATTATATTATTATTATTATCCTAATTACTAACTTACTCTATAATGTCTTATAATTTCCTTTGCATTATTTTATTATATCAAGGATCTTTTCTAATTATATACAAAAGCTTCACATAATAATTCTTCTGGAATAGCAAAATCTCTGAAAACTTCTTTGTAGATTAAATTAATAAATCTATATATTACATTTTAAATGCAATTCAATTTTTGTAAGGAAATATCATTTGATACTATTTAGAATTTTTTCTTTAGTACATCTTAAAATGATACATAGAATTTATCTTGTAATAAAGTTAAGAGAAGCATAGTATCATAAAATAATTTATGATCATTTTGGAGATCTAATTAAAAATTAGAAATATTGGCTATTACAGCCAAACCTATATAATTCTCCAAATACATATAGTAATAGTCTTTGAGTTGATTTGTTACTAAGAATTTAAGCAATGAAAATTTTACTGATTGATCTTATCGAAAATCTTAGATACTTTAAAATTCATCTTAAAAAACATGAATCAAGAATTGATCCAAACATTAGAGTTGTTAACTTAATAAATTATATGTTTGATTAAAATCTAAATCTAACATTTAGATAGTTGGTTTCAAATAATAATAAATATCTTCCAATTCATCCATTACTTCATTCATAAAGTCTTCTATACAAAAATTATTTGATTATTATTTCATCAATTAGATTATTTTCCTTTGATCTAAATTTCGATGCAAAAATTTAATGAGAGTTTAAAATTAATCAAATTTATTGTTAACAAAAGAATCAATAGAGATTGATTGAAGTATTAATTCTTCATCTTTTAATTTATATTAATTCTCTACATACTTTTTAAATTTATATATTTCTTGTCTTAATTCATATTATCTCTTACTAATTTAATCTTAAATTTAATTAATAAAGGAAATATGATTTTTATAAAAAAATAACAATTAATCATCTAAATTTATAAAACCTAAAACAGGATTTTTATTTGAATTAACTAATTCAAAAGTATTATTATCATTTACTAATTAATAAATTTCAGATCCTTAAATCAAAATTATAGTATTATATATACTAGTAATACTAAAATTTATATTTTATAAGAAATCTAATTATGAAATAATACAATTTATTCTTAATTAATTTCCTATTAATGAATAGATTTTCATTTGATTTTAATGTAGATAACATAATGTAGTTTATCCATTTGGTTTATGTTAGAATACTTCTATTTATTTAACTTTGATATTATCCTCAACTTGTAATTATCTTGTAGCTAGATCTGATCCTTTAATTTCCAATAAATGAAATTATGTTTAAAAGGAATAGTAAATTATTTACTTATCATTAATTTAAAAAGCAGTCTTCCAATCATTAGTTTAACTTCCAAAAAATTTACTTAAAAATTTGGTACCAAAACTTAGTTGATATTTGCTTTTCATTATTTCACCTCTACGAACATCAATTGTTATAGAAATTAATTAATCAGTTTCACTCAACACATAAAATTTAAGTTAATTATTGTATATAAGTGATTTAGCCAGACACACAAATCTTTGATTATCCACCATTAAATTCTTAATTATGCTAGAAGCATTTGAAATTAAATTCTTATAAAATATTTATCCTGTTTATGTTACTACCAATAAATAGGGAATATCATTATCTTTCATTATAACACAACCATTCTAAGTAATCAAATGAGAAAAATTAAGGTACTCACTTGCCAATGATATTTATTTATAAAATAAATCTTTCATATCATATTAATGTATCGATACAGTCTAACCATTCGTAACTTTTCTATCATTAAATACACAATTAAATATACACAACATAAATTATATCTTCTATTAATTAAGTAATTGAAGAGTCTGTGCATTTGTAATGCTCTTCTACTTAATTTCCCATTAAAGTAACATTGGAATGAGATGCTATTTCTTTGGCTGCGATTCCACTCAGCAATATTTCTTCAAACATAATTAATTCTTAAAAATTATATAAAAATTGAAATTAGTTTTTTTAGGTGATTGTTAGAATTATTATTATTATTATCTTCTTTTTAGATATATAATAGAAGATAATAATGTATTAAATAATTTACAGATATTTCAATCTTTCTTTTCAATTTATATTTCCTTATCACTTATAAGGTTTTCTTCTTCTTTACATTCATTATTTTCAGAATCCAAATGTTATTATTGAGAAATCTCCTTCTCCAAAACATTCATTAATTCACTACCTAACAATATTATAAGTCTCTAATTAAATCTTATTTATTCTTCAGTTTAATTCTCAGAATCCTAACCCATTATTTTAAAATATGAAGTAACTAAATCATTAAATTATCTAAGTAATCCCTATTCTTCTGTTGTTACAGAATCATTAACTATATATCTATATTCAATATATTTATTTTACTTTGTAGATCTTCTTTTCTTTCCTTCTTATACTAATGCAATTTTAGGTTTTCTACTGAAATTAAATAATGTGATTTATTCTTCAGTAAACAAAACCTTCTTTAATTTTGCGAGTTCATGAAGTTATTTGATGATATACTCAATATCTAACTCTTTATTCACTTAATCACTAAGATACTCTATATATATAGTACATGGCTCTTTAAAGTACTACACAATCGTTATTTTTAATGGATTCTAAAGGTACAATTTAACTTAAAATAACTCGAAATCCCAGACCAATTATATACTTTTTTTTTATAAATTCTTTAAAGTCATCAAAAAATTCAAAGGCTTTCACTTTGAGAATACTTAATCTTGTTTATACTCTTTAAATTGTTGGTTATACATATTCTATAGATTTTTTATTTTCAAACTTCTATGAATCATCTTTTGCTGGAGTAGTATTTTGTAACATATCAGGTTTATGTGAAAAAGGAGACATCACTTAGATTGTAGGTAAGCCTTAATGATTATTCTTGGTCTTTTGTTTTTTTATTTCCCTCCTCTCCTTCTTTTCTAATAGAGTATTAAAATTCATTTAAGTATTTGCTCTATTCAAACTCATATCAAATTCATAAAGATCATTTGCAATTGAAACAATCAGGTGTTATCTATTATAAAATCTTACAAGAATTCCAACAACTACAATCATAAATTAAGTAAATCCTCCTAAATAACTTAACAATTCATCCAAACGCAAAAATTTCCTATTGATCTAATATGAATATGGACTTCTTTAAAAGTAGAATGCTCCATAATAATTTGGAGTTATTCTGGATATTTCAAATTATTCTCTTTAATCTCCTTAATCTCTAAAAGCAAAGGTCTCATTTTATTTATCTGGATACATGAGAATTCCTTAATCTGTAGTCACTTTTTTTGTACGAAAAAATATATCTGATTAAACAAACATTTTATCTGGTACAAATGTGTAAAATTAATCAGTTGCTAAAAATGGTTAAACAAAATCTTTTGGTCTATTTGGATTAATTAACTAATAGTAAATAATTAATAAATAAATTACAAAGTTGGTTGTAAACACTTGAAATCGAAAGCTCCCTTAATAATTTAATGTACTTTCTATTTCATCTTAAGTTTTACATGTTGGTTTCCATGTAAAATTATTGTTTGATGAATTTATGCATTTAGTTACAGAGAATTTTAAGAAATAATAATCGGTGCTTGCCCAAACTCCTCCCACAGTCATATTCTAACTATGAATAAAGTTTAAATTAGGACATAGGAAATTTTTTAGATTTTACTCCTCAAATTAATCTGTAAAATTGACATTATATAATTCGAAGAGATGTGAAAAATGGTCTATAGTACAGGGTACTAAATCAATATAAATATTTGGGTATCGATAATGAGTACCATTAGGATATCGATGATAATGACGCTATTCTACTGTGATATTGAAATAAGGATTAGTAGTGAAATTATCTTATTCAATCTAAACAGCAAACATAAAATGATTTCTATCCAATTCCAATTTATCTGGATCCTTAGCAAATGTGAATTCTGATGTAGATGTTACATTTAGCTTTGCAAAAAAGTTGATAATATTTGAATAAAAGAAGCTGATGATTGTAGCTATCATACAAATAGATAGAAATCCTCCTATGCTTGTTTTATATTACTCTTCCTATCTAAAACTAAGGTTAATAGTTTATCCAAATATATCTATCTATCTAAGACCTTACTTACACTTTTGGATCATTATTTATATAAATTATTAGATATTGCATGAATCAATTAATAATGAAAAGAAATAATAAGTAAAACTAACTGAAAATTCTAATTTAAGTAATTAAAGTGAATAATATATTAGACAATAATATATTGTTTATCATAGTTTATTATTTTTATCAATACATATCATAAAAAATAATAATTCATTCTATATATATAATAATTATCTCTAAAACTGGTAATAATAATTGTGATAAATATTTAGAGAAAATAATTATATTGGCCACTCCAAATATATAGAATAAAAATTAAGTTAATAAAATGATATGGCTGGAATGATATGGAAGATGTAAGAAATGAAAGTCTTAGATACTAGATTTTATAGATAATTAAAATATTTGAATATTGGAATCATCATTCCATGAAGTATTTTTAATCTTCTAATTCTTCATTATTAACACTCTCCTCTTATTAGACTATGACTCTATCAAATGGTTTAGATCGAAACATTGGCTATCTTCCAGTTTTTTTCTTACTAGGTTACATAATCTTTTCTTAATTAGCTTTGATTCTTCTCTCCTCTTCTTATTTTAATTTTAAGTTATTTGAATCCCTTTATTTAACTTTCCAATCTCTTTCACATTCTTATCTCTAAATTAATCATTCAAATTCTTACAAAGTTTTCAACTCTATCTGGTCGAAATGATCGAATCTATTTCAATTATCTTTCCAAATGTAATTCAATCTGTACCAAAATATCTAATGTTTCTTTATTTTATAAATCATGAACCCCTTGAATTTCATTAGGAAAGTTTTCACAAACTTCAATTATTTATTTTCTTAATTCTTTATGATCTTTTTTAGCATTCTTCTCTGTTCCTTTTAATTATAATGTTTTAATTTATTAACATACATTCTAAATATAAATTATTGAATTTACTTCATAATTCTTTTTTAATTACTCTTTATTTTATTGTAATGTAAATACTTTATCATCAAGAGACTTTTTTATTTTATTAAATTTAGTTTTCAATTCTTCTAAATTTTATTCTGCATCTTAAGTAGTTTAAATTAAAAATAAATTTCTTTCTTCTAAATCATTAAATATCTCAACCAATTATGATGGTTATTTAAAATACATTTCATATTCATCTTCAAATTCTTCTAATTCATCTCTAATAAATATCAATTTGTATTTTATTACAGTTTTTTATTATCTACCATTTATTAAAATTGTTTTTCTGTTAACCCTTTACTTTTAATTAATTCCTCTTTTAATCTATTCACTAATTATTAACGCTTCTTTTCTTTTGCATCATGCCACTCTTTTGGAGCTAATTTATCTAAAAATTTCTTATGATCCATATAATTATTAACAGCTTCTTCATTCCTTGTTTTCTCTGCTCTTAAACTTGTTATTTTTATATTGATAGACTTAATCTCAGATTCTTTTGCTTTCTTCTCTTTTACTTCTTAATCTGCTTTCTATTCTGCATCTAATTTTTATTATTTATTTGTATCCAAGTACTTTTAAAAATTCTCATTATCAGTTTCCAACATTTTCAAACTCTATTCCAATGCTTCCTTCTTCTCTTTTGACATTAATTTTAATTTATCAATTTCCTCTTCAATTATTCCGTGAGCCTTTGATACTAAAAACATCTCCTTCTTCTATTCCAAAAGTGTCACTATAGGTTCTTTTGAAACTCCTTTTGCTCTTTATTTCTTTCTTTCTTAGATGATCTGTAATGCCTCATTTATTATTTTCTTATCCTTATCATTATAAGCAGTTTTAGATTTAAATTTGTCATCAATTTAAGTTTCATATGACTAAAAATAATGTAACAATTATACTTTGAAATGCTTTAATTAAGTTCTATTTGTAGCAGTTTTCTTATCCCAAATACGCATTTCATCATGGTTTTAAGCTTCTTGTTTTTTACGATCTTATTCTCTAAACAAAAAGACTTCTTCATCTGATGGATAACGAAATGGACTTTAAATATCACTTTTATTGACTTTATGAATCTAAGGTAATTTCTCTGACATTTAATATTATATTATTTATTTTATTCATTTGAATCTAATAATTTGTAAATATTTTATATATATATATAATAATATATATAAAGAAAGAATAAATAGATTCAAATAATATTTATATTATTCTCGTATATACACATATATCAAACAAGAATTAAATTATTTATAAATTCTGTTAATTAAATTCAATATAAACAATCATGAGTCGGATAGTAATTTATTATAATGTGTATTAAAACTATTGATTTTCCAATTATTGGAATCAACCTAATATTTACCAACTCCAGGAGTGAATTGTCTTCTAATGTATGCCAAACGAGGTTATTATGATTTAAATGGAGCAGTTATTTATTTTAAAGAAGTAGAAGGATATTAATTTTATTCAGTAAAGGACATATTTTATAATATTTCTTAATTTTCTTTAAATCTGGGTTCAGCACAATCAAACCCAGGTTTTTACACATCTATTTTTTATAGATTTTTTAAAAATTTTAATTATTTTTACATTCTATATCCTATTGATTCTTGATCCAATTTATATTATCCAATTTCAGGACCACAACTCTTATTGATTGCATCTCTTTTAGATGAAGATTTAAAACAAGAACTCACAGCCCTCTTTTTCTCTCCTTTATTAATATCATAACTTCCTGGTCCAGCTTTGCAAAGAGGAGGTTTATCATAAAATCTTTTCTCTTTTCCACCCAAATATCCATTAATTCCTCTGTCTTATTTACGAATTAAATCTGTATATAGATCATTTTAAACATAATATGCTCCTGGACCAGGCATTTATTCATCAGAGTTTAATAAATCACCTTTACCAGTAGAACTTAAAAATGTAGCATTAGTATAATTTTTTTTCTTTACTAATTAATCGAATGAAGAATCTTCAATTCTATAATCTCCTGGACCAACTGATTTTTCTTAAATCTCTCTGAATCTTTCTAATGATGAACCAAAAAACTAAAATTCTTTGGCTTTTTTTTGAACTTTGATTGATGCTCTAAAATCATTATATTAACCAGGTCCAGGAGAATATTAATCTTTGTAATTGATTTATTTCCTTAAACCAGCATTAATTTCTCTATTGGTTTTGTAAATTAATTTATCATAGTAAGATCTAACAGTTTCAGATAGAAAAGCAGGAGATTTGTTTTTCCTCTTTTTTTCATCAGGAACATTATACTTACCAGGTCCAAGATCTGTAGATTATTCTTATTAAAATCGAGGCTTTGTACTTTTATCCCAAGAAATTCCTTTAGCTTATTTTGACTATGGAATTTCATAAGTGGTTGGTCCTACAATTTTTTATTTCTTTTACTCTTAAAGTACTTTTTAATGTTATGCCAATGTTTCAATATCTTCATAAACCATTCCTATTTATGTTTTTGGTTCAGGTATTGATTTAATTCGTCTTTTAAGATTTTAATTTCTAATATCGTCTATTTTTTAATTTCTAAATGATGTTGCCTATTAATTATGAGAATTATTTTTAACAGTATCATAATGTCCTGGGCCAGGAATCTGAATTTATTGCTATAAAATACTTCCTTAACTTTTTTATCCTCTTAAAATCTCTCTATTCCACTTTTGAAGGAACTACTTCCATTACCTTAAACTTTGACTATTATGGTGCTTTTATTCATATATGCTTGCACTCCCGAATCCCCCATGTTTTATTAAACTTCATATTACCCTGGACCTGGAAATTATGTTTTTTATTTGTTTATCATTTCTACTTATCTCTTTCCAGTCGAAAGGAAAGGAGCATAAGCAGTTTTAGTTTGATGTTCAGGAATCTGATAAACTCCAGGACCTAAATGTGGGTAAGGATCTTTTATCTCTGTCAATCCCCTATTTTCTTCAAATAAAAAAGCCATATTTATTATATAATAAATTATTATAATTCAGTTGAATATATATATATAATTATATTTCTAAGAGTTTAAAAGAAATCTAAAAATTTATGATAATTGAGTTTAAATTCCTTTCTATATATAAGATTATGAATATTAATATTTTTGAATAAACTATTTTTTGGGATTTGTGAATAAATTAGTTATTTATTTAAGATAATAGTGAATTAAGATTCATATTTATATATAATTGAATTCTCAAAAATAAAAAGAACTAATAGATATCATATTGAATAAGAATTACTTTTTGAAGTAAAAAAATAAATTTATAAAAAAATGGTAATTCCACATTTCAATGATTCTGATTGTTTTATATTAAGAATTCATTTCAAAATGATTTAGTGTTTATATTAATGTTGAGCTCATATTTAAAATGTCTTTTTTGATTGTTTAGAACACTATCCAAGATTAGAATGTTTAAATAAAGTCTTTGATTCACTATAGTTGGTGATTAGTAAATTGAGGAAGATAAATTATAAAATTAATGAGTTCCATATTTTAAGAAATGTTGTATATAGTAGAGTAAAGTGGTTTCATGATGTGGAGGAACTTTGAAGGTATAATAGATAGAGTTAGAATAATTAGTAAGTGTATGGATACTAAAATGGAAATTGAAATTATAGATAGATAAGAAGGAATGGTAAATTAGATTAGAAATTCACAAATAAAGTTTATAAGATAGAATGTCAATAGTATTATGGATTTATTTGCTATTAATACGGATTATTTGGAGTGAATAGAGATATTATTAAAAATAAAAAAATGAGAACAAAGATAATGATCACAATTTTGTTCTTCAGCTAGTTGTTTACACTTGGTCTAGCTATAGACTACTCAGTGAACCCTATAAATCCTGCATAAGGTGCAAATACAGTGGCTTAGAGTTAACCAGCTACAACAGGGCTATGCCTCAATGGTATGCATTATGATGATTATTCATTTTAGGATTTGGATGGAATGGCTAACTATGTATACCATGTATGTAGGTGAAGAATGGGTATTGCACATGTACAAAATATGGAGGCTGCGATACTAAAGTATGCGATTCTTCATTAACAAATTGCTAAGTTTTGACTAATGGATAAAACTCGTATGCATTATGTTCTTATTCATAGATACATATTATTGAGAGCAACAGGATGTAATAATTATGCTTGGGGTGATTCAAACACATCAGTAATTTGTACATAATGTTCATCTGGATATTTTATGGTTGGTATGATAATAATTGAATATTCAAAGCTGGAATCTGTGTTTAACCAAACAATTGTGCTTAGATGAATTTAGTTACAGGTACTTGTGATACTTGTGTCGATGGATATTATTTCACTTAAAATTTTCAATTGTAAACTCTTTAATCATGGGATTACTACTAAAATATCAATTAAGTGATTTGCAATAAATGTCTCAATAATTGTAAGATATGTACATCAGGGTATCAATATAATTATATATTAAAAATAGTTATACTTGTGTTTAATGTATGGATTAATACTATTGGAGTCCAACATAATCTAAGTCTGCTTTATCAAGTACTCAAAATGATAGTAATGCTGGCTAATGTTTGGCCTGTAATGTTAATATACCATCTTGTGTAAAATGTTAAAATTCAACAACATGTGATAAATGTTTAGATGGATATTATTACACTGCTCCTTCAGATTCAACCACTAAAGGAACTTGTACTAAATGCATGAGCAATTGTTTATCATGTTAGAATGCAGACACTTGTGATACATGTGATACTGTCAACAATTATATATATTTACAAGCAAATAACTAAAATGTAATTAATATTATAATATAATTTAGTCATGTGCTTTATGTACTAGTATAACAGGATGCAAAACATGTTCAACTTAAAGTGGTCAATTAACATGTACTGCTTGCTAATCTGGTTATGTATTTGATTCTCAAAATGTTTGCAAATAATGTGATGTAAATTGTGCTTCTAATTCATGCTCTTATACAAATGATCAAGTATAATGTAGTAATTGTATTGCAACATTCGTATTGAAATCAAACACAAGTTGTAATTCTTGTGGAACAGGCTGTTCATCTTGTTCATATAGTGATTAAGCATAAACAAAAATAACTTGTGGATAATGCTTTGATAATTACTATAAAGATGATAACAATGTTTGCTAATTATGTTCTTCATCAATAACCAGTTGTTAAAAGTGTAATTTCAATAATTAAAATACTCCAACTGTAACATGCACATAATGTTCACCAACTACTAAACTTACTAATAATTCATAACAATGTCTGTCAGCTCCATCCAATTGTATTGATTTTAGTGTGACAAATACTGCTACTTGTAATACATGTGCAGATACCTATTATTTGGATTCTGGTTCATGTATATCTTGTGCTACAGCAAATACCAGTTACTTAAGATGTTCAAAGAGTAACAATACAATTAATGTTATTCAATGTTAAAATGGATATTTCTTATTAAGTGGTTCATGTGTATTAGCCAAAGATACAAATACTTAAGCAACTAATCTTACATTATAAACTTGTCAAACAATTGCTTCTAATAGTTAATGTGCAACTTGTTTACCAGCTGCTTTAGGAAATAATCCTCCTTAAAATGGAGTATGCTCTTATTGCAATTGTAGTTCAAAATAGAGTGATTGCTAAGCAGATGGTTCAAGTAATCCAGGATAAACTACTGTCACATGTACACCTAAACCAACTTGTTTACCAGGATTTTACCTTGATGGTTCATCTTGTCTTCCATGTGCATCAACTACTAACCTTACTGGAAATTAAAACTGTTGTGGCCTTGGATTGATTTATACACCCGGACCACCTATTACTTGTGTTTAATAATAAAATGCAACTGGAAAAGAATAATTATTAGCATCAAATGCCAATGCTTTCACATGTGATATTGGATATTATTATAACTCTACTGATAAAAAATGTCTCACTTGTATAAATAATTGTGATATTTGTGATGATGGTACAACATGTAAAACATGTTCTCTAAATTACACATTAATCAAAACTAGTAATAATGGTGTATAATGTGTGTTGATCAAGTGTCTCGTAGTTGATTCAACTAAGGGATGTACTTCTTGTTAATATGGATTTTATTTATCAACCATTAATGGTATTGGATATTGCTTATAATGTTTGTCTCCACTTACTAATGTAATACATATGATCTATTTTCTATTAGTCAATTTGCAGACCATATTCAAATTAAGCACCTAATGTGACCGTTGCACCTGCCACTTCAGTAGCAGTTTCATCAAGTCCAGCTTATGTTTGTGCCAATGGATAATATTGGAATAGTTAATACTGTTCTCCATGCAAATCATTACCAACTTCTGGTAAACCTAATGCTAGTGCAAATGGTTATTGTGTATGTTCCACTTACTTAGACTGCACTTCTATAGTTTGTAATTCTGGATATGCTTTAGTTCAAAAGTATAAAATAATATTAATTTATTAGTACATGTCAAGAAATTCCAAAAGGATGTTAAACATATATAATTAGTAATGATGGTACAACTTTAATTTGTACTGCATGTATTGCTTCCTATTCACTTGTATCAAATGTTTGTGTACCAAGTCAAAATTGCCAATAATTCAGTACTACAACTGGTAATTGTGTTTAATGTGCTTCTGGTTTCTACTTGAATTGGTAGTATAACTCCTTTGTTTCATAAGTTTCAACAGATGCAAATCCATATTTCAATAATTTCCCCTCTTAATGTTCAGCTTGCACAATATCTAATTGTATTACATGCACTGGTCCAACAGTCTGTACTACTTGTCAAAATGGATACTTCTGGTAAACATCATAATATCTTCAATAACCATCAAATGGATCATAAGGAAGTTGTTAACCATGTATGTAAGGATGTTAGACTTGCTCAAATAATCAATCATGCTAAACTTGTTTCTCTGGATATTATATGGTCTATCCATATTCAGGAATTAACTATTGTTAACTTTGTTCAACTGTTCCTGCAATATCTAATTGTTTGACTTGTGATACTTCTTAAACTGCCCCACATGCTTAATCATTAATTCCAACATGTAGATCTTGTCCATCTGGATACTACTTATATAGTGGAAAATGTGTTGTATGTACTGGTGGATGTTTAGCTTGTGATGCTGATAATAGTTGCACATAATGTGTTTCTCAAGGATATGCATATGATTAAACAAATAAGAAATGTGTTGCTTGTTCTACAATTACAGGATGTACTTCATGTTCTTATAATGGAACTCAATTAAATTGTTCAGCTTGTTAAGATTTATATTATCGTAACACTACCAATAATATTACAACATGTTCATTATGCAGTGCAGTAGCTGGTAAGAACTATTTAAGATGTGTATCATCAACAAGTCCAACTTAATGTTTAGATAATTTCTATTTGAATGGATCCAGTTGTATGCCTTAAATTTCTAATAATAAATGCTTAACCTATGATAATAACTCAGGTTGTACATCTTGTATTACTGGATACATTATAGTTGGTAATACATGTTAATTATGTACATCAACCAATGCTTAATGTATAAAATGTTAAGTAATTGCTAACACTGGATCAAGTTAATCTGCTTCTTTACAATGTGCTGCCTGTTAAACTGGATATTATTTAACAACATCATATGGATGTACAGCATGTCCAAATGTCAAAGGATGTGAAGTTTGTAATTCTGCTGGATGTTAAACTTGTTCTTCTGGTTTTTATCCTACTGCAGTTACTACAGATACCAATAATTCAACTGGTACATCAACATCTAATAATACTGTCACTTGTAACAATTGTGTTTCCAACTGTTAAATTTGTTAATAAGCTAATGTAATACAATTAACTTATTTTTAGTCTTGTACCAAATGTGCTGATGGTTACTTCCTTGTTACTACCACTTCCTCTGGAACTAATTCAGTCACTACTAGTAGTTGCTTTGCTTGTCAACCAGAATGTTAAACTTGTGTTGCACCAGGCACTACTTGCACATCCTGTATAGCTGGCTACGTGTTCTAGAATGGAGGTTGTGTTACTTTAGCATAAGCTAATTGTTACTCTGTTGGAACAAATGGTTGTGCTATTTGTAAATATGGCTATTATTTAAATAATGGAGTTTGTTATTAATGTCTCAACCCATAAGCAGATGTATTAATTATTAATATTATCTTAGTTTCTATGTACAAATCCAGTAGACAACCTTTTCACATCAGCAACACCATAATAATAATGAAAAATTAAAATCATATTAAAATAATTATATTTTATTTCCAATATAGATATAGATTATATCTCATGATCTATCCTCAAAGATCACACGTGAAGGCTTTGGATTTTATATCCAATTATGTCTATAAAAAGTTGGTCTTTATTTTCCTGCAATTGAACTAAAATTCTATCTTTTTCATCATTACCTTTCTGCAAATATATACCAAATGGCTGCAGCTGTTAAAATATTCAATTTTCCTACTCTATTAGTCCAATACCATCCTCTCTATGCATAATAAACAACAGCGCTGTTTTAAAATCGTGCAATTAAACTTGTATTCATTATAATTATTATATTAATAATAATAATATTTATTTATATTCCTCATACTAATTTTTATTTTTTCAAATCTCATTTTTTGTTTATTTTTTAATAACATTTTCATTATCCAATAAATATCTCTATTACTAAGGAGTGAAAATGTAAACACTATCTAAGTATTTCACTATTTCAAAGAAAGTCTAAAATATTATTTTTCGAGTTTTTAATTAAAAAAATTGATAAATCTATTTTTAGTATATATGATCATTAAACATATAAAAATTTAATTTTAGTGCCAAATATCCAGCCTTTCTATAAATTGAATAATATAATGGATAAAAATAATAAGAGAGATCTCTAGTTTTTTTAATTTCAATTAATCAATAATATATGAAGATTAAATTACCGCCTTTTCTTAATACATTTATTTTATACAGTTAATAAAAATCAGATTCAGCTGTGTCTTAATTCTCTACCTATTCAGATGAATTTTTTTCAATTATTATCATTTATCCATAATAATATAGATGTATTGACAATTAATGTCAGATAGAATCAATCAATATTTGATTAGTGAAAATGCCAAAAAAACATATATCAGAAGTTCCAATAGATTAAATTCATTATAATCCTAAGGTATAATATATAAGTAAAATATTCATAAGAAAAGAATATACAAATCAGCTATCCTTTTTGAAATATTAAAATCAACTATTAAAATATGTGGTTGTCCTTTAAGAGAATTAGAAGAGATACTTAAATTTATATTGTATAGGTCATTCTTAATTGTTTTATAAACACTTTTTGTTTCTATTAATGTGTTTAAAATGATATTTTTTAAAAACCTAGTATTACTGATCAGAATAATGAATTGAGAAATTTAAATATGCATTAAACTCAACCTATATGAATGATTAAATGAATTTTGAACAAAGGAAATAGTGAAGACTATGTTATAAGATATTTATTAGAACAATATATTTGTTTAGGTATATGATAAAAATAGGAAAAATCATGAGTCTTTTTCATTTATTAGATTTTTTGATAATCTTTTTGGCTAAGGCATACTTGAATCTTAATAGATTTAGCTAATTGATTGTATCAGGCTTAAATTCAAAAACCAAAATTTTTTATGTCTACAATATATTAAAAGGTTGATTAATTAGGACAGTTCGTGGTTCTTCAATATTTTGAACATCCTCTTCGTTTTTATTCTAATTTTTTTGTTACTCTTAGTCTTTTTTCATAAATGAAATTTAATGAAAATGGCAAGCTTAAATAAATTATTAAAATTAATAATATAATTATTATGATAATATCAGAAACTTATAAATTTGAATGACGATAGTATTTAATTAATGATAGAAATTAATACATATATTTTTAATACCAAAAAAAGTGAAACTTCTTTGAAGAATTGAATATTAAGTATGTCTTTAATATGGTATAATTAAATATAATCTATTCGAAATAGATACACTTAATATTATCTAAATAAATCTTAGTAGAATAAAAATGTATTTATTATATGAAATTCTTTGAAAAACATACATAAACTATATTATTTGTTTATTTTAATATGAATTTGTTGAACTTATATGAATATGATTAAGAGTATTCTCCTTAAAAATTTGATGCTTGATATATAATTAATGAATATTTAACAATTTCATTTATTTTTAATATAAATATTCTTATAAGATTTCCAAGATGACTGGAAGTAGGAATATTTATTTATTTTAATTTTTAGTGGTTGATTATTAATTATAAATGATAATTATAATTATTATTATTTAAAATAACACAACTAGTTACAAAACAGATATGAAATGAATATTATATCATTATGCGGCAGGTTCTTAACTTTTGACTAGTTTGAAGAGTTTAGATACTTCACCAACTTTGGAGAATTCAATACAAAATGCTTATAACTAAATTTTATTAATTCTTACATCAGTCAGAATATCTTTAGTGATGAATGCTTTTTATTTAAGCATTTACTAGATAAAAACGGAAACAAACCTAACTAATTTATTCTGTTATTATTTTTCCTATCATTATAAGATATTTGAATTACTTTGATATTATTGCAAAAGTCTATACAATAATTAATATATTATGTGATATATTCTTATGGTAATTTGAGTTCTCCAAATAATTGAGCAAACAATTCAAGTGTATTTTAAGTGACATCAGTTTAGATGAAGACTTCTAAGAATCTAAAATTGTAAATAAATGAATACTCTTCGAAGCCATCTAAGTTGCATATTTAAATCAATAAAAAATGTGCAATTTCTTTATTCTTTTCAATAATAATAGGTAGTCTTTGACAAGTGAATCCGCAATTTTTAAGTAAATCCTTTTCATTTGAAAGATAATTAAATAATAACTAATTAAATATGAGGATTATATTTACTCTTTATTCATCATCACTGATTTCAGTTGTACAGGTTTTTTGTATGATCTCTTTTACTTGACTCAATTTATCATAATTAATTTCTAGAGTATAATTCCATTAGACATTCATTAAAAGAATATTGTCATTCCATTATGGATCAGATGTTATAATATTGGGGATTGGTCTTAGGTAATCTGTCTGGTATTAAGCAAAATCAATATTAAGAGATTTTATTTTATCCATATGAGTATATGAATTAATAATAAATAATCATGTTGGAATAAATGATTATTGAACAGTCAGATTGGAAAAAGCATTGACTGAGACATTCATAATTGGTAAGAAATTCCAACCTTCCAGATTGATTTTATGAGGTAATTGTGATTCTTGAATATTAATAGGGATTTGGCAAACTACTGGGACTGACAACCAAGTTAAGAAGGCATCCTAATAATATATTTAGATTATTTAAATACAGCAATAGCTTCCATTTATAAAAAGTATTAATTTCTAATAACACTAGTTTTTATAGTAGCTCTAAGATTTTTAGGGATTTCTAGAGATGCATTTTGTCTTTCTAATTTTTAACCAGAATTGACACCACCTAAATTTTATTGAAATACTTTGATATTTTCTATAATTCTTTCTATTTCATCATCATCTATAAATGTAATTTTATTTATCAATCTAGCTTCTACTCTACTAATTGATCTTTATGAACGAGTATTATCTAATGTGTATTCTACTTGTATTTATTCACCAGGAATGAAATTGTTTTTGTTTAATTTTAAAGAGAGTTCTACTGTTCCTCGATTTAAACATAAATATTAAACAATATTGCCTTCACATTACCTAAATTATTCACCTTCTGAAGTTACTCTTCCATTAATAAAGACATCAGCACTTTCCATCATCAAAGTACTAGCTTCATCAGGTAAATCAACTCTTAATGTCACCTTATATCCACATTTTGCTTATTTCAATCCTAATTCAAATTGAATAATTTACCATCTTCACTTTTATATGAAAAGCTTGAAGACATATTATATTAGGTTGGAATGCTAAATTAAAACTTATAATCTCCTGGTTTCACTTATCCAGTATATAATTCTTAAGTATAAACAAAAGATTCATGTGTTCCATAATGTCTAATTACTCTATACATAATTTCACCATTTAACTCATATTTCTTTTGAGTTTGTTTAGGTTATCTTAATGGAGAATCTAAAGTAACTTAAATCCTTTGAGTTTTCTCTACTAGTTTCTCTGGAATCATTTAAGGATTGCTTTGATCATAAGGTATCTTAAGTTTCAAAAATTATACAATTACCTATCTTTTTTCAATGATCTTGGAATACATTTTAGTTTAAAAAGTCAAAACAATTTAAGCCTTAGGTATTTCTTCCGTTATTCTTAAGTAACATTCTCCTCGAATTTGATCACCTGCTAAAGTAACGGGATCATAAAACTTAAATAAAACATTCCTATTCATTAAACTAATTAAAGATTTAATTTAATCATTAATAATAATCACAAATCTCTTTAAACAATTCTTAAGCTAAAAAGCTTATCCTATCATCCTTAGAATAATAATTTAAATTATCAAGTTTTGAATCTACATTCTTTTTTTTTATAAGTAATGTAGAAATAAGAAATTCATATTCAGTTTATTTAAATTATCTCCATACTATATTTTCAATGCTAACTTAATTAATATATCTATTACTTTTCTCAAACAACAAAACTATTTTATGGTCAGTATTATCTAAATCTGATATATCATAATCCAATTTATTAATAATTATCACTTTGAACAAATAACTAAAAAATTTTTGAATACTTAATAAAATTGCCCTTCTTCTATAATATCATTTTCTATAAGATCAAAAACAATTTTAAGTAATTTTTAATTTGAAATTATTAAATATACATTTATATTACAAGATGACATCAAATTATTAAATATCATACTTCCATAAAATCTATAATTTGTATTTTAATTATGCTTTAATAATTTATAAAGTGCACCCATAATTCCTAAATTCAAAAATTTATCACTTACATCCAATTCTGATGTATATGATAAATTAACTAAATTAAATAGAGATTATTTTGAGATAATTTTTATCCTTATTGTAAATTAAAATCATGATATACTAAAAATAATTGTCTTTATTCTCAATCAACTTAGAGGCTATTCTTATAAAAGAAATGACTTAATTATCATAATCAGTAATCTTTGTAATACTTGCCAAAATTCTTATTCATTATTATTATTGATTTAAAGAGATTTTAAAACTTTTTTACTATATCATATATGGATATTTTGGTAAATGCAATTTTCTACTATTTAATTTAAATCTCTTATCCCTATTAAGAAATATACATTCTATTCCAATAAACACTAATCATAATATATATAAGATTTGTAAATCTCATAAATTTAATCGAAATATTAATTTACATAAAGTCTTAGCTTTTTCTAATTACTAATTATTTAAAGCAATTTGATAATTATGATAGAAATTAGAATCTAAATAATTTGATTAAAGTTTTTATAATTCTCAAATATCCTGCCCATTCACAAAATAGAAATGGATTATTTATAACTGTCTATTGAATATCATCTAAAATTGATATCATTGTTTAATGTTCTTCATTGTTCATTCATTAAATCCCATCAATTATTATTAATGTTTTACTTAGGCTGTAAATAATCTCTTCAATTTAAATGTTTATTCTTAAGTTCTCAATTCTTAATGAAAGTTCTCTCTATAAATCTATTTGAACTCATCCACATGGATGTAAAATATTAAAAATTCTAATTTAGAAGGTTCTATTATTTTCAATTAAAATTAAATGTATGCTCCTAAATATTTGATTTCTAATTATTATCCATTATATGATTAAAAGATAAAAATCTAAATAAAGTATCTCTCTAGAAGAATAAATTGATGAAGATAAAAGAAAGGAAGATATTATCTAAAAATTACTATAAACAAGTACTAATTTACAATAAAAATAATTACCAATAATAAAATTCGATTTGAATGAAAATGAGCTATAAACAAATGATATTATTTATCATCAAAATAAATAATCTTATCCAGAATATATAACACCTCAAATTGTATAAAACAATCTTGAAATGGTTAAAGAAAATCTAAAAATAGTAATTCATGAAAAATTTGAAGAATCTAAATGTCTTAATTGGTTATAATTGATTATTGAATTCATCAAAGTTATGGCTTATTGTAATGTGTTAATATCAGATGGATGCTCAAATCAAAAGACTCTATGGTTTTTTCTAATGTTTATTCATGATGTAATCTTGAACTTTAAATTTATAAGATTGCCTAAATTGCAATTATAATTAAAATTGTTAACACAATACCTGCTCAATTTAATAGTAAATTGAGGACAGAGAGATTAACTAAGATTAAGAGGGAATCCAAATATCCCATGGCTGGTAGATACTCTTATTATGGATAATTGATGTCCGATATAGATAAAATTGAAAGTCAAATGTACTATTAAAATGATTAATCATAAACTTCAAGATCCATAAAATATCATTCATTAGAAAAATATAATTAAATGTAGCAAAAATTATCTTATATTTATAGTTTTTATCTTATTTTGGTGATTTGGGGAATTTTACAATTAGGTTAAATTTGTTAATCAGATATTGTACTATACACTTTTTAAGGTTTCATTATGTTAGGTATTATTACTTTAATCTTAAAATTTATATATTTTCTATCCTTTAAATTTTGTATTGGAGTTGTTATAGCAAATTATCTTATGATTGCTAAAAAAAATATTGAAAACAATGTAATATATTAAATTATTTAAATTTAGGAAATTATTTAGAATTTAATAAAATAAACAAAAAGTAATTATGAATTTGAAATTTGTTATTTATGCTCAATATAGATTAAATAATTAACCTAATTTATTGATTTACCTTGTAATTAATTGTAAATTTATTGATTTTAATATTGTTTAGACATAGATTTCATGATAAATGCATATCAAAATGGTTATAATCACATTTATGTTGTCCTGTTTGTCTTGAACCAATTGATTTGATGACTTTGTAAATGAAAGTACTGGCTTGAGTTATTTTGAAAAAATAAGTATAGAGAAAATTGTATAAGTTAATTGAAAAACTTTTTAATTTCATTTATTTTATTATATTAATTTATTTTAATATTTTTTTTATTTATTTTTCACATTTGATCACCTCCCATTGATGCCATTAACATATACATAGCTTCTTCCAATTAAGCCATAGCTTATTGCATTTGAACATCAGCAAAATAGGCTTAAATATATAAAATATCTTTTACCTTAATTCTACAAAATTTTCATCATATCTTCCTCTTCAATTTAAAATTTCTCATAAACTAAGTCCCCTAAAATAGTATTAATTGCTAATGGTATTAATTGTTATGTTTCTTGATTTACCTGAATACATATATATAAGATATTACAGATAAGTTTTAAATAATTTGTTTTAATTCTTATGGCTATTGCTTTAATACTTGAATTTAGAAATTAATAATCTTTTTTAACATATCAAAAGTAATTTCTTTGGTTGATGGAAGTGAATCTTTTATTTTTTATCTAATTGATGCTTATATCATGAAAAATTATTAATAGAATCCTCTTTCCATTAATGACATCACACTATCTTAAAATTCAGTTTCTTTGATTTGTAAAAAGTCACAAATCTCCATTTACTTTTTCTCCAATAAATTTTCAACCTATTCATTATAATCTAAGACCATTTATTGATATTAAGCATTTTCAGACTTTCTAATAGCTCTTCTCTCTAAAATATATTAATTTGATAGCTATTACTTTTTCTATTTTCTATAGTTATTTAACTGTATTCATCTTTTGCTAAATCTAATGATTTTTCTAGTATTTGTGTAATTGTTGATATTTAAATCAATTATCCTTATCTTTCAACCTATATTGATTTAACAACTTATTAGAATAGTTAATCATAGCCTTAATTCGTACTTACTTTAGGTTAATATGAGTTTTGACTGATTTGTTTAGCATATTCTCTAGGTGATTCAGCTTTGGTATGGACTTATTCTTCAGTAGGTTTAGATTTTCTAAATGAATGTAAAAAAAATACAAAATTAATGTTACTCCTACTAATGCTGCTAATCCTAAACCACCAAATACCATAACTTTTCCTTATTTTTTGGATAATGTAGAACCCATAATTAAAATAATTTAATACTAAATTTATTTATTTTCAATAATTAATTCTCACCTTTTCTTCTTATCTGAACCAATGGTTATTTATTATTATGTTTATGATATTTCAATTTTCTCTATCTTTACAACTAAATCATTTAATATTTGCATAATGGTTTATTATTTCTCTAATATATGTTATTTCTAATATAAATACAATTGAAATTTCTTTAATAAGATTTTAGTTGTTCCTCCAATTCTAATTTTAATACTTCTTAATCCTTTTTAATACTACTTTCCAACTCTTTCTTTCACTAATATTAAATAAAATACTCTCATTGCTTGGTACTTCTAATCTCATCTATTTTAATTAAGCTCTATAATATAGAATAAAAAACATATTACTGATGCTCCAATAACATATTTATTTAAACATCATGCTTATTCAAAGTCCTTTAAACTTGATCTTCTACTTTCTCTTTATCTACTGCAGAATATGTTCTCTAATGAGTTGATCGTATGGTTTCCCTTAATTTTAAAATCTCATTCTCTACTTACTTTTTCATCTATTATAATTGTATTTATTGAATTTACATTAGAAATGAAACGCTCTGTTAATTTAGTAATCAATTCCACAATTAATTTTTGAACTTAATCAATCAATTATTCTCTTTCTAAAACGTTCTAAATCTATTCAACCATTTATGATTATTTATCTCTTTTTCCTAAATACTAGAATTTTCTATAATTTTATACAGAATCCACTGCTACTTGTACTTTCTTTTAAAATTCCCTTTCTTCGTTCATAAATTAATATTATAATATTTTTATATTAAAAGATGGGAGCCTGTTCTGGCAAATAACCACAGAAAAAATAGGTTTCTCAACCTAAATAGATTGTGTAAGTTCAATCCTCAAAGTAAAATTTTCTTGCCATTTGGAATGATCTCAATTCATGTCTTAATCTTGTTGACAAAAATGTAGATAATGAAAAATCTATTGCCAAACTCAAAACTCTTTTTCAAACTAAAGGAACTATTGAAGAAATGATTGTAAATTAAAGTAAAAGAGGAGGCAGAAATGTCAATTAAGATCCTTTATAAGACACTGCTTTCTAATATAATCTTTATTTATAAGTAGACAAAATAAATAGAATTCTTTCTGATTATCTTCTTATTGATAGAGCATTCGAAGATAAAAATAGTCAACTCTTTGATAAATTACAATAAAGTGTTGACAATATCGAATAATATCGATAATCAATTAAGACAAAGCAAGGAATCTGGAAATAAAATCAAAGTACAAATTTTAGTAATACAAATGTATATTGAACAACAAGGTATTTAATTAATTGATGATTACAAATTTAGATTGTATTATATTACTTAACAATATATTAAAATTAGAGTAAATCAATAATCTTTGATAATAGTAATAATATATCAAATATATCTTAAAAAGATAAATTGTATGTATATTTCAATAAACTATTTAATTTTATTATTTCTTCCAGATGAGAAATTCTTCTTAGAAAATACCCAATTTATAAATCTAATTTATTGATAATTTATATTTAATTTTTAATAATTGTGGATTTTATATTAATATTTTGAATTTGATTGATTACCAAATTTTTATATTAAGTAATTCTATACTAAAATATCTAAGATAAGAGATATAGCATAGATAAATTATGTATTTCGAATTAATTATGTTAAAAATGACAAGTATTAATTATTAATTAAACAGTATGAATGCAAAAATAGTTATTCCTTTTTCTTCTATATTTTAATTAAAATTTTTAATCTAATCAATGTTATAACACCGTGCTTTTGAAAGTAAGTTTTAAAAGTTTTATGTGATTCGAATCATTTAAATTTGTGAATCCAAAACTTTGAAAGTTGGATTCAAAGAAATACGAGCATATTCTAATAAGCAATCTACAATAACTAAATATAGAAATAGAAAATCTATGGAATAGGTATATTAAGGGGAAACCTACATATCTACAAAACAATATTTGCAAATTCTGACCTAATTTCCAAAACTAACATAAAATATTAAATTGTCTGAACATTTTAAAAAAAAGTTAGGATCAAATCCTTAAATATAAGCTACTGTTAAAGAAACAGTATGTCTTATAATGGAAAAGCAAAGACAGTAAGAATAAGAAATAAGGACTAAACAAGTAATATAAAATTTTTTAAATCATCGATCTATTAGAGGTGTAGAGTAATAAGTGAATAAAAATGCTTCAGCAATAATAATCAAATAATCAAACTTTGATATTAAATTATCAATCAAAATATTTTTGATAACTCTCTTTGTTTTTATTTTCTTATATTAAGCCAGTGGATGTGAAAGTTTTTTACTTTGAAAGATATAAAAATAATTTATAATTAAAATTAATCATTTATTCCAAAAAATTTTAAGATTAATGTTCTATACATTTATACTGTAACATTTATTTCAATAAATACTTATTAATAATAATTTATTTTATTAAAGATATGGAATCAGTATATATATTAAATACATATTTAAATAAGTCAATCTAAAAAAGATAAATCACATATATTAATGTTTGCTAAAGGAAAATCTGCTTATATTTTGTCATTTATTTCTTATTATTAATCTAAATTAATATTTTGAATTTAATTTGTTATATCTTTGAATACTTCTTATTCTTGTGAATCTGAGATTTCCTATAATTATGAATTATCATCTTATAATTCCTCATTATCTAGATTTTAGATATTTGAGGGATCTTCAACAACTTTCTCTAAAAATGTGTTTTAATTATCAAATTCATTTGGAATACAAGATTAGGTTTTATGAATTTTAACTAATACTACAAATTTATTTAAATCAGATGGATAATCATGTTCTGGTTCTAATTTGTCTGATTAATCAAATATATAACATTTTTGGCTATCTTTATATGTAAGTAAATCTTTGAGTTCTTCAGTAGTAAATTAATTTTATAATGATTTTTCATCAACAATATTTGAAGATAAATTTTCTTTAGTTAATTGTCTTTACATAATTTTCTCTTCATAAGTTCCACATGTTATTAATCTATAGATATGAACTTATTTAGATTAACCATCTCTCCATATTCTACCCATAACTTAAGAATCATTTGCTGGATTCCAATCAACTTCAATACAAATCATTTTATTTGCTCCAACTAAATTTAATCCAGTACCTCCAGATTTTCCATTTAATAAAAATACTGTAATATCTTTATCTTTATTAAATTCATCAACTAAAGTAAGTCTTTGTTTTTAAACTACTTTTCCATCTAATCTCAAGAATTTAAGATTCCATTAGATGAGATTGTGTTCAATTTAATCTAAAGTTTATCGATAATAACTATTGATTATTATTTTCTCATTTTATTCTTTACATTAATCAACAATAATTTTTAAACAATTAAATTTAACTGACTAATAATCTTGAACCACTAATTTTTCTGCAACTTAACTTTCATCATCTTCAATAAGTTTAGGATGTGTAGTGACTTTTCTCAATAAATTTAATTACATCATAACTGAATTAGGACACAATTATAAACTTCTCTTATATAATACTTATTATTAAGGAGTCATAGTGCAAAACATTAAATATTCAAATTTACTAGGTAAAAACTATTATTATTATTAAATAATAAAAATTTACTTTGCTCAAAATTTCAGGTTTTCTTCTTAATATAAATTAACTAGTTAAAGAACTTAATTCTTAAGATCTTAATTTACCTAATTCAATACTTTCAGCACTAGATCCTTTTTCTATTGACATTTCTATTGGATCTTAAAAAACTAATTTAAATGTCTTATAAGATTAAAATATTCCTGGATTAACAAAATCACAACATGCATAAAATTCTTTCATGTTATTTTAGATTGGAGTTCCACTTAAAACTATTCTTCTTTTGCATTTTAATTAATTCATAGTTTGAACAGTTTTTATATTACTATTTTTTAATCGATGTCCTTCATCACAAATTAATAAATCGATAACTTTATCAATTTCATTACAAATATTTCTAAATGTTTCATAAGATGTCAATAAAAGATTATATGGAGAATAAAGAAAATATTTTACTTACTTATTAACTTCATCTTTAGTACCAATAGCAGTTAATGGTTATAATCTCATTGGACCCAACCATTTTTTTATTTCTTTCTCCCAATTTCCAATCAATGAAACTGGACATGTAATAACTATTTTTTATATTTCATGTGATTATATCAATATCCACATTAAAGTAATTGCTTATAATGTTTTACCCAATCCCATACTATCTGCTAATATACATCCTCTAATAGATTTTCCTTTTTTGCCTGTTACACACTCTAACATAAATCTAACTCCTTCAATCTAATGAACTCTCAATTATTTATATAGAAATTAATCTATATCAAAACCTTCTAAAATTGTAAATTTAGGTTCAACATCTTATTATTATTTTGATTTAAAGATTTTCTTAGGCTTAACTATAATTTTTTATTCTGGTTCTGGTTATGCCATAAATATTTTACCAGATTTAAATTCATCTATAGAAATTTAATTCATGAGTTCAACTATTTTTTTTATTACTTATATATTAAATACCATAATATTAACCCATATAATATTGTGAGATATTATCATAAATTTGATCACTTCCTGTAAATAATTATTTAGATTCCATATCAAATAATCTCATTCTTTAATTCTCTATCACCAAAACACCATCAAACATTTACTTTTTCTTCTTTCTTATGTCTCTTGAATATACAACCTAATATGCAGTTGAAGCTCTCTATTCTTCAATTACAGGTTTCTCTATTGAACTAACTTATTTTTTAGGTTATTTGAATGGCGGCATGAAAAAATTTAAAATTATAATAATAGCTTCATTCACTTCAAGCTGGTTTTTTTCTTTCCAATTTCTATTTATCTCTCTCCATCTCTAATTATGAACTTATTCTTATTGCTCTCAATCCCTAAAAATAGTAATGTCCAAGTATGCACAATAAAGCACCCAAAGCACTTACTATTCCAAATACCATTGCAAATATAACAACTGGAAGATAAGAATCAACCTAATCGGAATCTGTCAAAATCTGGCTTTTCTTTGGAGATGCTGTAAATATTATTATCAATATTATTGGAATTAACATCGTTAAAAGACAAACTAATCTTTTAATTGCCGTATTGTTTACTCTGGAGATCTTGTAGACCTTCCGAAAAAGAATGTGATAAGTAGGGCTAATACAAACCCTGCTAATATTGCTATAGTACCATAACCTAAACCTAAGGCTGTAGCCATTTAATTTATTATTAATTAAAATACATTCACACTTATTTAATATTATTTATTAATAATACAATATAAATAATTATATTTCTCTTTTATTTACCAATTAAATCTATGCAACTCTCACAAAATTCTAAACAAGATTACCTAAATATCTATGCCAACAAACTCTTAGCAAAAGCATCCAATATTCATATGAAACCTATTGAAATTAACCCTCCACCTAGAAGAAAGAGTATGATTGATTCATATGTACATTCCTTAAATAATGACACAGAACAATGGAGTGATAGTATTAAAAAATCAATAAATGAAAAAAATAGATCATGCAGTAATTTGCATGATTATTAAGATGAATTAAATGGATCACTCTAATAATTACAATCTTCATAATTTACTATATTGAATTAGAATTCTAAACTTATTATGCTTAAGATTGAAAAGAAACTTAAAAACTTTAAATATGCTAAAGAGAATAATCATAACATTTGTACATCTACAGTAGCTAAAATTAAATGTTTTTGTTTAGATAACTAATGCTTTGATTTCTATCGTTGTACAGATCTCTTATTACTTAAATATCTAATTTATGTACTACTTCAAGAAATCAATTCATATAATGAAAACACATAATCTTAATAAGATTAAATATTACCTTCTCAAAAAAGTGAAATCAAGGACACAATTACAGCTATGCAAAATACTATAGATGTTTTAAAAAACTAGAAACTTTTTGATAAGAATAATGGTAATCCTATTGAAGATCTAGGAAGATATATTAAAAAGATGCAAAATGTTATTGGAGTATAAAATACATCTTCCCCTAATTATGATTTATTTACAACACCTTAATCGAATATGAAGAAAAGAGAATTTGTCTTTTAACCATCAAGTGCTACATAAAAAAGAGAATATAATTAAAATACACCATCTTAAAAGATTATTTAATTTTAAATTGATGAATTATAAATGAAAAATGAAGCCATTACAAAATTAACATCTAAAATTAATGATTTAGAATTAGAAATAAAAATGATCAATAATTAACTAACAGAAACTTAAATGAATTTATAGATTTCACAAAAATCATTATCAAATAAAGATACAGAAGTAAATAAATTCAAAATCAATATAGCTTAAGGATCTAATTAAGAAAACCGAAAAGTTATTAGAAACAACTAGTTTAGCTGTTAAAGAAAAAGATTAACTCTAAGATTATTATAAATCTATAAGAAATGATCATGAATAATTAAAAACATAGTTTGATGATTTGTATATTATAACATTTAATTTAGATAAAAGTCCAATCAAAGTATATTAAATGAATGTACAATCTTAAAAAAATCATTAAATGACTCAGTTGAATAATCCTAATAAAAAATTAAAAAAGATGATTAAAAATTATAACAAGATTTGCTTCAAAAAAATAAATTGATAGTAATTATTTATTCAATATAAATAGAGATAATTATCTGAAGATGGCAAAATTTTAGGTTAATACTTAAAAGATATATCTTCTCAAATTTAATAAGTTCCTTCTGATTAAATCCCTTAAAATCTATAAATGTTGTAGAGGGAATTATAATTTAAAGAAAGTTTCATCAATTCTAAATTAAATAATATGCATCTTGCTTAAATTGATTTAGTAAAATCAAATAATGTTAATAAAAAATCAAGAAAATTAATGAGTTCTCACAATTAACTAATAGATTAAATGTAGACATTCTAAGTAAACTCTGATCTAATGGCAATGATAATAGTATAGAGTGATGTTATTGAGAAATTTTTGAATTGAATATTTGTACAAATCTAATCTAATCATATCAACTTATAAATTGCATCTTTAATAATATTATAATACTACTTTTACTATATAGTAGTAATTCTATAGTGTTAAAAATACAATATAAATAATTAATTTATTTTTCATTCAATTTTAATACTAATTGAATATTAAAGTTATCAAAATTGATTTCAATTAATTGTTATTGAAAAAAAGATTATTATTTTGAAATTATAAACAATATTAATCTTATTTAGAAAGATATTTTGTTTTAATATTTACTAGTTTGATATATGACAATAAGTTCTTATTTAGTCTCTATACTTTTATTATCAATCAATTATCAACAATTTATGTTATAAAATGCTCTATAAAATAATAAAATTTAATAGTTTATATTGAATTTATACATAAAATACCTAAAATTAATTATGTTGTTAAGTCTTAAATATTAAGTATATTTTAATAATAAAGAACACCTTAAATTTTTATATTTTGTATTAAAATAGTCATATACAATTAGATAACTTTTAATACATCTAATATAATAATTGAACTTAGCATAATTTACCAATTAAGCAAAAATACTGTTAGATTTAAGTATGAATATATATTTCTCGAAAGAAAATATTAATTTATTTAAAGTCAAAGCATTCTAATTATCTTAATTCAATATTTATTATAAAGAAAAGATAATACATTATTAAAAAATTGAATTTTAATTAACATATTGAAAATTCATATTTTTGTCTAACATTTAGTTATATTCAAATAAATCAAGTTTAATACAAGGAAAATATATTTATTATTCAATAATAAAGAATTTAATATATATAATTATTACTAATTCTCCATTAATAAGTTCCTAATATAAAAAATTTAAATTAATAAACTTTCGAATAAATTATTTCAATTTAGAGAAGGTATGTGAAAAAAATTTTAATTTTTTTTTAATATAATCTGCATATGTATTTAATTATATAATACTTACAAATTCCTCTGACAAAGTTATTATGCTTTATTAATCAATATATTATTGATGGTAAGTTAAAATCATTATTATATCGTTAACATTGATATATCCAATTATTCATGCTAGAAATTATAAAATATGAATGAATATATGATGTTGCACAGTCTTACCATAGTAGCAATAAAATAATTATAGATACCATCTTGTAAAATAATTAATTTTAGAAGTTCATATACAATAATAAAATCATATGAATTTCCTTAAGTAACATTGTCTACAACAATATACTTAATGTTATCCTTTTTTTGTTCCACATTCTCCTTTTATTTCACTAGATTAGAAAAGAAGACCTTTCTGAACATAAAAATTAGTAAAGCAGCCATTCTATGAACATTCAAAATGTGGATTTTTAACCTCCATTCTTGCTTAATGATGATGAATTTTTGTCAGAGTCGCAAATAAAGTTACTGATTATTGCATAAAATATATTTTTTTTATTGAATTGGTTTAGTTGTAAATAAAATTTACATGTTGACTAGCATTAAAATTCATTTTTACTATTTTAAGTATCTAAGTTAGCTTTGATATCTAAGTTAAAATCTAAATTATAAAAAAACAAAATCAAAGAAATCCATTTTTTTGAAGATAATCTTAATTTTTTTGATTTCTAAAATTCAAATTCCATATGGAAAGAAATAATGGAAAATAAAATAAAATAAAATAAAAGATATTATATCATCCGCATATTCATCATTCACTATTATAATTAAAGCTGCCATACTCTTTTGATAATTAAATATTTATATTAATATAATATTTTAGTATAAGTTTAAAAACAATTAATAATATTAAATTAATAAAGAAATTTTTAATATTAATTTATAAATAGGAATTTCATTTTATACATAGCTAAACTATTATTTATAAACAATAGCTCATAATTAATGCACAATAATTATATTTTAGGATTTTTAATAACATTATATGAATATATTTATACATTATTTGAATTATTATATATCAATATTTTAATAATATTTAATTTATATTTATTTTTGAATGAATTCAAGTTAAACCTAAAATCAAAAAGATCTAATAACAATTTTCATTCAAAATGTAATTATGCTTATCAGATATTGAAATATATCTAAAAATTTTAATAGCATATTCTAAATATTATATTTAATTACATTTGTATAATAATATCCAATAACTTACTTGTTTAAGTATCTAATTATTATTATAAAAGTTTATTTAATTTAATAACAGTTATGTAATTTGATTACTATGAGTGAAGTACAAGTCAAATATCATGACATTTAATTTTACTGAATATATTATTTTTTGATAATCCATTACATTTAGATTATTAATGTAATTTCTTAATACAATTAAAAATTTATAGCTGATTGAATACTAAGCTTAATACTCATAAGGCAGCATTACTTTTAATATTTTTAATAAAAATAAATAATTAATCTACATGGGTTGTTCTTAAAGCTTAACAGCAGATGATAATCAATCTGTGATCCTTATTAAACCAAAAACCCTGAAATTCAAGTCTCATAATTCTAATATGGAATCTATTTTAAAGAAACAATATACTGACGGAAGTGGACAAGCCTTTTATATTGTCCCAACTGAAAGAGCTTCTTTCTCAAAAGTTCCAGTTTTGAAAGGTCCTGATACCAATTAGCTTGTTTTGAGAAGACGATAATCGAAATTATCTAGTAGTCCTTCAAATATAGAGAAAGCATAGACTTTGCCAATATATTTTTGAGAATAATTGATAATAAATGAATATATGTTGTCTATATTTTAATACAATTGCAAAATAAATTATAAACAATTCACAAAGGAGAATCCCAAGGTCCAAAAGAGTTACTTTTATTCAATACATTAATGGGTGATTTAAAATTTAATCTAATTTTCTTAGTGACAGCATCAGGTTAAATTTTAGGCATGTCAGTGATAAATCTTTTATGAATGCTTGTTTGAATCTAAACAACTTTTGAGACTCTACTTTATAATTCTTTCTTTTTTGATTTAATTACGTCATGTACTGAAATTAATCTTAAAATTGTTCCTTATTCATCTGAAGGAGGGTTCTATGGTTTTGGAGTTAAAGTGTTTTGAGATTTATAATACAACTTCAATCTTTAATAAAACGTCATTTAATGCATTGCTTTTTAAGGGGGAGATTAACTTATTGGTGAACCAATGAAAAGTTTAGGTTCTAATGGAGGAATTGGAGATTATCGTTATCTTATTAAAGACTTACTTATCCTCAATTTGTTTGTATTCATATTTTATTATAAATTAAAATGCTTAGATAATTTTGTTTGAGATTTAGGTTTTGCTAAGTAATAAATAAGGAGAATATTTAAATATATAATGCCATCTCATAAAAAATTGAATAGTAACCATTTAAAGCATCAATTGTTGATATTTGGAAATTATCATCAATTAACCTTATGGATAATTAACTTTGGGAAAAGACAGAAATTTAATTTTCAAAGTGGTTGAATCATATTGATAATGAAGATTTAACAAAAATGGGATTTCTTATATCTAAACATCATCAATTTTTATCATTAAAGGCAAAATTGCAATTTGAAAACAGAATAAGAAAATTATCAAAAACTTTGACAGATAAACAAATATCTTCACTTATAGAAAAGATATTCCCATTAGCAACAGAAAATACTAAGACTTTATTGATTTAATTGTTTTTAAATTAGTAAAATATGGATAATTTAAATCAAATGAAGTCTCTATTAATTATATTAGAAAATAGTAAAGTTTTACTTCAACCTATAATTGAAAGATTGAAATCAATTTCATCAATTACAGAATTCAACAATTATGATGAAATCATTATTTATTTATAATTATTTTACAGTAATCTAATTCATAATTGGATTGCTTTAATTTCACATAGAGAAGAAACTAAAACAAAATTTAATGAAATAATATATGGAAATAAAAGTAATATATCATAATCCAAAATTGATCCTTAATTAAATTACTTAAACTTAGATGACATTTACAAAGAAATCAATAAATAATCAATTGAAGATACTTTGGAATTTAAAAGATTTTTAGCATTTATTTAATTTATTAGAGCCTGTAAATATAAGAATGTTTCAGTAAAAAATAAGGTTGATATTTCCCAGTTATATTAAAGAATTATTCTTAAACTTACACCTCTTGAGATTATTTAAGTAAACTATGATCTTGTAATATTTTAGATGATAAGCGAATTAGATAAAATTATACCTATTGATATTTAGATTAATTCCTTAAAATAATATGTCAAAACCAATGAACTACAAATGAATAATAATTATTATATAATGTTTTAAACTGCTAATCTTAAATATTTATAAAGTTACCATTCATTTTAACATTAGGTCAAGAACTAAGTGAAATTTTTATTTCCAATATAAAATACACTATTGAAAGTTTCAATATAAATACTCTTTCAGAACTATACTCCTTATTATTGAAAACTGAGAGTACTTTTAAAGAGTTACAATCCATGATTTTAGAAATGAGACAAAAAACTAAAGATATTACCATAAAAACAATTTAAATTAATAATAGTATTAAAATTAATTGTGCTTTATAAATAACAAAATTATATAATCTTTAGAATGAAACTTTATAAGTAATAAGATATTATATAATTAGATTCTTTGGGAGAAAGTTACAATTGAAGATCTTCCATAGGTTTAATAAATTTTAGTAGTGTTGAGATAATATGTCAGTCATAATAAATTAACTGAGGATCAAATGAATCTTATTTAAAGGATCTTGAGAAATAAGTTCTAAATTACATAAAAATGAATAAGAATTATCATATCAAAATATTATACAACATCTTGATTCATTTACAATAAGTGTTTAGGTATTTTGACAGTTTTTTCCTTTTAAATTTAGAAATGGTTTCTTATGTAAAGTAGAGTTACTTTCATTTATTTCTTAATCAGATTCAGAAGACTCACTATAAATTCGAATATTGCTGGAAGTCACTACATTGGGAGATTGTTCATTCGAGATCGGTAAGAAGGAAATCTTGTGATTACCCCCTTTAATAATTTGATTACCAGCTACATCTGTTCTTGTTTATGGAGTTAAATAGGTGTTTCGATTATGTTTTAAAATTGGTTTGAGTTTATTTTAAACTTAAGAGGATTCGTGTAGTTCTATAAATTCTGTTTGTGACATTATTAATTAAATTATGTTCGGATATATTTTAGCATGGCTATGCTAATTCATTGATAAGACAATAACACTTATACGTAAAAGGTTAAGACCGAAAACAAGGTTAGAACTCAGACGTTATCACTAAATTCCTAGAACAAATTCATTTTACACAGGAAAATTAAGATTATTGATAGGATTAGAAGGGACTCTCGTTTGTACAAGTTATACTTCTATTCCAGGATGGGATAAAATTAATATCAAGTATATTTTGTCATAATATTTCATGCAGATATCTTTCAGGAGTGACCCAAGATTTTTATGTTAAACATAGACCATATCTAGATGAATTTTTATTGAGTGTGTCATAAATTTATGATGTGAGCATCTATACAACCCAAATATAAGATTTTGCAATTCCAATAATAAATCGATTTTGCATAAAATTAAAGCATAATTTTTACAGATAAAAGTAAATTTTATTTTTCACATAGTCATGTGTAATATCTCGTAATAAAATCAGAAAAGAAATTAATATGACAACATCTAATCCTCATAATGTAATATTTGTGGATTATGATGAGGATTAATGTTTAGGTATAAATATTATAAATTCATTAAAGCAAATTCTGAAAATGCTTATCCAATAATATAATATAATGGTTAAGATAATGATATTGAATTGTTGAAATTGAAGGATTTCTTAATACAAGCAGAAGCATAGATGAGAGTTCGTAAAGAACATGATCCTGGTGTTACGATTTAGGATATACTTTAAGAAATGACAGCAGAAGATTGAAGGGATGAAATATAAAATATGAATAAAAAAATAATAATATAAAGTTCCTAAGACCTTAATAATAAAAAAATTAGTTATTATTATGTATTTTTAAATATACATATATTTTAATGTTCAAAAGACTTCAATTTTTTTTGATTAATAACTATATATTCAAAAGTGTTGATATAATTTACTGAATTGGATAATATAGACATTTTTGCTATAGTTGATCTAATTATATCTAAATAAATAATATATTTAATATTAATTTTTTATGAAAAGGTTATCTTCCCAAAACAAAACTACTCGTTCATCATAAGTGATTTCAAATGGAATTTACTTTGGATAATTTTAAAATCCATAACCTCTCCTTACTGCTGTCTCAAATACTTAATTAAAACCAACTTAAGATTTAAGAAGGAGAAATTTCATACCTAAAAAGAGATTATAATCACCAAAAATTTTATCACCAAGACAATAAAATACAAAGCCAATAAAAAGTTTTTTCCAAACCAAACCATCTCCTAAAGCATCTTATAAGCCACCAACTATTATTGTAACTCAACCAACAAATAGATCAACAGTAATTCGAATTAGAAGTCCCATCAAGAGAAATTAATAACCTATAATAAGTTAAGAAATGGATAATAAATCAATTGAATTACTTTAAGAGTTAGCTAATAGTTAATTAAATAGAACATCAAGAAAAAAAAGAAGACCATAAACTGCAGGTGGATATACAATACCTTCTTAGCATTTCTCAAATAACATAGAAAACTATTTAATATAAGAATAGATTGGATAAGGTAGTTATGGGATTGTTAAAGTTGGATTAAATTTATTAAATGGATAATAGGTAGCAATAAAGATTTACGAAAGGATAAAAATTATTTCAAAAAAAGAATACATAAGAAAAGAAATTTAAATTTTGTCATCATTATAACATCCAAATATTGTTTAATTGCTTGACGTAATTTACACTGATGTATATCTTTTAATATTCAGACCCAAGTGCAATTAGTTATGGAATATGTTGGTCCATTGTCATTAAGAGCATATCTTAAATAACAACCAAATAAATTGATCCCTGAAACAGAAGCAAAGAATATCTTTCTTTAAGTTGTCAAAGCAATTGATTATTGTCATTCTAAAAACATTGTAATTATTATATATAAGTTTAGATACATCGTGATATTAAGTTAGAAAATATTTTAATCAAAGATAACAAAATTAAATTGATTGATTTTGGTTTTAGTTCATTTATTGAACATAAGACTACTTCCTATTGTGGAACTCCTTCGTAATCACTTTCATAAAATTACTAGATATATGGCCCCAGAGATTATATTAAAAATTGATTATGGAAAACCTGCTGATATATGGTCATTAGGAATATTACTATATGTAATGTTACATGGAAAGTTTCCATTCCAAGGAAAAGAACAAAAAGAACTGTTTTCAAAAATAAAAACAGGCATCTTTTCATCTAATGGGATATCTTAATAGGCCTAGAGATTAATTAATAATATGTTAAGAGTAAGGTCATATGAGAGATGTAATACAAAGGAAGTATAAAAATTATGTCTAAAATTAGATAATAAAAGATTAATGGTTTCAATAATGATTTTATACATATTCGATTCTGTAAGATTATATTTTTTATATTTATTAATAATTTATGACTATATTAAGATATTAACAATTGTATTTAAAAATAATTGGTATAATTTTTAGAATAATTCTATAATGAGTTTTATTTTATTTGTTATTATAAATATGTTAATTTCTTTGATTATTTTTAAGATCATATTATAGCTGTACTTTTTAATTTGTAAACCAAATTTATGAGTTAAATTTATTAAAGTATATTTATCAGTATTCAAAATAATATCATTACTTATATGATTAATATTATTCAATATAAATTTTATATTAGTTACTCTTAAATTTAGTTGGCAAAAGTAGTTTAAATATTGAATTCTATTATTATATATATTAAAAATATTATAAAAATCTAATATATTTAAAATTATTATTGGAATAAATAATTTTCTAAATATTTTAATAATTATACGTCATTCCTTGATTTATAAGCAGTGTGGATAATAAAGAATCTAATAAAATATAATATTTATGTAAATTATGGAGACCATTGTCAAGTACTGTGATAAAAATGATATCAAACTAATAGAATCAGGATGGCTTTTATATTGTCACATATTGGGTGTGATTGGTATCATTTGGAGCTTCTTCTTAGAGTCAGAAATGTTTTATAAATACTACTTAGTAAATGATTTCATTAAAATTTAGGCTTTCTTAATCTGGCATTGTCTTACAGGATTAGGAATTACAGGTGGAGCTCATAGATTATGGGCACATAAATCATATAAAGCATCATGGCCAATTAGAGTTTTCTTAATGTTTATGAATTCAAATTGTTTCTAAGGAAGTATTTGGCACTGGAGTAGAGATCATAGACTTCACCACAAATTTAGTGTATAAACTTTAATATATTTATAGGATACACCATTAGATCCACACAATTCTTAATTAGGATTATTTTTCTCTCATTGTGGATGGTTATTGAAAAAAAAGAGTAAGGAATTAGTTGATGAAGGAATGAAACTTGATTTATCTGATTTGAAATCTGATTCTGTTGTAATGTTTTAAAAGAGACATTATTATAAAATGGCATTCCTATGGGCATTTATCATACCAACTTTGACTGGTTTAATAATAAGTGATAAATGGTTTTTCAGTCTTTTGTTTTTAGGTTTTGGAAAATACATCTTTACATTGAATGCAACATGGTATTGCTTAATATTAATTTAGGTGTGTAAATTCAATCTGTCATTTTTATGGAAGTAGAAAATGGAATCCTAGAATTGAACCAAGAGATAACATTTTTGTCTCATTAATAACTTTAGGTGAAGGATGGCATAACTGGCATCATGAATATCCAAGAGATTGGAGAGCTTCTAAAAATGAATGGTGGATGATTAACCCAACATGCTCATTTATTTAGATGTGTGAATATATTGGATTAGTAAATACAAAAAGAGCAAAACTAGAAGAAAAGGTGAAATATGATTATTGATTTTATTATTCATTTGAAATACAAATCAATTCTTAATTGTTACATTTACAATCACTTACTAATTATTATTCTTTTTCTAATAGTTGGATTATTCATTATTTTGAATACCAAATTTAATATGTTTAAAAATTAAAAAGTATTTAATAACAATAAGCTAAAGAAAAATTATAAGAAATTTCACAATATTATTATAATAATTATTTTTTTATAACAATTTATTCATGCTTCCTAATTAGCAATTAAACAATAATTTATATAAAATCTTTTTGATTTATCTGCCAATGTTGACCAAGATTGATATATAGATTAACAATTCCAAACTTCTTGAATAATCTTAAATATATTCTATTATTTATACTGTAGAAAATTCTAAAAATTGTTTAGTTATAACTTATTTCTTTGAAACACTATTTGATTTTACTATAAAATTTGTTGGTTAATTCAAATTTACTTGTCCTTCCAAAGCTTTGGATATCTTTTTTGAAATATTGTAATTCTCATCTGTTTACTAGAATATTATATATATATATATTGATTACTAATGAAAATCTTAAATCAATATCTTCTAAAGGTGATAAAATTTAATGACCAAAACATTATTTTAATAATTCTGATGTTAATTCATTATAATCTCCCTTCTAAACTTAAAAATGTTTCCAAATATAATTTTTCATATCTTTTAATTTTATCTAATTCTTAATAAATTGTTTAATAAGCATTCTAATAACTATTAGTTCAGATTCATTAAATCTTATATTATTAGAAATCTAAGGTAGAACCTAAAGTCTTTAAGATATTTATTAATTTAAACTCGACTTCAATTTGTCACATCCTCTATCATGAAAATTATATGAAGCCTATAAAACACATAGAATTTATAGATACCCCAAAAACAGAAAAAAAATTATTCATAACAGATTATACTTATTTTTAAGGAGCCATAATTTCTTCCTCAATCTTCTTTTAATATTCTTGCAAAATACATTTTTCTAATTTCCCTGCTACCAATATCAATGCCTCTTCATTTTTTATCTTATATAAATTAGTATAAATTCTACAGTAAAATAATATTTTCTAGATATTCCAGGACCAGATACTTTCCAAGCCAACCAATTTTCTGTTGCAGGAACTCTCCCTAAACATTTAACAAACTATTATGTTAAAATATTTGTAATACTAATATCATTAAACAATCATATAGAGATCTAATTATATATCTTAAATGTCCAAATATTATCATAAATATACTTCCTAAAGGTAGAATGAAAAAACAAACTAACAAATTCATTATTAAATTTAAGATCCCTCTTACTATGAAATCAAAAGTATTTATAAATATAGGAAACCAAGCTGGTGTTGAAAAAATGCTCCATTATTCTCTGTCTGAACAATCAAAATCATAAATCAATAATTAAAATACATAACTAATATTATTTATTAATAATATAATATACCTTAATATTAATACAATTGGTATCCATGCCCAAGCTGTTAAAGCTAAAACTAAAGAGATTACAAAATTAGCAATAATCAATATAGGAATTATAATTAAAACACCAATAATTCCAACAATTAAAAAACGGAAAAAGTAAACTTCAACATAATTACAAATACGAGCACAATTCTTACCAAAAAAACCTGTATCAGGTGAATTTTCAAAGTCTCTTCTTGATCTACTCATGCCTTTGCAAACATTAGCCATATGAACAACTACTGGAGTTACTGAATAATGTGAATGGCTAACAACACCAGTTCTCTCATTAATTTATACATCTGGATAGAAAACACTCAATAATATAATAATATACCTGCATTAAACCAAAGCTCTTATTCCTAAAGGTCCAGAAATTCCATTTGCAAATAACCAAAATGTAACATTAGCAGTCCATGCAAAATATCTAACTATCATAAGATAAAATTTCCATAAGGGAAAGCTTGAATAAACTATATAAGTCCTCTTTCTTTCTAATTTAAATAACTCTCCAATCCTAATAATATTATAAGGAGGAAAACATTGACGAGTTCTAATAAGTATTATCTAAATTATTACACTTCGATTCTAATATTAATTCTTTTAGATTTTCCTTCTGCTTATTCAATTAATTATTGTAATTCTTTTTTAAGTTGAGCCTTTTGTTAAAGATAGTTTAAATATAACTCAACTTCTTTAATATTTTATTTTTTTAAATCCTCAATTAATAAGATTCTATATTTCTCTTTTAATACTGCTTTCATTTACTTTCTATATTCAGATCTTTGTTAAGCAACAAAATGATAAGATTATGAACGTATAGGATGGTCTTTTATTAATTTCTTATCGAATTCATCCAATGATTGTTGTAATTCATTCTAAATATATAAATATATAAGTTTACATCTAATTACTATTAGTAATACTTTTAAGCTCTCTTACATTCATTCAAATCATTAATGTTACTAATTAAAGCCATATCATCACCTAACTTACTTTGCCAAAATTTGAATTGAGCAAGACTGATTGCATTATTTATTTATTCATTAACATCCTATTCTATATTTACTTAAATTCCATATTCTTTTATGTAATCCTTATCTAAAAGTTTAATTTATTCGTTTATATTTTCTAAATATTCTTTCTACTCTTCATGATCATCAAATTTTTAATTATGACCAAATTGCTCTATTAAATAATCAAATTAATTTTAGATTGATAATTTCAAACCTTATTGATGATCCATGAATTCTTATTGTAATTTAATTAATTTAGTCAACTTTTCTTATGCTTAACATCTAGATATTTCACTATTCAAAAAATGCAAATATTCATATATTCTTCTTTTATAAAAATCAGATTATTTCAATTCTATTTATCTTCTAGCCTCTATTTGGTTTTTTAATTAATTTTCATTTATATCTATATAAGTTTCTCGAAATCCTATTAGTAAACTTATATATAATGTTAATTTCTATTTTAAATGTATATCTTACAGAAAAGATATTATAAATTGAACAACGAATAGTGCATTCTCTTCCCTTACTGTCATTCTCATTGTAGATTGAGTTTTTTTCAAATTTATAAATATGATATGCCCTCCCAATATCTTAAAAATAACTTTTTGTAATATTTTATCGACCTTTTAAAATAGAAAAGTTTTCAATTACCTTTGACTATGATTGAGGATATTTACCAAACATATGGGATTTGAAATTGCATCGATTATATTTCAAAGGTGCCTGACTGAAATATTTAAGAAATTTGTATATTGCTTAGATCTTATACTTAATGATATTCGTTCTAATCATTATATTGATTATCAACCTATAATAAATCAGGTCTATGGGGAAATATTTGGCAGTTTCCTACAAAAGAGGATGGAGGAAGCTAAAATGGATAGAAGTAATCATTATTTTAGTGATTAACATCCCAAATTTTAAGATATTATGACAAAGCAATAGCACTTTAATAGGTGGAATCTTGAACATCTTATGGGAGTTATTTAACTTTAGAATCAATCTAAAGTTATAAAGACATTACATTTAAATTAGTTCTTTATCCTTGAAAATCACATGGAATTTGATTAGGTAATTAGTAAAACTCTTTATTCTAATCCAAAGAATATGACAGATTGAAATTCAATTCAAATTAATCTTGTTGATTTTACATATTGAATTTTGATAATAAAATTAATTTAAAATTTATTTAATATAGAAAAATAATAAATAACAATATATAGACATATACCAAAATATATGGATAAAAAGTATCAGATTTTAACATCAAATTGGCTTACAATCCCATTTTTTAATTTCAATACCTATTTACATTATTATTACAATATATAAAATACACATAATCAATAAATGGCATAAATTTATCTATTATTATATAAATAATCAAATATTTAACTTAGAGAAATTCTATAGCAAAACAAAACGAAATTTAATCATAATAAGATTCCTCAATTAAAATATCTTACTGTAAAAATGGATGAAATTATCAATGCAATTAGTAATAGTATACTCAGATTATTTTTATAATTATTATTCAATCTAAAATTGATTTCTTCTATTTCACCCTAAAATAAGTGTGGTTTTAGAGTTGGAACTTCTTCATTTGATATAAAAAATCCTTTTAAAAAGTTGCAGTGATATATCAATTACAAATAGAATTTAAGTAAATGCAGCTAAAATTATATATATATTTTATGATATGATATCTCCAATAAAACCAAAAATGTATAAATTCATATTTAAAGTATCCTTTTCTTTTTAAATCAATTGAATTTTCAGTATTCAGTTTTTACTTTCTTCTAATTTAACTAATTTTTTTAGTATTTATATGGATGTTATATTAGAATTTGAATATTTCTGATTTAATTAATGTATTAATGCTTATTAAATTAAAAATGACTTTTTTATTATAATCTCTTATTAATATCATAAAATTCTTGTTTAGAATATGCAAATTATAAGTTTATATGAATATTGCATTTATGATAGAAATAGATTTCATTAATAATAAATATATAAGATTTATAATAATATAACATTGTTTAATCAAATGAATTGAAATTGATAATTATTGATTGATGATTAAAATAATTACAATTATTATAAACTTTATTTCATATATCTAAATTATTATTTAATACAAAAAAATTTAAATTAATCTAAGTTGGCATTAAAAGAAAAAGAGAAAACATTCTGGTATTATAAATAATAATAATTTTTTTATTTTGATGCTCATTTTGCAATTTGAGTTTATATAAAATTAAATTAGATTATAAATTAATTAGCTAGACTAATTTTTACAAAATGAAGCAATTTAATTAATTGAAAAACTTTAACTATTATGTTGCAAGTTACAACATTTTGCTTGAAATAAATTTTATTAAGTTTAACAATTTGTGGTTGTATTTGATTCATTTGATTTCAGAATTTTAGATATTTGGAATTGTAGTATTAAATTTAAACGAAGAATTACTTTAATTACCATTAATGAATATTGATTATGGATTGAAT